AAATCAGTACAACGTGTCAATGCATCAAGTTATGGGAAACACTAGACTGCTGCAGAAAGAAATGCAATATGACGAACAATTTGCTAGTTCCAATAAAAAAATAACAAAGTATAAAAAGCCATGTAATAGAGGGAGTAGACGTGGATTACCGCCGGAAGCGATGTTACGAAAAGTTCCTCCATCGCAAAAGTAACAAGATATAGGAGAATCTAAAGCTGGTTTGATCTAACTACCCTATTATGATAAAAATGTAATTTTTTTTATACAGGGTGATAAAAAAAATTTGGATGGAGAACTGATTAATACAGTCATTATGCACAATTATTTAGGGGTTCACTTTTGTCTGGTTTGTTTCCGCAAGCAGTTAAGATGGCAATCTCAAAGTCAAACTCGACTAAGAGGTAGTGTTATAAACATTTGTTCTAAAGCAAAATAAAACTCCTGAAAGGCGAGAGATAAGTTGAAAAAATCTATCATCAATACATCTCTGCTGTATTGTACCTATGTATTGTGTCTCCGATACATAGAGCTCTTAGGAAAGGTCAACACAAATTTCTATAAAAAGACATATTCGCTACGTAAAAGAACCCCAGACTTTTTAGTACGTTTATAAACAAAGTCTACTCATATTGGTTTTAATATTATGAAGTTTTCATTTAATTGGTTAGTTAAGCTTGTGGAAATGGAGGAATTTAGATATCCTAAAATATGTTTCGAAAAGCTAAGAAATAAATGTTACTTAGCTAATCCTGCTCTATCCACGGGCGGATCTACGGGGGGGGGGAAGCTTTCGGGCTGAAGCCTCCCCCCCAAAATTAAATCCTGGATCCGCTAGTGGCTCTATCGAAATATAATTGGTTTTCTCAGCTAAAAGTATTGTTAGATACTATTAGGGAAGAAAATCTAGTTTATGAAACCAACTCAGCCATAATTAGAACAAATATTATCAGGATATTAAATAAATATAAACAACATTTGCAGGACCGTGACAGGATAACATTACATAGCTTATCTTATAGTCAGCATTTAAACATTTTTCTTAATAATGATAAGATCCCCCAATATTTGTTGATACCGACCAATTTCAAATATACGATACTATTAATGCAGATCCGTCTCTCGGGAAAATATATTATCAAGATTTCTGTTAATAATAAAATTATTCCAAAACTTGAGTGCAAAATGTGCAACACTAAAGAAAAGGAAACACTTCATCATATATTATTTCAATGCCCAATTTATAATAGTTTAAGGGTAAGAATTTATAAGGGTATGGATAATCTTGATGGTATAGAAATATGTAAGCCAACCAGAAGATATGTGAAAATTATATTTTTTCATCTGAATTTTACCAAATTATAGAGAATTGGTAGGGTAATCTTGAATGTTATCCTCCGCATCATCATCATCATATGTGGCACAACATCCCGTTACCGAGACTGGGCCTCCTCCAAGAGCCTCCGCCAGTTGGCTCTGTCTTCTGCTGCAGCTCTCCAGTTCCGTACACCAAGCAGGGTTCTCGCATCATAGGCCACGTCCAACCACCTCGTCCTCGGCCTTCCTACCCGTCTTGCGAGGTGCAGCTCCTCCATCATTATTTTCTTTGGTATTTCAACGGTGCTCATTCTGGCCATCTTAGTCTGGCCAGTTTAATATACGTGACTACGTCGATGTCTGCATAGAGAGAACTGAGCTCCCTATTTTTTCTTTTCCTCCAGGCATCACCCTCCATTACTGGACCATAAATCATTCTGAGGACTCCTCGCTCAAACACACTCAGCTTCATCTCATCGTTTTTAGTCATCGTCCAAGCCTCTGAGCCATATGTCAAAACAGGCCGAACAAGGGTCTTGTATATGATCAGCTTGGTCTTCTTTGAGAGGTACCTACTTCTTAAGTGTCGGCCAAGTCCAAAGACACATCTATTGGCAGCCGTGATCCTTCTCTGTATTTCTTGAGCCATGTCATTTTTGCTATTAATTTCAGACCCAAGGTATATAAAACTTTTCACACTCTCAAACTTAAGTTATCCTCCGCATAATATGGCAAAAATTCCACATTGTACATCGACATGTAATCTGGCCGGGTATTTTTCTTGTCTGTTCTCTTAGATATAGGGGTAATCTTTTAATTTAGTTTTAAACCATAGTTTAATATTAATACTTTTTTAAATGTGTATTTATTGTTTTATGTGTATTTATTTATGTATATTGTTGAAAATTTTATATTTTATATTAATTTGATAATTGAAACTATTTTAACTGTCTGACCTTTACCGAATATAATTTATGCTTAAGAGTGTAGTACAATGTTTGTTATTTTGTGATAGACTCCATTTGTATTGGGTTCTTTCCTCAAAATAAAGAAAGATTGATTGATTGATTGATAAAAATGTAACATTACAGAAAGAACGTAACATTAAAGAACGCAAGTACTTGCGAGGTCGAAAGAACATTGTGAAACCTGTTCAGTAGAGATGGGATAGAGGATAACTGTATGAAAGCGAGGAAACTATAAAGAAATAATAGCCTATTATATTATTATGAATGTTTTTATTATATGTACCGCCGAAGGGAAATGAATGTTTAAAAGTGATAAGGCACCTGGAGCTCAATGCACTGACTAAGCAACAAGGAATTATGAGTCACTTGCAATTGAAGGCTTATATGGAGTGAACATGTTACCAGGACGACCGAACAGGACGTTACAAAAAAAAAATCTGGTACGGTGCGCGCACCACACATCTTTCATCTACCACCCTCTTAGCAGAAATAAGTATTTTCAGACAAAGGGGAAGTAAAAGTAAAAATTATAGACGCCATATTTATTTATATTTCATTGTGGATATTTTTGTCTGTATAAGTACCCTTTAAATATACAAACCTTAATATTTATATCGCTGTAATGTATTTCTAATTAAATGATACCAACAATAGCATTTATGAAAACTTCATATGTATATTTATATAATATTGTCGGAGTCCTTATTATATTAAGCTCATGTTACATATGGAAGCGTGCCGTATTTCTCCTTTAGTTAATTATGAAATTCTTTCATATTTTATATTTAACTATCTTTTATATAAGAGATTAATATGAAATGGTCAATTGTTACAACAAAAAAATTAAAGGTACTTTAGGAGACACTAATATTGAAAATTAGCCATTTAAGTCCTGTTAGAGAACAGCAATCAGAATAAAAACTACATTTTATTTTAAATTGCTTAATTTTACTCTGAAATAATGAATTTAATCAAATTCGTTAGAGCCGTTTTCGAGAAAATCGTAAAAATGTATTTAGTCGATGGTATAAAGTACCACTTCCAGAGCCGACTTTGACGAAAAAATTGCTGCAACATCCCTATTATACAAAAACCTTAAATATACATACAATTTCACTTTGTACGACTTTTCGTTTTTGAGCTAGACTGTTAAAACACGCACATTCTTCTTAAAATAAGTCCTAAAATTTCCACTTGGCTCTAGTACTAAATCCTGTTCTGCAGAATCCGATTCCTCATCCTAAGCAGATTTCTTGTAACAATTACATCACACCGTGGATTTGATCTTCAGATGTTTGTCAATCCATGAAGTTGGTCTGATATTTTTACTTTCACTTACCTATATATGAAATATATAGTAAAGGGAAGTATTGCGATCGTGAAAATTGTCGATTCTCAGTTTTCAAAGGAAAAACACGTTTTGAGGTACCCTGAGTCCAAATAACCAAGTCCCGCAAAATGGTGTGTGAGTGTGTTTTAACAGTCTAGCTCAAAAACGAAAAGTCGTCCAAAGTGAAATTTTATGTATATTTAAGGTTTTTGTATACTAGGGATGTTTCAGCAACTTTTTCCTCAAAATCGGCTAAAACATTTTTACGATTTTCTCGAAAATGGCTTTAGCGATTTTGATTAATTTCATTATGTCAGTGTAAAATTAAGCAGTTTTAAATAAAATATAGTTTTTAATCTGATCGATGTTCTCTAAAAGGGCTTAAATGGTTAATTTTCAATATTAGCTTCCTCTAAAGTACCTTTGATTTTTTTTATTTGAATCCATTGACCATTTCAAATTAATCTGTAATATAAAATATAGTCAAATATAAAATATGAACGAATTTGATAATTAACTAAAGGAGAAATAAGAGATCGTAACGGAGAATAGTTGTAATTAGGGAACCAAAGGAATATGAGCTCACCTGAAAGATTATAACACGTTTCCATACGTAACATGAGCTTAATGCAATACGAACTTCGACAATATTATATAAATATACATATGCGGTTTTCATCAATGAGATTGTTGGTATTATTTAATATTTAATTGTATATATTACAGCGATTATGGATTATTTTTGTTAAGAGGGTGGTAAGAGAAAGTTGTGTGATGCGCGCAACGCACCAGATTTTTTTATTTCTCTTGATGATTGATAGAAAATATCAAAAACAAGAAACAAAAATACTACCATAGTGAAATAACTATTTATACACTTGTTTGTCTCATAATTTGTGAAATATATAAACGTACCTTTAAATTCAAAGCAATATGGCGTGGCCAAGACGTTAAACTCATCGATGAGCACAGCGCTTAGTTTTAAGACCTTGTTCTAAATCAGCCCGAAACTCCCGAAATCGTGTGCTAGGCGTTATGAAATGGACTTTCAAGTCTCTATTTTTACCTTCGATACTAAGCAAAAGTCTATTATAAAAGGGAAAAATCCTATTAAAAAAAATTTAGTTTATCAATTATTGTAAAATTAATGCATATACTTGGAAAACATTTCTGACTCGCCAATGTGATTATTTATATTGTGTTTTTATAGAAAGAAATATATTTTAATTTTATATATTTTTTTAAAAGTTTATATTAAAAAATATTAATATTATTTTTTTTAATATTGAAAAAAAATTTTCTTTTTGTTGGCCAAATTGGTAGCACTGGACTCCTTCTCAAGGCGGGAGCTAGAAGTCTTTGTTTTCAGTTGTGATCACTTGTTGCTCTCAGACTGGCTTCGATTCAAGGTTAGGAGTTGACCGGGTTAAACGACCGCGATTCAATTTGTCAAGTTTATCCTTCACATTTGTTTAACGTAAGACCGGCTATATAATTGATTTGAGGATGGCAATATTTCCTAAAATGAAATTTTTATTTTGATACTTCATAGTAATGAGATGACAACTAAATCAAATTTAAGCAACTCATCTCATGAGATAAATCTTTAACTTTAAATCCAATATTTAGTTAATTTATTTTCATTTTAATATATTTCAAATAAAATTGTTTGTAGTTTTGAAAAAAAAAATTTCTGTAAGTAATAATCTTACAATTTCAATACCTTGTCAAAATTTAAAAGTCATTATTAAATTTGATTTGGGGTATATATATACTTGTTTAATTTAATTACTGGTAGAATAATTTCAGCTTCAAAAAGATTCATAGTGGAAAATAAAGTGAATGTTGTCTGTCCCATATTATAAAATATAAATTATTTTGAAAACCATTTGTCTCCATTTTCTTAATATATATTATTTGTCCTGTTAACGGAACTTATTTTCTTTTATGTAGAATGGAACCATCCCATAGAGAAATGATAATGAAAAATCTTGACTTTTTGATTCAAAATACTAGTGATGAAGCCTTCGATCTTCTTTTGGAAAGATTTAGCACCAATCATGGATTAAGTCCATACATGTTAGAAAAAATAAATGTAAGTATTTAAGTCTTAATTTAGCCACTTTACATAGATTTTTTTTAATCTACCTTTTTATTTTTGTATGCCGTCAATGTCACTAGATCCATAGAAAAATAAATCAAAAGAGGTCTCTTATATTAATTAAAGAACCGTGGTTTGAAAGTTACATATTGGATCTACCAAATCTTACATTACTGCTGGATATTGGACAAAAATTTTACAGGTGAAGCAGACTTGATTAAAATGTTTCCTAAATTTTTGCCCTAATATATTTTAATATTTCAAATAAAATTCCTTATAGAGCTTAGTCTCTGATGGGGTGTTGTAGTTCTGATTTATTTATTTCTTATAAGTTCAATTACTACTGAATAATTTAAATATGATACCTAGATATTTTTGTATGTTATGAATTATATAAAATACTATTAATTTATATTCCTTGGCATTGATTAAGAAATACGTTTTTCCATCTTATTTTATTGTTTTTAGCCATTTGTTTTGGCATTGTTGATGATTATAAATAAATCGATTATATTTATAAATATAGTATTTTCCCTCAAAATAAGCTTCAAAGGTCTCGGAGACAATGGTTATGCATTTTATATTCATTTCATGACCCCTGAGACTCGGTTATGGAAGAGATTTCAGAATTTGATAGACCTTGTCAATCTTTTGCCTTATCAATCTCTTAACCTTCTCTATTTCTGCCTATCTTCAACTATCCCTTTTCAGTTATTTGAGTGCAGCTCTGGAACATATTTGTTGATTTGATCTATCTGTATTTTGGGCTTCGAGTAAATTTTAGCTGCTGTTTGGCAGCATCTCTTCTGCAAATATATATATTTTTGTTTTTCGCTATAAAAACAATAGTTTAATTTCTAAGAATGATAAATATTTAGTATTTAGCAATTTAATCTAGATTTTCATATTTCCAGAAAGGAGGAACTAGCCTTGAAAAGAAAAAGAAATTTTATGAAATGGTTCCTAAAAGGGGACCTGAAGCATTTCGGAAATTATGTGACTGTTTGTATAGTGTTGGTCTCAAAAATCTAGCTGAGAAGTTAAGGGGGTCAAGGTATTATTTTTAGTATAATATATTTATAATTTCAATAAGTATTTTGTTGTTTTTTCGGATAGTTACCTTCCAAAGTTGTTATGGTGTGGACAACAATTAAATATGAGATTTATTCATTAGATAAACTAAACATTTTTTTTATCAGGACTATTTAGAGTATAAATACAATATTTTATAAACTTTGGCGATTTTATTATTGTGTATTATTACTACAGTTACATGACCGATACAGCAAATATGCAGGATCACTTATTATGGTTGAATAAAATATTATATAAAGAAAAAAGGTAGAAAACGAAGTTGAGCAAAAAAATTTATTTTCAAAAAAATTATCATTTGCAAGTGAAACCAACAAAATGTATTCACAAATTATTTAAAACTTTTAAGAACTACTTTATATATTTACTTACCAACAGTTGTAGTTTGTCGGATGGAGGAAGAGAGAGAACGGATATATTGATGTGGTAGATAAAGTGACCAGTGTCTTTCTAATGAATTAAATAAACCTATTTGCTTTGAGAAGGAAAGTGGAAAAGCACTTGTGCGTATGCAAACAACTTAAAGGAGAACCTTATAGGCAGATCTTAGGTCAGAAGGTTATATTTAATGAGGAAAGCCTTCTTTTTTATCAAACATATAGTCTGTCTTTCTTTTTATAACATTTTGATTTATTCTATATCCTTTAAATTGCATGAACTAATTTGTACTTGGGTTGTTATTTTAATACCAAGAGATTATTGTTGGGTGAATGGACACAAAAAGGTTCTCCCTTAAGTTGTTTGCCAATAGTTTTTACTTTATCAATCAACTCTTAGTTTCTACCCTCAAATTCGTCTTTTTATCTATGGGGTGTCTAGAAGGATTTTAAACCGTGATATAATAGCTGGTGCTCGCTATGTATTTAATAGCATATTTTATTAAAATTTTAATTTCATTTGCGTTGAGTGTTAAAGATTATGTACTATAAGGGTGCTGTTTTTTTCTTTAAAAAAATGTATATTTCATATAATAATTTATTTTTATAATCAATCAATGTAGATTAACATCTGAGATTATTTTCTTATCTTAAGTTTAAAAGGCAAATATTTAAAAAAAATTATTATATATATTTTCAGGGTGTTTTTAGATGGCTGCTTTTCTTCAAAATTAAATGGATCTTCACACGAGGTTGAAAACAAATTAAATTTTCTAAATATGTGATTCAGTCACAAATAACAATGGATTTAAATGTTTGTTTTTTTTTCTAATTTTTAGCGTTATATAATAAAATCAAACCCAAAAGGACACGTTTTAATAATTAATATTAGGAATTTCATCTATAATCCACTACAACTCAGAAGAGGCTCAGAAAAAGATGTAGCTTCCTTGAAGGAACTATGGAAGAAATTGGGTTATAGTGTTCATTTTTTTAAGGATCTTACATGTGAAGTAAGATATTTGTCATAATTATTGATTTCAAAAATGTACAGTGATGGAAAAAAGTATTTGCACATCATGTTTTTATGAATAAATGAGTTCAAGGAACCAAATAACTCTGCTTTCCTCTGCAAAAATGAAAAGTACATTTGTTAAAAACTGAGAAAAATCTTTTGGAAAAAAATGACAACACTCCATAATGAAACAAAAAAAATTAAAACAATAAAAGTGCTTGGAAAAAAGTATTTGCACACTATGACTCACAAGCTCTGATTACTTTGGCATTAATCCTCCTGTGTCCATAGGTTTGTTTACTAATTAATCTATAATCGTTTATTACCAGTATTCTCTAGTCTTTCAATCAGTTTCCTTTAGTCAATAGACAATTATCGTGCCAAAGACAAGTGAACTGAGTGCCGCAACTCGCGAAAAAATTGTTTTACTGAGGAGTCAGCAAAAAACATATCGCCAAATTGCTGATTTCTTAGGGTTGAATTTTTCTACAGTGAGATACGTCATGAAGAATGTGATTCAACTGAAAACAGTGAGCGTAAAGGGCGTCCAAAAAAGTTAACTCCCTGGCTGAAGAGGAAAATCAGAAAAGAAGCTCTTAAAAAACCTCTGATAAGTTCTCGGGAGCTGGCTACCATGGTCCAATCCAACGTCTGGAGTTCAGATTACTTGTAGAACAATTAGATATGCCCTGAATTCGGAAGGGCTCCATGGTAGAGTTCCAAGAAAGAAGCCATACATAAGTGAAACGAATCGCAAAAAGCGCCTTTCTTTTGCTAGGGCAGAAACCCATAAGCTTTTGGGAAAATGTCATCTTTTCTGACGAAAGCAAATTTAATTTGTTTGGTTCAGAAGGTCGATATGGCGACGTCGTAATGAAGCCCTAAAGAAGCAAAATGTTTTAACAACTGTAAAGCATGGTGGAGGATATGTTATGGTTTGGGGGTGTGTTTCCTACCATGGCGTGAGAAATCTTGTGAGCATCGAAGGCATTTTAAATGCGGAAGGCTATGTGAACATTTTATGACATAATTTGCGTGTTAGGGTCGAAAAAATGGGAATCCAGGATCAGTACTATTTCCAGCAGGACAACTATCCAAAACATACTGCGAGGAGAACAAAGGAGTGGTTAATATTTAATGTTCCAAGACAGTTCCACACTCCTCCTCAATCACCAGATATAAATATCATTGAAAATTTATGTCACACCCTTGACCAAAATGTAAGAAAACACCATATCACTAGTGGAAATCACCTTAAACAACTTCTTGTTCAAGAATGGGAACAAATAAACGTAGATTTAATTAAAAATCTAGTGCATTCAATGCTCAGACGTCTACAAGCAATTATTGACGCAAATGGCCTATTTACAAAATATTAAAACTATTAAAATTTAAAATAAACTTGTAAATTTGGAAGTGTGCAAATACTTTTTTCCAAGTACTTTTATTGTTTTAATTATTTTGTTTGATTATGAAGTGTTTTTATTTTTTTGTAAAAAGGTTTTTTCAGTTTTTAATAAATTTACTTTTCATTTTTGCAAAGGAAAGTGAAGTTTTTTGTTTCCTTGAACTACTTTATTCATAAAAACGTATTGTGCAAATACTTTTTTCCATCACTGTATAAATATTTTTCTTTTTCATCATTCTTATAATTATTAAATGTTATTGCTTAATATATTGATATTATTTGTAAGATTTGGATTAATGTAAGTTAATATTTATCAGAGTTAAAAAAATTGTAATATTTTTTTTACCTTCTATAAATGTTGATGATGATGTCATGTATTGTAGGAATTCAAGAAAGAAATAGATAATTTTATCAATTTGACAAAGTCTGATAAGTTAGACTCAGTATTTGTTTTTATTATGACCCATGGAATGAGGAATAACACAAACCATCGGGAGGTTCAGTTACTAATGTCAGATTCAGGAACCATAAATTCTGATTGGGTTGTGGACCGGTTCACCTCGGTCCACAGTAAGCACTTGGCGGATACACCAAAAATTATTTTCATTCAAGCCTGCCGGTAAGTTCAGTTTTAAATAATGTTTCATTTATAATCCGCGGTCCTATTTTTATCGAATTATAAACATCCGCCCGAAACTTCGTAAATAGTTTCATCTCATTGTAACCTTCAACTATTTTATTTATGAAAACTCTTGGGATTTGGGTGTTTTCAATCTGGAGGGGGGCAAACTTTGTCTATTTAATTAGGTTTTAAAAACTCTTAAATACAAATTTGCTTTCTACTTGGATCGTAAGATAATTTGATCACAAAATCGATAAAAAAGGTGGCCTTCAAAAATATTGAGCCATTTGGCGTGACCTACACCTCCAAAATTATAAAATAACGAGGTTATATAGGACAAACGGCCCAATATTTTTGTAGTCTACCTTTTTTTTTCTATTTTGTGATCAAATTATCTTACGGTCCAATTAGAAAGCAAATGTGTATTTACGAGTTTTTAGTACCTAATTAAATAGACAAAGTTTACCACCTCCAGATTAAAATAGCCCCAATTCTAAGACTTTTCGTAAATAAAATAATTGTAGGTTACAATGAGATGAAACTATTTACGAAATTTTAAGTGGATGTTAGTAATTCGATAAAAAGAGGTCTGTACCACGGACTATAACTTTACTTCCAAAGACATACACTCAAAATACTTTATCAATATATTTTAGTGCTTATTTTCACAAAATTGTATCCATATTTTTCATTTGGGTTTATTTTACGTCATCTCATGTCACATCCTAAAGTAGTAATAGTAGTGAAACATGGAGTTTAAAAACCAAAATATTAATACTAATTGTATTGATATTTTTTAATGTATACATCCCTATCCTAAATCCTATTCAGTTATTATTTCTTTTATCCTTTCATCCTCTTCCATTTTGGTATCCCATAGTTCCCAATCTGTTCCTATAATTGTCATCTCTGATTTCCGAACTGCCATTAATCTATAAAAATCACAATCCTCGTTCTTGATTTTTCAAAAGCATTGGACTGTAGCGGAAGTAGCGGCTCAGTCTAAGAAACAGAAATTAATTTTGTAAGGAATTTGATATGGCTGACCTGCGTAGTCATCCACACGCCTTCCATCATCATGCAGAAATCGATTCGGTAAGCCTTGCTTCATTCATGAGGTATTCAGACTTTAATTTCTATCCTATCTTTTCCCACAGTGCTCGCCTTTCACATCTCATTCTCTACCAGCACTTCCAAATTATTATTACTTCTGATCAGTACCTATCCTCTCTGTTAATTGGGTTCCTATTTTGTGTAATCACATAATCATTCTTCTTAAACATGTTTTCTATCAACTAATGACCCCCAAACATGCTTTCCATTAATACTAGAAAATTATTGGCAAATATTTTGTTTTAGTTCCATCATCTAGCCTCTTGTTTGACCTTAAACTAATAGTTCATACCTATTTCTTCTACTGTAAAAAAGGCATTACTCTTAATCAATCCCATTCCTGGAAGCTGCTTAGTGGTAATCGTATATGTTAATTTTGCAAGATATCCTTGAGCTCCTAGTTCCTTCTCTCATTTCTTCCATCTCGACTGCAGATGTAGGTGTATGCAGGGAGGGAGTCACTTTTATCTCTAGTTCACTCACAGACTATTGTTTTTCTAGCTTTTGAACCAGATTTAAATATATTCAAGGTTCCTTCCTCTACCAATATATATCCAACTTTTAACTCCTTACATTTTAAGCTCTAGTCCTCTTATCATATCAGCGCCCTTGTTGCCCAAAAAAATTTCTTAACACAGTTATCTTTAGAGCTATGGTTTTGGTGCCATTATTATAAATCAATTACAATTTACCGAGATATGATCTTATTTTGATTTATTTTAATTTTAATTCTGTTATTATTAATAATGGAAACGGACTTACAGCTGGGAGATGGACTATCACCGATGTTGTTCAACTTAGCCCTGGAGAAGGTAATAAGAGCAGCATCACAGGAAAATAGAGGAGTCCACGTCGGAATGAATAAAAATCCTTGGATACGCAGATGACATAACTGTCCTTGGAAGTAACCAAGGAGGCATTGAGAAACTCTAGAGAGGGGCAGAGCAGATCGGTCTACAAGTAAATGAAGAAAATACAAAATATATGATGATAAGCCAAAAATTCCACTCCAATAACAGGATCTGTGTAGTAGGAAAATCATTCCCGAGAGTAGAAAAATTCAAATACCTTGGTTCCACAATAACCTCAATGAATGACAAATGGATAGAAATAGACCAGCGTATATGATAAAGCCAGTTCTAATATATGGCTGTGAGATCTGAACACTAACCAGCACCTTAGAAAAAAGTGTTAAAAGATTCGAGTGGAAAATCCTTTGCATGATAACTGGAGCGATCTGGGATCAGAGTACTAACACATGGAGAAGAAAGACCAATAAGGAACTGTTTACAGAAACTGATCTATCAATATCCCATGATATGAAGGCACGGAGGTTAAGATGGGCGGGGCATGTAGCTCGTAGCACTCCATCTGGAAGTCTCTACGTAACAATGAATGCCTCAATAGAAGGCAAAGACCAAGTGGAAGGCCAAAAAGCAGATGGATAGATAGAATCAATAAGGATGCAATAGAGCTGCGTGTAGATCAATGGAAAGAAATAGCCCAAGACAGGCAGAGATGAAGCAGGCTTGTTAAGGCTCCAAAAGATCTAGATGGTCTGTAGTCCCAACAGAAAAAAAAAATTATTAATAACAGAATATATCTCAATGATTTTTTAAAATGTCTATTCACCAAATCGACAATTTTGACCTTTTGAATATTAAATATTATTGCCGTAGCACCTAATTTGAGAACTGCTTTATATAATGCTGAAACACCACATCCCATTGCTTCACTGTATATCATCCTTTCTATGTATAATCACTTTTTCTTAATTTTTTCAAATTTGTAAAATTTCCTTTCTCTCAAAATGTTTCATGACACTCCATTTTCCAATATTGTTCCTATTCAAATTCTTTCTATGTTATTCTTGTTCAGTTTTGTGGGAAGTTCATACATGTAATTTAAGAACACGGCAATCAGACCTTCCAAATTTTAATATATTTACTAGTTCAAAATATAGATGGTTAATTACATTGACATTTCATTTATCTTCAGAAATAGAAAGAAGGAAATTTTTATTTAACAGCCGCAAATGTGGCCGACCATATAGCCAAATTCCTTGAAATGAAGAACTATAAATGTTTCCTAGAAGTTTATTGCCTTGATGGAGAAAGCTCAACAAGGTTCATTGACATTTTGGCCGAGGTCTCATAGTGAATCATATGATCGGGTTTGAAACCAATGATCAAGATCAAGACTTCAAGGTACAGGCAGAGAAAGAGGAAATTTATACGAAATGCATGCCTTACCTGAAGGAAAAGGCCGAGAAGAATTCGGCTATGGTTTGGAAGCAGGGGAACCATCCCTCTTAATACCAGTAATTTCTTGCAGAGGCTCGGTGTTGGGACGGAGCAGATGCAGACCATGGCAGAAACTACTATTTTACACTCGTTAGGAATCCTCCATCGCCAAATATATTGATCTTGGCCTTCGCTTGTTTGATTCTCTAAACTGGTCTTGGCATATCTGATATTTATTCCAATGATCTGACCTAACTCTCTCTCGTTCGTGCACATCCAGTTGTGGACCTGTCGCATGTAATTGGTTTTTGATTCATTAATCTCTAAACCCACTCTATCTGCTGCTACCTGGAGTCTGATAAAAGCGTTGTCTAAATCTGTAGAGCTTCTTCCAACAATATTCAAGACATCGGCTAAGACCAAAATCTATAGAAGATTTATTGAATATAGTTCCCCCAACTTGTATTCCAGATTTCCGTACAGCACTTTCGAGGGCCAAATTGAAGAGAAGGCATGCAAGACAATCACCCTATCTTAGTCCTTTGTGGGTTTCAAAGCTATCGGTCAGGTCACCCTGAAGATGCACTATGCATTGCACCTTCTTCATCGTATATCTAATGAGACGTATCAGCTTCGGTAGTATTACTATTTCTAGAAGCTCTTGGCACAGCTCGTTTCTCTTTACACTATTTTAGGCCATTTGAAAGTCAATGAAGAAGTGGTGTGTGTGGATATTATACTCCCTGCACTTCTCCAGAATGATTCTGATGGAGAATATCTGATCTATGGTAGACTTTCTCATAAAGCCTGTCTGATACTTTCCTATATTCTGCTCGGGAAAAGGAAGCAGTTTTTTATAAAGTATCCGAGAGAACACCTTATAAGCACTTGATAACAGGGATATACCGCGATAATTATGATAATCAAGCACATCCTTCCTTCTTGTAAATTGGGCATATAACTGCTTTGTATCATTTACATGAGATTTCTTCCGTCTTCCAGACATCCATTATTATATTATAGAGGAACTTCACTAATTCTTCTCCTCCGTACTTAAACAGTTCTGCAGGGAGCCCATTTGGTCCCGATGCTTTATTTTTTAGCTCCTCTACCGCATCATAGACAAAAAAAAATGTTTTTATGAATTTATCTATTCTTTTCTTTTTCACATACTGTATTAAAACTATGTTGGTGCTACATTCCATTAAAAAAGTACATTTTCTGCCTATTTCCCAGCCATTATTGTGCATTATTGATTCGGTTCACAGATTTCAGGGGGCAGGAACTAAACTGTAGAATAAACATATTAAAATTTGGAGGTCTTATTATCATATTTTTTATTTATTGCAATATTTTCAATAGAGTTTCGGTTTTTGTATTAAGTTATAAGTGAATTTAAAAAGTTAGGAAATTATAAAATTATTTAAATGCGTCTTGTTCTGTTCCAGAATATTGAATGTAATGTTTTTTTCTTTCTAGAACTCATGTTATTTTTTAATTGATTATGTTAATTTTTTTTTTCTCTTGAAAACAGTGGTGAAGACATCGATGTGGGTTATTGGATAGAAAATGATTCAGGGCATGGAAATTTAGAATATAATGAAAATAGTGATGCAATGAGGATGCCTTCACCAAAACCTCGTTATTCCAATTTACTTGTGGTATTTTCAACACTGCCAGGTAATTTTTTTTTTTCTTTGTATATAATTTTATATTTAAATTTTGAATGAATTTGTATTATGCTTAATGTATGTACAAATCGACAAGCACCTCATACAAGATTACTATATGAGGGAAATAGATAATAAAAAAATCTGGTGCGCTCAACTAAAGTTTCACTTACCGCTCAACTTTGAATAGAAATTATTTTCTGGCCATGTTGGGCTATTATAAAAGTTTTGAATTGCATTTTTAACTGAGCTAAAGCTAAAAGATTGCTGCTAACAAATCATAAATACTATGAAAATAACAAAAATCCTATTTATTATATCACCGGTTAATTATGGATTGTATGATCCATTGATTATGACTATTAGTTATTAAATTGTTATTTTCCATTGCAAAGTTAACTGAAACGGAATTAAGAGATTTGCATTGTCTGTCATATACAGGTCAAAATTTGTCACACTGTAAGTGGATTCTGTTGCAATATCGCAAAGAGAAAATTTATCAAATTATTTACTAATTCAATTTTCTAAAAGGTTACATAATGATTTTTTGGAATAAATGGACGATAGATACCTAATTATTTGAATATAATATCAGATCTAGAGTTATTAAACTACAGTAAATATATTTAAGGTTATAAACGTACCCATGAAATATTTTTATATTTTACTTCTTCTTTCACACAAGTATAATGAAATAGTATCTCAAACAGTGTTATTGAATTGAATCCGTTTAAATTTATATATAATATAAGATCTATAGTCACTAAACTACAGTAGATGTATTTAAGGTTATAAGCACATGCTTTTTACATCCATAAAATGATTTTATATTTTACTTCTTCTTTTACATAAGTACAATGACATATTTTGTTTAACTATGTCATTGCCTTGGTTAGGTGGATTTTTAATACTTTTTTTTAAACTTAAAAAATATTTTAAAATTTTACATTCAGTTAGTAAATTTCATTTAATTTTCTTGAAAACATGTGATTTACGTTAAATAATGTTAGTTTTAAGAGATTATTATATATAATTTTTTTGCCACTCTCCTTTACCTTCTACAACTTTCTGTAATAGATATTGTTTTTTCTAAAATTCTCCGCTTTCCAACGATATATTATGCGTATACCTTCCGACTAGTATTTCAAGAGATTCATTTTCGACCTGGATAAGCATTTTTATTTTTTCTCCTTCATTTAATTATCAAATTCTTTCAAAAGTTGTATTTAGTATTTTTTCATAACTTTTAATAATGAGAGATAATGGATTATTTAAAACAAACCATATTAAAGGTACTTTAAAGGAAGGCGTATATGAACATTGGGCATTTAAGCCCTGTAAAGTGACAACAACGGGGATAAGATCTAAATAGTATTAAAGACCACTTAATTATACAATAATACACCGAGTTTAATCAAAATCATTAGAGCCGTTTTTGAGAAAATTGCAAAAATGTGTTTCAGCATAGATATAAAGTGGCACTTCCAGTTAGCTGATTTTAAGGAAAAACTTGCCAGGAACTTGGAAAAACTCTTAAATACATAATACCAGTTTTTTATCACTTTTCATTTTCGAGCTAGTGTTCACAGACACAGACCATTTTTCGGGACTTAGTTATTTGGACTCAGGATACCTCAAAACGTGAAAACTCAGATTCGAAAATTTTCACGATCGCAATTCTTACCCTTACTATATATTACATAATATAAGTGAAAGTAACAATCAGAATGAATCTAGTTGTTTATTCAAATATGTTTTGTGATTGGTATTAGTTAGTTAAAGATTGTCTATAATTATGATGTTTTGTTTTGTTTATTTACAGGTTTTGTTGCTAAAAGGAACATAGATACAGGTTCTCCATTTATACAAGAGTTATGTCAAATAATAAGTATAAAATCAAAAAAATCCCACCTTCTGGATATGATACATGAGGTAATGAACGATTGAATAGTTTTATTATGATTTCAATTTAAAAATGTAGTTTCAGTATTTATAAGATATGCACAAAGGAGTGACTACAAATTTACACAAGAGCTTCAGAACATGGTAACCCAAAACAATATCTTAAAAGATTAAACATTGTTCAAAGAAATTTATGCGATGCAGATAGAAAAATTCAAAATTTTAAATATATAATATATGGCTTTATACTATTTGACAGAGCAATTTGAAGTAAAAATGAAAAATTGTTTAAAACGGAGCAAAATTTGTTTTCTGAATTCAAAAGACTTTCAAGAATAATAATTTAGGAGACTGTAGTCCCAGAATAAAATTATTTTTTCATTCATTCATTCATAAAATAAGCATGGAAATGCATTGTTTCCATAATAATAAATAAAAAAATTAGTGCTGCAATAACTCACCCTCAAGATGCTTTCTAATTGTTGTGTACCAATTGTTATTAACTATATTTTTCTTGATACTTTTACTTTATATCAATCCCTCCCTAAAAACAATGTACTAAACTCTTAAGATAATATATTATAAATCATTATGTACATGTAATTATTTTGAATGGGCCTTAGGCCTTCAATGCGACTTTTACCTATTTCGAATTTTTAAATTCAAGTAATTTAAGATGTTATTAATTATTACCTTCATTTGTGAGAAATTCGCACCTGAAAGGGTTAATGTACATTCAGGCAATGATTGTCCAGTGGGATTAGTTTCACTTAACCTTATTACTTATTATTTTATTTTTATTTTTTATATTATTGTTTTATTTATTTATTATTTTTATTTTTTGCAGGTCAACAGGAATTTAAAAGAAGAAGTAAGTATTAATGTTCCTCGCATTTTATTTTTTTTATTTACTGTGTATTATTATTTTGATTGTATTCCTACATCTCTGTCAGTTTTTAATGAATTCCAATATTACTTTCTTACCTATACTAGGTAAGGAAAGTATTGCAATCGGGTCAAATTTCCGATATGCGTTTTTCGACGGATCTATACGTTTCAGAGCCCCCTGAGTCCGAAAAACACATTTTTAGCCATTGGTCTGTCTGTGCCAAGATTTTCTCGGGAACTACTGAACCGATTTTGTTGCTTCTTTTTTTATTTTGTAGGGTTTTGACTACTGATACCTGTAACAGAAATTAGGTGCTTCATGCGCAATAGCTTGCGCGTAATAAATGAAAAACATGTTTTTCTATAGACTGTAGCGCGAAAACGGCTCTAACGATTTTGATGAAACTTTCCTATAATCTTCTAATCAATTTTTGTATATAGACTAAATTCCCGAAAAAAAATCTATACGTTTCAGAGCTCCCTGAGCCTGTCGTTTGGAATGTAATGAAATTCCCTACAAAGCCATATAAAAATAGTTCATTTTGGACAACTGTTAACGAAGTTACAGCTATTCAATTTCCAATGTAAGATTACGGGTTCATATCCTGGTGTCAGAAAAGGGGTGAATGAGAGAATAAAGATGACTAAGTGAAAGTAAGAAAATCTGTTGCCCACATTCACTATTTAATCTACTTTTAACAGAAATTATTGTTTGACAATACTAAGCTATGGCAAAAAGTTTTTTTATCAGCAATATTAGTGAGTATTGAAATTTTTATTCACTGATCGACCTTAAGCCGGTTTACATCTCTTTAGTTTATCAAATCATACTCAAATATTTGTTTGATCAATTTTCAGAAAAATAAATCTAGTTCAATTCTTTTTTGTTTCTTTCTGAACATCATCTGTGAAGATATAAAAACTTTTCTGAAATAGGTAGGAAATTCGTGTGAGTGGACACACCAGATATTTTTTTTAATGCAAAAAGAATATAGCTTTTATTTCTGGAGAGTGGAAAAGAGCTGATGGATAGTATTTTTATTTACTTTTTCAAGCCTGTGATGGTTAATCATTTATTAATTGCGATTGACAATGAACCTTATACTGTTTTCCTTCCATTTGGGATAATTTCTGGTTGTATTTCAAATTATTTAAAAAAAATATTAACATTTGCAAATGAGACCAGCTAAATTTATTCACAACTAATTACAAAATTATTTACACTTTTATAAATATATATGATACAGTAGAGGTCCCGAAAAAAAAAAAAAAAAATCCCAAACTAACCTTGTGAAATCTAATAAAAAATTAGTGATAAATTATATAATTTATTTTATTAAATAAATATGCATTCAATAAATATAACAAGAACCTCACTTAAAATTTTAGTGAAAAAAATGAAGCGATAAAACATAGGACGCAATTAACTAGAAAAACACCTGTCGTTAAGAGAATTTAATGCGTACTGGTCGAAATATTGACTACTTTTGATGTAAAATCTTCTCGGAACCTTACGTCATCTTGAGTGACACCTACCTTCTGATTAGCTTTAAATAAGATAAACATGGTTTCTATTTCTTTTAAAAACCAAGAGAGGGCGGATAAATCCGTGATTAGTGTCCTATAAAGAGTTAACTTTTGTTTGGCTCAAATTTATAATGTTTCTTAGACTTCGCAACTTTTGTCTAATTCACATTTATTTTGTAGGTCATAAAGAATTGGAATGTTCAAGGCAGAAGTAGTTTTTTCCAGACCGTTCATTATGAAAACTGGCATTTTAGCTACAAACTTTACCTCTGACAATGCCATTCGTTTATTATATTACGTTTCGACACACGAAATTTTTTTTTATACTTAAGGAGAGTATTCAAATTGGTATGTCAGTTTTTTTTTGTTTTTTTTTTTTCTTTGGTGCAACTCCTTATCCTCAAAACTTAATTTTTTACTCTATTTAAATTAGAATAAAATAGTTAATGCAATTAATTATATTTATAATTCTTCTAATTTCTCGCAATTTTCCCAAATGGTCTATTTTATCATACATTTGGCAGCTAATTTGTGTTTATAAATCATTAGCAAATTCTTAGTTTGGCATGTGTGTAACTGAATCCAATTTTCTTTCACTTAGTGGCTTTTGATATCATTTTTTTTTCTTGGTTTAATAACTCTAAAGGTACTATTTCGCTGGCGTGGTCCACGCTGCCAACCGCTGTTGGCGTAGCTATTTCACTGAAACTGCTCACTGGGGTTGTTATAACCTGCCTATAACCTTCAAACGTTTCGCTGTATCTTCAAAGATAAAAAGATGGGTATCCTATAATAATAAAAATGAACATTCTATAATAATGAACATCTCTGATTACCTCTTTTTTTATTTGAGGAGGAAAAAGAAGAGAAAATGTTGTTCATAAAGAGAAGGAATATTAGTATTTTGATGAGATGCTCATCATCAAATCCCTTCTTGGACATTGTTTGCTATATTGGTTGCTATTGTCTAGATGAACAACCAAAAAAGAACAAAAAGGTGGGAAACGCAGTACTAACAACAATAGTCCCTCTGATATTAGATATTATTAGTTTGAAAAGTAATTGTAATTAATACATAATTGATTAGTAATAAATATCATATATTTGTAATTAAATCCCAGCAGGCGATGTTTTATCGTTTTATCAATAGTAATCAGTAAATCACCACTTTAATTAATAAATACAAAGCGATTTTTTAATGGGTGAATTTTAGTATTTACCTGACGATAAAATTTGTTGGATTCTTGAATTTATTTAATATCGTTTGGATTTAGTTACATTTGTATTTCGCTGTAAAATATTGCTGGTGGAATAAATAAATAAATAATCTTGTTACTTCAACCTTATAAAAATAATTTACTATTGTATTGATTCAGTTTTAAACAATATTTGTTATAATTTTGCCAGACTTGATAGAAACATAGGAAATAAAACGTATCGACGTGACTGTTATCATCAAACAATGCTCTGATATGATAACATAACCGGCAACTGCCGAGCCGCCAACAGCTCCACTGCTTCGAGAGCAGTCAGATAGGAGCAGCTTAGAGGTATGACGTCATACCTAGACTGCTGAGCAGCGCCAGCGAAATAGGTTCCTTTCTATTTCACTTAAGCAGTGGTCAACCCCGAGCAGTTGCGGTCGTGGGCCTTAAAGCGTCCAAGATTATAGAACATCTTCATGTCTTTTTCCATATTCTTGTCATTAATTAGTGGAAGATCTACTAAGGAAGGAAATTTGACCCGCATTTCTTTTATTTTATCTGTAGGATATTTTTCTTGTTCAATATCAATATAACTAATCAATGATCATTTTAGCAATTATCTTTTAGCAGCTCTTGTTAGTGTCAATGGACAATTTCAAATCCTGTGTCATTAAAGTAAATGTTAGAAAAGCCTTAAATGTGTTACAAACTCTATTAAAATATGAAGTCAGTAAAATAAGATGATTAATCAGAGTGTTCAGCGTCCTTGAAAAATGGAAAATATGCTTGAATCTTTTTTTAAAAAAAATTCATCAAAAGTTTTAGTTTTTAATTTGATAATTTCATTTTTCCTTTAGTGCTTGGCAAAAACTCTAATCAGCATTAAAAATAGGTTATGTCACAATGTCCCTTTTATCATTTTTAACACGAGAAAGCTATATAAACCTTTAATTGCCTAATTTGTCCATCAGTCTCTTTCCCTCTCTTTCTCAAGTATGTTCTCAACTTAAATAACTCAATCTACCTGTTACTAAGTGAACTAAGCATGTTATAAAATGGTATAACAATGTATTAGCTCTGACAATTTATCTAAATTGTCCATGTAACAGATTGAAGTTTTGCAGCCAATTTGGCCCTTAGCCAAAATACACAATATTTTTTGTTTCAAATTTAATTCAATAAATTTATTTAAAGTGCTTTGAATTTTATCATGTTAAATGAATATCTTGATATGAAATAGAAACCTAATTTCACTGTCAGCGAGTTAGAAGCACTTGATCTGTAACCTAAACATTGTAGCTTTTTGAAATATAATCGTGCAGATTCAGTCCCAGGACAAAGATGTGAGATACAGAGTGTGAACTAAAGTTTAAATTCATTTTTTTATTTCAACGGTTATGGCTGATTTCATTTATTTATTTATAAGCATTTATCCATTTTTATTACCTATCAATAATTTTTAAAAATGTAATACTTTTCAGGTAAGAAATTATGACAATTTTGGCTTCAGTAAACAGCTTTACCTGGTCTAATGTTAAGTATCCATAATTCGTTTTCTTTCTTGGTGTTCTCTATAGTATCAATAATAATGAGAGAATTTAGCAAAATGATGTATTAATAATTGCCATTAAATACGACAGTATCATAACTCAAAATGCTTTATTGTTATGAATTACTTTTGAAAGTTATCAGATTTCGCAAGTTTTTTTTTTTAACGCACTAATTTGAGGAATTACCAGTCCAATTTGAAAAATTATTTTTGCGTTGGAAAGACCGTTTATTAAGGAATGCTTTGGACTTTAACATCATGCTATCACCTATAGCAATGAAGCGGTAAGCATAAATATCAATCTGAAAACTGTAAGCGATCATGTTAGCATACTTTCCCGTCGAGAGATTGTTCAGAATCCCTATAATTGAAGAATAGGGATAAACTTTTAATAATTTTAAGGTCGACATTAAGAATAGACAGTGTTTCCAGATCATATATTGCTTTTTCTAGTTCAGGTTGTGGAAAAACCTATAGTTACTTATATTACAGGTTGATAGAACTAAAAATATTGTTCACTCTAAAGTACTGCAAATTTTCTTTAAATAGTTTAATGAAATATTTTCGTTAAAAAAAAAATAAATAAAAGATGTTAATATTAAGGCATCAAACTAATACTATTTTCTATCAAGTCACTTTTTTCCTTTTGTTTTCCTCATTAATTTAGAGATACGCATATAACCCAGTATTACACCAAGTTGAAGTGGCTCTATCCATCCAACCGCCGTTTGTACTTCCTTGCCACTTTTCTATACCAAGTCATCAGAACTCAGCGGCCTTCCTATTTTTTTCACAACCTACAATTCAAATATTCCATTCAATCCCATCTCACTAGATCTCGTACCTCCGACCTCTATCCACCTCCCCACCGAACTGCAGCGTTTGACAAATCCTTTATAATTCAAGCCGTCTCCTTCTGGAATACCATCCCTCCCGATATCCGACATGTACAATCAGTTTCCTCATTCAAATCTCTCCTTTTTAATCATCTACTCCTTTCCCAACCCGATTGATCATGAAATATAGATAAGAGAACTTTTAAAGTTCCCCCAGAAATTATTTTCTTTACTTATGCTAATTTATTTTATTATATAGTTTGTATTATACATATCAGAATGTTTTTAGTGTAATAGTTATATTTTTTGTTTTATTATTTTTTCAAAATCTTAATCTTAATAATAAATGTAAATAATTAATTTTATGTATGGCCACACAGGCATTTATTCTGTATCTGTCATTTGTCCTAAAGGGACAACAGTCCCAGGATAATAAAAAAATATTTTCATTTCATTTCATTAATTTGGGATCTTATTCAGTTTATTGGATAAACTTTGTGATATACTCATCATGTTTATGAAATAAATATAAAACATCGATTACTAGTTTATCTTTTTTATTATATTTTAAAATTAATATTAATTTAGTAGAAGTTCACTGAATATATCAACCTACAACTGTACTGTTGAATATATGGGAGATATATTGCTTTATTATTTTCTATAATAAACCACGTAAATCGTCCAAGAAAATAAAAATGTTAACATTCTTTTCCCCTCGAAATTTGAGGTTTTATGTCTCATGATACATAGAGTCCAGAAGTAAAATAAAAAAAAAGTATCCGTCCTCTATCCACGGCTTTTCTCCGAGACTACTGGACTGATTTTGTGGAAATTTTTAATTGAAGTCAGAGTTACCCGAGAATGATCCTCCTAATTTCACATTACCAACCAACGTTTCCTTTATAAATGGCAGTCGAAAAGCCTGTGTTACTATATACTGTAGCACTGAAATAGTTTTAAAGATTTTAATGAAACTTGCCTATAAGTCTTTTTCTTAAAGACTGATAAATTTATGTACATAACATACTTCTCAGAAAATAAGCTGGAAAAAAAGTTACAATGAATGAAAATTTGTTTATATTTTAAAAGTTTTATTTAAAATATTTTTACTATCTAAATTAATGAATTAATATTTTTGAGTTTGATACTTGTACGGCATATTTAATGGGCAATATATTTATACCTTCATAATAAACCATTATTTACCGTTGTGTGCAAATCTGTTACCATGAATTAGATACTTTGTTTGATAAATAATAAACCACAAATGCTATTATTGTATTTAAATTAAAGAATAGATCGATCTTTGTTTTGTTTTAAGGAATAAAATCCTTAGGTCAACTGCTATTCAGTGGATCTGCAGGTTCTATTAATATATCTATTCTTCTAGTTCATTATTCCTATTGATTATATATATATTATATTAGTTATAATAAGTGCCAAATTACATTGTATATTGAGAAAAACACATCCTTTTTTCCGTGTATTTATTACTATCAATCGCAATGTTCCCCACGTCAATCATGAACAGATTTTTAATTATTTATCGCATCAGTTTTGTTTTTAACCTTGTAAAATTATTTTAAAATATTAATGTATTACTTATCTGTTCACTGGAACTTAAAGGGTAATTTGTTTTTTTTACCGAATAAAGTAGTTATACTTCAATTACTTCTTCAACTGCTGTTGTTAAAACAAGTATGGTAGTAATTGGTTGAAAAAATGTTTCAAAATGTAAATTGATTTTCCTATTTTTGGGATCGTTGAAGTGATGTAATTTTGGGTGTTAATTTAGAGTCATAAATATACATAAGACTTACGTGTTAAATTTCAAAATATATTACAAAGTGATTTTTAGTTTCCAGTGCAGATTTTCATTGCAAACATTTGTAGTAATTTTTAGAAATGTAATTGTTATCTTTTCTCTCATTCATTTATGATTTGTTTTTTTAAAAAACAGGTTTAATTTATCATGTAAGAAATACATGACTTTAGTTACAATCTGTTTGGAAATGATGGTCAAGAGGCAGTCAATATAAAACTCAGTTAATAACATTCTAATGTATGCTGATGTTTCAGTATAATTTATAGTAGTATATGGTACAGACTCCTTTTTATCGAATTATTAACATCCGCCTGAAACTTTGTAAATAGTTTTATCTCATCGTAACCTACAACTATTTTATTTACAAAAACTCATGGAATTGTTGGGGTGTTTTCAATCTGGAGGGGCGCAAACTTTGTCTATTCAATTATTGATTAAGTATTATTGAGCCATTTATTGATCTGCACTCCCAAATTTTTAAAATAACGAGATTCTATAAGACAAACTATAGAATATTTTTGTAGACCACCTTTTGTATCGATTTTGTGATCAAATTATCTTACGGTCCAAGTAGAAAGCAAAGGGGTATTTACAAGTTTTTAGTACCTAATGAAATAGACCAAGTTTGCCCCCCTCCAGATAAAAAACGCCCCAATTCCAAGAGTTTTCGTAAATACAATAGTTATAGGTTACGATGAGATGAAACTATTCATGAAGTTTCAGGCGGATATTAATAATTCGATAAGAAGGGGTCTGATACCACGGACTATAGGCGTTATTCGAGAGTACAAACTATAATGGAAACATTATGTGTTGATTTTTTTTTTAATAAAAAAAAATATAATGAACATCCTGACCATCATCTCCAATGTTAAGTATAATTTATTTATAAAAAAGTAATACCTGAGAATAAGTAAAGACTTGTAACTGAGATTATCTTACAAAATATCGAAGAAAAAAAGACATATGACATGTTATTTGCCTTATTTAAATAAGGTTAAGAAACAGTCATTTTTCCCTTAATTAAAAAAAAAAAAAACTAGTCAAACTTTTATAGACTTAACTTGAAAATTCTAATTAGAAATTTTAGTATATGAAATTGATTTCATTTTTCATCTTCGTTAACAAATAAATTTCAATTTTTAGTGGATAGGTTTTTTTAGGGTTTATATATATATATGTATATATTTTTTTTAATTGTGCTTATTGATTTCAAACATTTCTGAATAATATGCCTTTGTAATAAATATTAACAAAAATAATTTCCTTATTTTGGGACCAACAAAGTTCTAATGCCTGTTTCGGAAATATAGTACCAAAGGCTTGCTCAGTTTTGTTCTTTGAAATTTATAATCTTTTGTTAACAAGCTTCTTATTACTTTGTGTAAGTTTAAAAAACTATACATGGGTAATTTTTTATTGATGGACATTCAACTGTTTTTAATTTACTTTATGTTTATAACTTAAACTTGGCTCTAACCCTCCTCTATAGTTTTGTTTCTATGAAACATTTTATATAAAATTGCTAATTATAGCGAGCCATAGCAAGAGTATTTTATTTGTTTAAATTTTAAATTATTGTTTATCAGGATTAAGAATAAAATAGTGCAATATATATTTATATGAATTAAGATCTGATTTAAAATATGCTCAATTGTAGGAATTTGTTAGCATTTATAAGACTGACAAAATAAACAATATTATGTTGTTTGTCACCCTTATTTATTTTAGTTAAATTTTTAAAATTAATTTATGATTTATTTTTACCTATTTAGCAATGAAACAATTTGTGAAAACTTCCTCTATATTATTAAATCAATGTTACATGTGATAACAGTTTAGAAAAATTTTAATGTTAAATTAGATAATTTATATGACTGAGGAGTCATATATTTTTCATCGTTTGATAAGAATAGTTGAATAAATTATGTATTTGTATATTTTATTAATTCTAGATTTTTGTAATTTATTGTTTGTTTTATATTATTTTATAAATTTAGTTTAGCGATGAATACTAAACTGAAATATTTCAAAATAAATGACTTTTTTTATCATTTTTTAATTTGTGCATTATTATCTCCTTTGATTGATATTTTTAGTGCGCACAGAGAATAAGTGTTCTGAGAGTTCATGTTCAGATGAATAGTTCATGTCTTATAATCTACATTTGGAACACATATTAAATGAAATATGTGATATTTAATTTCGGTTTCCATTTATTCCCAGGAGGGAGGATTTCTATCGTTTTTGGGTAACTAACTAGTCAAAGATTTTAATTTAGTTAGTATTAAGTATACATATTGAGAATATTGTTATATTAATGAAGAAAACAACTAACGAGTTCATTAAAGTTGTATGTATGTGATATAATCAGACTAAAAGTATATTGATCTTAAATATTTCATTGGATAAGCACAACTGAGGCTGTAGTGTATTATAAAATAGTAATTAATTAATTTCAATTTTGTCAATTAACAGTAGCTTGAGAATCATAAGTTCATTTACAAATTTTGATTCGAAAAATGGTAAATATTCCTTACAGATCATCATTAGTTTTATACAAGAATTATATGTATTTTTGATAACTTTTTTTCATGTTTTTAATATGTTGCTATTTTTCTAACTATGGTACAATTTCTTTTGAAAGGGGAAAATTGTGATATATCTATAACACCAATAAGTGATTTAGTTGCGATTACTAATATTGTAGTTTTGTGTTTTAACTTGGGTTACCTTTTCACTAATTTCCTTGCTTTCTTCTTTATTTTCACTTCGCGATTCCTGCACTAAAATATGCCTTAACCTATCTACAGAATCAGCCTCATCAAAAACCAAACCTAATTCTTTTAGTTTTAAAATCAAATCTTGTTTCTTTAATTCATACACCCACAAAGTACCTTTCTTCATTACTTTTATCCTCGTCGCCAAATGTTAGGTATTTGAATATTAAAACACAAAACTACAATATTAGTAATCACAACTCTTTTATGCACATAAAAGATAACACAGTTAGGTTACTACAACTAGATCACTTATTGGTATTATCAATATATCACAAGCTCCTTCTGTATTAGCAATGAATTCATGGCAACTATTTGTCAAAAGTTATCAACAAAGAAAAATAATCCAGGTACTATTATGAAGTAAAATCACAATTATAAACACCTCCATATTTAAACACCACTTAAAACTGTTTGAAGACTTCTGTTGTTTCGGGCTCTGGGGAGCACCCAGAAACATCTATTTCCGTCCATCATGTGTGACTTTATTTCTGCCTGTATGTCATTCTTTGAAGACACCATATACCATAATAATTCAAAAAAATTATTTTTTTTTTTATTTAGTAAAAATTCATGATTCGATACTTTGGTTTATAAAAAAAAAAAAAAAAAGAAACAAAATTATCTTAGTCATTTTTAACTGTATGTTTAAACAAATTTGCTTTTGAATTTTTTTTTCACCCTAAGTACAACAGTTTTAAAAAATAAATAAATAAATAGTGTGTTTTATTTGTCATTTTTAAAACAGGTATACAATTTCACATAAACCTTTCATATTATACCCATATTATTACTGTTAAGCATAAGGAAAGGTTCTCGATCTGGATCATCAATTACTGCTGCTTCATCTTTTCTTCTATTTTTTCTTTTTTTATCTCTAAAAAACATTTTCTTGTTGAAGCCCCAAGACTCATAGTACACAACTTGGAAGTAAGCATCGTGGTCTCTTTCACATTTTTCTCTTACATTTTGATCTACCTAAAAAATGAAATAATAAAATAAAGAAGTGCACATATTTCTCTTTTCATGCAAACAATTATTTTTAATTTTAATTCAGTGTTAAAAACAAAAATGTGTTTTAGTAGATAATCATAAATTGAACTGTGTCTCAGTATTCACTCACACTAAAACACACTGAACTATACAAACAAATGAGCAACTACTGTCATTGCTTATCGTTCATTTGTTTATCAGGTGATTAAAACCTATTATTTAGTATTAAAAACGTTAAACTTTGTACAGTCAGTCTTAATGTAGTAAATATATAATAAATCTTTAACCTTTGATATTTGTTTAATGAATGAGCTTAAGATACATGTCAATATGAATGTTTTTTTGTTTTTTTTTGTGTTAGTGAACATATACCTAAAATAGTGCCGTGCAATTACGAAATAACCTGTATATGCAAATCATAGGAAACATTCAACAATCCAATATATTTTACAGTTAAATATACTTACTTTATTCAACATTGTTAACAGATCAGATCTTTGACAGTCACTTCTGAACACAGATATACATTCCTGGACAAACCAAGCCCCCAGTCTTGTGTCTCTTTGAGAAACATATCCTGTAATATTTTAACTCTCAGAATTATATTTTTAAAAATATGTTTAGAATAGAATTGAAAAATCAACTTTATTCTGGAACTAAATCTCTTAAGAACGATCTTGCACATTCAAATTAACATTAAATCTAGCCATAAGACCTATTATAATAACTAATAAATACAAGTATATCAAAGATGTGATAAAGAAAGCACATGGGCATTAGGGTCACAATACTACAATACAGCTACTAAATAATAATAAATAAATAAAATTGAAAAGAACAGTTACAAGCAAAATGTAGCATTTTAAAAAAAAATTATATATGAACCACAGATAAAGAAAACCATGTCACATATTTGTATTTATTCAGAAGGGAGGAATCTTTCCATAACTTTTGATTATTAATATTTGTTCCATAATTACTAAATTACTTAATAAAAAAATGGACCTGGTGTCCATTACCTCTGGAGCACAGATATAAAAAAAAATGTATATATGTAGGTGTATATAAGCACTGATGGACAAAATTAACGCACCACCTGCATTTCTTCAATGTTATCCGCTTTATTCAAATTTTGAGGTTTCCCAAAATTTTTATATGATAAAATTAATCATTAATAACAAAATTTTATTTTATTGTAATAAAATAAGGAACATCGTAAAAGAAAAATTTTTCTCTATTTCTTGAACTTCTAAAAAGCAAATTAAAAAGAAAACCAACATTTTTGTAGACTATGACGGATATATTTTTTTTTTTTGGCCATCCCTTCCTTGCCTTTTTGGCTATAATGGGTTTTTTCCCTGACCAGGAGAGAGGGCGGGGTATTAATGTTAGAGTTAAAATCCCTCTTTGATAAGCAGAGGGACACGGACAGGATTTCGAACACTAAGCTTACATTTATTAAGCATTTTTCTAGCATTCATGATTAAAATCAACAAATTTCGATACTATGGTTTTGCATAGCTTGTTGCCTAATGGACCTATCGTCTTTTGCTTCTTTTCACCTATACTGACCCTGTCCTTCTCTTCTAGAGTGTTGTCCAGTCTCTCTAAAAGATTTTAGAGCTCTTCCGACAGATTTAAGGTGAACTATCAGTCTCCGGGCGATTTCAGACTAGCTGTATTCTTTTTCTATCAATATCATTGTTTCCGACATTACCACATGTACCACCTCTGGAGTTATGGGGTTAAAGATAGACCTTAGATTGCAATGGGTAGTTAAAATCATTGTCATGAACATGTCCATTATACAATATGTTAGGTATGATTTACACAATATAGATTCTAATAAATAAGTATAAAATTATATTAAAGAAGGTATAAATTTTGCTTGGAAGAAGTTTAAAGTAAAATAAAACAAATTACCTGGAAGAGTTGGAAACACTATCAACAAATCAGTCATTGCAGGAACGACATGATTATTATTATTATTATTAGTAAAGGTAATCATGTCAGGAATGTTGACAACGATTCCTCTATCTCGCAAAGAACCTCTGAAACAATGAAATGTATATACAAACCATTATCAATGTTTTGTAATTGAATTTTTAAAGATACTTATCCTTTATGATAATAATTTAAAAAAGATTATTGTAAAACGTTTAATTAATTTTTGTATATTATTTCCATAGCATGTATGATGTGTATTAGACTATATTCAAAATGAATGAAAGTTTAATTGTTATACCACTAGCTTGAAAGAAGAATGATTAAACTCAAAATATATATTTTTTTTTAGGTTTAGAATCATCATAATTGGTCCCGCATAATCTCCTTTATTAAATCATTGGGACGACTATGGCCAGCAGGAGGTTAAACAATTACAAACAATGATTCATGCGAGGAAAATTTTATGGTCACTGTAGTCAAGGGCCTTATGGGAGCGTTTTGTTTCATATTTTCGAGGAAGAATTAGATTGGGAGTCACTAAACTTCTCAGAAGATAAGTCAGAGATGATAAAAACACACCTATCAACCAAGACATATATGTTAAATTGAATATCATTGAAGACAATTAATCATTGAAAGTAGTTATAGCAACATTCGGAGAAGCTCTGTACTACAATAATACATAATGACTTAACAGTTCATAGTAGCAGAGGGGATGGTAAATAGAATTCTCATCTTCTTAAGTCTAAAAAAATCTTACCATTTTTTCGAGCTGCTACATATTTCTTCAATGCAAAGTGTGCACATTTTTATTAGGAAGGTACAGTAGTGTGAAAAAATATTAAAAAAAGCGATTTTTTTGAAAAATGAATATGTATGACTGTGTTTTTAATTTGCTTATCTTTAGGTAATTTTATTTTTTATGTACATAGTTATTGATTATTATTAAGTTATTATTTTACTTTAGTTAATTTTATATTCTATGTATATATGATGTGAATGTGTTAATATCTCACTATAATTATTGTCCACGTGACAGACTATTATATTTCTAAATAAATATTAAAAAAATTAATAAATAAAGAATAATAATTGACTAAGTAAATCAATCATCTTACCGACAGGCCTGAAAAAATATTATTTTAGGTTTATTGATCAACCTGCAACAATTAAAGGAAGAAAATTGTTCTTTTATCCAGTCAGAAGAAATATATTGATCGTCTGTCGTTACAATCTTTACAGCGCGAGGATTTGTTTCGTCTTCTTTCCCATGGCTCATTATAAAAACAATAGCTGAATCTACACAAGCATGTTCTTCCATTTTCGCAAAATCTGTTATGGCTTTTTGGAAGGACTGGAGAAAAAAAGATTAATATTAATTTCAACGTCCCTTTGTTGAAATCATTTGCTTTAAGTATTTTTTTTTTTTTTTTTACCGTTAAACCCAGATTGTAATATTCTTTTATTTGGTATCCGAAGTCTTCCCACATTTCTTTAAGCATGGTGTAATCTCTTTGTGATCCGAAACGTCTTTGCTCCATTCCATTTCTGAACGTTTCGTTGTTTATTAGGAGTACGTAGCCTCGTGGTACAGACTTTACTATGTATTGCAGCTGAAACTTCATATAATTAGTAATTTCATATTATAAGGCATGTAGCTGAAAAATTATGTAATCAACTGTTTTATTAATCATCATTTATTTCAAATAAAAAATTGTATCAATAATATTAAAGTCATTCCATGTCAAATCAACCAGGGCATGACCCAGAGAATCTTGAATTTTTTGGTTATTTGCTTAATGCATTAATATAAAGAAAAATACAAAATTTTATATTTTTAGGACTTGCGCTTTTTGAGTTATAAATTTTTTAAATAATAAAAAACCTCAAAAAACCTTTTTTAAAAGCTGAAACTGGTATAATATTTTTTGGTTGTTTATGCTTTTTATTTTTATGTAAGACATGACTGTATTCTAAAAATATAATAATTGTGGGTTTATGGTTGACTGTAGTGAATAATTGAAGAGAAGGATGGTTGAGTGTTTAGCCAAATTGAAATGGTAAAAAAATTATTTACTTTTATTTATTTTTACATTTGCCGACGTTTCGGCCCGAAGTTCATGCCTTCAACAGGGCTACTGTACAAGAAGTAAAGTCAGAGTTTACTTGGTATGACTTTACTTCTTGTACAGTAGCCCTGATTAAGGTCTGAATTTTAGGCCGAAACGTCGGCGAATGTAAAAATAAAAATATAATATTTTTCTAAGAAAACCAAAAGCTTTATTTTTGAATTTTGTAAAAAAAAACCTTTTGATTTTTATTAAACAATTATTTGTTATTCTAACACATAGTAGCTAAAGGTGTGCCAAGTTTCAAAGTGGATTAACAATGGACTTCAAAGATAAAAAATTTTGACCTAAAATAAGTACACTAAAAATGCCGCTAAGTTTGCCAATATTAAAATATAGACATTTTTTATTTATACATATATATTTTTTTATTTAAATGTTACTTACGAGTAAGTTTATTCAAAGAACTACAAAAACTTCAATACAAAATTTACAAACCACTGTTTAAGTGTCTCATGTCTTGTGTATATTTTTAAAAATAATGGTTGATTAATTTATTTCTTCACTGGCTAGTGTATATGTCGCCTCAGTCGTAGTCCTTGGGTCAACCTTTTTCAGTAGAAAAAGAAAATTCCTTGTGAATTCAGAATTAACAATAAAAGTATTAAATTAATGACAAATTTGACATATCCTTGATATACACTTTGATAGAAATTTAAAATTTACAAGACATTGACAGAATCAATTGTTAATTCTGAATTCACATGGAATTTTCTTTTTGTACTGAAAAAAGTTGACCCCAGGACTGAGACTGGAGGGACAAACACACTAGCCAGTGAAAAAATAAATGAATCAACCATCATTTTAATAAAAATATATATAAAATAAGAGACACTTAAACAGTGATTTTTAAATATTGTATTAAGTTTTTGTACTTTGTTGAATAAACTTACACGTAAGTAACATTTAATAAAAATTCTTATTTTTTGTTGGGAAGCTGTTTAATTTTCTTTGTTGTTGGCAATAAAAACTTTCAGGTATAAAACAAATAATTTATTTGATATAATAATTCATTTCAAGTTATGTTTCGGGAAATTATTCCCATCTTTCTTAGCAATTCATAGTGCTCCTTTGTCATAATTTAAAGTTGTTTGCCATAACGGATCTAGGATTTAATTTTGGGAGACTTCAGCCCCATAGATTTTTTTTTGTAGGTATATATTACGATAATTACTTCGGAAGCAAGGAAGAAACAAAGTAACTATATGAAATGGTGTTAAAGTAATTCTTTGAGTCCTACTAAATATAATTAGACCAACAATAATACTTATAGAGATAATTTTTTTCCTAAAATATGGTTATATTTTACTATTTTTGGGGTGGTTAAATCCGCCTGTGATTGTTTGGTATTACATATAATAACAAAAATAATATCTGGAGCATCACATATATGGGACTAATAATTGGGTGTCTGCTAGCTACTTGGGGATGTTATTGAATACAAAGAACTTTAAATTATAACAAAGGAGCACACCAGGTTTTAGCCAATAATTGCTATGAAAGATGGGAATAATTTCATGAAACGTCAACTTGACACGAATCTAGCAATATATGAATACATGAATATAGAAAATAAACTATTTGTTTTATAGGTAGGAGTTTTCATTGTCAAAAACAAAGAAAATTAAATAAAAATATATTTTTATAAATTTAAATTAAAAAATGTTTATATTTTAATACTGTTTGTTTTAATACTTAATAAACAAATAATATTTTTAATACTGAGCTTCCAATGCTAAACGTCCCAGGTTCGAATACTGGATCATTGTAAAAAAATTATTTATTCTGTTTCATTGGTTGTGGGACGACCCTGGGTCGGGAGCCTCTCCTGAGGCACACCTAGCCTCTTTAAAGTGGGTACCCTTAATTAAATAATTGATTAAGGGGGAAAACCTGGCGGTTGAGCGTGATCTCGGCCAAATCACCTCCTTGCACAACCGTTGACCTAGAAACAGTGCTTTTTCTAAGTAGTACTGAACCCAAGACCCTTCATGGGTTGTAGTGGTACAGGGTTTTTTTTTATATTTTAATATTGGCGGACCTTGACGGCGTTTTTGTACCTATTGTAGGTCAACACTTTTATCTTATGACCTTATTGTTTCTCCACTTTAAAATCGGCATACCTTTAGTTACTATATGTTAGAATAACATATAATTTTTTTGATAAAAATCAAAAGGTTTTTATTTTCTTCTTCTTCTTTCTCTACCTCCTTCGTGCCTTTCAGCGTGGAGGTGCCTCGATCATTGAATCCCAAGCATTTCGGTCCTGAGCTGGAGCCCTCATATCCCTTATTCGCATACCTCTTTTCTGCCTGATCTTGGAGATGTACTCCATCCACCACAATCTAGGTCTTCTTCTTGGGCACTTTCTTACAGGCCTCCCCTCCATGAATTTTCGTGGTTTATGGTCTTCGTTCATTCGGCATACTTGCCCAAACCATCTCAGCTGCCTCTTTTCTATAGAATCCTCTTGTTTTTTCATTCCTGATCCGGTCTCTCATGGTTCGGCTAGCTACCCTTCAAAGAGTTTTTTTTTTTCAAAATTCAAAAATAAATATTTATATTCGCAATAGCACTTACTTCCATAATGCCCTTTCCAATACTCCTGACTCCAAATCCAAATGGAAAATATTCCATAATCTATCCCTATCAGAATCCAATAATCTCAGTTCCTTCCCTGTGACTCCAGATGATCTCAATGACCACTTCTTATCCTTCTCTTCTAATCCTTCTCCCACTTAGAATATTGAGAATTACAATTTTAATCCCAAAGACTTTTTTTCCTCCCATGTCTCTTACGATGAACTACTTGCCACTATCCTAAAATCTCATACCAATGATTATGGCCCTGATAATATTTCAATAGCTTAATCTGATAAAATGCAATAGCTAAACTGAAAAAAGAGGGGAGCTTTTAGGCTGAAGCCTCCTCCTCCTCCCCCCCCCCAAAAAAAATGGTAAAATATAATCAGGGTTTATGAAAAAGATATTTAAAAAACCATTTCTTAAAGTATTATTGTCTTTAAATCATATGTCATTTAATAAGACTTCAAGAATCACTTAAACACCATTTCATATAAGTAGTTATTTTCTTTCTTTTTTTTTCAAAAGTAATTATCATTATATATATATGGAAAAAAGCTTTCCGGCTGAAGTCCCTCTCCCTCAAAAATTAAATCCCGGATCCGCGAGTGATCTGGAAGAATATTATGCCTCCACTTAGGTTATTAGATGATCTGAGGAATAGGTAGCTTTGCTTGACATGGCGCTCCAGTGTATACGTTCTCTGCTCCGCACGTCAACGAAAACTAAACTGTACAAGAGTAGGTTCTATCACCTTCAAAGGTCATTAAATTGATCTTCGATTCCTACATGGCTAACTAAATCTGAGCTAGCTTTGATGAAGAATTTTATAAGAGCGAGTAAATATTGACATCTTGAATAAGGAGTTGAGCTACTGGAGTCGAATCCGGACATGCTCACGTCAGATATTCAGGTCGCAGATAGACGACTTTATCAGCGGTATTGCAGGTTAAAGTTCTGTATTAGAAATTGACCAGAATGTTCCTTCATTAATCTATCCGATGATAGATGATAAGACAGAAGAAGATCAATGTGGACCACCTATAAGTCCATCAACGGTTAATGGTCTTAGCCATGAAAGAAGACATCCGGCTCATTTCAAAAACTTCACATCTGTCATAAGCAATGACAATTAGCTGGTCTGCTGTAGGTGAGAGTACAGGTAGTGGCTTGAGAGTAGTGTTGCCCAAATGCGAGACCGAGACGAGTCTTGGTTTTTCAAAGTCAGTCTTGGTCATGGTCTTGGTCTTGCGCAAGAGTCTCGCAACAGTCTTGCAGTTACTGATTACCTTATTACTATAGAGATATTACTGTAATTTTTTAAATAGGATAAACCTAGCTAAGCCCGAATAAAATATTAGAGGAGTTAAATGCAAAAGTATATTTGTTATACCAATTATTAACATATAGTCACAAAGATTGTCAATTATTAGTAACTATTTTGCCTTAATTTTTATTTTTTAAAATCAATTATTTTTACCAGTCCTGGTCTTGGTCTAGCAACAGTTAGGCGGCCTTGGTGTTGGTCTTGCAAAGTGAAAGACCAAGACCGATTTTGGGCAACACTACTTGAGAGGAATGCCCAGCGGCATCTCTCCTGTCTTGATTTTAGCATCTTTTTAAGCGTGAGGAAATCCCTTATCCAGCTCCTTTTGAACCTGATAAGTGTGTTTTCGAGCATGGTAAATGTAGCCATATTTTGTATTAGTGTGTTAGTATGTCCATGTATGTTATTGTAAAATCGCTTGTAGTGTGTCCGTATGTGATTGTTAATTATGACCCTAAACTTAATAATTTGGTCATGTGGTATGGTCGGTAGTCAGGGCCAACGAACACTCGTTTTACCAAACCCATCAAAAACTGAGAAAATTTATTATTAATGGCGCTGCAACTTGCAAAAAAGTTCTTAACGAATCCCCATTTGAGACATACAAATGATCTATATTGAAACTGTTAGTACTCAGTGGACGTTGAATTTGATGCTCTACAACTTTTATCATATGCATTTTTTCTCTTAGAGAACTCATTTCCAACCTGTAGAATCATTAACAGTATTTATTTTCAGTTTTTGACGGATTTGGTAAAAATCAGCGTTCGTTGGTCATCGACCATACCACTTGACCAAGTTATTAAGTTTTGGTACTCATTTGACGTACAATTTAACTTAAAGCTTTATGTAATGTAATGTTTGTGAGATACCATGGTGCTTTAGTTATGGACCTGAAAGTTTTGGATTGAAAAGTGTGTAAGTTTTCGTATGTGGGTCGTTTTGGCTGTCCCGTAAATTTGTGGGTCCCATGTCATTCTAATGTCGAATGTCAGTCCATGATATTGTACTTTGTCTGTTTGAGGAATCCTTGTAGAATCTGAAAATGATAACTTTAAATCACATGTTTTGTTTTTATAATTATTTGTCAAGTTTTTTAGTGCTAATTAGAAATGTATGTTTATTAAATCCTCTAATTCAACTTGTTCTTTTCTTTTTAAAGTTTCACACAGGTTACCTCCCCTTACTTCTTCAGATACTACTCCCCACCTCTGGACATATTTGTAAGAGACCCATGATTCTGCGGTCTATACATCAGTTTTTTTTTTTTTTTTAAGTCATTCTAAAGTTGATGGACTTTATTCAAGTAACTATAAACTATTATTCTGCAAGGGAGCGTTAATAACTCGCTTGAATTTTAATAAATTATACTTTAAGTTCTTATCATTGCGTGAATTATATTTACCCTTTTTCTGCTAATATCAAAGTTCCAGTCCATTGTAGCTGTCAACTGGAGTTAATTCATTAGCTCCTTTTAGCTCCCTTTCTTTCTTCTGTGCTGAATATCAAGATTGAAGTTTAGTTTAAATAATTTAAAACACTGACAAAAGATATATTTCACTTTATTTTACCATAAAGTCTCTCGGCATCGCTTTACATTTCTTTCTTCTCATTTGGCTGACATATTTGTTTTTCTGATTTTTAAATTGTTTCACTGGTAAAATCACATTTTGATTCCGCAATCATTATTTTTCTAATATATATAAAAAAAATGAATGCAATGAAAAAAAATTAAAGGGTAAATACTATAATCTTGAATTCATGATTTATTTGTAATCAAAATGAATGTTATATCCAAGCAATAGCATATGATTAGACCATGTGATAGGAGTTACTAAGAATATTTCCATTTATGCAGTAAAACTTCTTATATATAGTTTTTTTAACCATGTTCTTACAAAAACCAGGGTGGAGCAAAGGTGGTACTTGCCCCAGAGGCAGGATTTGGGAAGTACCCAATTTCCAACGAAAGTTTATTTTTAGGTTAACAAAAAATATCTTTTTCTGCATTTAAATTATTTTTCCGTCAATTCAATCAATTAAGTAAGTTAATTTTATGAAATAATAATATTTATCACAGAAGGGGATGAATGAAATTAATATTGCCCATTCAGAAAAAATGCAAGTTTATGAACAGAAAAGGCCCTGCAGGTTTTAGGTCTTGAAAACACGAGAAGGTTAGAAGGAGAGTAGAGTACATTAATCTTTCAGTGAATATTTAAGGATATATTTATGTTATACATACACTATTCAAGCACACAGCTCGCGGAGGACAGATTTTTGGCTGACACTCCACAAATAAAACCTTTTTATTTTATTGAAATTTACAACTGTATTACATGGAAAATACAATAAGTAAACGTGACATTGGTAACATGACATGTACAACATGAAGAGGAACTACCCAAAGGTAGAATTCAAATTAAAGTTCTGTATTAGAAGGTCCCGAGGCCATCTTCTTTTGGTTTGAAACGAGAGGATTCGGATGGTTCTGCAGTTTGTTATGGAAGGATAGGTATCTGGATTGGGCCAAATCGGAAACATATGGAACATTAAGGTCTTTATGGATGATTTTATTTGTGACAAAATAGAGAGCATTGAGGATTTTACGAAGGATTTTGGATTGTAGGGATTGGATACGAGAGGAATTCGATGGTTCAATGGAGCCCCAAAGCTCAACCTCGTAAGTCCAAATAGGTCTTATTATTGTCATATATATGAGTCGTTCGTAATTGATTGAAAGCTTAGAGCGTTTGTCTAGTAAGTGCTGCAGTAGTCGAAACACAAAATAAAATTCACTCCTCAATACTTAAATAATCACAATATATACTCTTTTCCAATTATAACATAAACACAGCTAATAAAAAGCATGTTAAGAAAAAATATATATTCACAATTTATCTAAAACCATTATTATTCCTTAATATTTTTTAAAAATTGTATTTTGATATTTACATATTTTCCGCTTAAACATCGTTTTATACTGCTCCTTTCTTTTTCACCTAGAATGATACCGTTATAATTAAAAAAAAAAAACTTCCTAATTAAATCTTGGACCCGTTACTGGCACAGAGTATGTACCTCAATAATTTAGATACGGGCATTTAGTTGGCTGTTGAAATTGATACGATGAAAAAAGTTATCAAGAAATGCAGTTAAAAATGCCTTTAATGAGTTAGCCTACGTTTCGATCAAAACCTGTGGGTCATCTATCAGGACATTGATTTGATAGGGCAGTTCTTGTCTGGCTTTCAAACCAATGCTCTGATGAGGATCCACATTTGTGGGTCGAAACGTCGGCAACTCATTCAAGAAATTTCTGACAGCACATTCTGACAATTTTTATCATACTTGTAAGTATGAAAAAAATAAGTATGGCGCAAGGTGCGCCATCAAAATTTTTGAGAAAGGGCACATTTTAATGGGGTTTTGAATCTTTGAGATGGCACATTTCGACGGGATTATAAATTTTCGAAATGAAAAGTTTCAAATTAAAAGATAAATGGTTGCATGAAAAACACTGCAGAATGTGTAATTGTATGTAGTCTACGAATATTTAAATTATACTTTTGTTTGCACTTTTTAAACACAGCTAATAAAAAGCATGTTTGCAATTTGTTTGCAATTTTTAAGAAGAGAATAACAATAAAATATCTTGAGAGAGGGAGATATATATATACATACAAATATCGTTAAAGTAAGTTTATAAAATATTCATTTTATGGGCAAAAGGCAAAATTAACTTACTCTACTTTCATTGCATCTGCCCTCATATCGTTGGTCCAATCTAAAGTGGCGAATCTACAAAGGTTCAGTTTGTAGTTATTTGTTAGAATCTTTTCTAAGATCAAATAATAATAAAAACAGTACGAGTAAATCTAACTGAATTTAATATGAATACTACCACTTTAAATAAAAAATCCGCAACCATAATTTCAAACTCAGTAAATGTTCAGATACGCCACTTTAGCACTGTACCTACATGGTAGGTACATCATCAGTGACAGGGAGCATAATACACAAAATATTGTAAAACTGAATTTAATATCTAATACATCTAACCTTAAGTATGTCCTTTTATTTAAAATTCAAAAAATACCCAAAGAATTTTCTTGCGTAAAGGTACAAGAAACAATCTCTTAAGCATGAAGATTTGTTGATACGATGTATATCCTCTTTCTTTTCTTAATACAACAGGTAGGTATGCCTGCATCTAAGATGTTCATTTTCATTACTTTTTTTTTAAAGATAATTTTAACCAATAAAAGTTATTAACTTACAAATGAGGAACTAATAAGGGTGATTTAATAATTTCGGAGAACTAATAATATTACTGAACGCTCTGAAAATAGGAATTAGGGCGATGTCTGAATTAGGTATTTTAAATTATTAATTTAAACCACAACCTTGCAGGTTTTAAATTCTTTTCACTGTTTAAATATGGTTAAAAAATCTTTAAAATTCTTCCCTATTCTAACGCGAACATGTCTACTGATATAGTTTCGAGTTTTACGGAACTCCAGCATTCTTGAGTAGGATTTATCAAATCTATAGCAAGTTCCTAAAATCAGCTCTAAGCTCACAGATGCCTGATTTCAGACAGTTTGAAGATTGATCTGAAGTCATCGATGAGCTGAACGCTGAGTTTAGGTACTCTTTCCTACCTCTTCTTACTGTTTGTTTATTTACTTCTATGGCTTGCTTTTGAGTTTCTTGTAGGAATGACCCGTAATTTTAAAAAGTTTGTTTCTTTTAATTTTTTTGTTCCTCTGATCTTTAACATTTTCGCTTTAATTTCCATTTCCTAATGTACTTGCATATATTTCAGTAATCTAGTGCTTAATATGATCAATTTTTGCAACGAAGGACTTGCTGAAATAGATTGTAAACATCCATCCTCTGATGGATATTCTGTCAAAAACTTGATATCTCTTGATGGAAATAGAAAAAAAGGATTTCTCGTAGATTACTTTGTTAAACCACCTGTGGAAATTCAACTTAAGTTTTCTTGCAGTGTAAATGTGAAAAAAATTAATTTAAATTGTTCTGTAGGATTACAAAAGTCAAAAGTGTTTCACATAGAATCAAAAACAAATAGTAATTTTCAATCTGTCGTTGCAAAAGGCAGTGTAAATACAAGTGAAAAGTTCCTAGTTTTCCATATGCGAGGTGTGCAAGAAAATGGACATGGTAAACATGAAACATTTTATAACACGAGAAATCTATGTGATGTGATAAATCTAAATATAAAGATTCTACAAACAGAAGGCTCCACAGTTCCTGCATTGGGTGGTTTAGAAGTTTGGGGTTATGTTTCCTTTAAAGTTCCAACACCCATTAAAAGTTCAGTTTTAAAATTGTGGCAAGACATTCAAGCTCCAAAGGATACAATTAAACCTATAATTTCAAATACTATTTCTGTTTCAAAAGAAGAAGAACATAAGGTTTCTGAATCATTCACTGTCCCTGAAGAGTTCTTAGACCCTATTACCTGTGATATTTTCACTATACCTATGATGTTACCCTCAGGAAAAATTGTTGACATTATTACATTAGAAAGGTTCTATAAAGCAGAAGAGAAATGGGGCCGTGGGCGAAGTGATCCTTTTACAGGTGTTCTATTCAGTGACAGTTCCAAGCCAGTTGTTGCTACATCGTTAAAAGAAAGATTAGATCAGTTCCTTATGGTTAATTGTAATGTACCAGTTTTGAAAAATATACCCCGGACAATTGGGAGAGGTGTATCTAAAAATTTATTGGTTCCTATTGAAAATAATTACTATTCGTATTCCTCAACTAGCAAATGTAACCCCAATCCAGGGAAACGAAAACTGAAGGATATAGACAGTCTTTTGGAGCACTCATTGAGTGGTTTACCGTCTTTCCTTGAAACTTCTGTTCCTAAGAAACAAAAGATAGAATGTATGAAATGTAATAAAAGTGAGTTGCTTTTCAAGTTGCTTTGTGATCATTTTATTTGTAGATGCTGTTTAGTATCACTTAATAGAACTGATGACAACAGATGTAAGTGCGAGGAGAAAATAAATTTCTGTGATGTAATAAGGTATCATATAAATACCTGATATACTATTATAAATTATTTATTCTAATATGTTTCCACTACAGAAATATATTGGCTCGATTGCAGAATAGTTAATATATTTTTGATTATTTTATTGATTTGTGCTGATGGCATAAATAAGCTTGTTTATTCATTATAAATTTCTATCACAAATCAATAAAATAATAAATATGTAATAAAGTATTTTTGTAAATATTTTTTGTTATTTTATTATAATTGTTTGCTTTTTATACAGATTTTTATTTTTACGTTTAAAAACGAAACAAATAAAAGTTTACTGATGATTTACTTGTTTTTCTCTTTGTAATCAATGTATCTAAAACAAAATAATAAATAAATATTAATATACTCATCCCATTATGTAGGTTCCTAGACTCCAGTTTATCGTTATACCTGCAAGTCAGATATGAGAGCATACCACATGTTAAGCTGCCACATTCATTTTTGTCAGTGCTATTTTAAAAATGAGAATATTTGAACTTGCTTCTTATAAATATCTTGTACTATGATTATTTTGAATCATGATAATTTTAAATTTTTTCATTGAAGGACAAAACAATTATAAAATATAAATTTAGCTGTAGTGACAATTAATGAAAATATAAATAGTGGCCCACCAGATCTGTTTCTGTTGATATTTAGTGTACCAGTTACTTTGTGTTCAGGTGTAAATTGTTTATCTCTCTTGATTTTAATTACAAAATTCAATAGCTTCTTTCTAATTCCATGGTTAACATTATATCTATGAGGCTTGAGTAGACTAACAATAACTAATGATTTGAAAAAAATTCTTGGAGATCTCAAAGAATTAAACTTATGATTGGGACCAGACAAAATTATTTATCATACTAAATAAAATTCAATATTTCCTTTGGATGAAACCAACTAATTTTACTCTTATTATTACAACAGTGATTATTATATAAATAACCTAGATCGGGGATAATTGTAAATGACCTGTTTGGCAGCAATTGTAAGTATTCCTTCTGTATTGTCAGTAGACTAGGTTATTTGCTCTCGTGAATTTAATTTTCTTAAAACAAAAATCCCGGCACTGGGTATAGACTTTTTGAGGGTGTTTACTGTTGTTGGGAATTTGGGAACCTGATGCTTTTGTGACACCGAGAGACAAGAAATAATAAGAATATATATATATATATATCTGAAATGTGGGACTTAGTAAAGACACTTTGAATGAATTGACTTACTTGTTATTCTTCGATTGTGAGGCATATAGGACAACTGAATAAAAGAACTTTTCACTCCTGCATAATAAAACAATTTATTTTTACAACTGCAATAGATGAATCTATTAAAGTGATATAACTGTAGGCTTGATATTCTTAATCTTCAGTGTATTAGGCTTCTCTTCTCAGGTAACATCCTTTCTTCTTCCTCTCCCGGCAATAAGTGTTTTCTTTTCTCTCAGTGTCCTTTAGCTGCTGCCTCCTGCCGTCCCTTTTCCAGACTTTTTTCTTCTTCATCGATTGTTTATCGATATTAGACTTCAATGAACAATTTATCCACTGCACAATTGAGTACAATTCATAGTGCAACCCTACATTCCCTTACTTAATGTCATATAAAGGAGTAAATGCTAGAGACCATCTACTACAAATGTATTATAAGTAATAGAAAATTATTATCTATTTTTAATTTATAATTGGTAATTGGTTGACTGTCGTGGATAATGAAGAGAAGAATAGTTGGGGTGGTCAGTCAAAAAGGTAAGGCAAAAAATAAATGAAATATTTATTTTTTACATATGCCTACGTTCGATGCCTGAAGGTTCAGGGCTAAGAAAATAACCCGATAAACAAGGTATGAGAAACATAAGTAGTGGGTAAACAACATAAAAATAATAATAATAAAAAATAAAATAATAAAAATAAATTAAAAGAAATTGTTAGAATAATGGACAAGAACTAAAGATAAATAATAATAACCGTTACCAAATGTGGAATGATGAGTAGGCATAATCAAAAAGGGTGACATAAGTGTTACAATGGGAATCTTTAAAATAAAATGTAAAACATCAAAAAGAAATATAAGAAATGAAAATAAATTTTTCATGAAATTTGAAATATTTTTCAATTCATGAAAAATTTATTTTTCATTCTTTTTTTATGTTTTGGCATTTTTATTTTAATGATTTCCCATTGTAACACTAATGTCACCCTTTTGACATTATGCCTACTTCATCATTCCACACTCTGTAACGGTTATTTATTATTTATCTCTTAGTTCTTAGTTCCATTTATTCTAACAATTTTCATTTTACTTTATATTTATTTATTTTATTTTTTTATTTTTTATTATTATTTTTTTACCATCATTACTTATGTTTCTCATACCTTGTTCTGGTTATTTTCATAGCCCTGACGAAGGCCTGAACTTCAGGTCGAAACGTCGGCATATGTAAAAAATAAATATTATCATTTATTTTTTTCCCTTCCTTTTTGACTGACCACCCCAACTATTCTTTTCTTCATTATTTTTAATTTACTTAAAATTGATTTATATTTTCAAAATGATTTAAACAAATTGTATTAATAGTTTATTGTTTATGACTGTAATGACAACACAGTTGTAGGTACCCCTGAGTGATATGTTTTTCTGTATCTGCAGCAGTTGCCCAAATGAATGCTTTGGATCCATTAGGTCGGGAAGGAAAAGCAATATTTATTCTAATCTCAGTCGATCAACTGTTCAGTTTAAATGAATTATAATTCCAATCTGAAGAAACAGAACAATGTCAAATCAATATAGTAAATTAATTTTAAAGGAAGAAGATGGTCCGGTGTTGCGGTCATAAATAGGCTAAATAGTGGTAAAACTATTTAGCCTATTTATGACCGCAACCCCGGACCATCTCCTTCCTTTATAATGTAACGGTCAACTATTAAATATTCAATCTAAATTAATTTTAATAATAAATTTTACTTTACCTACATTTTTTTTCATACTAAAATAACTTCAGCTTATAACTTCTTTTTAAAAAAAACAACAAGATTTTATGCTTTTAAAGTACAATAAAAAAATCTTAAAATATTGGATGTAGGATAGGAAAAGACTAAGATACGATTCGTACAATGAGAGGAAATATAATATGGACTATATTAACATATAATAAACAATTATTTTTTAAAATAAATCTAATCTATAAGAGGGGAAATTTAAAACATTGTGGGGTTAAACCTACTTCTTGAGTAGGAAAGGTATGTAAGAAAGGAAGATAACAAACTGTACTAAGGAAGCTGCCAGACAGAAGAGAGAAAGGAGAGGATGGTGGCTATACTGAAAAATGGGAAAGAGCCATTTTGTGTACACTAAAATTTAACCTAATTTAATCGCAGGAATGTTCCGTTATGCAGATTCTATAACATTTCACTATTACAAACACTTATATCTAGAGCTATGGGTGATAAATATTCAGGAAGCAGTCATTATAAAGTTTTTATTAATTGAATTGTTTGGCGACATTTCAACCCTAACATGTGGGGCCCTGATCAGGGCTGAAAATTTTTAATACAATTAGAGATATAGTATTATACGACAGATAATGGTTAATTATAAAAATATAGTGATTGATGATATATGAAATATGTAAAAAGTTATACAAACTAAAAATAATGTTTTTTCATATTTGAGGCAATAATACTTCCAATTTTCTTCAAATTTTTTTAATTACATTTGTTGTCTCATGTTTTGGGACAATTTTCTCATCATCGAAGCAATCATCTTCACTGAAATTATGCACATTTTATATTAACTTTTATTTAACAATATCATTCTACTTCATCTACTGTACAAATATTTACCTTTCTTTTTTTTCTATTAAAATTAAAAAAAAAACAAGAATAGCCAAAAAAGCACAAAAAACATCCATAATAAGAAATAAGAGGACAGGTACAAAGTACAGAAATAAAACTAAAGATAGCCAGATGTTGATTAGTGTATCAATGAATATGTAAAGATGTGTAACACCAAAAAATGTGACAAATATTTGATTTTTGACAAATGGTGCCACATAAAAAAAAGAAAGGTAAATAGTTGTACAATAGATGAAGTAGAATGATATTGTTAAATAAAAGTTAATATAAAATTTGCACAATTTCAGTGAAGATAAAGATTGCTCTGATGATGGGAAAATAGTCCCGAAACCTAAGAGACAACAAATGCAAGTGCTGACTCTTTAGTAGGTAATTTAGCCAAACAATGTTTATAATACAGACAATATATTGAAATTATAAGTAGGACAATATAATAGTCTTTTTTTATGATTAATATTATTAAAAAATGTTGTATGATATATTGTCTGTATTATAAATATTGTTTGCCTAACTATTGTATACCTTCAATCAAACTATGTTATGGGTGATAAATATTCAGGGCGCAGTCTTTTTAAAAAAAACTAAGACTCAGTACTTGAAAGCCTTCAGTGCTCGAACCACACCCTGAAGATGACCCACATGTTTGGGTTGAAACGTTGGCACAAAAAAAAATTTTTTTTTTTAAAAAGACTCCTGAATATTTATCACCCATGATATGTAGAACAGTTGACTAGCTTCATTCAATAATTCATCAAACTATGTTATGTTAATATTGATTGGCACCTCTTTCTTATGATTATTACTAGCCAATAGTCACAATTTTGTAACTATAAGAAACAACGCAAATCTTGTATACATCTTAAATAATTTAGTCATCAAATTATTTAAGAGAAATGTTACCAACCTTCTCTTCTGACTATTTTTACCTACCTTTTGCTGACATGAAAAACCACATCTGGGAAATCCTTCCCCGACCCTTTTACTTACCTACCAAAGAGTCAGTACTTGAATACCTTTAGTGCTCGAAACACGGTTAGTAAGAGAAAATATTACATGTTTTATAAATTGATTATATACATTATTTTTAACTTCTTATTTTTCTTTTTTTATTAGGAAGCCTATGTTTATAATTTTTTCATATTTAAGGCAATAATACTTCCAATCTTCTTCAAATTTTTATAATTACATTTGTTGTCTCTTAGGTTTCGGGACAATTTTCCCATCGTCAGAGCAATCTTTATCTTCACTGAAATTATGCACATTTTATATTAACTTTTATTTAACAATATCATTCTACTTCATCTATTGTACAACTATTTACCTTTCTTTTTTTGATGTGGCACCATTTGTCAAAAATCAAATATTTGTCACATTTTTTGGTGTTACACATCTTTACATATTCATTGATACACTAATCAACATCTGGCTATCTTTAGTTTTATTTCTGTACTTTGTACCTGTCCTCTTATTTCTTATTATGGATGTTTGTTGTGCTTTTTTGGCTATTGTTGTTTTTTTTTTTTAATTTTAATAGAAAAAAAAGAAAGGTAGTTGTACAATAGATGAAGTAGAATGATATTGTTAAATAAAAGTTAATATAAAATGTGCATAATTTCAGTGAAGATAATGATTGCTCCGATGATGAGAAAATTGTCCCAAAACGTAAGAGACAACAAATGTAATTAAAAAAATTTGAAGAAAATTGGAAGTATTATTGCCTCAAATATGAAAAAACATTATTTTTAATTTGTATAACTTTTTACATATTTCATTTGTCTATTTCATAAATCATCAATCACTATACAATATTTGTATTATTGACCATTATCTGTTGTATAATACTATATCTCTGATTGTATTAAAAATTTCAACATATATATAATGATGGTGACCCACATGTTTGGGTTGAAACGTCACCACTAATAAAAACTTTATAATGACTGCGTCCAGAATATTTATCACCCATGATATGTAGAACAGTCGACTAACTTCCTTCAATAACTGCTAAGAACTAAGGTGGAAAATAATGTTTTAAAATGTTTAAAGTGTTTAAGGCACTTATTATAAGTGCTCACTCCAGGATGCTTAACAAACTCTTAGTAAAGATTTGTATCACATTACCATCGGTCTAAAAGTTATTCTGAGATTATGGATGTTTGTGGTAGTCTATTATCTTGCAGCTCAAAAACCATTTCTTATGAAACTCTTATATGAATAGGGAAGATAAACATAGGAAGTGTATTAAATTGAGGATCAAGTTAGAAATATTGATAAAATTTAAAATTTGTGGGATAGAGGCTGACTTGTCAAAGACGAGGACAGCCAAGTCATGGATTGAAGGAATAAAATCGTAAGGATACGGAGCAGCTTGAGAGATAATAAAAACACATATTTTTGGTTTCCTGTTTTGATACAGGTAAATTATATTTATATTACAATATTAATAAAGTTGATATTTATAATTTCTATCACAGATCAGTTTACATAAATATAATTAATACTTTTGTCAACATTTAATTAATATATTTTTTTAAATGTTGAAAAATAAAAGAAGAGAAAAATTGCATTAAAAAAAATAATACAAAATGAGCCATAATATGAAATTTGTGTAGTACAAAGTTTTTGAGCTTGTATTATTCAATTTAATTTTATGTTTTACAAAAATACAAATATTTTTAAAATTTAATAAAAACCATAACAATTAATAAATATTATAACAGCATTGCAGTCTTTTATAATATTTTGAAATACATATCACTCATTAATACAATATATTTGAAATTAACTTCTGGTCGGAATCTTTCGGTGGAGTAATTAGTCGCAATAAAATGTAATATAATAATATCTACCAGTTTTAAGTAAATATGAATAAAAACTATGGAAGAGTAATAACACAACAATGATTTCAATTCGTTAACACTAACTGACGTAATACATTCATTTAATAGTCTGTTGAATATAAGAAGATCAAACTTCAAAATTATTTTAAAGTTTAAAATTAAGTGTTGATAAAGCATCTTTTTTTACATAAAGGTATAAAATAGGAATAATTATTTTGTTAAATATATACCATTCTTTTAGTAAAAAAATCATAAGATTTGGCACTTCCTTTAAAAAATTAAATACTTTTAATACAATATTATCAAATCATGATTAAACAGTGAACGAATCAAAAATTAAAATTATTAGACGACTAGAACGAGACAAGCACACTAAATTAAAAATTTTTTGGCAAATGTGTTGTCCAAAAACCATATTTTTGTCATAATAAAATTAGTATATTTAATGAGTGATATCATACTAATTATAATTTACTAATTAATCATCTAAATCCTAACTTATCTTTCTTCATTTATGAATTTTCATCTAATATAATGATTTAGAACTATTTAAAATCAATTAATAAATAAAAAGTCTTCATTTCATCACAAGAATATATAGGAATGATGAATGTATCACAACAAATATTTGTATATAAATAAATCAAAGTTGAATGTACTGTACATTAATATATCCGTTAATAATATATACCTTTTCTAACCATTTGCCGGATCAAAATCCATCACTAAGAAACCCTTTCGAGACGCATGTCTGGCTGCCATTTGAACGTAGGAAACAAAATAATCCCTCACTTCTGGATTGAGATAAAAGAGCAAAGGCTCGGGATCGAGAGAAGGTGGCGTTGGCGGCAATGGAGAACCTAAAGCCCTTTGAGATTCTCTAACGTATTCTGTTATTCTTTTCTGAGACAATTTCTCAGCCTATAATAAAATTTAAATGTATTTAAAATATATATTAAGAGCCATTAAGACTAAATGTGATGATTAGAAATAGCTTTACTTTAAGAATATAATATGTTCAAATTAATTTTCATTAGTCTCCCTTAAGAAGGGCGCTCACTTGTCCGCTCTTGACTGCCTTGGCCCGACATTAAAAAGTAACTTTGACTGAATAGGTAGCGAGCCCACTCACTTGTCAGCTCCATGTTTTTCGAACCTATTCAGATTAGCCTTTTTACTACAAATAAGGACTGAAGTCGAGGCCTACATACTACATTATATTCCGTGGTACAGACCCCTTTTTATCGAATTATTAACATCCGTCTGAAACTTCGTAAATAGTTTCATCTCATCATAACCTACAACTATTTTATTTGCGAAAACTCTTGGAATTGGGGCATTTTCAATCTGGAGGGGGGGTAAACTTTGTCTATTTAATTAGGTACTAAAAACTAGTAAATACCCATTTCCTTTCTACTTCGATCGTAAGATAATTTGATCACCAAATAGATAAAAAGGTGGTCTACGAAAATATTGAGCTGTTTGTTCCATATACCTCGTTATTTTGACAATTGGAGGTGTAGGTCACGCCAAACGGCTTAATATTTTTGAGGGCCACCTTTTTTCTCGATTTTGTGATCAAATTATCTTATGATCCAATAGAAAGGAAATGAGTATTTACGAGTTTTTAGTACCTAATTAAATAGACAAAGTTTGCTCCCCTCCAGATTGAAAACGTCCCAATTCCATGAATTTTCGTAAATCATATAGTTGTAGGTTACGATGAGATGTAACTATTTACGAAGTTTCAGGCGGATGTTAATAATTCGATAAAAGGGGTCTGTACCATGGACTATTATCTTTGTAACAAATGTCTATTTACTCATCAACCAAAAATGTATTTCTAACATAAAATTAAATTTGCAATCTGTTAATTGCTTTGCAATGGGCAAATTTTGTTGACGGCTTCTTAGCGTCCCATCGCCGGATATAGACCAGCTTGACACATGTACCTCATGATCACCGCCTCCGTAATCGTCGTGAGGGGCTCTAGGGGTGTCTTATGTGATTAAGAGTTTGTCAGAGAATTCATATTGTAAGTACCTATGCGCTTGAAGAAAGTTATTGTAATTTTCTTTTGCAGCATCTTGAATTGTTAGTGTGTTTAAGTCCTTATGTATTATTTCAATTGCGACATAAATCGGTACACTATCCTTTGCAACACTTTGGACTGAAAAGTCTGAATTTTCTTAACGTTTGAGGATTTAGAAGAATCCCTCAGTTCTATACCGTAAATCCAAACAAGGAGAAACCAAATTGAGATTGGTTTATGCTGTCTGGAAAAAACATCGAATACGAATTTTCATATCAAGAAAAAAAGAAAGAATTTTCACTTAATAAGTAAAGTGTGTCCAAATATTTTCTTGATAAAATAACGGTGGATTCACATTTCTGTTTCCTCTAACACATTAACCGCACTCTTTTATTTTCTACATTTAATGTTTAAGTAAATATAAAATATATTGAAAGAATAATAAAGAATATTGAAAACATGCAAATTCATTTATGTTTTCCTCAAATGTCCAACAATGATTATGGTGGAATTTGGATCCCTTGGCAAACACTAGTATATCTTTAAATACATAAAAATAAATAAATATTTTTCAATAATTTTGTATAGCTACTGCTCTTTTATCTAAAATTGGTCAATATTTTCTTATCTTGATATTCATGAATAAATAATGTCTAAAATAAGAATTTCCAATGCTCGAAAAAAAAAAAAATATATTGAATTTTATAGTAAGTTATCTCGCATTACATACTATAGTGTCATTCAATTTTGTATTTTCATATATTATTTCTAATAATTTTATATTCATTACAGACATAATGGAGTATATTTATTAGTGATGCTATAAAACTAATAAACCAGGAAATAAGGTTAAAAATAAAGGAGTTATACAATTATGACCACAAAAATCGAATTTGGGACCGCTGTGTGGCCTAGTGCGTGGACTCGCTACCTATTTAGTCAAATTCACTTTTACAAAAATCATTCGCAGGTGTTTTTAGGCTAAATCCGGAGCGGACAAGTGATCGCCCTCCTTTATTATATTTATCAGATAAAAACCTGTAACATTACAACTCATGAAGAGTTTTAGGTTCACTACTTTATGACAAAGAACACACTCAACAGCCAGGTTTTCCCACTTATTAATTTGCTTAAAATACCAATGATAAATATTTTAGCGATTTATATATTTGTGCTCAAATTCTCTAGCCCCTGGTTCAAATCCGCATTATTTATTCAGTTACACCAACAAATTTAAACAAATTTTTTATAAGTGAAGTGTGTTTGTAGAATTATTTGTAGTTTTTTTTTAAATCTTAAACTATTATTGATTAAATAAATTAAATTTGTTATATTAAAAATTAATAAATTTAAAGTTTTATATAAATACTTACAATATCCGAGTTTGTCTGCTGATAGATAAATATTAGGGTAGGATCCCTTTTATCTCCTGTAATGACAATATCTGTAAGGAGAAATTCTTTTTCTCCATTATTGGGAAAGACTAATTTTAAATAATTTAATGTTAAGACAAGATCACAGGGTTGCAGTTCTCCGCTTGTTGCTTCAACGATCAGAAGTGTCCAACTTCCATAAGTTAACCTAGAATCACGTCCAGAAGTGATACTGCCGGCAACGTGTTTCGTCTGTAACATTTTTGAATACTATTTTAATGAATATCATACACCATTACATGTATACAAGTTTTATTTATTTATTTATGATATTTACAACTGTATACAAAAAATACATCTGGTAAATTCGCACATGGATATAATGACATGGAACACATGTTGAGAAACTACCCATTGGTAGCACTCTATTAATATGTCTATATTAGGAGATCACGTGGCCATCTTCTTTTCAGACGCCTCGGAGGGTTATCAGGAATTGAATAGGAAGCAAGGTTAGAAACAAGAGGGTTGGGATGGTTATGAAGTTTATTATGAAAGGACAGATATCTGGATTGGGCCAAATCTGATATATAAGGAACATTAAGGTCATTATGGATAATTTTATTTGTAACAAAGTGAGGAGCATTGGGGATTTTACAAAGGATTTTGGATTGTAAGGATTGGATGCGAGAGGAATTTGACGGTTTGGTGGAGCCCCATAGCCCAAATGTATACTAGTAGTTAATTAATTTTTTACTTTCACTTTCCTACATATGAAATATATAGTAAAGGAAAATATTGAGATCGTGAAAATTTCTGAACTTCAGTTTTCAACAGAAATACTCGTTTTGAGGTCCTCTGAGTCCAAATAACCAAGTCCCGCAAAATGGTCTGTGTGTGTGTGTGTGTGTCAGTCTACCTCAAAAACGAAAAGTTGTACAAAAGTGAAATTGCATATTTAAGGTTTTTACATGCTAGGGATGTTACAGCAACTTTTTCGTCAAAATCGGCTAACTGGAAGTAGCACTTTATATCATGGACTAAACACATTTTTATGATATTCTCGAAAAAGGGTTTAACAATTTTGATTAAATTCTTTATATCAGTGTAAAATTAAGCATTTTAAAATAAAATGTAGTTTTTATTCCGATTGATGTTCTCTAAAAGGGCTTGAATGGCTAATTTTCAATATTAGCTTCCCCTAAAGTACTTTTAATTTTTTTTATTTGAAAAAATTGATTACTATAACCGTATAATCATAAATCTTCAAACAGTAAAACTTGACTTTTAATTCAGTAGGCCGATGATATAAAACTATATAATTAACGTTTGTCAAAATGGTGTACACCTCAGAATATGAAAAATATAGGTCTCTTTTTCCTTTTCAAGTATAGAAAGATTCTAAATAAGTACCAATTTCCTAAAAAGATTCAAGTTATGATTATGAAGAAATATTTTTGAAATTACCTTCAATACTTGCGCCCATCCTGCCTCTGCAAGAAGACCTTGCGTAGTAACAGCAACAAGACTTGCAGCACCAGATAAGGGGCGGGTCATGGCACCAACAAGGCCACGACTCACGCTTCCTACAAGCGATCCACCGCTTCCCATCGCATATTCTAAAGGCCTCTGAACAAGTCCACCAACTCCGCCTAGCAAACTCACACCTAAAAAATAAATACAAAACTTTTAATAGCTTATTTTCTAGTATTAGTACTTCTATGGAAACTTTTTTTGTTTTTTTTAATGTATTTATTGAAATTTACAACTGTATTACATGACAAATACAACAAGTAAATCTGAAAATAGTGACATGACATGTACAACATGAAGAGAAACTAGCCATTGGTAGCACTCCAATTATAGTTGTATATTAAAAGGTCCAGAGGCCATCATCTTTTCAGGAGCCTCGGAGGGTTATCAGGAATAGAAGAGGAAGGAAGGTTAGAAACGAGAGGGTTCGGATGGTTCAGAAGTTTATTATGGAAGGACATGTATCTGGAATGGGCTATGGTATATTAAGGTCGTTATAGATGATTTTATTTGTGACAAAGTAAGGTGCATTGAGGATTTTACGAAGGATTTTGGATTGTAAGGATTGGATGGTTTGGTTGGAGGAATTTGATGGTTTAGTAGAGCCTCAAAGCTCGATACCATAAGTCCAGATAGGTCTTATTATAGTAATATATATAAATATTTTGTAAATAATTGGAAGTTTAGAGAGTTTGTCTAGTAAGTGCTGTAGTAGTCGGAAACGTCGAGCAGTTTCTAGTCGTTTCAGTCTGGTATGAGGATTCCAAGTGAGTCGTTTGTCCAGGTGGAGTCCTAGCTAACGAATTTGTTAAACAGGGATAAGTGGGATATTGATAAAGGATACTATAGAACAGGAAGTCATAGGTTTACGACGAAGGATAAATGTAATTTGATGGGATTTATTGGAATTTATTTTAATCCTCCAGTTTTGACACCATTCTTCAAGACTTGTGATATGTGATTGAAGAGTTTGGGATGCAATAGATGGATCGTTATTAACTGATAGGATACACATGTCATCGGCATAGGTGGTGATGACAGTGTTGTCTATGGAAATATTTTTGTATTTTATTATTATATGCATTTCATGACTCTATCCTTTGTTTCTCTTGGCTCTATTCTCCCCAACTCCATTTTATCCGATTAATTTTTATTTTCGTTCATGATGATTCATTCCCAGCAGTTTTCGACTCCAGAACTAACGGCTATGCTATCATTATATTACTTAGTAACTTGTAAAACTTTATTCTTTTTTGAAATCCATGAGTGAAGAAGTCTTCAGAGCCCATTAAATGACAGATTCTGACATTGGACTTATACTGAATTTAATCAAACTAATGAAAAGATGGAACAAATTTCCCACCGATCAGATTTCGAACATAATATTCTCTACTGAGTATATTAATTTTATAATTCAGAGAATAAATCATTCTCCTGAAAAGGGCGAATTCTAATCCCCTAGCTTTTATAGCAAAGAAATATATCAGATTTTTTTCATGAATTATTGATTAATTGTTAACAACAAAAATTAACTCCTTTTATAAAGATTTGGCCAACTACATTATTTTTAAACATTAAATTTTTAATTCTTCCTCTATTTTCAACCACATTTTGAAAAAAAAACAAAAAAAAACACTTGCTGTTGTTTCAGTATTTTCAGAGTTGTTTAATAATCCCAAAATTTGTCAATCTATAAATAATAAATAATAATAAAAGGCTTAGTGAACCCGAAGGTTCGATGCCGACACCACCAATTGCTTACTACACATCTCCCTCCACCGTTCGCAGTCCAAACCTAGTCCCTTTAGATCGGCTTTGATGCAATCTTCCCACCTTTGCTTCGGTCTACCCCTCGGACGTTTACCATTCGGTACAGCAAATATTAATCTTTTAGGAATTCTCTCGTTACTAAGCCCAACAATTTTACAAGCCCATTTGATTCGCCGGGATGAAATCACCTCAATTACATTACCCGGATATAGTTCACGCAATTCTGCGTTAGAAATCTATAAAAAATAGATAAAATATGTAAAGATAAAATGAATGACTGTTATAATACACTTACAGTTTAGTATACAAAGGTGCAATCTGAATCTTTTTTGGAAGAATAACCTTAAACTTATATATGCAAAATTATAGTACTGTAATTAACCCTTTCTATAATAACCCAAAAAATAATAAATAGATAATGACATTATCAAATTACTGGTTTTTTTTTTTCAAGCAATGGTGAATTCACAATAATAGTTCACAAACATATATAAAGTAAAATAAAAAATAACTTGCCGAATTCAGTTAATCCCTGCTTTAAACCTTCAGCTAATCCATGAGGACGCATTCGTCGCATTTCCTCAGCATACCGCAGATCTTCTTTGTCTAATGTCAGACGGTCAAGAGTCCTTGACCAGCTACCAGCCAGTTTTGTAACACAGCCCAGAGTACCTTGAAATTCAATGAAAATAATTATATTTTTTAAAAATAATTTACGAAAATTAAGTTCTTCAGCTAAGATAACAAAATGATAGATTGGTGATTCTAAGATTGCAGGATGTTACTAGGTCCAAAGAAAACTTGACACTTCATGAAGGTTTCATTTACTAATTTTGTACATTAATATAAAGAATAGATCTTAATAATTTTATATTTGGAAAGACGTTCGTTAATATTAGTTATGATGTAAATCATTTAAAAGTTTCAATCCTGAAAATTTCATTATTATAACTGTCCCAAGTATCATATAATTAATTTAATTTTCTAATCAAGGAGAGCCCACTTTTATGATTATCCTCAGAAAAGCAAACTATTATTTAACAGTTTTAATAGTATACTTTATAGTAAATAGTTTAAATAAACCAAGCAGTAAGTAAAAAAGACATTTCCCATAATTTGTACTGCTGTAAGCGTAGCCAAAATCACAACTAGAAAAAAATAAGTTCAAAAAGGGAAATTTTGATAAAACAATGATAGTGGAAAATTGGTGATTTTATGGTAGGATTTAAGCTCTTGCGGTTTCCTCCCAATTGAAAAAAAAAATATGCCATTTTGAATGATAAAATATCATTACCGAAACCAAATCTCTGTTATTACCGTAGCGATAATGAATTGTAGATATGGTAATGATATTCATACTTAAAATTATTAATTAGGTTGATTAAAATTAAGAAAACAATAATTACAGTTAACATTAAGTAGGATAGATTTTTATTACGATTTAAAAAAAAAAAAGGAAAAATTTATTATATAAAAAAAATCAACTAAACACATGTCAAACAGGAAAATTATTTTAATTCTGCCAAATGACTCTATTGCTAGGCCATAATTCGTACATAAAAATGTGGTGTAGCGTGGATTGCACAACTTTCACTTTGTTCACATAAGAAACCATTTTGGGAGACCTCTGAATAATCGGATTCAAAATTTTTAATGATCAAAATACCTTCCCTTAATATATATATATATATACACTGACAGGCGAAAAATTCCACCCACTTGATTTTTTCATGTTTTCATCTGAAAATATTTCTGCCTTGGATTGGTCTATTGTTTTCAATGAATAAATAGGTAATCTTTTTGTTTGTTTTCAATTAGGAATGTTAATATAGAGAACAATAGCCCTTAATCCTTAATTCAATGAAATGATTTTAGATTCCAATGTTTCCAAGATTCCAAAACGAACCATTATTATTCTAAAAGAAATTAATTACATCATCGTTTAGTAGCGCGTGTTTCCTCCTCTTGCCTTCACTACTTCTTGAAGACGCCTCAGCATACTTTCCACCAGTCGGGAAATGTCCCTTTGCTGGAGGATAGCCCATTCCTCCCGAAGAGCCCTTTCAAGGTCCTGCAGTGTATCAGGAAGTGTTGCACGCGCTCTTAATCGTCTTCTGAGGTTATCCCATAAATATTCAATGGGGTTCAAATCTGGAGAACCTGTTGGCCAGGCTAAAATCTCAATATTGTTCTGTTGAAGGAACGTCTGCACTATGCGGGCGACATGTGGGCGTGCATTAGAATAGAACGATTGCCGATTTCGTTGAGGATAGGCAACACATGAGGTTCCAAAATCTCATTTACATAGCGAATGGCCGTCAAAGACTCTCCACGAACAACAACCAATTGAAATCCCAGTCCACACCATTAAAGAACCACGTTGGAAAGGTTGGCTCTGGGAAAAATTACAGGCTGCATATCTTTCATTTCTTCTTCTCCACATCCTTTCACGCCCGTCTGGAGATCGAAGAGCGAATCTTGACTCATCTGTAAAAAGTAGAGCACTCCATTCATCCACAGTCCAATGGCTGTGTTCTCGAGCAAAAGCTAGCCGTGTTACTCTGTGAGTTCTGGTCAACTCTGGTCCTCGTACTGGACGAAAAGCCATTAATCCATACTCATTTAATCTTCTCCGAGCGGTACGTTCAGAAATTTGCACACCTCGAACTTCTTCGAGCTGATGAATCGCTTGAACAACGGTAATGTGCCGGTTTCGTAAAATTCTCAAATTCATCCCGTGGTTGTTACCCTAGGCCGTCCAGAACTGGGCCTTCTATTGTAAGAACCAGTTTCCCGAAAACGCCTGACGGCGTCTCGTAAAGTTTCATATGGAACTACGATGGCATTAGCTGCATATCTAATGGAATGTCCATCATCAATAAGTGCCACACCACGCGCAACATCCTCAGCACTAAGAGGCATTTTTAAACTTAATATTGAAAAAATTAAAAGCCGGAGACTAAGAAATGTGCTGCAAGAAGCTGCACTGAACTAATTAATGATACTGAATAAACATTTTGATTCCATAGAAAGTAAACATTGGAATCTAGAATCATTTCATTGAATTAAGGATTAAGGGTTATTGTCCTCTATATTAACATTCCTAATTGAAAACATACAAAAAGATTACCTATTTATTCATTAAAAACAATAGACCAATCCAAAGCAGAAATATTTTTAGCGGGTGGGATTTTTTGCCTGTCAGTATATATATATATTATACAGGTAAGTGAATGTAAAAATTAAAAAAAACAATGCAGGTTTTATTGATTGTTTAAAATGACCAATAATCTTTGAATCACCCATACAACACTAACCTTAACTCATTCATCAAAATATGTATATAATCAATAAATTTAAATAAAATAGACTTAGTATTAATGAGATATCAAAGTTTTCACCTGCAGTGACATGCCTCATAAGGGAAGCAGAACCATGGAATACACCAAACAAGAACCCGGCAGGTCCGTAGGCCAGTCCTTCGCAAGGCAGGCTGACCAGGGAAGACAATCCAGCTCCGAGGCTTCTTGCCAATCCAGCCGGAGCTCCCAGAAGTTGTAACGAACCGAGAGCCCAACCTATCAATTGGCAACTTTAAATAAAACTACCATACTCCGTATCATACCAGTTAATTTATAAGTTAACAATTTTATTGAAACAAGGGGTTCATGATTTCAGAAAACTTTATTTTTTATGGACAATTAAAAAGATTATTTTATTTATTTTTTTAAAAATGAAATTTACAACTGTATTACATAGAAAATACAATAAGTAAATGTGACATTGATAACATGACATGTACAACATGAAGAGAAACTACCCATTGGTAGAACTCAAATTAATGTTCTGTATTAGAAGGTCGAGAGGACATCTTCTTTTCAGACGCCTCGGAGGATTATCAGGAATCGAAGAGGAAGCAAGGTTTGAAACGAGAGGATTCGGATGCAGTTTGTTATGGAAGGATAGGTATCTGGATTGTGGCAAATCGGAAACATATGGAACATTAAGGTCTTTATGGATGATTTTATTTATGACAAAGTAAGGAGCGTTGAGAATTTTACGAAGGATTTTGGATTGTAAGGATTGAATACGAGAGGAATTCGATGGTTTAGTGGAGCCCCAAAGCTCAATTCCGTAAGTCCAAATAGGTCTTATTATTGTCATATACATGAGTCGTTTGTAATTGATTGAAAGCTTAGAGCGTTTGTCTAGTATGTGCTGCAGTGGTCGAAAACGTCGGGCGGTTTCTATTCGTTTCAGTCTGGTATGGGGGTTCCAAGTGAGTCGTCTGTCAAGGTGGAGTCCTAAGTATCGGATTTGTTCGACAGGGATAAGAGGGCTATTGTTGAAGGATACTGTAGGACAGGAAGTCATAGGATTACAGTGAAGAGTGAAGGTAATTTGATGGGATTTATTGGAATTTATTTTAATCCTCCAGTTTTGACACCATTTTTCAAGACTTGGGATGTGTGATTGAAGAGTTTGGGATGCAATAGATGGATCGTTATTAACTGATACGATACACGTGTCATCGGCATAGGTGGTTATGACAGTGTTGAATTGGGTTGGGATGTCAGCTGTATAAACTGTGTAAAGGATAGGATCTAGGATACAATTAAAAAGATAAAAAATATTATTGAAGTTTCCTAAGAAAATATTAGGAAAAAGGACTTTGTGGCTAAATTAAGTATTTTAGGATATAAAATTATTTTAAATAGATATCTACAAGGTATAATAGCACAACCTGTCCCATAGATGGCTCCAAGAAAATAATGTAGAGTTAGCGCATGTCCTAGCCGATATGCAGATGTAACAATATCAGTCCGTTTAAACTCAGCAAATGACAAAGGTGACTGGTCGAGAGCTATATAGAACCTGTTCCAACAAAATTATTTAAATAATAAGAAAGAAAGAAAACCTATGATCTATATATCAACCAACAGAATTATATATATATATATATATATATATATATATATATAATATATATATATATATATATATATATATATATATATATATATATATATATATATATATATATATATATGTATGTATATATATATATATTGACGGTTAAAAAGTGATAACTCGTAACTGCCAAAAAAGTGAATTTCATTTTTCGACATCAGTAATAGCAATCTTGAAACTGAATGGTACAAAATGCAGAGTATTTTTAATCAAGAATGGTAAACATGAAAAATATAATCTCATGACATTCAGTATCTGATGAATACTCAACTTTCTTGATAATAACAAATATAATTAATAAAGATCAGACAAGAGAATAAACAAAACCATAGATAATTGTATTATAATAAGCTAAAACTTACTTAGATGAAGTATGAAGAGACACTCTAATAGATAACGGTGATATATACAATGAGGATAGTTTCAGTGGCCTTGAAAGTTCAAAACTTGATGACAGAAGTTCATTTGAAAGAGGTACGCGATTATATTTCTCTAATTCATCATCCAACTCATCATTTTCATCATAAAGGTTGAACTAATAAAAAAAATATATATAAATAATTTTAAGAAATATTATATTTATTGAAATGAAATGAAAAAATAATTTTATTCTGAAGAATAACAACGGAATTACAAATTTATGGGTCTTAGTCTGACTTAGGATAATAAAAATACAAATTAATTAACTGTTAATTGTTATTGCAATTGTGCAGTAGAGTGAAATCAAACAGTGTACAGATACAAGTAATTTTACATGTTTGCGGAAGTTTGAATTTGGAGTAGGTGGTGGAACAGGAGTTGTTTGAAGGAATTTGTGGAAGAGGATTGACGTATGGAGGTAGGAAGAGAATTCCATAAAGAAGCAACACGAATGATGAAGGATTTGTTGAAGGAAGAAATTTGATGGGAGGAAATATATAAGTCTATAGGTTGAGACCTAGTATTAAGAGAGTGGATAGAGGAATGTAGAGTAAGGAGTTCCAGAATGTAGGGAGGATTTTTGGTTCAGAAGACTTGGAAAAGGAAAACAACAAGGAAGAATTGTCGTCGGGAAGTAGGATAAAGCCATTTAACTCGGTGTACCAGAATGATACATGTGAACGCCTGGGGATCCCGAAGATATATCTTATGAAACAGTTCATGAGTTTCTTCAGTCACATTTCTAGTCTGGCATATAGCCCTCCATACACCTAGCAGCCGTGGTCTAAGTGGAGAAATACAAGGGAGGTTACAAGAAGCTGTCTGATTTTTAGAGGAATACAATCACGGAATCTTAGGAGTTGTTTAAGTGCACTTATGGATTTTCAGGTAATCTGGGAGATATGGTTATTACAGGAGAGGTTCTGGTCAAAGGTTACTCCTAGGTTTTTGACTGTAGCGAAAAAATGGATGGGACGGTTATTGAGGTTACGTAGAGGAAAGTAAGGAAGAGAGCTGATGAGATGTCTGGACCCGATGATAATAGCCTTGGTTTTATCTGCATTCAGCTTTAATTCTTTTATTTCTGCCCATCTGTTGAGGCAGTCGATATCCTCTTGTAGCCTTCGGGCAGCCTCAGGCATCTCAGAAGATTGCAATTATTGGTAAATTGCTTTTATTGTGTATTTCTTTATCCCACCCTCCAAATGTTTACATCTATGGCTAACAATATCTCTACCAATAAGTAATATAGCTTTTAAGGAATAAAGTGAATATAATTTTAAAATAAATTAAACAAAATATTACTAACATCCATTGCAGAACTACTCGCAGAGAATGGTGACAGTTCGTCGAGGTTTGTTTCTTTACTACTATCTTTGACGATGTTATCATCACTTTTTTCTTTCAATGATATAGTCCTATCATCTTCTTTAGACTTTGGTAGCAGTTTCGGAAACATATTTTGTAAGTGAGTTTTTATTTCTGTTAAGTAAGTATCTTCTAAGAAGAGTTCCAATGGCAACATTGAAACTTTGATGTCTTCTAAAACTACAAACAATAACAAAATATTTTTCTTTTATAATCATGATAGAAATAAGTAACTTAATAAATAACTGTAAAAAGTATTATTAGTAATATCAATTGAATAGTGCTTCTGAAAATGAAATATTTGAAAGGATCTGAATGATTTCACGGTACTCCTTAAATAGTCAGTCGGGACAAAACCTTTTTATCTCGTGTTTATTTTTGTTTCTCATGTGAGCTATGAGTTATTCCATCGTTTATTTTTGTTCCATTAGTGTGATTTTTGTCATATTATGGATGTTATTACATTGTGGGAATTGGCGTCTTCAGAAGAAGAGGCTATCAAATATTTTCAAGATGCCGGGAGAAGAGGAGAAGAAAATGTACATATGTTGTTTATAGTGTTCATATTGTTTCTTTTATATGTACATATATTTCATATATCTCTTATAAAATTAAAGTGTTTTGTTATTGTGGGAATTATTACATTTCTTTTTGACTTTTTAATTTCAAATTATACTGTTTTGTTATTATTACATTTGTTTTCGTCTATTTAATATATATATTGTAAAATAAAAGCATTTTTTATTATTGCATTTGTTTTTGTTTACAATTTCAATAATATGAATATAATACAATAAATATGAATATAAAGATAGTAATTATCTTATTATATTAGTGCCTTATCAGAATTATCAGTGTTAAGGTTATAAACATTGGCAGATAGCAGTCGGTCCCGACCGGCTATTTAAAAAGATTTCACTACCAAGGCAATCTCTGATACAAAAATATATTTTAAGAAAACCACTAAGAATATATGAAAGTGAATCAGATTTAAATTCTTACATATACATTTATTGCTATTTTTTGTATTTCACTTAGCCTGAATAAGATCTAAATCCTATAACATCGAGCCTCACTTCAAGAATTCATTGATTAAAATTAATATTAAAATTAATTGATTAAATAATACATAAACCATAGTTTTAGCATTTTTCAATATAATCTCCTATTATTCTGTGGTACAGACCCCTTTTTATCGAATCATAAACATCCGCCTGAAATTTTGTTGTAAATAGTTTCATCTCATCGTAACCTACAACTATTTTATTTACGAAAACTCTCGGAATTGGGGCGTTTTCAATCTGGAGGGGAGCAAACTTTGTCTATTTAATTAGGTACTAAAAACTCATAAATACCCATTTGCTTTCTACTTGGATTGTTAGATAAATTGATCACAAAACTGAAAAAAAAAAAAAGGTGGCCTACAAAAATATTGGGCTATTTGTCCTATATAACCTCATTATTTTAAAAATTTTAGGGTGTAGGTCATGCCAAACGGCTCAACATTTTTGAAGGCCACCTTTTTTCTCAACTTTGTGATCAAATTATCTTACGATCCAAGTAAAAAGCAAATCCGTATTTATGAGTTTTTAATACCTAATTAAGTTTGCCCCCCTCCAGATTGAAAATGCTCCAATTCCAAGAGATTTCATAAATAAAATAGTTGAGATGAAACTATTTACGAACTTTCAGGTGGATGTTAATAATTCAATTAAAAGGGGTTTGTACCATGGATTATATACAATCTACACACTTTTGCCACCGATTTGGAAACTTTCAGTATTCAGTACAGCCATGACTGAGCAGGAGGTATAATTTATTTGTTGCACAATACATAATGATGAAGTTTTTAACTAATGAATGGGTTAAACCTCCAGAAATCTTTACTCATTTGCAGGCACAGTGAGGATGCTACACTGTCCCAGAATTGACTGTAAATCTGGACCAGAGAATGTAAGGGAGCATTTTATGTTTCTTTAATTTAAGTGAAATTGGTTTATATTATTCAATAATCTAAATTAAGTAAAAAGATGAAAAAAGTACACTGACAATAATATATGGGAATGAAATAGTAATTTCTATTAGATGATAGGGGAAATAGGTGTACATTAGGTCACTTTTTTTCAACGCTCCATAACTTCTAAAATAACATTGATCTTTAAAAGTTCAAAATAGAATTTTATTTGTCATGCTTTGAAGATACTATGTTAATTTTTATATTATTTTATAACCAGAATTTGACTATGAAAATTTTTTTTTTTTTTAAATAAATGACTCAAGGTACAATTATTATAGTTGTACCTTGGGCCACACTATATTGTACCTAGGGCAACTACTTATACCTAGGGCTACGAATTGTATCTTGGGCAATATTTGTTGTAATAGGAATTATAATCATTATTCAATAATAAGTATCACTTATCTACACTGGTAAGCTAACTTTTTCATGTCATCTGTTGAAAGCCTATAATATATTTGGGTACTGTAAGTAAATAATCTTTCATAATAGTCCGTGGAACAGACCTCCTTTTTTATCGAATTATTAACATCCGCCTGAAACTTCGTAAATAGTTTCATCTCATTATAACCTACAACTATTTTATTTACGAAAACTCGTTTGTTCTATATAAACTCGTTATTTTGAAAATTTGGGAGAGTAGGTCATGCCAAACGGCTCAATATTTTTGGAGGTCACCTTTTTTCTCGATATGTTATCAAGTTATCTTATGATCCAAGCAGGGAACAAATGCGTATTTACAAGTTTTTAGTACCTAATTAAATAGACAAAGTTTGTCCCCCTCCAGATTGAAAACGCCCCAATTCCAAGAGTTTTCGTAAATTAAATAGTTGTAGGTTACAATGAGATGAAACTATTGACGAAGTTTCAGGCGGATGTTAATAATTTAATAAAAAAAGGGTCTGTTCCACAGACTATAAACTTATTCCATAAAAATGATGAATCAAGGATTTATTCTCACAAGAGACATATTTTGAAGTTTTATATTAATTGCCTTGGGAAGGCCAAAGGTACATTATAAAACAGTGGCCCAAGGTACAATGATATGAATTAATTTCTTTTTAATTTAATTTTTTAGCAAACTGATAAAGTACTTTGCTTAGAACTTGCCTTCAAAAAAAGTTAGAGAGATTACTACACATCAATCGACTAATAATTTTGAGTATGTTTATGTTCTTTTTTGATAAAAAATTATTATATCAAGTAAAAAAAATTACTTTTCCAACTCTAAAACACTCTTATCAATATTATCAAAAAAACGGAGCAGATCAGAGGCACCAAAATCAGCTGGAAAGTGTTCTGGCAGTGACAAATTTCTTCTGGTGGAATTTCTTATTCTTAGGGTGGCCAAGGAACACACAATTTTTTCATTTTTTTTTTTCAGAGATCAGATAGCACATTCACACCATAAATAATATAATAAAATAACAAACCAGGCTTATTGGTAACATCTATTCCGAGCGTAATATCTAGAGCAGGACATCCATCTCTGTAAGAAGATGCGAGTGAGTTGATATCATTGCTTTCAAAATCGTTCTTTTCATAACTTCCATCTACATTACAACCACGTCCAAGAAGTACGACACTGAAGTCGTAACCACCCTTTTGATGCTCTTGATTATCAATCTGAATATCCCAAACAGAAACCCTCAAACTGGCTTTTCCTATATTTCTTTCCTGGAAAAAAATATTGATTATTTTGAGAAAAAACAATGATAATAAAAAAACTAAAAAAAAGCTAAGGTGAGTGCTTCAGACGACACGATAGAAGTAAAAACATCAACAAGGTGAGATTAATAATATGAAATATAAAAATAGCTCATTATAAAGGGGATGAAATGCTGAACATTTCCCTTGCTTACAGTATGCAGGTCTAATTTTTAGTTTCTGATATATTTTTTTTTTTATTAGTTGGCTTAAAGCACCGCGACTCTTGAAGGATCTATTATGCGCCAATTTTATTCTTAAAACATTATTTTTGTCGCTTCCACATATCTTAGTGGACTTATTGGATTGACCGACTCATAGCTACTGGGGCGATCCATCCGTTCTTCCCCAAATAGCTCCAGTCTAAGTCTTGCAAATCTATCACATTGTAGTAGATAGCCCCCAGTATTTACTCCTTCATGTGACATTGTGTGAGGAGAATCGATGAAGAAGGACGCTGGAAAAAGGTCAGAGCAGGTAGGTAGCAACAGCTGGCAGAAGGACGCCGAGAAGAGCACTTGAGGCCTGGACAAGAAGACGTCATCTGGGAAGAGAGGCTTACTACATTGAAGACTAAGAATATCAAGCCTACAGTTATAAGACTTTTATACATAAATTTATTACAGTTGTTAAAATAAATTGTTTTATCATTCAGGAGTGAAAAGTCATTTTATTTAGTTGTCCTATAGGCCTCACAATTGAAGAATAATAAACAAGGTGAGTCAATTCATTCAAAGAGTGTTTACTAAGCCTCACATTTCATATATGTATTCTTATTGTTTCTTCTCACTCAGTGTCACAAAAGGTATTAGGTTACCGAATTCCCAACAACAGTTAAACACCCTCAAAAAGTCAATATCCAGTGCCGGGGTTTTGTTTTAATATTCACGAGTGTAAATAACCTACGTCCCCGATAAATCAGCTGAAGGCTATTTCCTATTCCCGCCAAACAAATAATATTTAAAATTAACTTTATTTGGTTATTTACAACATCGACGGATGACGTGAAAGGCTGTTTCATTCTCCTCCTGACAAAATCTGCATAGCGGGTTCATTGCCACTTGGATATTGAGCATGTAGTAGTTTAACTTACAGTGGCCTGTGTAGATCGCTGTAAGCTTTTTGAGCTGCTCTGCCCATACTCAGTAGCAGTCTTTTATCACATAGACCTTTAAGGAACAGCTTCGAATGTCAGAGTTTCTTCTCAGTCCAGGATTGTTTAAATATGTTACCATAAATCTCCCTAATCCTACTTTAGGAAGTACTAAGACTGAATCCACAGACAGGTTTAGGAGTTATGGGAATAGTATCTGCACCTAACCTGGCTATTTCGCTTCTGTTTCTGAGATACTATATACATATGCAAAAACACTTCAATTAGTCGACTCCAGTAAACTTTACTCGAACATTACACATCAGAGATCTGATGGCTCAATCTAATTCACTCTCCACAAAAAAAGTGCAAAACGTGCCTAAAGATGTTTTCACTTCAAAAATGTTCGAAATGCTTAAATTAAACTTAAACAGCTCTTTTTAATTTTATTTAGTCATCTCTTATATTTTATTAAAAATTATCTCCCTGGAAATGAGTTTTTCTGAAACTACTGCAAGTTAATTCCAAATAAAGTTTAAAAAATATCTTATAAAAAATTAAATAAATATATATTTTCCCAGATCCTAAAACTTCTTCCTCGAAAAGCCATCCTATTCCTTACTTACATATATAATGCTGTACTCCGTTCTACATATTTTCCTGATCCTTGGAAACGATCTATTGTTAAAATGATCCACAAACCCAAAAAACCACCAGAATACCCATCCTCTTACCGTCCTATCTCTCTTTTACCCATCATGGGCAAAATCCTAGAAAAACTCATCTTAAAACGCCTGTACCCTATCCTAAATTCTAAACACATAATCCCAGATCACCAATTTGGTTTCCGAACTTCCCATTCCACTATACAGCAATGTCATCGTGTGGTAGACGTAGTCTCCTCTGCATTGGAGCACGGAATGTACTGTACGGGAGTCTTTCTCGACGTTGAACAGGCGTTTGATAGAGTTTGGCACCCGGGACTGCTGTACAAACTCCGAAAATTCCTACCACCTACATACTTCCTCATTATCTGTTCTTACCTTACTGATAGATACTTTAAAGTAAATCACAATAACGCCTATTCATCCCTTTTTTCCCAATCCGCTGGTGTTCCTCAAGGTAGTATCCTAGGTCCTATCCTCTATACAGTTTATACAGCTGACATCCCTACCTGTCCCAACACTGTCATCACCACATATGCCGATGACACATGTATCCTATCAGTAAACGATGACACAGCAATTGCATCCCAAATGCTTCAATCACACATCATAAATCTAGAAGAATGGTGTCAAAACTGGAGAATTAAAATAAACTCCAATAAATCCCACCAAATTACCTTTACCCTTCGTCGTAAACCAACGACTTCCTGTCCTACAGTTTCCTTTAACAATACTCCACTTATCCCTGTTGAGCAAATCCGATACCTAGGACTCCACCTGGACAAACGACTAACTTGGAATCCTCATACTAGACTGAAACGACAAGAAACCGCTCGACGTTTCCGATTACTTCAGCACTTACTAGACAAACGCTCTAAACTTCCCATTAATTACAAAAGACTCATATACTTGACTATAATAAGACCTATTTGGACTTACGGAGTTGAGCTATGGGGCTCCACTAAACCATCGAATTCCTCTCGCATCCAATTCTTACAATCCAAAATCCTTCGTAAAATCCTCAATGCTCCTTACTTTGTCACTAATAAAATTATCCATAAAGATCTTAATGTTCCTTATGTTTCAGATCTGGCCCAATCCAGATACCTATCCTTCCATAATAAACTTCAGAATCATCCCAACCCTCTCGTTTCTAACCTTGCTTCCTCTTCAATTCCTGATAACCCTCCGAGGCGTCTGAAAAGAAGATGGCCCCGTGATCTCCTAATGTAGTCATATCATTAGAGTGCTACCATTGGGTAGTTACTCAGCAAGTGTATTTATGTCATTATATCAATTATGTCCAAATTTACTTGATGCATTTATGTAATACAGTTGTAAATGTCATAAAGAAATAAATAAAAAAAATATATATATATATATTTATTAATGATTACCTTGTTGCAATCAAAGGTTGCTACTATATTCTCTAGTGATAGCACTGATATTTCTCTCCACTCAGGGCGATCGCAGGATTCGGCACAGAGCGTTAAATGAAATCCTTTAATGAAAACTGTTCCTTTGACTTTACTCAAATCTAAAGGATAAAATTTTTATCAATTCATCTTTATGCAACAATTTATACATACATTATAACATCATAATAATTATCTCGCTTAACACAATTTAAATAGGAATGTTGGTAAACTATTGATATATTGTATTTATAAAAAATATATTAATATTTCAGTCTGATAATTTTTAATATTGATAAGTCAAAATATCAATATTAAAATCTGACTACTAAAAACTGATATCCATCATCCCAAAAAATTATAAATAAAAAAAAAATTAATTTTTCTTTTTTCCATCATAATAAGTTTTTTTAAAATATTTTAATAAATTAATAATTTTTTGTGATAAGCAATACATAAATATTGAATCACTGGTTTTAAATATTGGTAAACCTGTTCCTCTTTTTTGAAAGCTTAAAAACGATTGCCAAAATATCATTTTTTTTATCTGTGTATGTATTTTTATTCAATGTTTACATTCCCGCTCTTTTGAAAGATTAAAAATATGAAGGCCCAATATACTGTAATATCGATAATTTCATATATATGGAATTACTATCTATATAAATAAAATAAAGGTTTTGTCTATACATTGAATAGAATCAACCTGTTTCATACATTGCAGACACCAAATCCACTTTTAAATAATTTTTTGTCTGTCTGTATGTCCATGTTGTCCAACTAAATTTTGTCAGGAGTAAGCTCAGCAATGGCTTATTGTATGTAGACTTTTGAAATTTTGACATTATATTAAGGTTTGTTTGACTTAAAACATAGGCTTTAAATGAAAACAAAATATTGAGTAGAACCAAAGTTATAAATTCTTGAGTAATCTGTCTAGATATCGCGGTTAAAGTTGATAATACATGTTAATAATAAACATATGTTTATAGGTTAAAGATCATCTATATAAATAAAATAAAGGTTTTGTCTGTACATTGAATAGAATCAAACCGTTTTATGATATCTTTCCGTTTCATACATTACAGACACCAAATCCACTTTTAAAAAATTGTTTTTTTGTCTGGATGTCTGCATTGTCCAACTAAATTTTGTCAGGGGTAAGCTCGGCAATCGTTAATGGTAGACTTTTGAAATTTAGACATTATATTTAGGTTTGCTTGACTTAAAATATAGGCTTCAAATGAAAACAAAATATTAAATAGAACCAAAGTCATGAATTCTTGAGTAATTTGTCTAGAGATCCCGGATAGGCAGTTACTTACTTCAATTCCCATCCTAATCTACTCTATCACGAGCCACATTTAAAAGTTGTACTACTCAATTGGTGGAAAAAATTATCACAAATTAACGGGAAAAATCCGGAATACCGAACATCTGTAATACATTGTCGCTTAAAACACGGGTAAAACACACTCATTTTTCAACTTTGTCCGTTCTTCCCGTTCAAGGTGTCGTTCAATTTAACTTCCCGGACCTAACAAATGATGTCGAATACATTTTTAGGATTAACTGAAGGGATTAGCCGGAAATCAGGGAAAAAAAATCCCAAAAATTTTACCCCGCCACAATACTCAGATCAAGTTTTAATTTTACATGGATGTTTGTGACTCAATGTTCAATGTTATTTTGTTATTATGGTTATAAACTCAGCAGAGTTTAAAGAAATAGAGAGACTACAACTCTTTTTGATTAATTAATCGACTCCACAATCTCCTCGCTTCATCCTAAATGAAAATTAAAGGACCGGTGGTGGTCGGTTTAGTTTTGTGGCACCTAAACAAATAGCCAAATAACAAAGATTTTGTTATAACTATTGCAAAACCTTGACTTCCATAAGCCCCGCCATAAAAAAATTCAAAATAACCCCTATTCCCCTTCCGGACTCAATTTTATTTATGACATTGAATTGGGACCCTCCACCCCATAATACAAAATCCATCTCAAAAATTCTCAAATTTTAACTATACATCCACCAACGACAGGTATATCAGCTAGTTTTTAAATATATTTCTAGCTATGAATATTTATATTCTTAGATTTTCCTGCTACAATGCTCTTTTTCCTATGGTTTTCTCTTGAAACTATATTTCACGATCCGATTTCCCCGTTAAAACACTTAATATGAAATTTTTTTATATATATAAAGTTTTGTTTAATGAATTTGAGACCATTCGATTGAGAGAAAACAACAGCATTATAATCAATAATCATCAACTTAATTCCTAATGAATATTTCATTATGGTTTGGATAAGATGTCTCCCTAAATAGAAAAATTGCTAGTTAGTCAGTTTCAATTTTTTCCTCATTTACTTTGGTAAGAAAACATGCCTAGAAAATCTTTTTCTATTAGAAAAAAAAATTGATTTAATTAAAGACTTTGATATATATGGTTTCCATTCCATGTAGATTTAACTGATTTTCTTATTTATAAATTCATGAATTTTTAAAATTCACTTTGGTAGTTTTTATGATGTCTTGATTTGCAGTCTTTTTCTCTGAGGCGTTAGAGGACATCATAACTAAGTTTAACTTTATACAAATATTCAATAACTAATATATATGTTAAGAAAGAATAATTTTTCATATAATCCCTTGTTTTGTTTTTTTTCAACATGTAAGAGATAGTGCATTTGACAAACACTGGTAGATAATTGTTATAATCTCACATCTGTATATCTAAAAGAGTCTAAATAAAAATAAAAGTAAATTAAAAGAAAAATAAATCAGACCTGATATTTCTTTTAAACAGCCCTCTCTACATGTAATATTTTGGTTTGCAGTGTCTTGTACTTTTTGTTTTTTCCTTTCTTCATCAGAAGCAGTAACAGAACCACCTATTCATCAATTCAATATTGTTATAAAAATATTTTTAAAAAATCAATATGTGTATTTTTTAATTAATAAAATGTTTACAGTGTAGGGTAAATACCTGTAACATGAAGGCTTAACCTAGTACGGACATCAGCAGCTGAAATAAGTGACTGATGCGCAGGAGTTAAAGTGAGATGAACAGTGAAGGCGATTTTTGTGATGCTAACAATCAGGTCGTGAGAGCCTGGGAGTCCGACTAGCCTAGCTCCTGAATCAGAGGCTGTCAGGGATATAGCGCTAGACCACATCACTAGAAAATACAGAAATAATGCTAATTTAGCTGATAACACTTAGTTATAAATTTTACCCAACAACTTACTTTATAAAACAATCTCATTAGCATTAAATCTTCTATATATATAAAAATGGATGTATATCTGTCTGTTTGTCCTTTAAGCATTACTAAACCATTCATCCATGAAACTTTGTGAAGTTGTTCCGTACACTTATGGGAAGGTTTCTGTCTTAGGATAATTTTATATACGTAAAAAAAAAAAAAAAATGTAAATGTTTTTTTGTTCAAAAAATGTGTCGCTATAAAATGTAGCGCCAAAACGGCTTTAACGAAACTTGGCTAAAGTCTTCCCCTTGAAACCCTTTTAATTTATATCTATAACATACTTGCCCGAAAACAAGCTGAAAAAATGTTACGATGAATTCAATATTTTATTTGCCGATAACTAAAAAAGTACACAATTTTTTATGAATAATACCCATATTTATTTGAAAGATTCCTGAATTGCCGACAAAATAAAAAAAAAATCATCGAAATCGGACGATTTGTTGCAGAGTTACAGATTTTTAAACATTTAATGCTTTCTCTTCAGAAAAGTCCATTTTGTTTTTTGAACATTAAACAATACATTAAATATTTAAAAAAATAATAATAAAATTAAATATGAAAATATATGAGTGGCTTGATATGAAAGGATGGATTTCTATCATTTTTAGAAAGCAGAGATATAGTCAATTTTAATTGACTCAGGCTGTTTCTGATGATTACGAATGTTCAAGTTGAATCATGAAAAAAAAAATCATTAGAATTATTTTTAATTGAAGTCATTTTACAGACAAATTTGTTTCTTTTTAAAAATGACAGATGTCCTTTAGTATTATTCCACTCATCTGTGCTTTCTGTTTTCTTTCTTTTCCATTTTGCCAGGCTAAGCCACAGCAGGGCGTGGCCGGGTAAAGCTAGTTAATAATAAGAACGAATGGGAAAGCAAAACAGCTGTTTTAAGATGCAACTGATCAAGGATTTTACTATTGTATTATCACAATTATCTTGAATTAAATAATAATAATATGCATTACAGTAAAACTATCTGCCTTCAAGTCAGAACCAGTTTAGAACATGAATTGCCTCATCCCATTCATATTTTTAAATCTAGTATTACAAAAAATAAATGTATGCTACATTAATGACATTTATTATGCTTCATCGTTGGGTATTTACTCAATTTTCAATTTTTATTTATCAACGAAGATTAGGCTACAATAAAAATGCAAAAAGTCCCAAATTTTTCTGATACATATTTGCAAAGTTTATTATGTTAAAGAGAAGTCATGGGGGCAAGGTCTGCCAGCATTTAGCTCATACCATTGATAATTTTACACTTGTTAGCTTAGAATAGTGTGTCATCAACAAAACCTCCATCCAAGAAATATCTTTCCGTCTTTTCTCTCATCTTGTTCTTTTTTAATAAAAACATTAAGTTTAAAATTTATTTTACTATTTTTTATAAATGGATATTTATAACATAGGGCTCAGTGACACTGAAAGCATTGTTACGCTACCGTGATCTCAGGTAACACCCCCAGTACATACTACATCTCAAGAGATTCACTTTTAAGTTTGTTAGCTAAATTGAAACTTTTTTTATTATTTAAACATACGATCTCAATCTTATGTACATTCTACATCACTTGAATTCTATTACAGCTCAAATATATGCCTTTTTGTTTTCGAAACGCAAGTATCCAATTACGAGATATGATTGACCATTTGGAAAAGAGAGAGAATCACTTATTATCATAAAAGGGTGCTGCCCAATTACATTGGATTGCTAAAAACACAGCATACTTATTAATCACTAGACAATTTTTTAAAACTAATATACAATTATATAGGATTAACAATTGTATGATCATAGTATGCAATGTATGATCATAGTATACAATATATTTTTTTTATTATATATGTATTTCTATATATTTTATTATATATTTTTTCTTTTTCTTTTACTTTCTTTTCCTTTTTTCCCCTTATACATTTTTCCTACTCCTCATATTCTCTCTTTTCTCTTCCTAACCTAATTCATAAAATGCATAAAAATACATAAAGTACAGTGGACGTGTTCAATAAATAAATATAAGTAATAATAAATAATTATAAAAAGATTTACTGTATGTTTTATTTCTGATTATACCATCATAACCTAAATTTTATTCAGCCTCTTTTAAATGTTATTCAGAAATTTTAAAGTAAATTCTTTTATATTAACATTTTCATAGAAGAAATGACTAGTACTTTAATCTTGGAGGTAGAGAATATTATAGAGAATTTATTTAATGATTCATTACAAATGCATTAAAAAAAAAAAAAAAATCTGTACCACTAGAACCCATAAAGGGTCTGGGGTTCAGTACTATTTAGGGAAAGCACTGTTTCTAGGTCAACGGTTGTGCAAGGAGGTGATTTGACCGAGATCACACTCAACCGCCAGGTTTTCCTCCTTAATTAATTATTTAATTAAAGGTACCCACATTATAGAGGCTGGGTGTGCCCCAGGAGGGTCTCCCGACCCAGGGTCGCCCCACGGCCAATGAAACAGATAAATAAATTTGCTGCCATGAGCCGGGGTTCGAACCTGGGACCATTGCATTGGAAGCTCAGTACCCTACCACTGAACTACCCCACTCCCCTAACTGCATTTTAAGTATTATTTAAATTGGAGTGCTGCCAATGGGTAGTTTCTATTCATGTTGTACATGTCATGTTACTTGTTTCATATTTACTAGTTGTATTTATCATTTAATACAGTTGTAAATTTCAATAATAAAAATTTTAAAAAAAGTATTTACTTCACAGAAGTAGAAAATAAGCAGTCATATAGATTACATTATATAAATTCTATTTTTAATTAAAACATCGAATGCCTTACACGAAGAAGCAGCTCTCGCAACGACGATCGAAGGCAGAGGCTTGCCAGGAGCGGCAGGAACCCTGTAGTAGCCACACCTTCCCTGAGGCAGGCTGAAGTACCAGTTCCAATCGACACTTTCTTCAATGGCACCATGACCTGTAATATATTCAAGGTTAAAGGAAGGATAAATAACATCTGAATTTACTTAGGGGTATGAATATGTAACAAGAATTCATCCATAGATAGCTGTAGTTGATAAAATAGTTATTGTTAAATCACATTATTGGTGCCATTTTGTTTCTTTAACAGCTGGTAAAGATTTTAAACTCACAATACAAATTTCATAAAATATCTTATTAATAGCCTCGAATATGTTGAGTTTTGTGACTACAAACTACGATTTCCTAACAGCATTAGTTTTCTTTTACCATTTAAAGAAAACTGCAGCAAAATCGCATCGAATCCTTACAGTGAGCATACTCTTGGTAAATCACAGTGCTTTGAGTGGTTTAAAAAATTCAAAAGTAACAATTTTGAAGTGAACAATGAAAAACATGGAAGACCACTAAAAAAATGGTGTAATCTATTATGAAATGCCAAAACCTAGTGAAACCATTAATATTGAATACTATTGATAACAAACGACAGAGCAAAACTGGTGAAGGAAACGATGGAGGCATTCACGTGGGAAATATTAGAGCACGCGGCTTACTCACCACGCTTGTTCAGAAGCACTTTACTTCATATAAAAATTTACAAAAATAACTTTCTAACTGATTCGTCACAAAACAGTAAGAGTTTTTCTAGCATTAAATTCATAAATTTCCAAAGAGATCGGAAAAATGCATAGATAGAGCAATAGAAAATATTTTTCAATGCATTTTTATGCAATAAACATCTATTCTCTATATGTAAAATTCCCGTTTCATATTTACACACTTGGTATGTAGAGAACTCAATTCATCTATGTCTTGAAGATATATCAAAATATAAATAATTATATTAAATAATCGAGCCAATCAAATTTTTGTATAATATGGATATAAATATTCTATGATCAAATAATATGTGGAAATATCAATTCATACTCACATTAGGCAATTATCAAGAAAAATATATAATGTACTAAATATACCTGTAGTCACACAGATATATCATAGAGAATTTATTCTCTGTATTTTTTGGATAACATAATATCAAATGATAATAAACATAATAGCTAAAGGTTAAAAATATACATCATAGTAATAAAAACCTGAAGTTAATCTACAAAAGCACAAATTTTAGAAAACGTAGTTATAACTTCTTTTAAACAATAAATACTCCAACTATTATTAGGAAAAATCATTCTGAAGTGTAATTTCACTTTCAATTAATTATTTTCTTAAGCAAAATAACTATAATATATATTGTTATGGATCCAACTTCTACCAACCTTCTCTAATTTGTTTTAAAAAAGGTTTTACATAACTCTAAGAGTACTTCTGAATTGGATGATTAAAAATTTGAATTTGGTTGATGTTAGAGAAGTGCATTTTAATGGTCCCAACTTTTTTCTCTCACTGCCTTCATTTCGATAATTTAAATTTGGAAACAAATTATGAAATTCTAATAAATTTCCTAAAGTAAGCATTATAGTCCGTGGTACAGACCCCTTTTTATCAAATCGTAACCTACAAATATTTTATTTATGAAAATTCTTGGAATTGGGGTGTTTTCAAACTTGAGATCGGCAAACTTTCTCCATTTAATTAGGTACTAAAAACTCGTAAATACCCATTTGCTTTCAACTTAAATCGTAAGATAACTTGACCACAAAGTAAAAAAAAAAAAGGTGGCCTTCAAAAATATTGAGCTGTTTGGCCTATATAGCCTCGTTATTTTGACAATTTGGAGGAGTAGGTGATGCCAAACGGCTCAATATTTTTTAAGGCTATCTTTTTTCTCGACTTTGTCTGTACCACGGATTATTAATGAAACAATTAATCAACTTTTATCTGCTTTCTAAAAAAAAGGAGAAATATGACCTTAGTGATAGAGCTTTGCTGCTCACACTTCGGTTTTTTTTTTCTTTATAAAGAAAAAATTTAATATCGCACGCAAAATCTCCAATATTAATCAAATTTAAAACAAACCTTGTGAAACTGATGGAGCTATATAAAGGCAATGGGGTGTGTGGTTATGAACAATCAGCTGTGGGTTTGGATCATCATCTATTGTAATATAGGTAGTTCCTTCGTTTTCCTGAAACATTCAAAAATAACTTAAAAAAAAAATAAAAATAAAAACCTAATAAATGTATGATTTCAACAAAGAATAAAACAAAATGCCCTCAATACCTAGCTGTATTTGTTAATTCAAATCTTAAACATTATAAAGATACAAACAATAAAATAATTATTTTCATTTAATTGAAGAATGAAGTATTTAAGAGAAAGAAGAATGAAATGAAATGAAAATAGATTTTTATTATCCTGGGACTTTTGTCCCTTTAGGACAAATTATAGATACAGAGGAAATGCCTGTGTGGCCATAAAATTAAATTAAATATTTACAATGCTCATTAAAATAAAAATATTGGAAGAAAAATAAAACAAAACCACTAAATATATACAATATAAACATCTGAAAATAAAATAACATAATTAAACAAAAACCATTTCTGGGGGAACTTATAAAGTTCTCTTATCTACTTTTCATGATCAATCGGGCTAGGAAAGAAGTAGGTGCTTAAAAAAGAGAGATTTAAATGAGGAAACTGATCGCGCTTGTCGGATATCGGGAGTGATGGTATTCCAGGTAGAGATGGCTTCAATTATAAAGGATTTGTCAAACGCAGCAGTTCGGTTAGAAGAGGGCCGTTACCCAGCAACCTGATACATAAGACTTTGATAAAAAAAATAGTCACGAGTTCAAGGAATAGTCAAGGAATTCTAAAAATGAATAGCAAAGATAAGAAAAAATTTACTACATGCAGATATTTAATGATAACTACAGTACTTCTTTTCCAGCAATTTTTTACAAAACTATATTTGAGATAATGCTGGAAAAATTAAAACATAGCTCTGAGTGAGTGAGTATACTATACTGAATATGGATATAAGATAAAAATATAATTTGAATTAATAAATATTATAGAATGATTCATATAGAAATATCTTAAACTAAAACCACAAAGAAAAACGTTGGAAATTATTACACAACGGTTTATTATTTCCAAACGGTTATACATCATATGTAGCACTACTTTCCTAGTCACATAGAGGAAAATAAATAAAATGTGACTCCTAATATAGACCTAAATAATTTTTTTTTTCATCAGCAATTTGCTAAAAAATATATACAACAACCTCGGTTGCTTCAGGTGAAGTAAGACTTTCCAAAAATCAAAACAAAAGATATCACCTTTGCACCAAATCATCCAATTTCAACTATTCCTTTTTTTGTTTATTTGTAAATTTTTAAATGACCATTTGATTTTACATACATACTAGCTTCTTTTCAATGAAGTATGTTATATATCCCCACATATATTACAGTAAGGCTCGAAATCGGTTTTGTACCAAATATAAGCTCCTATCATGCTCAAATAACATGAATGGGGTACCGTTGGATTCAGAATTTCAAGAGGGATTAGAGAATCATATTCTCCACTTTTCTTTTTCTTTCTAAAATAAATAAAGTCGATACAAACATTTTGCTAGGCTTCAATACTGGAATGGTTGTAGGGCTGTAGATCAATACGGGACAAATTGGATCTTAAAGATTAGATCCTTCAGAACTATCGGATCCTGTGTTTTTAAGCCCAAAAACGTACTATTTCCGAGATAACATAAGGCATAGGGTTCGCATCCACACAACCTTACGGTAATTGTAGTATTGTCATTGAATACATGTCTCATTTCGTCAACTTGAGGCCTCTATGATCGAGAGAGGAGTTTATATTATTTATCTATGGTGTTTCTGATTGGAAATCCATATCATCGTTAATTCCTCACCGAATCTCAAGATTGAGTCACCAATTTCGAAGGCTTCCTTCTCCTTCAGGCCGGCAAAATAGTTTAATCACCCCGAAAATTCAGGCAAATAAGTTATAAAAGAAAACAAACTTTATTTGCGAATAACTAAAAAATTACACACTTTTCCCTTGGTTATGCCCATAATTATATAAAAGATTACTAAATTCCCTACAAAAGGAAAAAAAAAAATCATCCAAATCGAACAATTTTTAGCATAGATACAGACAGCTTATTAAAATTTGTAAACATGTTGATTATATTTAAGTTACAATTGATTATATTTAATTGATTTGTCGATTATATTTAAGAAACAATTGATTTCTTTATCTTTTGATACGTTGCATTATTTTATTTTCCTATTAATTTGTCATTTGATGACAATATGCTGTGCGAATTTTTCGCACGGGTCTACTAGTATAAGTTTAAAGGGCTACAATTATAATTGATAGGAAAGTACTTTCCAGTGAAGTATGTTATCTATATAAGTTTAAAAGGCTTCAAGATGAAAATTTTGGCGAAGAATCATTAAAATTATTAAATTAGTTTAGGGGCTAAAATCTATAGCGACATAGATTTTTAGACCGCCATCTTGAAAGGAAAGGGTGGATGGTAATGCTGAGTTGCAAGGATCATACTTGGGTACCCTTTTATAATGATACCAAATCTCAAAACAATTGGGCCAGTAGTCTCGGATGGACAGATTTTTTAAATTTTATTTTCGGATTCTATGTATCTTGAAACGTAAAAGCTCAAATATTGAGTGGGGGTTAACTTTTTTTTCTTGGTTGATAACAAAAGTTGATTATTGAAAATAATAAATCAAAATGACTTTCTTAAATGTAGCTTAACTATTAATTTTTACAATGATGTAGAGATGGTTGACCGTTGATTGAAGGAGTTAATCGGGAGGTGAGGTCAAATAAATACTAAATTAAAATATAGTAATTATTTAATTTTTGCCGACGTTTCGACCCACTTTGCAGGTTGTGTTCAGGGCTACAAAAGATGATGGAAAAAAAAAAATGAATATAAGTAGATATAAAAAATGAGAAGAAGTTGTCAGATACAGAAATAAAAAGATGATATCAAAGATATAGTGGGTGACAATGTAGTTAAAATATCTAGTATTATATATGTAGAAGATACAAACAAATGGAAAATAATTATGAATAAAAATAAAAAATAATGGAGAATATAGCATGTAAGTTAAAAGTAAACAGATTGTGATAAAAGATAAGGAATAAGTGTATAACAAACTAATAGAGATCACATTTGATAACTGTGGGTTAATAAAGAAAATGAATGTTAACGAATAAATAGACTGAAAATTGAATAAGTATTGTTATAGTAAAGTTAAAATAAGAATAAGATAACATAATCATAATATATCGGTGGATAACAAGCTAGTGGAGGTTACATTTGATTGTAAGTAAACAGATAAAGGGACTAAAGGTTAAGAAGTAAAGAAAATTGAAAGATTAATAGGGTAACATTAGTGTAATATCGTTAGGATAGATTATTAAGTATTAGTATTAGATTATTAACTTTACATATTAATAATTGGTTAAACTATTAATATTAAACATGCTTAACCAAAGGTTATAACAAGATGATAAATGATTGAAAAGAGAAATAAATACCTGAAATATTACTGAGAGAGGGATGTTAAACCAACCATCCTCTGAGCCCGTCGGAAGAAGTAAAGCTTCTCGTTCCCTGGCGTCTGACATATCTGGAACTGGGACTGGATTGCCAGGGAGTCCTAGATTGTTCTTGAAAACGAGGTATAACTTGCGGTCAATAGAATCACCTCTTTCAATCCACTCGGGAATCGGCTCTCCTCTAAGAAATAAAATATATACATACAAATTTATTAATATAAAAGAACAAATATAAATAAATTGAAAATTGTGGGTAAATGGTTGACTGTCGTGAATAATGAAGAGAAGAATTTTTTTTTTCTCTTTCTTATATCAGCCTTCTCAGTTTCCTTCCTCCTTCCTTTCATTCCTTTTCTCTGTTTTAACTCTTTATTATATTATAAGTTGTCTGTACATCTTGATACAACTTTACAATATCTCAATTTTCTATCTAACTATTCTATTCGCAATATCTTAATTTTACTATTTATTTCCATTTCTTATTTAACTTCATATTTTTCTGTTTTACATTTTATTCTAAGATTCCCATTTTAATATTGATGTCACCTTTTTTGATTATGTTTACTTCATCATTCCATACTTTGTACCGGTTATTATTATTTATCTCTTAGTTCTTACTATTGTCATTATTCCAACAACTGCATTTTACTTTAATTCTTTTACCTACACTACTTATGTTTCTCATACCTTGTTGTCTGGTTCTTTTCTTAGCACTGATGAAGGCCTGAACTTCAGGTCAAAACGTCGGCAAATGTCAAAATAAATATTATCATATTTATTTTTTGCCTTCTTATTTGACTAATCACCCCAACTATTCTTCTCTTCATTAAATAAATTAAATGTTAGGTTATAATTTGAAAATCCCGAACACTAAGCATCGAGTCTCTAAAATTCTCCTCTATGAAATAAAATGTTTACACAAAAATTCATTAATATAAAAGAACAAAAATATATAAATTAGATGTTAGGTTATAATTTGAAAATCCCGAACACTAAGTATCGAGTCTCTAAAATTCAGGTTAAACAATCTGGACATAAATACCCTAAACCACACATAATCTTACATAAACAATAAAAATTTATAATAAACATAAAGAAAAATAGCCCAGAGGTAAATACAGTGCTATTTCTCATTAAAATTCAGTTCAAATTATAATTTTATGAAAAGGAAAAATAAAGAAGTAATGCTAATAATTAATGAAGAGAAGGATAGACATTTGCCGATGTTTCAACCCGAAGTTCAGGCCTTCATCAGGACTGAGAAAAGAATCAGATAACAATTGGTATGAGAAACATAAACAATGTAGGTAAAAAAAAACTTAAACTAAAATAAGGTAGATAAGTGAACATTAAAGTAAAATAAAGTATGTAGAATCACGACAATAACAAGAACTAAGAAATAAATAATAATAACGGTTACAAATTGTGGATTAATGAGTTAAACAGAATCAAAATAATATGACATAAGTACTAAAATGGTAATCTTTGAATAAAGTGTAAAACAGAGAAAAGGAATATGAAGTTATATAAGAAATAAATATAAATTGAAAAGTTAAGATATCGTAAATAGAATAGTTAAATAGAAAATTGAGATACTATGAAGTCTATCAAAATGTACTGACTACGTATCAGGGTATAAGGAGTTAAAATAAAATAAAAAATAAATGAGCGAATGTATCAATATATAAAAAGTGGAGATGAAAATGTGGAAAATAGAGTGAAAAAGAAGGAAGATAAAATAAGATAGATAGTCGACTGACCTGATCGCTATTGATAGAATGGAGGTATTGTAGCAAGAGAGGGGAGATATTAAATACAATATCTTAACTTTTCTATTTATATTTATTTCTTATATAACTTCATATTCCTTTTCTCTGTTTTACATTTTATTCTAAGATTACCATTTTAGTACTTGTGTTATCTTATTTTGATTATGTTTACTTCATTTCTTAGTTTTTGTCATTGTCATGATTCTACATACTTTATTTTACTTCAATGTTCTCTTATCTACTTCATTTTACTTTCAAGTTTTTTTAAAACCTAAATTGTTTCTGTTTCTCATACCAATTGTTATCTGGTTCTTTTCTCAGCCCTGGTGAAGGCCTGAATTCGGGTCAAAACGTCGGCAAATGTTAAAATAAATAATATTATTTATTTTTGCCATTTTTACTTTGACTGATCACCCCAACTATCCTTCTCTTCATTATTCACTACAGTCAACCATCAACCCACAATTAATGTTAATAATCAATAAAAACTTACAAGAAATCTTTTGTAGATCTTTTTGGAATATCAATAAACGGCACGCCATCATATGGCACACTTAATTTTCTTCCTCCTAATTTTAGAGAAAAACATGAAACTTTTAGATCTTGTGAACTAAGATTACAGATGACATAGGCTGAAGTAACATGTAGTAATCTTATATTATTCACTATTTTCGAATGAAATACAGCATACACAACCTAAACAAGAAAATATAAACTACGTTAAAGACAATAAAATGGTTCAATAATATAAAATTTTGCTAATTATTATTTAATCTTGTGCCAAGGATCATAAATTAAAAAATAAATGTAGTAGGGTCATCCTAAGAATAATAAACCTATACTTATAATATGCATCGAAACGAAAAAAAAAAAAAAAAATGCCATAACCATGACAAACATATTCTGGAATTATTTTTTCACTTCATTGCTTTAGAGTTTAAACCATAAGGAAAGGTTAGTAATAAAATTAACAAATTTTTGTCTCATGGTGAAAAGAAAAATCTGATGCGATGCGTACATCACACAACTTTCATTTACCATTCTACTTTGAGTAAAAATAATTATTTTCATACAAAGAGAAGTGAAAGTAAAAATTATAGACAGGATAACATATCTATTTAAAAAAAAATTAATTGTCATATCTTTTTCCACATATCTGATCTATTATATTAATATTTTTTTGTCACTTTATTTCCTTCTAGGACTATATATTTTAATTATTTATTTAATTGTAAGGATGACACATATTTTTTTTTAGATTGGCAAGAATGTCACAAATTTTTATCTAACCTGATGAAGGTTGCCATGGAAAAAAAAAAATGAGAAGCGCTGGTCTATAATATTGCAGATATGCTGGGAGTTGTTAGTTTTTTATACCTATTATTATTTAAAAAATCCTTTTAGACAAATTTTATACTTAAATTAAAGACTCCATCGAATTTAAGATGTAACTCATTTTAATAATTCAATTTTCAACAAATAGTTTGTCTTAAATTTGCAAATCTTTTGATGCAAGAAGGTATATGAATGAAAATGTTTATTATCATAAAGCAAATAGATACAAAATATAATATTCATATAAATGTTGCAACACATAGACAATGGAAAATTCTGTCTGTCAAGGTCTGTGTGATCTTTCTGCAAAATATGTTCTATTTTTGCAAGAAGTTGTATATGAAGTTTTATATATCTCTTAAGCCAATGGGTATTTTGATAAAACAAGTGATAACCCACCTTCACCAAGTGAAAAATGATTAAATGTAACATTAACCGTACAGAAGATGTAAATATGAAATGGACAAACGCCATTGACACAAACTATATTCATGGCGTTTTTCTAAAATAATCTTATATTAATATTAACCTAAGTAACTATAGTTACTATGAAAGAACTTATAAACTTACAGATGAAGGAGAATTGATGCTAATCTGAACAGTCGCAACTTGTGGAATAAGCCCAGGAATATGGGGTTTATAAAATGATTGATTATCAGACAACTGTAAACCAGATGACTTATGATATTCGTCGGAGGCATCCGAGAATTTGACTAATAAATGAAAGACATCCTGAAATAATAAACATTGAATTTAAATTGGTAAGAAGACATTGGAGAATATACATATATACTTCTAAAAATTCACAAAACAAAAAGAATAAATTACTTCAATTAACGGAGGAGCTACAACAGACAGATGGACAACATTACAAATTACTTCTTTTCCAACTAAAAACGCTATACTCCTTCCAAGTGTATTTACAACCAGGCACCATGGCTCTAGCTCAACGATGATACAATGAGGGACTTTTAATTTTTCTCCACAAAAACGCATCTGGAATTAAAATTAAAATTAATTAATTAAAGAGAAATTGGTTGGGGTTTTCAGTTAAAAATAAATAAATGATATTTATTTAAAAAATAAATATCATTTATTTGAATGAAAACGTGTTTATTATACTTTAAAAAATACAAAGTAAAACATATATATACAAGCAACAACACATAGACAATGGAAAATTCTGTCTGTCTTGGTCTGTGTGTAATTCATAATAAATATTCATAATATTTATAACTAAAATAAATGAGTAATAATATATCTACAGCATTATTATATATTTATACTCCATTCTATGGACGTTCTTGCAACTTCTTCCTTCACATAGAATTTCATTTGCTTACATGGAGTTTTTAAAAAACAAACATTGATACCTTATAAATCCAATAAATAAGAAGTTTAATTTCAACACTAACAATAATTGAGGAAGCTAGTCGACTGTCTACATATAGCTTCAGTGCTCGAACCACACCCTGATGATGAACCACACACTAATAATAATAATAACAATAAAATATAATACAATAATAAAAACAAACGTTTCAATAAATAAACACGATATTGTACCAATGGTTCACTATTGTACCAATGGTTCACTAACTGACTAATTTAGATCTCTGCAATTTGGCCTGCTGTACATAATTGCTTAAGGCTTTTCAGTTAGAACCCTTTAATAAACCAAATGATTCTTCTAGAGAACAGATCTGCCGCCCAAAATATTTTTCTCTTATCTCGCTGTACATGTGACAAGTCCCTAAAAAGTGAATGATATTCAACCATCTACGGTTTTGTGCTTAAATCGAGCGATTCCTACATCGAAAAATTGACTCTATAGGTATGCCTAGGAGTCAAGTTCAAAAGGTAAAGATCATTGCACTATTCAATCTAACGTTGTTCTACATCCATGGTTCTCTAATACTTGTGTTAAGTTAAACAGAAAAGAAATAGTCTTACTTACAAGATTAAGAATTAACCATGGTCGAACAAATCGCGTCTTGACATTATTTAAAGTTGAAAAAAAAACTATAAATGTTCAACATGTAACTCCATTACACATTATTTTAAAATGCAACAGATATGATAAATACTGGAAGAAATACCCCTCATCCAAAACAATAGCGCTTTCCTTCAAAGGCTGGCTGATCTAGTTTGAGATACCATTAAGTCATTGTACAAATTTATTGAAGAATCCAAAATAGATTTTTAAAAATAAATAATAATAATGTACATCTATATCTCCATTGTCTCAATGTCAAAACTATTATTAAGAAAGGGTATAATAGTGCCCACTGAACATAATCCTGCTTAGATAGAAAAACTTGAATGAAGATATTTTTGAAGATTATTTTAATATCATTTATTTATTTTTACTTTTTATTTTTGACCGAACACCTTAACCAACTTACAGCCAACCGTCAATCCACAATTAAAATTAATTAAATATTATTATTATTATTATAGAAAAATAAATACCTTGACTCTTGTAACAGTAGACGGTTGCGGTGTATCGACCCAAACTGCTTGATTCCAAGGAGAACCAAGGAAAGGCCAAATATTTTTCTGATTGCTAACTGTATTTTCCTCAAGAGCTAAAGAATCATTTAACGTTACAGCTCTCGGAGACGAATTTCTGGCAATATCCAGATAATTAAGGACCACGTGAGGGGATGATGATGGTATGTTGCCACTGAAAAAGAAAAAAAAAATAGGATCATAAAAGAATATATTTTATCTCCAAAATTCCAGAATTATTTTTCTTCATTTAGATCAAGGATCTCCTAACTACCCCGCTGGATGCGGGCTGCTGACAAGCGCCTCCAGTTCGGCCTGCGAAATTTTCTGTGATCACATGCCAAAATTTTAAAAAGTATTTAAAAAATGCCCTTGCCTGTCTATTATTCAATTTGGCAGAGGAGAAAGCTGTAAGAGATTCCGGTATTCAGACCAGCGATATAATCTTCAATCGCCTGACACAGCTTCATGGTTTTGCTGATGATGTTGACATAATAGGAAGGTCTGAACAGGTTCTCAGAGAAGAGTTTACAGCCCTTGAAGTAGCTGCAAGACGAGTTGGTCTAGAGGTCAACGAGAAGAAAACTAAGTATATGAGAGTTGGTGGTGAGGTGGATCTGAACTCTCCATTTGAGGTAGGTTCTTTTAAGTTTGAGAGAGTAAAAAGCTTTATATACTTTGGGTCTGAAATAAATAGCAAAAATGACGTGGCTCAAGAAATACAGAGAAAGATCACGGCAGCCAATAGATGTGTCTTTGGACTTGGCCGACACTTAAGAAGTAGGAACCTCTCAAAGAAGACCAAGCTAATTATGCACAAGACCCTTGTATAGCCTGTTTTGACATATGGCTCAGAGGCTTGGACGATGACGAAAAGGATGAGATGAAGCTGAGTGTGTTTGAGCGAGGAGTCCTCAGAAGGATTTATGGTCCAGTAAAGGAGGGTGATGTCTGGAGGAAAAGAAAAAATAGGGAGCTCAGTTCTCTCTATGCAGACATCGACGTAGTCACGTATATTAAACTGGCCAGACTAAGGTGGGCAGGGCATGTGGCCAGAATGAGCACCCTTGAAATACCAAAAAAAATAATGATGGAGGAGCTGCACCTCGTAAGACGGGTAGGAAGGCCGAGGACGAGATGGTTGGACAACGTGGCCTATGATGCGAGAACCCTGCTTGGTGTGCGGAACTGGAGAGCTGCAGCAGAAGACAGGGCCAACTGGCGGAGGCTCTTGGAGGAGGCCCAGTCTCGGTGACGGGATGTTGTGCCATACATGAATGAATGAATGAAAGATTTTTGTTGTTATGAACTATTTACACTATATAAAATAAATAAAACCTATTTATTTGTTCTAACTACTTTGTTAATTAAATGTAAACATTAACATTCATATTAAATGTTGTTCAAAGTGATTTTCTTGAGCATTAAGGCTCACCATCTTTCTTCAAAAGTAGCATTGGCAGAACGGCATTGGATATGTGTTATTATTTCTCAAGATTCAATCATCCTTCTTCGTAAGGAATTAAGGTCATTGACCGGACTTGCATAGACTTTTTACATTTTGTTTAATGTCACCCCAAACAAAAAAATCCAGTGGTGTCAGGTCTGGAGAGTGTTCAGGCCAAGCCACTGGTCCTGTACGGCAAATGACCTTAATTCCTTACGAAGAAGGATAATTGAATCTTGTGAAACAATAACACATATAATTAAATTAATTAAAATAATTTTGCTGGTAAGAATCTTTACCACAAAAATGAAGAAGCAAATAATAAAATAAAATAGAAAATACTTGATATTATTAATAAGACATAAAATAAATAAATAAATTTATAAATGACAAGTCGCACTTACACAATGTTGAATGTTAGGGAGTGTCGATGTTCAGTGGTCCCAGGTGCATAAAGATTAGTGAGGGTTCCTCTCCCAGGTACTGTGACGCTGATATTGGACTGTAATTCTTGTGTTTCAACAAGTACGTTAGCATTTCCAGGGAGAAGTGATTTTACAATGTACATAGGACTGATGAGTACCTAAAGCAGCAACCAAATTATATGCTTTTTTTAATAAGTTCATCATATTAATACACAAACAAGTGAGATCTGTTTTATTTAAAATTGACTTGATCTGGAAACAAATCAGATAACCATTAATTTTCACAAAATGTCATATAAAGAATAACAAAAATAAAGAATTGAAAGTTGTACTAGAAATAAAAAACAGCAAAATTTTTCCAGGCATTTTATCATTTTTCTCTTTGCAGAGAAATACAACAACATTGCACGGCTGCTCAGCTGTGTAGCTAAATGAAACAGCATAATCATCTATCAAAAGATAATACTGAATAAAAGTATAAGAGAGAGTTAGGTCGGACCATTGAAATACATATCAGACATGCAAATAATGGTTCATAGAATCAAATAAGTCAAGGCCTAGATCAATATATGTGGCGATGGAGGATTCCCAAGGAGTCTAAAATAATTTTTTCTGTCATCGTCTGCATCTGCTTCCTTCCAACACCGAGCCTCAGCAAGAAATTACTTGTATTAAGAGGGATGTTCCCCTTACTTCCGAACTACAGCCATTTAACTGAGAATTCTCTATCGCCGAATTCATCTCTGTACTTTTCCATCAGGTAAGATATACATTTCGCATAGTAAAACTTTTCTTAAATGTCCAAAGAAAAATTAACCATTAAAAACAACTTAACTTATTAAACATTGCTACTTAATTAGACCATACAACTCTATGTACGTATGTATGTATATATCTGAAATCTTTTAAAGTCAAGGAATTTATTTAACTTTTGCAAGCTAAAACTACTTTCTGGCACACTAAACCTTAACAATATGGTCTGGATTTTGTAACACTTCTGATTTTCATAAACGAGTGGAGAAGATTATTAAAAAGATTGATTAAAATGGAAGATTATTATAAAAATTTTCATTTTGTTTTGTTAAATTTGTATGATAATGATGTAACACTTGTTGGAAAATGTTCCATACTTTTGAAATGGAATGTAAAAAATAAAAGTATAAGGAATCCAGAAAAAGTTGGAAGAGGAAAAATCTATTTAAAAAAAATATAAATGCAGAAAATTCTATGAATTTTGAGCAGAATAAATATTTTTAAAACTCTATTGAACATTATAAGATCAATCAAGCATAAGAACTCGTAAATGTTATTTAACCAATGCCCTTAACTTTACTATAACTAATAACAGTTAATCACAGAGATGGTTCACACAAAATCCATAGTAAAAGTAAGTTCATCGTATAACTTAGGCTCATTCTATTCTATTCTTATTATTATTTATAATAATGTATTCACATATAGTTCATAACTTAAATACTTATTATAGGTTCGCCTTTCTTTTTTTTTTTTTTTCAATAGAAAAGCAGTTTACTGCTAAGAAGAATTTACATTTATTTTTTTCTGTATCTATTATTTTTCCTAAAAGTTTATATTTATATTTTACCATTGTACATAGTTTGAAGTGTCTTGGTAAGGTTTCAAGAGTTTTGTATATAGATTTTTTTAAATTTTATTTTGTATATAGTATAACTAATATTTTTTTTTTAATGATTTATCTTTATCTTTACTTTTTATGTTTGTTTTAATTTGGCCAGATATAACATTTTAATTTTGTATTTTTTTGTTATTCTGAAGGGACTTGGTCGCAGAATAAAATTATTTTCTATTCTATTCTATTCTAAAAGTTTAATATAACAAATTAAGCATTTATCACAAGTTGTGTGAATACCCCTAATATTGAGATTATATATTAATAACGTTAGACCAATGATTACTATAGGCTGTAAAAGGTATATAAACAAATTGATATAATAATAAAATAATGAACATAATACAAACTTATATAGACATAAAAAATGAGAAAATGACTACTAGTGAGAACAGTAGATTTTAAAATTAAAATAAAACTTGTGTTTTAGTATTTTTTAAAAATAAATAAATACTTACTAATATTCGTTTATGAGTGGGATGTTCTTCTTTCAAAACTTGGCACCACAAACTTAAGAATTCATTCTTCTCTTGTAAGGGTACTATAAAGGTAATAACAAAATAAGCTATCATTAGGAAAATTAAATAACATATCAATGTTTTGAATATTATTAATAAGAATTCATGAACAAATGATTATAAAAAAAATTAGATGTTTTAATATTTTACTCAGGCCTACTATGCACTATACGCACAGCACCATTAAACACTATTCACTCAGGCTTTAATCTAATGTTAGTACGTCAAAATTAACGGTGCTGTTCCTTCAATGAATTCACCACATAAATAAAAAAAAAAAAAAAGAAAAGTAGTATTTTTAATAAATATATTTATTAGCTAATAAATTAATAATCTATTAATTTTAATCTTCTAACTTATTTTACAACAGTGTGATTGGATGTAATGGCACTGATGAAGAGGGTCCCAAAAAGCCAAGTTTTAAACTCCTATATGATTTTTAAATCCATGCAACAAACATTTTATTATATCCAACATCCTCGGAAAGAAATAGAGGTAGCCAAAATTTTGCTGGCTACTAGAAATATGCTTCTTTTTTACATTAAGTAAAAAAAAAACACAACACAAAAGTAACCATTTAAATTTTACAGGTAAGTTGGTAAAAACCTATTTAATGAAATAAACTGAAAGAAAGATTACTGAATAAGCTATTCTACAATAAAATTGGTTACAAAACTTAATTAAATTAAATTTGCAGATGATTTATTTTTTAATGTTATTTTAAATTAAAATACACATGATAATTACAGAAGTTTAATAAATGTAGGAGAAAAAACTCAGGTGCTAATGAGTTAATATTGGAAATTTTTTTCTTTTAAACACTGCGGATTGACCAGGAATGAAGTCTTTCCTGACTTGGATGGAGTATAAAATATGTGGATTAGAAATGTTTTTTATTAATTTAACTTAAATAATGAAATATATTACCTTTAACAAGCCATGCGTTGGAGTTGTGAAGAGGAATCAAGCCAGACCAGCCATGATCAAGAGCTAAGCGAAGGCTATAATTTGACTCTTTATGCAATACAACACTGGCACATTTTTCTCCACCTGCATACAATTCAGGCAACAATATTTTAATATTGTATTTTTATTTTTACAACACTGAATAATGAAGGGATTATAACTGGATTTCTTCAGGATCGGACATGAGGCTACCTTGCTTTCCAATATATATAGTCCATGGTACAGACCCCTTTTTATCAAATTATCAACATCCACCTGAAACTTCGTGAATAGTTTCATCTCACCGTAACCTACAACTATTTTATATATGAAAATTCTCAAAATTGGGGCGTTTTCAATCTGGAGGGGACAAACTTTGTCTATTTAATTAGGTACTAAAAACGCATAAATACTCATTTGCTTTCCACTTGGATCATAAGATAATTTGTCACAAAATCAAGAAAAAAGGCGACCTTATAAAATATTGAGCCGTTCGGCATGACTTATACCCTCCAATTGTCAAAATAACGAGGCTACATAGGACAAACAGCCCAATATTTTTGTAGGCCACCTTTTTTTTTTTTATCGATTTTGTGATCAAATTATCTTACGATCCAAGTAGAAAGCAAATGAGTATTACGAGTTTTTAGTACTTAATTAAATAGACAAAGTTTGCCCCCTTCCAGATTGAAAACGCCCAATTCCAAGAGTTTTCGTAAATAAAATAGTTGTAGGTTACGATGAGATGAAACTATTTACAAAGTTTCAGGCGGATACTAATAATTCGACAAAAAGGTGTCTGTACCACTGACTAATACATTATATTAAATATAGATCATTTTGAATACATTATGTGATACAATATTAACACACCTGAAAGTTGAATAATTCGTTGCCTTTCTGAGATGGAAGTAGCTACTACCCGCACGTTGACATCTTTCTCAAGTAAATTTTTCACCAACAACTCTCCACCGAAAGTTACCTATAAAATTAAGTTTTTAAATAAAAATTCTATAAATATTAAATAAAAAAAGGCTAATACGATAATGATTCAATCAAACAACTTATAAACTTTTATTTAAAAAAATGTTTTATAAAGTGTGCTCTAATTAAATGAATCGATTGAAACTTACTTGAGTAACTACAGGAGAAAGATTCTTAACAGTTATTAGTGCTGTCATCTTCCTGCCACCGTTATCTGTTACTTCAAGAGGATAAATACCTTCTTTACCGATATAGACTCCTTCACTCCAAACTCTATTTCTAGGACACAAAAAGCATTTAATTTATTTATCATTATTACTAGAGTTTATTGTTATGTCGGTACTTGTTAAATAGTGGGTAGCGTCGAAACCTCCCTTGTTATCTAATCTCATCTCACATAACCTCCCTTCTTATCTCCTCCAACCTAAGTTATTTATTTTTTGTTCCTTGTGTAAGCTGTGAGTTAGTCTTATTTGGGATGTTGCTACACTGTGGGAATTGCCACCTTCAGAAGAAGAGGCTATCAAAAATTTTCAAGATGACTAGATAATTGCAAAGGTGAAATATTGTGATGAAGGTCATGAAATTAAGTTCGACGGGAAGATTAAATGGAGATGCTTTCGTACTTGTAACAAAAGTGTTTCTATAAGGAAAGGAACGTAAGGTGGTTAGAGAGGTCAAGTTTTTTTTTTTTTTTTAACGGCTTTAAAATTCATTTATGGGTGGTCCCATAATTTAACAATACAGTGGGGAAAGAGCATCTCAAACTATCCCAGCCAACTATCGTAACATTATTATTTAATTTATTTTTGCCTATTTTTATTATTTAATTTATTTTTATATATATGTTGTAATGTTTTTTAGTTATATATGTATAATTTTTTGGTCTATTTAATATATATATTATAAAATAAAAGTATTTATTATTATTACATTTGTTTTTGTTTACAATTTCAATAATATCAATACAATACAATAAATATGAATACGAAGATATAATAATATGAATATAATACAATAAATATGAATACGAAGATATTATCAGTGGCTTATCAGAGTTATCAGTGTTAAGGTTATAAACATTGGCAGATAGCAGTCGGACGCTACCCGCTATTTAACAAGTACCGATATGTCTAACAATACATATTTTTTTTATAATTCCCCATTCATTTATTTTATTTATTCTATCATATTTTGATTTGACATAATTAATATATTTTAAAGATAATAATCGAAATAGAAAAACAACAATATTAGTGAAGAAAATAATACTCACTCAGGACGATTTGCAGAAAATTGCAATTCCATCTTTCGAGTTGAATTCTTCCAAGAATAAAAGTAACAGTTTAAACTATCGAGTAAAATATCTTCACTTGTGCCAGATTGCCTAAAACTTAAGGTTTAAAAAATGTCAGAAAGATAATATTATCAACATAGATAAAAAAAAAATCATTCTTAGATCTGAATTAAATTTAAATTAAGTATTAAATAAGTTTTTAATTCATAGTTAACATATAGATATTTGCTTGTTGAGAGAAGAATAGAAAACAATAGCATAATTCTTGTTCGGCCCCGCAGAGGTTTGGTTCATGAACAGACTGTTTCCGAGAAAGTAATATAGACTGATCTGTCAGTGCCTTTGAGCCCAAGTGAGTTAGAGGGAAGGACACTGCCAGATGGCTTTCAAAGAGATTGACTATAGAGCTATGGGTGGCCTGCCGCTGCATCATGGAGACCATGGCCAGTAGCTAAATGAGGTTGATTTTTTTTACTTTCCTACCTATACTAGCTAAGGAAAGTATTGCAATCGGGTCAAATTTCCGATAGCGTTTTCGACGGATCTATATGTTTCAGAGCCCCTGAGTCGAAAAACACATTTTTAGCATTGCGTCTGTCTGTCTGTGCCAAGATTTTCTCGGGAACTAGTGAACCGATTTTGTTGCTTCTTTTTTTATTTTGTAGGGTTTTGACTACTGATGCCTGTGACACAAATTGGATGCTCCATGCCCAATAGCTGCTGCACAATAAATGAAACATGTTTTTCTATAGACAGTAGCACGAAAACGGCTCTAACGATTTTGATGAAACTTTCCTATAATGTTCTAATAATTGTCCTTTCAATTTTCGTATATGGACTAAATTCCTGAGAAAATTCAGGAAAAAATGTTATAAAGAAAAGAAAAATGTTTTGGAGCCTGACTCGCTAAGTATATATTCTACGGTAAAATTTATAATAAAACTTTTGAAAGGTAATTAAATTACCAACAAAACAAAAAAAAAAAAATCATCGAAATTGAACCAGTATTAGCGATGATACAGCTTATTCTATTTTCTATTTTAATTTATTACTTTCCTACCTATACTAGGTAAGTCCGAAAACACATTTTAGCCTGTTTTTTTGAAAGGTAATGAAATTCCCTACAAAACTGTATAAAAATCGTTCATTTTGGACAACTATTAACGAAGTTACAGCTATTCAATTTCCAATGTAAGATTACGGGTTCATATCCTGGTGTCAGAAAGGGATGAATGAGAGAAAAAAGATAACTAAGTGAAAGTAAGAAAATCTGTTGCCCGCATCACACAAGCTTCACTATTTCCTCTACTTTTAACAGAAATTATTGTTTGACAAAATTAAGCTATGGCAAAAAGTTTTTGATCAGCAATATTAGAGGGTATTGAAATTTTTACACTGATCTACCTTAAGCCAGTTTACATTGCTTTAGTTTATCGAATAAATTGTACTCAAATCTTTTCTTTGATCAATTTTCAGGAAAATAAATCCAATTAAATTTTTTTTTTTCTTCTGGACATTTGTAAAGATATAAAAACTTTTCTGAAATATGTAAGAAAGTTGTGTGAGTGGACAAACTAGATTTTTTTTTTTGGTGTGGGTGGCCAAGTGGAATAATACGTGTGCAAAACAGGTGTTAAACTGTAGATTACGAGTTCAAAACCCAGTGTCAAGGACTTTTAACTCTGGCATACCTAAAAGGGCAAGAAAAGAGCAAAAAAATAAAGAAGCTACATGAGGTTGGGTAACCCCTCCTGGCTATCAGTGCTCACATGATTAAAGATCTAAAGTATTCTATGGTACCAAAAAAAAAAAAATTAAACAAATATCTGGTATACATTTATCTGATAAGTTAATATTGCTCAAATTTTTTGATGAGAATCTTGTTTTAGATATTTCCAATTATATAGGTTAATTTTTATGTTGTTAAAACAAGATTACAAGTTGACTAATTCAATTTTAAAAAATGTCTAACTTGGAATCCTCATACCAGACTGAAACGACAAGAAACTGCTCGACGTTTCCGACTACTTCAACACTTAGTAGACAAACGCTCTCACCCTCCAATTAATTACAAAAGACTCATATACATGACTATAATAAGGCCTATTTGGACTTCAGGAGTTGAGCTATGGGGCTCCACCAAACCTTCAAATTCCTCTCGAATCCAATCCTTACAATCCAAAATCCTTCATAAAATCCTCAATGCTCCTTACTCTGTTACAAATAAAATCATCCACAATGACCTACTGTTTCAGATTTGGCCCAATCCAGATATCTATACTTCCATAATAAACTTCATAACCATCCCAACCCTCTTGTTTCTAACCTTGCTTCCTATTCAATTCCTGATAATCCTCCGAGGCGTCTGAAAAGAAGTTGGCCCCGTGATCTCCTAATACAGACATATTATTAGAGTACTACCAGTGGGTAGATTCTCAACATGTGTTTCATGTCATTATATCCATGTACGAATTTACTAGATGTATTTTTTTTTTTTTATACAATTGTAAATATCATATAAATAATATTTAAAATTTTTTTTAAAAAGTAATAGACCTTCTAAAATTAAAGCAATCTAATAAAAAATAGTAAGACCAATAAATTAATAAATATTTAACCAATATAAAGTTATTTATTTTGCTTCAAAATTATAATTAAATGGATAATAGCGAATTACACTTAGCACCTTTTAAAGGTTATATAAATTACCCAGCATGTCATTAATATTGGTTTATTGGTTAGTTTTAATAAATAAAGATTAAAATATTTAAAGCATTGGCTACCTAAGAGTAAACGCTGTGTCATTACAGATTATAAACGGCTGTATAGGATCTCCTGAAATGGCAGCATAAAGAACATGGGAAACTGAAGGAGCTAAGAAAACAGACACGATTCCTCCCACCACTCCTATGTTCAGTTGATCATCATTAAATGCACACGAAAGTTTCATCGGGAGTGAATGTATGATGGTAATATCCTTCATGATCCGTGGATTCAAAACTTCCATTTTCAGTCGTCCTTCAACTTCTACTTCAAGTTCACCTAAACACAATTTTTGAAAATTAAAAAGAAAAAATTTCTATAAAATTTAAAAGCAAAAATAAAATAAAGAGGGGGAATATTCAGCAATACAGGTGTTATCATTTCATAGTACAAAACAATAAAATGAATTTTTATTCAAATAATTTTTTTAGTCAAAGAAATCCTCCATCACTTTAATGCCTGGCTGTATATAACATCAAACTTTATTATAACTAATTTTGATATCATTTAGTCATAATAAATTTTTGCATTTCCAGTCAAGTACTACTTAATTTACAAGTTATATCTCTATGAGGATATCTTTAAAAGAAAGTGTGATGCTTGCACCGGGAATGTAGGATCGTTGTAAAATTATGCAAAAAAACTTCAAATAGAAAAGATATACATATGTAAATATTACCATTTATTTATATTTTTTTGGTCTGGAGCTGTAAAAGATCTAGGTGAAAGAGATGACGATAAAATAGAAGTTGTATTTACAAAGATAGAGGTATGGATGTAAAAGTCAAAAAGAAACTTGTAACAGGAGCTTTGTATACTGTTTTTTTCTTGATTAAGTTAATAGTCCGTGGTACAGACCCTTTTTTATCTAATTATTAACATCCGGCTGAAATTTTGTATTTAGCTCCATCTCATCGTAACCTACAAATATTTTATTTACGAAAATCCTTGGAATTGGGTTTTTTCAATCTGGAGATTGGCAAACTTTGTCTATTTAATTAGGTACTAAAAACTACCCACTTGCTTTCTACTTGGATCGTAAGATAATTTGATCACAAAATCTACAACAACATTGGGCTGTTTGTCCTATATAATCTCGTTATTTTGAAAATTTTGGGGTGTAGGTCACACTAAACAGCTCAATATTTTTGAAGACCGTATAATAATGGGCGTTTTCAATCTGGAGGTTGGCAAAGTTTGTCTATTTAATTAGGTACTAAAAGCTCGTAAATACCCATTTGCTTACCACTATAATCATAAGATAACTTGAGCACAAAGACGAGGAAAAAGGTGACCTTTGAAAATATTGAGCCGTTTGCGCGACATAACTACGTTCTTTTGACAATTTGGGAGTGTAGGTCACGCCAAACAGCTCAATGTTTATGAAGGCCACCTTTTTTCTAGACTTTATGCTCAAGTTATCTTACGATTAAAGTGGAAAGGAAGTAGGCATTTACGAGTTTTTAGTACCTAATTAAATAGACAAATTTCGCTGATCTCCAGATTGAAAACGCCCCAATTTCAAGAATTTTCATAAATGAAATATTTGTAGGTTACGATGAGATGGAGCTATTTATAAAGTTTCAGCTGGATGTTAACAATTTGAAAAAATGGGCTCTATACCACGGACTATACCAGTCTATAACACTTAACCAGTCCACTCATTCCATTTCAACTTTATTGAAATGTCCAGTGTATGATACATGAGTTTCAACATATGACTTCAAGTTTCAACATAGCTGCATTGCTTTTGGAGAACACTCAGCTGATCCATGTATTGTGATTTTCTTTTTCAGTTGTTTCTCTTCCAGAAAATTAATTGCTTCTAACGGTATTTTTATGGTTAAAACCCACTCAATTTACTTAAGCAAAGAAAGAGAAATTTCCCTAATATGTATTTTCATATTTAAGTTATCACTGTTATTCATAACCACTGTTTTAGTTATTAGACACTAAATACTGTTTGAATAGTGCATAGACATAAAAAATTATCAATGAATTTTTTATTCTATTATATTTATCATTTGAAAACTTAGACATATAAGCTATAAAAGATAGAAGTAGATTAAGCAATGCTGAATAATTACTCACCACTTTGCCAGGAATGATATCCTAATCGCAAACAGTTAATAGCTAGTGTAGCGAAAGGGTAATCAGAAGGATTAACGATAGGCCTGAATTGATTTAATGATTGTAATTTGTTTGGTTTAGCCCAAAGACAAACTGAGAGGCAATCGATATTGGTAGATATTTGTAAAACAGGTACCAGTTTACGAGAGAACACCGAGTCCACTCTAACACAGCCTCCTAAAGCCTGAAATAAAAATACTAAAGATTAATTTACAAAAATTTAATATTAAACATCCAACATCTAAAGTTAATCAACATTCAGTGTTTTTACTTTACGTAGTGTTTGGCTAAGGATTATCCAGATTAATATTTAAAATACTTTCTCAGATATCAAATTCATGCGAAAGTCATTTGAACCACCAACTATGGAAAAATATTGTCTTACTTAATAAGTCCATGATGCCATGTGGATTAAATTTTTTATTTTTTTATTTATGACATTTACAACTGTATTTAGTAAATTGATAACAGAAAATAATAACATGAAATCACTTGTTGAGAAACTACTCACTGGTAGCACTCTAAAAAAAAAAAAAAATGTATTTAAAATAAGAGATCTCGAGGCCATCTTCTTTTCAGATGCCTCGGAGGGTTATCAGGGATAGAAGAGGAAGCAAGGTTAGAGACGAGAGGATTTGGATGGTTCTGAAGTTTATTATGGAAGGATATGTATCTGGATTGGGCCAAATCGGACACATAAGGAATATTAAGGTCGTTATGGATTATTTTATTGGTGACAAAGTAAGGAGCATTCAGGATTTTCCAAAGGATTTTGGATTGAAAGGATTGGATACGAGAGGAATTCGATGGCTTAGTGGAGCCCCAAAGCTCAACTCCGTAAGTCCAAATAGGTCTTATTGTAGTCATGTATATGAGTTTTTTGTAATTAACTGGAAGCTTAGAGCGTTTGTCTAGTAAGTGTTGGAGTAGTCGGAAACATCGAGTGGTTTCTTGTCGTTTCAGTCTGGTATGAGGGTTCCAAATTAGACATTTGTCCAAGTGGAGTCCAAGGTATCGGATTTGTTCAACAGGTATAAGTGGGGTATTATTAAAGAATACTGTAGGACAGGAGGTCATAGGTTTACGGCAAGGGTAAAGGTGATTTGATGGGATTTATTTTAATCCTCCAGTTTCGACACCATTTTTCAAGACTTGTGATGAGTGATTGAAGAGTTTGGGATGCAATAGATGGATCGTTATTAACTGATACGATACACGTGTCATCGGCATAGGTGGTTATGACAGTGTTGAATTGGGTTGGGATGTCAGCTGTATAAACTGTGTAAAGGATAGGACCTAGGATACAATTAAAAAGACAAAAAATATTATTGAAGTTTCCTAAGAAAATATTAGGAAAAAGGACTTTGTGGCTAAATTAAGTATTTTAGGATATAAAATTATTTTAAATAGATATCTTAAATAGACTGGGAGGATTAAATGTAAAACAATAATAAATAACTTTTTTTAAAACAAAATATTAACCTTTGACTGTATAGGTAAGTCATCACAGTTGAGTATTACTCTCCAAACGCAAGCTGTTCGTTTCTGAGCAGGCAATTCCACCCTCGAGGTCTGGCTTTCCGACAGCTTCCCTTTTGCCCATTTACACCAACCCTGAAGTGGATCAAGGTACTCTAAACTTAGTTCTACTGTACCGGAGACAGCTTTCTGCAATAAATCAATTGCAACTTTAACTTAAAATAAAATATGATAACTATAAATATGACCATCAATAAAATTAATAATCACACAAAACACTATATACAAAATAATCATGTCAATGACGTTAATAAGTTTAAATAATTAATAAATAAATATCAGAAATTTCTTATTACAGTGAATGGTACGGGCAAAATGGTGAGCGATGAAATAGCCCTCGGGTGTGGATAGGACCAAGCCATAACTGCCGGCGATGGAAAAGTAACTTGATAAGGTAACGGTAAATCGCTTCCACTCGTAAACTGAAAAGCACCAGTCTGCAAATCATCTTTATAGATTTCCTCATCTTCATCTTTAGGAGAAGGCTTTTCTAAAAAAAACATTAAAGTTAATTAAAAATAAAGGAAATAGATGGTCCGGAGTTGCGGACATAAATAGGCTTAATAGTGGTATAACTATTTTATTGAAAGCCGACGTTTCGACCCGACTTTGCAGGTCTTCATCAGGGCTAGAACGGACAAGATACAAAAAGATAGAGAATTGTGGCAATTACATGATATTTAGACATAATTTATAAACAATGTGAATAAGATTAATAAAATTATAAACAGTAAGTACAATAAAATATGGACAAAGTAAGCTGAGTAACAAGATCCTAAACTGAAGTAAATAGATGCTAACAATTGTTGTAGTGTAATATATAATAAATAAAAGTGTGAATATATTTCTACAAAATCTGCAATTATCTAATATTCAATATACTATTATCTAATATACTAAAATTATCTAATATTCAAATGTAATTTTCTTACATATGTACAACCAAATATAATTATAATTATTAATTTTTTCCCTCTCTATATTTTTAAGTTAGCTCCGCAATGTATGTATGTAAATGAAGTTATTTCTATATTTATATTTTACTTTTGCCAATTTTGGGTTTATTCACATTGTACTCTGATCTAGAATCATGAAATACCTCTCACATCTCTCAACTCTATTTTATATGTATATTTATAATTTAATATTTCATAGATATAGTATTTTTCCATTGTATTATCCATATCTTCAAAATTTTTAGATACTGTAATTTCCTAGGTATTTCCCAATTTACTTAGTTAACACATGTTAGCTTCCCCTATACCTGCTATCCTTACCGCTGCCTTTCCAGTTCTAAGTGAAACTCCTAGATGAACACACCTGTAAGTCTCTAATTTTATTTCTCTCCTGTAGGTTTTGTAGAAGTATATTCACATTTTTATTTATTATATATTACACTACAACAATTGTTAGCATATATTTACTTCAGTTTAGGATCTTGTTACTCACTCAGCTTACTTTGTCCATATTTTATTTTACTTACTGTTTATAATTTTAATAAGCTTATTCACATTGTTTATAAATTATGTCTAAATATCATGTAATTGCCACAATTCTATATCTTTTTGTATCTTGTCCGTTCTAGCCCTGATGAAGAGCTGTAAAGTCGGGTCGAAACGTCGGCTTTCAATAAAATAGTTTTACCACTATTTAGCCTATTTATGACCGTAACCCCGGACCATCTCCTTCCTTTATAATACAACGGTCAACTATTAAATATTCAAATTAATTAAAAATAAAATTTAAATATATACATTTATTTATTCATAATTTAAATATATCATTCAACCTCTCCTAAATTGAAAAAATAATAAATGCAAAATTACCAGGTTTTTTCGATTTAGTTTGTTTATTTGTATCAATGTAAGGTTTGATGTCATCAAGAAGGTCTTGGATGGCTTGAACTTGAGATGGATGAATCTCTATGGCTAAGATGTCAGAACTTATCGAAGCTCTGAAACAATATTAAGACAATGTCTACATAAGATATTAAGAAAACAATTAGCAAATGGTATTAAACTTACAAGAGAACAGAATTTCGATCACCTCTCACAAAGCAGTGTGAGTAGGTATAAATTTTTATTGTTTTTGTTACCTTTTATCGTTTTCTATTCATAAGAGTGTATTTTTTTAAGTGTATTTTATTTTATTTAAAAGTATTTTATTTTTTACTTATCTTCTGCACTCTCCTCTCTATGTATGTGGGTATGTATGTGTTTGTTTTTTCTTTTTCTGCTCATAATCTATTGTGTTATAGGTAGATAACAATACTTGTCTACTTTTTCACAATACCTTCACATGTTTTCACTTAAACGTCTTAAGGAATATATGTAAATCATTTATTTACTCTAGTTATTTTCTTTTATTCTTATTTTTATTTTATTTTATTTTATTGTAGCACTAAAATTGGTTACCTATAAAACTTATTTAGCATTTCTTTCCAATTTTATTTAGTTATAAGTATGTTGTTGTTTTTTGTATCAATATTATAATATTGTAACCGTTGTACCCATCCGCTTTCATTAATATACTCTCCAAAACTATGTATATACTCATTGTATTACTTAGATTATAGTTACTCTTTATTATAATAGGTCATCTGGCCAGATTTATTGTCGATTAGTTTAAACAATATTGTTATTTCTCAAGGGACCTAGTCTCTGAATAAAGATGATTTTCTATTCTATTAAAACTATTAAAGAGCTAATTCTTATATTGAAACGAAATCCAATACAAAAAAAAAAGTGCAATTGAAGCAGTGTTCGTCTAGCAGTGCATTATGGATATTTAATTAAATAATAAACTAAAGGACAAATAATAAATATTTTAAAAATAAAATAAAAATGTAAAATAGATTCATATATTTGTACATCTGTATAAGATAACATAAAGATTTATCATTAACATGTGTGTTGAAGATTGATTTTTGAGAAGGTAGAGAAATAAATAGTGCTTAAATAAGATTAGAGAGGGAGCTATATGAATGGAGATGAGTAAGAAATTTCAAAACAAATTACCACAGCGACAGTAACAGTAATTGTAGTAACAATGACTTGATAATTGTTGTAAGATGACATAATAAGTTCAGTAGAAATAAAATAAACATAGAATGATGGTGAGTATAGAATAATAATGATGATAAGCTGAGAATGAAATATAGAGTATGTGAATTTCATAATTGTGGGTAAATGGTTGACTGTCGTGAATAATGAAGAGAAGAATAGTTGGGGTGATCAATCAAATAAGAAGGCAAAAATGAATGATAATATTTATTTTGACATTTGGCAAATGTCAAAATAAATATTACCATTTTTCCATATTATTACATATTCCCCAAAACTACACCATATCTGTTGTGAAAGTTAGAAAATCTTAAAAGCTGTATGAAGATTAATATGTTTTTTTGGAAAATTTGATACTCCAAGTTAGGTATAAATAAAAGATAATTAAGATATTTTTTTTGTTACATAGATTTTAGAAATAAAAAGGATAGAACAGAATTCAAATCTTCATATCCGTATGAAAGGAATTAGAAAAATCAAACATATGTAAGAAAAGATAAGTAATGGACAATAAATAACAACAGATATGACTTCTTTTTACAAAAATTCAATAATGGCTTGGTTAAAATAAAAAGGTTATTAATTTAATTCCAATTGTTTTTTTAATTGTTATAAACTATACAGAAGGTCTTATTGTACACTAAATTTTCAAAACGAATTTATTACTTTCCTACCTATACTAGGTAAGGAAAGTATTACAATCGGGACAAATTTCCCATATGCGGCTTTCGACGGATCTATCCGTTTTAGAGCCCCCTGAGTCCGAAAAACAAATTTTTAGCCATTGGTCTGTCTGTCTGTCTGTGCCAAGATTTTCTCAGGAACTACTGAACTGATTTTGTTGCTTCTTTTTTTATTTTGTAGGGTTTTGACTACTGATGGCTGTGACAGAAATTCGGTGCTCCATGCGCAATAGCTTGCGCGCAATAAATGAAAAACATGTTTTTCTATAGACTGTAGCGCAAAAACAGCTCTAACAATTTTGATGAAACTTTCCTGTAATATTCTAATCATTGTTCTTTCAATTTTCGTATATAGACTAAATTCCCGAAAAAATTCAAGAAAAAAAGTTATAAAGAATAACTTAAGAATGCCGTTTAGCCTGTCGTTTGAAAGGTAATGAAATTCCCTACAAAGCCATATAAAAATCGTTCATTTTGGACAACTATTAACGAAGTTACGCTATTCAATTTCCAATGTAAGATTACGGTTTCATATCCTGTGTCAGAAAGGGGTGAATGAGAGAATAAAGATGACTAAGTGAAAGTTAGAAAATCTGGTGCCCGCATCATACAATCTTCACTATTTCCTCTACTTTTAACAGAATTATTGTGTGAAAAAATTAGGTTAAGGTTTTTGATCATCAATATTAGGAAATATTGAAATTTTTACACTGATCTACTTTAAGACAGTTTACATTGCTTTAGTTTATCAAATAAATTGTACTCAAATCTTATTTACAGGAAAATGTATCTAGTTCAATTATTGTTGTTTCTTTATGAGCATATGTAAAGATATAAAAACTATTCTGAAATAGATAGGAAAGTCGTGTGAGTGGACACACCAGATATTTTTTTATCAGGAGTGATAACATCTTTATTATGTATATCTCATTAATTTTTGCTAATCAATTGAGTGATTTCTTTTACTAAGAGAGGATGTGATGGCCGCGCACATTGGGACAAAGGTCTCAGGATGGTCAGTTTGGAATGCTGTGTGTTAGATTCTAGACAAGATTGGGTCAGTTAATATTTTTAATTTCACCGTATCTCAATCAGTTAAATGTCGATAGTCCTGAGAAATGAATATCAACACTCAAACTCTGGTTAAAATGAGTTCAATAACTTGAAGGATAAGTTCCACCATCAGTATCAGTAATATACTAAGACTTGAAGCAATATTTTGTAATAATATTATCAATTACCTAAAAAGGTGTTGCAACAACCAATTTTCTAAAGAAAGATAAGCATTGCACTCCATCGACCAGGGCGTAAGTATCAGGCGACCTCCGATAGATGCAGCTACTCCTCTTAAATTTAGCTTAAAGCTTATCTGTGTACTAGGAAATGTCACACTTCCTTCAAGTTCACCAATGCTCATGATAGAGGTTCTCTTGCCTAAGTGGTAGGAAAAAAAATAAAGCATCATATTTTAATTTCAACATTAAAACAATACATTTTGAATGCTAATTAAAAAACAAATTATGCCAAATGAAAATATTGAAATACCTAATTCTTTTGGGAAGTATTCCACTGCAAGTTGTTTCGTTGTAATGTTAAAGGAAGAGATTGAATGCATGAAATGATGACCCCCATAACTGCCTTTGAAAGAAACCAAGCTGAAAAAATTACCATTCTATTTAGTTATAATATAATTATAAACAAAAACAAAAATATGAATAACTAGAGGGATACCCCCTGACCAATACCCATTTTACAAATTATACAACTGTTCATTCAATTGCAATGTTCATAGCATAAACTATATAACTGCAATTTACATGTATTCAGTAGTTTAGATTGTATTATTTTTTATCAACATAAAATAAATGGAACGAAACCACGGATATTTGGCATCCGTAATTGGTAATAAAGACCAGAGGGCATGGTTTGAGAACTGAGGGTACAGTACTTGAACACCCTCAATGCTCAAACCATGCCCTGAAGATGACTCACATGTTTGGGTTGAAACGGCACAATTAAAAAATTAAAATTTTGTTAAATAAGACTGCGTCCTGAATATTTATCACTCATGAAAGAAAAGAAACTTTATTTGCGAATAACTCAAAAATTACACATTTTTCCCTTGGTTATGTCCATGATTATATAACAGATCACTAAATTCTCTACAAAAAGGGGAAAAAAAAATCATTGAAATCAGACAATTTTTAGCAAAGATATACCTTATTGAAATTTGTAAACATATTGGTTCTAAGCATTAATGAAGTTTTAAATTAATTTTTGTTTCCTTTGTTGATTATATTTATCAAGAAAGTAACAAATGATTTCTTTATCTTCTGATACGCAGTATTATTTTATTTTATTATTAATTTGGCATTTGATCACTTAATAATATGTTGTGCAAATTTTTTGCACTGGCCTACTAGTTCAATTAATTTTCAAATTGTGGTTATTTAAATAATTGAATATCAATTAATTCTAACACTAGATTAATAAATATTGTATAAAAATGTTTGGAGGATGCAACTACGTAACAGAGACTACATGTGACCTGCAAATCCCCATGGTTCCTCACCTATGGTATATACAAATGAACATGTTTCACGGATGTCGCTTACTATACCTCGAATGCATTAGGGAAATGATACCAATCTAATTTGATAGTTCTCATTGAGGTATACTAGTATTATTAATAAATGAAAACAAAAATATGATTATTCAAAAATATTTTAAACACTCAAAAAAAGTTGATTTACATACTTCGCAGAAGAGGAATTAGAAGATACTGAAGGCATTGTACTGATAGCTTGTATACTTATTGAAGAACTAAGAGACCTTTCTGGTGATGTTTGAGGTAAAATTTCCTGCAGTGATTTAAGGAACTGTAAACTGGAAATTTTTAAAGAAAGTTTTAGAGGTCTTCCCATCTCAATTTCTATCTAAAACACAAAAGAAATTTCAATATGAATAAATTTATTTAAAAATCCGTTGATCATAAAGGAATATTTCAGCATATTGATAATAGATTAAAACTAGATAAAAGGAAGAAAGAGCAAAAAGTATAATAATAAAGGAAGGAGATGGTCCGGGGTTGCGGTCATAAATAGACTAAATAGTGGTAAACTATTTTATTGAAAGCTGACCGTTTCGACCCGACTTGCAGTCTTCATCAGGGCTAGAACGTACAAGATACAAAAAGATAGATAATTGTGGCAATTAGCATGAAATTTTTAGACATAATTATAAACAATGTGAATAATCTTCTTAAAATTATAAACAGTAAGTACAATATAATATGGACAAAATAACAGAGTAACAAGATCCTAAACTGAAGTAAATAAGATGCAAACAATTATTGTAGTGTAATATATAAATAAATAAAAATGTGAATATCTTCTACAAATCTACAGGAGAAACTAAAATTAGAGACTTACGGTGTGTTCCTCGAGGAGTTTCACTTAGAACTGGAAAGGCAGCGTAAAGGATTGAGTATAGGGGGAGTAAACATGGTTAACTAAGTAAACTGGGAAAAACCTAGAAAATACAGTATCTAAAAATTTTGAAGATAAGGATAGATACAATGGAAAAATACTATATCTATGAAATATAAATTATACATATAACATATAAAAAGAGTTTAGAGATGTGAGAGTATTTCATGATTCTAGATCAGACTACAATGTGAATAAACCCAAAAATTGGCAAAATAAATATAATATTAGAATAACTTCATTACATACATACATTGCAGAGCTAACTTAAAAGTATAGAGAGGGAAAAATGGACCATCTCCTTCCTTTATAATGCAACGGTCAACTATTAAATATTCACTATAATAATAAACCATTATAGATAGCTCACCGAAGGGAGTTTCATTCCAACTGAAGAGGATTTAAAGTTTGCGAGAGCGGGTGGAATACCTTTATATGGATCGGGGTCACCTTCCTTGCTTCGAAGGAAATTAAACATGAAATCATCTTTCTCGACAGTAGTCGTACTTACACCATCTATGCCATGTCTTACATCAAGATCAAAAATAGATGCCTGAAAAATAATAAAAATTAAAAAAAAAAAGAAGTTTAAAATTAAATAGAAATATTTATATATTTTTATCATTATTCTTCTGATACAGTATTGTTCATTTACATTAGAGAAATTTAGATTTTATTATTAGAAAAAAACAACAACATAGCTTTCTTGAAATAAATCTTTTAAAATATCGGTACTAGTTCACAAGAGTTCCGCACGGATTACGCATGGTTCACAATCAGTTCGATCACACTTGTTCCTGGAATCCCGAATGCGTTCGGGTTTATCCGAAAGAGAACGAAGGCGACTGATCTCTTGGGCCAGTTACTATTAACTTTCCCGCCATTTAAGTACTACTATAATCTCAAACATGTTCAGTTATATAGCAGGAGCTGATTTACATTCGGAATTTAGGCTATACATCATTAAACCTGAATTGAACTTGTACATATATTATAGATCTGTAAAAAAGAAATAGTAATAGATAAAAATATTTAATTATTACATCTCTGAATGCCACAGGCAAGAAGGGCTTTCGGGCTGAAGCTCCCCCCAAAACGGAAAAATATAACCATGTTTTATAGAAAAAAATATTAAAAACTATCTCTTAAAGTATTATTGTTCGTGTAATTACATTTAATAGGACTTCAAAAATCACTTAAACACCATTTCATATAGGTAGTTCATTTCTTTTTTTTTTTTTTTTTAAAATTAATTATCGTTATATATATATATATATATATATATATATATATATATATATATATATATATATATATATATATGAAAAGAAATTTTTCGGGCTGAAGCCCCCTCCCAAAATTAATAATTTATTAAATTAATTAAAATTAAAATTAATAATTGACAAATTAGTAAATACACAATTCGTTAATAAGGAAGTTTCATGAAGGGAATACGTTACTTTTTTTTTCAAAAATGCATGAAAAGGGGTTGTGTGATGGGGCAATAGCTGACACCATAAAAGACAACAACATTCGGCTGTTTTCGGGATTCCATGAACAAGTGTGATCGAAGTGATTGTGAACCACGCATAATCCGTGCGGAACTCTTGTGAACTAGTACCAAAATATCATATCTCCAAAATATTTTGATATAGGAAGGTGCAGTTGTTGACGTTGAACTACATTTTTGTAAGTATATTTCTCCCTCAATTACTGAAATTTTCCTCTTAGACATACTTATCTTATTCTTTAATATCAATCTGAAAAACATACCTTATAAGTTGTTGTATCTCCCTGTTTTTCTAGCGATATGTAAGGCTGTACTATCGAAACATATAAGAGCGGTAAAAATAAAGAGCTATCATCTTCAGTTGAAAAAAGTTTTAGTGTTATGCCTTTACCGGTGATCAGAATGTCTGAAGGAACTACTTGTGTTCTTTGTCGTATCCTGGAATAACAAAAATAGTAACAACATTGTGTAACAATATTACATCATTTCAGGAAGTTTTGATTAATAACGTAAACTAAACTTATCAAGTTATTTATTATTATCATCTGTCAATTATTATTTTAATATACAATTATAATCAGATGCCTTGTATATAACATAAATACAAAAATAACTGTCACAATCTATATTAATAAATTCACGAAAGCTTGCAGATATAAAAATATAACCTTAACACAAATAACAGCTTTTTCCATGAAGAATTCATTAACGCTGGAATCACTAATTTATTCACAGACTAATTAGAACTGAACTCACTTTTCAACCAACTGTTTTTTTTAAAACAATTAATAACTGAACTATCAATTACATTTATATACTGAATTCTCTATCACTGCGAGCTTGAGAAGGTTCTTGTAGCCCACAAGTTTTAGACTTTTCTAGAAAATTCCTCAAATCTGGTCGGTTGAAAACTAATAGTCAATTACCTTGAACCTTATGCTCATTTTTCTAACTTTCGTTATACATAAATATAATTTACAAATAATCAATTCTCAACAAACATCTGCAAAAATCACTAGAATTGATTTAAATAGAAATGGCAAAAAATATGGCAGAAAACTATCTATAATAAGTTGCTAACAGCAAAGGAATCTTAAAGAAGATTTAAGGAAAAAATTGAATGCATCAACACAAAAGAGCTAATATCTAGAATAAAAATATTTATTCAATATTTCTTTCGATACCGGGGGACATACAGTTATTTTATCATTATTTCAAGGCAGTTGGTTCAAAATTTCATATATAAACATATACTTTCCTATCGGAGAAATTAATAAAGAAGTTAAAAGTTAATCTTATAATAAATTGGAATTTAAAAACAATAAATTAATAAGACTATAAATAAATTAAACTAAAGTGAAACTGATAATAGGTGATATGTGAACGCAAAAAAAAAATAATATATATAAGTCTTTTCAGAAGGACTTTATTTCATACATTGATTTCATTAAATATTAATAACTTAATTGGATTAATAATAAAAAAATAGCTTAACAATACTTACCCTCTCGTATTAATTGAAGTAGATGTAGATACGCTTATCTGTGATGGAGGCAAAGCAGGTTTTGTTATTTCACTGATTTCTACAAAACAGAGAATAGAGTTAAAGCTATTATTCAAATTCATATTAATTATACAAATACTCAATATGAATTAATAGATGTACTTTTAAAAGGAGGAACATTTATAGATCCGTCTGCAGATTCGATTCCACTGTCCAATTCAAAACTTGCTTCTGGTGTTTCAGGTATAACACTAGCTAACTCGGAGAGAAGGGAAAAACAAAGTTTCAACTGGTCGGTGCTCAATCTTATTTCTGCTTCGGAAATCATGTTGCCCTTCAGAATTGAAATAAAATAAATAAATAAAGATTCATAAGCAAATACAAAGCCTAAAACATACTTATAGTGAGTCTTAATTGTAGTTTGAAGAATAGAAACTTGATGAAATATATATAAAAGAATCATACACATTGGGAAAATGTATGACATCATAAATAATCTTGTTAAAATAGTTCGACACATTTTTTACTATTAGCCGCCTGAAAAAATTTTTTTTTTTTTTTATATTCCCTACCGAACTCATTTTTCATACAATAGATTCATATTATTTTTGCTAGGTTTCCTTACTTCAAAATACAGTCCAGAGACAAGAACCCCTGCCGTGAGAATTGGTGGCGCAAGGATGAAAGAAATGCCAAGTTTAGTGAGGATAGGAACCATGTGCTCTCCTTTTCCAGCTTGAGGTGCGCCAACAGTATTCCACGTGACGGCTGGATTCTCATCAGTATCGGAGATACCACAAATAAGAGGTTCAAGATCATTCCATTTACCTAGAAATTTCACATAGTCAAACCATAATTGCTAATAATAATTTTATTTAGGGAGTTATTTAGGTCTTCCTATTATTTTTACTATTCATAATTGGTAATTGGTTGACTGTCGTAGATCTGTAGATGTACAGATAATGTATAATATAATAAAGAGTTAAAAACAGAGAAAAGGAATGAAAGGAAGGAGGGAAGAAATTGAGAAAGCTGAAATAAGAAATAAATAAATAATAATAATAATAAATAATAATTCTTTATTATTTCAGCTTTCTCTATTTCTTCCCTCCTTCCTTTCATTCCTTTTCTGTTTTTAACTCTTTATTATATTATACCTTGTCTGTACATCTTGATAGACTTTACAATATCTCAATTTTCTATCCAACTACTCCATTCTCAATGTCTTAATTTTACTATTGATTTTCATTTCTTATATAAATTCATATTTCTTTTTTATGTTTTATATTTTATTCTAAGATTCCCATTGTAACACTTATGTCACCCTTTTTGATTATGCCTACTTCATCATTCCACACTTTGTAACGGTTATTATTATTTATCTCTTAGTTCTTGGTCATTATTCTAACAATTTCATTTTACTTTATATTTATTTCTTTATTTTATTTTATTTTTTTATTTTATTTTATTTTTATTTTTTTTACCATCACTACTTATGTTTCTCATACCTTGTTATCTGGTTATTTTCTTAGCCCTGATGAAGGCCTGAACTTCAGGTCGAAACGTCGGCATATGTAAAAATAAATATTATCATTTATTTTTGCCTTCCTTTTTGACTGACCACCCCAACTATTCTTCTCTTCATTATTTTTACTATTCTTTATTATCTTAATGTTTAGGGCTTATTTTTTGTCCATTTACAAAAGCTGTAACAATCAACATGTAATTAATATTTCTTGCTAAATTAATTACATGTTCATTATTAACAATTTTTGAAAATAGGAAAATAGAATAATATTGAGACCTAAATAACTTTTCAAAAAATTAATTAATAACTAGTGGACCTTCAAATAAGAAAAAAATTCATAAATTAGTCCTTCCTAACTAACAAATCTTCTTTTTTTAGAACCTATTTTTCCGATGTTCTTAATTGTTAGTTAATTTGATTTTCAAATCTTATGAGAAAATTACCTGTTGTAATTTGAATGGAAAGGTCTAACTGATATTGACGATCCTCATTTTTTGATCCTGGTACAGTTGTCATCCGGCTGAGGCCTGAGCGTAAAATTTTTCGAGATACTGGATTCACTGCTTCAGAACGGACGGTGATATCATCAATCTATAGTAATAACAATAATTACTATAAAAAAACATTGAATAAATCATTAAGATAAGTTAACAAAAAAAAAAGGAACAAAAACACCAGAAAAAGACAAAATATAATGATAAATAACCATGCAGTGATGTATCATAGAAAAAGTCAAAAAGAAGAGCAGGATCTCGAAATATTGATAGCATAATATTATGATAGTTATCACAAAAATATTAACTAGTAAGATATTCACTTAATCATAACCTATAGATACAAATATAGAAATAAAAATATTGTTAAGATGTAATAAATAGGAACATTTAAAAAACAAAGCTGTAAAACATTGTTCAAATAAAGCATTAGTTAACAAATAACAAATCACCATAACAAGCTTAAATTAAGACATTTTGGTTCAAGAGAAAATAATAATAAAAGAACTGCTTTATCAAATAATTTTTAACTCTGATGATACATTAACTTTTATGTATTTTAATTTTTAAAACATCAACCATATCCTTCAACAATATTCTACTGATCCCTGTCGAACAGATCCGTTACCCAGGACTCCTTAACAAACGTCTAACCTGAAATCCTCATACTAGACTTAAAAGACAAGAAACTGCCAACAGATTCCGACTATTACAACACTTACTCGACAAACATTCTAAACTTCCAATATTCTACAAAAAAAACTCATTTACACTACCATCATCAGGCCCATTTGGAGATATGGTATTGAGCTTTGGGGCTCTACAAAAACATCAAATTATTCCCATATACAATCCTTACAATCGAAAATCCTCTGTAAAATTCTAAATGCTCCTTATTATGTAACAAATAAAATTATTCATAAAGACCTCAACATTCCTCTTGTGAAAGACTTGCCCCAAACTAGATATACCTCTTTTAATTCCAAACTCTATGGTCACCCAGTTCGTAACCCTTCATCCAATTCCTGACAACCCTCCGAGGCGTCTGAAAAGAAGATGGCCAAAGGACTTCCTAATTTATCTTTGAAGTGTTACCAATGGGTAGCTTCTTTACAAGTACCTTCATGTTATATATTCCTATCGCAGATTTACTGGTTGTATATATGTTTACAGTTATAAATTAAAAAAAAAATATCAATAAAAGAATTAGATTTAAAAAATCATTCAAAATAAGTATTATTCCAAAGTTTTTAGTAAACATAAATTTTGAATATGGTAGAATTACTATAACAGAATAATGTCTGATCTTACCTGTATAGCAAGTGTATCAGGCTTAGATGATGGTTGAGCTGAAGAACACAGAAATATTCTGACTTGTTGCAGGTCGAAATAAACTAGAGGTAGGTCGGCAGTCGTGAACTGAGAGAGAGGAGGCCCAGGAGGGGGGCTAGGCTGAGACAAAGGTTCAGACTGCGCCAATATTGGTTCGACAATCGATACGAATCTCATCAAAACCAGGGGTGAGATGATGAAATCGAGTGGTTCAAGTTTTATCACAATTTCTACGACATTCCTATCTTCTGGACCTTGTCCCGCAGATAGTTCCTAAAAACAGTTAATAAAGTTAATAATCTAACCAACTGTGAAATTCTAATTTTTTTCTATAGTACTCTTATAAAAATATCAATAGTTTTCCTAATAGCAACTAGAAGCTTTGAATAAATCTACATATGTTTAAACAAAAATAATTATTTAACAAATTTGAAACACCTAATATCCAGGAATTACACCTTATAAGAAATTTTTGATGAAGAAGCAATCCTCTTATGAACATTGGCCGCAGTAGCACGAGTTACAGTTAATGAGAGGAATTCTGAGTTGTTTCCACTTGACTCATGAGCTCGCATCATAATACCTCCGAAACAACCTACCCTCCAGCCACTATTGGGGTCACTGCAGGCAAAACAGAATAAATAAAGAATAAAACTTAAAATCAAAGAAAAATAACAATTAATTATGAAATTTCTTAATATACTATCAGAAATACAAACCTAACGTAATGTTTAATGGTAGAAGAACCGATTTTCATTTTTAGTTTTTCATGAACCAAATCGATGTCTATTGATGAAATAATGTCTTCTAATTCTAGAGACAACTTTAGTGACTCAGTTGATGTTTGCAAAGGCTTGGCATACAGTGAAATTGTTAACTTAGTTAACGTCCACTGAAGCCAACAAGAAAATTTGATTCCGCCTTTTTTGTCATCTTCTGGAATGTGAAAAAACAAAAAATACAAAATCTCTTTCATAAAATATATATATAACAAAAAACATATATTAAAAATGTGAAACATTAAACTAATTATGATTTGCAAAATTTGTGATTTTGTTTTCAAATCGAAGATTAATAATACTGCATTTATATCTTCATATTTGGAAGGATCAAATTATAAATAACTTATGAGAAAAATTCAACATAACAACAATTTTTTTTTCTCTGACATATTATTAGAGCATTATATTGTAGATGCTACAACCTAATGTAATTGTTTACTCACAGAAAAAAGAGTATTATCTACAAAGTAATATTTAAAAGTTGAAATAAAATCAGTTTTTGTAATTAATTGAATACATCAATCGATCCAATCATAGCCTAAAAGATAGTGAATAATAATCTAATGTCAACTAGGCTCACTCTCCAACCATTATGTTGATGTAGCGAGACAGTAGAAACAAAGAGACAGTTTACAGTGACGCATGAATAAGTTAAAGATGTGAATAAGTATTATTGATGGAACACAACGCTACTTTATCGATCTAATAGAAGACAAGGTGGCATTGAGTTCTAAGAGTTTCTATGACTTCAACAAAAATCTTAACGCCCCACCATGACTCCTAGAAATGTTCATTTTTGCAGTATTTCAACAAAATGTCCAAAAATGAAACTAATTTAATTAAATATAATTAAAATTCATTTCTTGTTAAGTACCTAGAAGTATCAAGATCCATATTGTACATCAACTACTAAAGAGAAAAAAAAACTTACCAGCAGGAGAAATGTTAGATAGTTGAGAAGGAGAATTATCTAAATTGGTCATCGACTCCTCACTCCCAGTCATTTTTACTTCTGGGCTAATCAGAGGCTCGCCCATATTGCTTAAGCCCATTGATATTATATTTAACGTTTTAGTGGAACTAATGCAGAAATCTGCCAAACAGCTCATCTGAAATGTTAAAACACATATCTTATTTCACACAATCAGTTCGTAAAGTGAATACAACATAACTTTTCAAAGTGTAAATAAATTTAACATTAAGATTGTTTTTATTTACAATTAAAACAAATTTTATCTAATAATGTTTAGAATTTACGAGATAAAAAAAAAATTGTAGCTCAGGTTTATTAACAATGACTATCAGTTAGCATTAGAAAAGTAATCAGTATGAACAATCAGTTGGTGGCCATATATGATTCCTAACAATCTTCATAATTTCATTAAAATGATTATTCAGTTATACTCAAGAATATAATACTTGTCTAATAATAAAATAAAATAACTTAAAAAATTAGTAAAATGGATCTATAAAAAAAAAAAAGGGCTAAAGATCCCAGAAATAGAAATAGAAAATTGAAATAAAAAAAAGTGGGGGGAGGGAGGAGAGAGAAAGAATGGGAGATGGAAAGTATTTTAATGATACTTATTTAATATATATTAATTATATTATTTTCAAAGGAAGGAGATGGTCCAGGGTGGCGGTCATAAATAGGCTAAATAGTGGTAAAACTATTTTATTAAAAGCAGGCGTTTCGACCAGACTTTGCAGGTCTTCTTCAGGGAGGTGTGTTCAGCTAGGAGTTTTAATTAGAACTGACTCAGTTCTAATTGAAACTCCTAGCTGAACACACCTCCTTGAAGAAGACCTGCAAAGTCGGCTTTTAATAAAATAGTTTTACCACTATTTAGCCTATTTATGACCTCCACCCCAGACCATCTCCTTCCTTTATAATGCAACGGTCAACTATTAAATATTCTATATTATTTTCAGAAAAAATGTGGACAAACAGAAAAGGGAAGTTGTATTACTTACTTGAATTCGTGTAAGGGATAACGATATGTGGCTTGTATCGATATGTAAAGTGAAAGCTATTAATGGTGATGGAATAACACGTGTAGTAAGAGCGATCGTGCAAGTCGTACTGAATTCTTCAATAAAATTATCCTTTATGCCATCAGAGACACTCCAACCACATATTCCATTTATTTCTAATCTTAATGGAAATGCAATAACATCTAAAAAAAGAAATATGTGAAGATTAGATAATAAAAATTAAATTTTATGTGGTAATTTACAATATTTTAAATAATTTAACCATCAACTTACTTTTTTTTAATATGCCATAAGGAATTGGCAAGGAATCAGTATCTACGGCAAATTTTCCTTGAGCTGAAGTTAAACAAACAGATGGAACCCAAACGACAAGGATGCAATTTTTTTCAGTCGGAAAGCTAGTATATGTGAACCGAACATCAGTTATTTCTCCAAATACAGCCAAAGAAAGCCATTTCATGAGCCAATCAAAGTTCTGAAACAATGAAGTGCATATTAAAATTATCAAAACATATTCATGGCTTATAAATTTAAAATATTGCTGTAATACAGAGAACAATAAAGGAACTAAATTAATATTGTATTTTACTAAGAAACAGATAATGTTTGTAACATCTCAGAAAACTATGGTCAGTTGAGCAAAGGAAAAAATTAGTATCTGAAATAGAAGGTACTTCTAGTAACAAGTCAAATTACTAAATGAAAATGCATATCATCGACCTTTATATGAAAATAATTAGAAAAAACAATTAGATTTTGGATTATTTTAATTTTGCCTGAAAATTTAATAATGGTTCATGTTAATTTTATCTGCTCAACTCAATTTTTCAGTTTGAATAATTGAGTTGAGATCGACAATAGATTAAAGGCTCCTGCACACAGAACACAAAATGTCCCAACGATATGATATCCCTTTGTCTGTATTGTTGCAGATTATTGCGCTCTCCGAGACTGCTATAGTGCATTAGATATTAATACAAATATATTCCCATATCGGTGCTGGTAATAATATCATATTGCTGAGACATATATTCTGTATATAATAATAGTAATAATAATAATAATACTTTATTTATTTTGGGACGAGTCCCTTTAGAATAATACAGCAAGACAGAAATGTGGGTTAAGGAGCCTCAGAGATACATACAAAAAAATACAGAGTAATTAAATAGTCTTAGTGAATATATATATATATATATATATATATATATATATATATATATATATATATATATATATATATATATATATATATATATAAGTTACTTTCTAATTTTGATCAGTTAATAATAAAAAAATGAAAAATTGTTTAAAAAAAAATGAAGAACGAACTAATAATTCATATACATATTTACAGTAGTACCTAATTACAATGTTATGGGTACTGGATGGATAAGAAATGATTGAACAGGCGGGATTTAAAGGTAGGAAGGGTATTGGATTGATGGATGTGGGAAGGGATGGAGTCTCATAGGGATGAGGATTGGATAATGAATGATATGTCAAAAGCAGTGGTTCGGTGGGCCCTTATGTATAAATCAGAAGACCTGGAACAAATCTTGGGGAAACAAACAGAGGATTTGAATTAAAGGAGCTCTAGAGATGTATGAGGGACGGTGGGATTGGATTACTTGGAAGAAGAAGGATGTCAGGAAATACTTACGATGGTAGGAAGGATAAAACCACTTCAACTCCGCATAAAAATGGGAAACAGGCGTCCCTTGGAATCCCGAAGATGAATTGTGCAAAGTAATTCATCAAACATTCTAGTTTCACCTTGAGATCCCCAGAAATAGTCAAAGTGGAGAAAATTAAGGAAGTGACTAGGAGCCAATGGGTTTCAAAAGGAAATAGGTGATGGGGTGGTTAGACGTTTTAGGATGGAAATGGTAAGGCAAGAAATATTGGATATATGGTTTTTCCACAAAATCGTTTGATCAATGGTTATTCCAAGGTTTTTGATAGTGGGGTAAAATTTGATGGTATTATTATGTATTATTATATAGAATATGGGATTATTATATAGAAGCCTTTAATGTTATTTTTATGATTTACAATTATACTTTTGTCAGCCTTGGGTCACGGTTTTACCTCATTTTTGCAGTTATATAATACTAACAAGAAATATTAGTAAACATGTATATATATAAATATATATATAAGAAATAAAACTCACAAAATTAGATTTAGAAGTGCTTGATGAAATGATGCTAATATTTTTATCTTTTATAACATCTTTGACCTCCGAAAGCTTTTTATTACTGCTGACACTGCTATTTGAAATTTTTCTGCTCACACAGGATCTAGAAACATATAAAATGAAATAAGCAAATAACAATACTGTGTGTACTAGAAAAACCAACAAGAAGGGTCTAGATTAGTCTGCAATGACTAGGGAAACTGCAATGACATCCATCATAATAAACATTATTTTATTTTATTTTTTTAAATCAATAATAGATATATGCTTAATGACCACAAATACTCCCATAAGCACAGTTTGGAAACAATATGTCTCTTTACCAAGAAAAAAAATGATTTAATTTCAAGTTCTTTACAAAGTAAAGATGTTTCAATATTCTCTATTTATTCCACATTTTCAGTAATAGTCATTTACCATAGTGTAAATAACAGCATTTTTTATAATTATTTTCCTTTTCTTCAGTATTTGTTTATATGGTAAATTTTATTATCTTATTGAAATAATGCACATCAATTTATATCATATAGTTTAAACTTTGTAAAGGGATTTAAATAAATTATTATCTTTAACATGTACTGACATCGAGTATTAAATTGTATAGTAATTTTTAATTAGAACTTTTCAAAATCACTTACAAGGCTGAAACATGAAAAAACATGAAACAAAAAAAAAAAAAAATTTCTTCTCAAAAAAGTCTGTTATTTATAAAATGTCTTTGTGGGAGTATTTGTGTTTTTTTTTTTTTAACTTTAACCTATTATTGATTAAATATAAAAATAAAATTAAGATTCCACTTATAACGAACAACCAAAATAATGTTTTTACGATGAATATCCTTACCCGAGAGGAGTCCAGCATTGTATATTCCCAAATGAAACCTGAGGCATGTACATAAGCCACTTAAATATTGAAGGGTCAAGATTTATATGAAACTGCCATAGTTTAAAATAAACTAAGAATGGTATAGCTACAGAATCATTCACAGGTCTTTGAGCTATTCCTGTAAAACAAAACCATTCATAAAAACTACAAATATTACAAGTCATAATAAAATGAATGAATCTAAGGTTAAATACTGACTAGATATTAAAAAAAAAATTCAAAACAGCGAAGAGTGAAGAGGGGCTAGCAAAACTTTAATTAAGATAATAACTGATCGATGACTAAAATTGAAATCAATTAAAAATGATAAAAACTGAGACTTAATACTTAATAATAAGTTTTAAATTAAAGAGGTATATTTTATTTTAAGATTATAACTCAATATTTGCTTATTTAAACCTTCTGTGCCTTTTAGGTAATATAAGTTTCGCAGAAATGGGTTGTTATGTATGACTGCATAAATTTATACAGCTACATGTTATAATCAGCTGAGCATACATATTCAAGTGTCAATGATTTCTCCTTCTGATGGCCTTTCATGAGTAAGACCTGTTCTTGTGATGTTGAAGTGTGCTGAGCCTAATCCTTCCTTCCACCCTTACACAAATTGTTTGTAGTAAGGGTAGTTTCATTCTGTGACTAGCTGAGGGAGATCGTTTTCTGTAAGAAACATAGAGACTGGTCTCCCTCAGCCACTAGTGAAGTACTTTCTTAAGATGGCCTCTTTTGGGCTTATCACCTACAGTTGATTCCAATCTTTAATTGCATCCTCCCGGAAAATAGTTTCATATTTTGTGGGGTTTGTCAACATCTGACTTTGAGATTTCCTAGAAGATCTGCTAAACCTTCTTTCTTGTATGTATACTTCAACAAATCTTCTCGATGGAGGAGTTCGAGAACCACTCCTCCCACTAATAGCTGCACTGCATTATGAGGCACTATCTGATACACTCTGGTGACTTGTAACAGAGCCATTCACTAAATTCTTGCCAACTTGCTCTTCTATCAGTATGAGATTTGGGTTTCTCAGAATACCTGCATCTATACCTTTATGAATAATAGTCATTATTCCTCGGTATCTGAGGTTCCATAAAGCAATGCCTACCCGACGCCGTTCAGAGATTGGACACTTTATTTCCAAGAGAATCCTCTTCTAAATTTGACACAAAGTGACTACCTTGGACGTATTTTTGTCCATTGAATCATTATAGTGAATGGGTGTGCCCAATTAGTTTTTCTTTTCACAAGAATGGCCTGGATCTTTGAAGCAGCCATTGTCAACTTCTTTCTCCATTGCACCATTCTCCAGGATCTTACTCATCACCAGTTGGAGACATATAGGTCTATACGACTAAGAGTACTGTTTTTTCTGACCCCTTTCTTGTAGGGGATTCTCAGATCGGTGATATTCCAACTTTTGGAAAACTATCCTCTATCTAGCAGAGATGGACAGATGCTCTGAGTACCGAGTATTTTACTCAAATTGAATCACTATTGGGAATTCAATCGGTACTTTGATTAATCATTTGACATCAACTGAAGTATTAATTAAATTCTTTTGTACTCAAAAAATGTCAGTGTTTGAGTAAAATACTTGATACTCAATACTCAGAATAGCATTTGCCCATCTCTGCTATCTAGGCCATCATTGTAGATTCTCCAAAGCCTATCTTCAATATAAGGGATGATATTCTCCAGGATCTCTGCATTTATAGCATCCAGTGCTGGAGAAGGAGCAGTTGTCAGCCTTTTCATGGCAATACAGAGATTATCTATATCTCTCGGTGGGCACAAGTTAGTAATAGATTATTTTATTATAATTTTATTTTTTATTTTCCCGAAAACATTATTTAACTAACTTTACTGTGATTTTATAACTTATCAAATTTAATAAGTACAGCGAATAAAAAAAAAATCACATAAAGAATAAACTTAAACAAGAATATTACCATCAAAAACAGAAGAATCAAGGCTCCTCCCAGCATAAAGAAAAGTAAAACTCTTTTGCGGGTCCTTAAGGTAAAATGAAAATGCATCAAGGCTTCCAACCTTAAGTTTAATACTTTCACTAACTTGGCTTTTAGCAAAAACACCTTGTACTTTGTAAATAGAAAATTTTAAATACGGAAGGTCTAAAAAAAAAAAAAAACAACAAAAATAAATAGAAACCTATAATACTAAAATATGAAAAAGTATATAATACAGCATAAAAATAAATGTATTGTTAAAATATCATTCATCCACAAAAAGGAAATAATAGAGATAGCAAATCGGTTAATAAATATTAAAATTTTGAGCCAGTAGAGAAGTAGCCTTTTTTGTTGTTTTTAATAATGTCTTTAAATATCTTCTAGACAACAATAAAATCTGTTGAGTTAAAAGAAGCAGGGAAAGTTATAGAGTGATTTAATAGTATTATTTTAATGCTGTCAAAACTAAATTAACAAATACTTTAACGCATGCATTGCAACATAGTTGTAGTTTATGCAATGAAAATAAATCACTAAAACATTCAAAATTCTATAAGACTACATAATATTCTATAATAAAATAAAAAGTTGAAGTTGATATTCTCTTCACATATATGATTTTATGTTCATTAATAATAGAATTTAATTTTTTATCAAAAGAAATGTTTAATAAAAGTTCTGTTAACATAAGAAGGTGGTTGAGAGTGCAATCAATATATTGCAGCAGCATTTATTTTGTTTGCTTAGGTTTTGACCTATGTTGTAGATTATTTATCAGGACTTAAATTAGTTACGGTCGACTATTTTCATATGATTTTTTTTAATTTAACAGCTCTGGTAATAGAAGGTCCCACTAGAACTTTGAGCATATATGTTCTCACATGCTCATGGGGCACAAATTGAAGAAAATCATCTTTTTTTTTATAAGCTTAGTTTTTAAAAATTGTTTGGATAAATGCTGAAGAGCCCAAAAATAACCTTTAAAACAGATATTGAAAACACTTCAAAATCACAAATACTTGTGATTACAGACATTTGAAAATCTAATATTGTCGGTTATTACAAAATGTCATCAAGTGACATTTCATAACCTTAAATCACTAAGAACTTTATGAGTTTTCTCTTAGTCTAATGTGAAAGTTCTGCCTTGGATATAATAGTTTAGTAATTTAATGTTATATTACAAAGTCATTGAAAAACCTTATAAAAAGAACAATTCTATTGAAAAGATAAATTTGTTTACAAGAACTGTTGACCACATCTTGAATGAGAGTAGTATTCAGGAGCGCACTTGAGCAGCTATCAGAAAGGAGAGATTCCACTAGATTGACAAAAAGCATCAATTTGGCTTTGGAACTAGATATTGAGCATTCCTCTGAAAAAATTATAACAAAAATATCGTTAGGTATTAATGAATAAGTAGACACTTGAAAAATACAACGAGAAGGCATTCATACCCATTTGTAAAGTACAATGTTGACATATCGCATCTGGTTCAGACTGAAAGATTGAATTGAAGGATGCGGAACACCCAAGCTTGTACAAATTGACCATATCTGGCAAGACAACACCATTGATTTTAAGTCCTATGTTAATAGCCAGTAACTGAAAAAAAAATTAAATACATTAAATAGAAAGATAACTCAAAAAATCTGGTGCGTGCATCACACGACTTTCACTTAACACCCTCTTCTTAGCAGAAATAAGTATTTTCAGACAAAGGGGAATTGAAAGTAAAATTATAGGCACTATATTTATTTAAATTTCATTGTGGGTATTTTTATTTGTTTAAATACCCTTATATAGACAAATTTTAATTTTTATATCACTGTATTCCATACAATTAAATATTAAATAATACCAACGATAGCATTTATGAAAACCGCACATGTATATGTACATAATATTGTTGGAGTCCGTATTATATTAAGCTCATGTACGCTTTCGGGTGTGCTCGGACACGCTCATATTCCTTTGGTTCTGCCATTACAACTATTGCCCGTTACGATCTCTTAAACCTCTTTTAGTTAATTATCAAATTCTTTCATATTTTATATTTAACTATTTTTGTATCAAAGATTAATGTGAAATGGTTAATTATTTCAAATAAAAAAATTAAAGGTACTTTAGAGAAAGCTAATATTGAAAATTAGCCATTTAAGCCCTGTTAGAGAACATCAATGAGAATAAAACCTACATTATATTAAAAACTGCTTAATAATACACTGATATACTGAGTTTAATCAAAATCGTTAGAGCCATTTTTGAGAAAATCGTAAAAATGTGTTAAATCGATTATATAAAGTACCACTTCGGTTTGCCGATTTTGACGAAAATGTTGCTGTAACATCTAAGGATTATAAAAACCTCAAATACGCAATTTCAGTTTCGTACGGCTTTTCGTTTTTGAGCTAGACTGTTTACATACATACACATACACAAACACACACACTCAGGGGAACTCAAAACATGTATTGCTTTTGAAAACTCAGATTAGAAAATTTTCACAATTCCAATACTTATCTTTACTATATATAACATATATAGTTAAGTGAAAGTAAAAATCAATAATAATTATAATTTTATTAGCATTAAAGTGAATACGAACAAAAGATAGCATATAGTAATAGTGAGGAATCACTTACGAATCAAGGAAAGATAAGTTGTTTAAAGCTTGAAAAATCCATGGTGACAACAAATATTTCATGAGGACTTTTAAAAATTATTACGAGTTCTGTCCAACATGGAACATTAGATCTTGATATAAGAAGCTCAAACGGTTTAAGCCTGAATTGGATATTAAGTTTTTTACACGTTTAATTACCCTTGCCAATGCCAAAAGGCGAGAGAATTTCTGGATTCCTTATGGGTTTTAATTAAAATGGCACAAACATAGGTAAGGCTAGTTAAATAAATCAAAACACAAACATTTGAGACTAAATGCTAGACATCAAGATAAAAAGATAACGGAAATACACAGATGACAAGAAGAGAGACAAAAACAATATAGTCTGGTCTACCAAGAAAAACGTGAGGATCGAATCAGAGGCTTGATTGTTTAGTGAGAATTATTGTCTAATAAAAATTAAGTAGAAATAAAATAGGAAAATAGCAGGGTTTCATCTCGCCCTGTAAGAATAGCTTTCGAGGCGCTAGAACATGTAATAGCATGGTTAGCATGGACTCGTCATAAATGAAGAAAATACAAAATGTATGAGCACTCTACATCAACGTGAAAATGATGAGAGATACGTTCTGTTGGGAAAACATAGATTCGAAAAGGGACACTTATTCATCTATCTAGGAACTCAAGTGAACTCTCACAATAATATGGAGGAAGAAATACTAAGGCGAATAACCTTAGCAAATCATATATATTTCGCCCTTCAAAAGCTGTTACATTATGAAGGGATGCAAAAACAAGAATTTATAAGACACTTATCCGACCAGTTCTTACACAGGGGTTGGAATGTTGGACATTGACCAAATACGAGGAACATGCCCTTATCAGATTTGAGAGAAAGGTGTTCAGAAGAGAAGGTGGTGTAAATAACCTACTAAAAGTTAATTTTAAATGATTTGATTGGCTGGAATAGAAAATAGCCTTCCGCTTTTATATCGGGGATTTAGGTTATTTATACTCGTGAATTATTAAAACAAAATCCTGGCACTGGATATAGACTTTTTGAGGGTGTTTAACTGTTGTTGGGAATTCGGGAATCTAATACCTTTTGTGACACTAAGTTAGAAGAAACAATAAGAAAATGTGGGACTTAGTAAATACACTTTGAATGAATTGACTCACCTGGTTTGTTATTCTTCAATCGTGAGACATATAGGACAACTAAATAAAAGGACTATTCACTCCTGTCTAACAAAATGATTTATTTCTACAACTGTAATAAATTGACTCTATTAAAGTGTTATAACTATAGGCTTGATCTTCTAAATCTTGTAGTTCCAGCTGCTGCTACCTGACCGGACCTTTTTCCTTCTTTATCGATATGAGATTTTCCAATGAGAAATTTGTCCACTGCACAATTCAGTACAATTCACAGTGCAACCTCACATTCCTATATATTATATATATTCCTTCTCATTCCCTCACACAATGTCAACTAAAGGAGTAAATACAGGAGGATGTCTACTACAGTGGTGTCTGTGAACAGGGCACATGGAGAGGGAGAAATAATGCTGAATTGAGGACCGTAAATAGAAATGATGTATACACGTTAATAAAGTTATCAAGGCTTCATTGGGCGGGCCATGTAGCTAGGATGGAACCAGATGAGATTCCACATAGTCTTTTCAGAGCCTGTATATGGGACAAGAAAAGTTGGACAGTCCTAAGCTTCGCGGGGAGCATGGAGTAGCTACAGAGCCAAGGTCCCTACTTGGTATTCGGAACTGGAAGGTAGTGGCAAGGAACAGAGAGGAATGGTGATCTATAATATGACAGGCTCTGACTTAATAAGTGATTCGTAAGGCAATATAATAATAATAATAATTTTAAAGGAACACTCAACTATAATACCTATCCCTAAAATATGATTAATCAGCATACAATTAGTAAGTGGGGGTGTAGGAAAAAAAAAATATCACTCAAAGACAAAGATTTTGCAATATAGAGACCAATTAAAATTGTATTTAAAAATTAATTGAATCGCATTCAAATTCTTCAGCATTAGGAATGAATAAGGAGAAGAAGAATAAAGCCAATTACGTGGAACCAAAATGATTATTTATGGCATTATAACTCAAATGTACATTTCTCAAGATCGTTTAAAGTCATCAACAGAAGATTAAGAACAGAGGTGCGAAAGAAACTGACAGTTATTTCCTAACAGGAGTAGCTCCGAGCAAACTCTTCTTCAAAAAGATAACAAATTAATTCTAAGTACAACATAAATTAAACAAGAATCTAACTTGAAAAATTCAACATTTAATTTAAATAATTAAATAAATGTCACCGCCTTACAGTTACAGATAAAGTTGTCATAGATGCAGATATTAACTCTCTTGTGGGCGATATCTGATTTTTTATCATCACCAGAGTTTCAGGGTAAAGTGGTTTCACATAACTCCCGTCAAGGCTTTTGATCTTCAAATACAGATATGGTTGTTGCCTGTTCGAAATTAGCTTGAAAAGTTCACTTGACATTTTCTACAGAAGTAAAAAAAATATTAAAAATTATTCACATATATCTTAATTAGAAATAGAAAGGGAATTTTCACATATAAACATGCAGAATAGAATAAATAATTAAAAACAGAATAAATTAAAAATATTAATTGTTAAATACTTTAAGAAATAAAATACAACAAAAACATTCCATACGATTCTAGAAGTTGTTGAAGGAAATCTTGTAAAAACATTCACTGAGACCTCAACCAATGTAAATTGGTACACTGCCTGTGGAATGTAGAAGCTTTCTATAACTTGTAGATTTTCCTCTTTAACACGCTGAACTGGTTCATCCATTGTTATAGCTAGAAAAATATTACAAAAAAATTAAAATAATATTCTAAAAAATTCACTAATTAAAAATAAGGTGATAAGAATTACCAACTGGATCTAGAAATGATGTTAGGCTCATTCTAGAATAATTGAAAATTAGTAAAAAGACAAAACATCTGAGGATCTTATGTTAATTTTTTTTTAATAAGGACCTCAAGTAACACCAAAATAAAATATTTACACAGGAAAAACTGGATAGGAGATGCTGCATAAGAAATCAAAAAATCAGAATTAGTTAGCAGCACCTCCGTTGAAGACAACTCACAGCAAAGTTTGGAAAGTTGTGAAGAAAAAAATCTGGTGTCTCCACTCACACAACTTTTCTAACTATTTCAGAAAAGTTTTTATACCTTTACATATGTCCATTAATAAACAAACAAAATAATTGAATTACATTAACTTTCCTGAAAATATATATGAAAAAAATAGTGAAGCTTGTGTGATGTGGGCAGATATTTTCATTCACCCCTTTCTGACACCAGGATATGAACCCGTAATCTTACATTGGAAATTGAATAGCTGTAACTTCATTAATAGTTGTGCGAAATGAACAGTTTTTATATAATTTTGTAGGGAATTTTATTATCTTTCAAGAAAACAGACTAAACGGTGTTTTTTTTTCATACTCAGGGAGCTTTGAAAGGTATAGATCTATTGAAAACTGCATATCGGAAATTTGACCGATTACAATACTTTCCTTACCTGGTATAGGTAGGAAGTAATAAATTACAACATGTGCAGAAAATATAATATGCTGTATCATTGCTAATACTGGTTCGATTCCGATGATTTTTTTTTCTTTTGTTGGTAATTTAATTACTTTTCAAAAGTTAATTTATAAATTTCACCATAGAATAAATACTTAGCGAATTAGGCCCCAAAACATTTTTCTTTTCTTTATAACTTTTTTCCCTGAATTTTCTCAGGAATTTAGTGCATGTACGAAAATTGAAAGGACAATTATTAGAATTTATAGAAAGTTTCATCAAAATCGTTAGAGCCGTTTTTGCACTACAGTCTTTAGAAAAACATGTTTTTCATTTATTGCGCATGGAGCACCTAATTAGTGTCACAGGCATCATTAGTCAAAACCCTACAAAATAAAAAAAGAAGCAACAAAATCGGTTCACTAGTTCCTGAGAAAATCTTGGCATAGACAGACCAATGGCTAAAAATGTGTTTTTCGGACTCAGAGGGCTCTGAAACGTATAGATCCGTCGAAAACAGCATATCGGAAATTTGACCCAATCGCAATAATTTTCTTACCTAGTATAGGTAGGAAAGTAAATAAAGGATAAGTGCTTTGCATTCTTTGTACTGGAATGGATTTTTAGATTAAGTTTATAGGAAATACAATGAAAATCCTTTTAAGCAAAGAAATTTACATATCCATAAAAGATGCTTTTAAGTCCTTATCATAAAATAGATGTTTATTATTTAGATAATCATTTAAGTAAATCAATACAAAATGGGAATAAATAATAAAATAGAACACTTAAGAGTATTAATTCAAAAAATAAATAAATGAAATCATTTAAAATAAATTAAATGATGATTGTCCTACTTACTAGATGTTCCAACATAACAAGGATAATCATAGTTATTCACTGATTTCTTGATCACTTCAACTTTCTCTAAACAATCAGGAGTAACATTTATTTCCAGAATTCCAAGAACTAATCTAGTAAGAACTCGTTCCTGTTGTACACTAAAAACAAAAATATTATAGTAAATCAGAACTGACATAGTTTTAAAGCTGCTCACTAAATAAAATTTATGTGGTATGCAGAATATACAACCATAAGATTTCGATTTGAACTAATAACTATATTCTTTACAATTAATTTTAAACAGGTATGGATATCTTTTATATTATTCAATTAAACCAGTCAACAATCAATTGAGTTAAATTTTTGGCTCTCACATCATTCATAAAGTGTTTGTTCTGAAAATGGATTTAAGGAGCCTCGTAAGGAAAACAAAATTATTCTTTAATTGATAGTTCTATGAACAATAAACCTAATTTTTCTTTTTAGTTTTTTATTGCAGTTTATAAAGATTTAGTCAATGTTGTTTCCACGGATACTAGACAACACTAAAATCTTAAACCATACTAGAGTATACTAACTCAACGTTACTTATTTCTGCTGTTCTTTTTCCCATGAAGCAAATATTAATTTATAAAAATATATATTTCAGGAAATATCAAACTTGTATAGTTGAAGATATTATTTCCTTGATACAATCCAATGAACAAGATAAATCAAATCACTTAATTATTATAGACTCGCATGTTCTAATCATAATGCAAATCTGATGAATATGAAAATAAGTTATTAGAAACCTCTTTCACCTCAGATCACATTATTATCTTGCAATATTGAAACCAGTAATCTAATTTCTAATTAATAATATATTTACTTGTGACCAGGAAACAAAACAGATTTTTGATAGAAATTTTTTTTTTAAATTCTGTTCATGATTGTTTTACCTTAATTTAAGGAACATTTATACTAAACTTGTAGAAAATAAAAAAAAAACCATTTTGAACTTTTAAAAAAACCTAGTAGAACAACCTAGTATAAATAAGACATAACTTACGATTGGTAAACTTAAAACAGCTTAACTCATAACATAAAATAACTAACTACATTTATAACACAATTGACACACAGCATAATTGATAAAATCACTTATAAATGTCTTGTGTTCTCTAAGATTCATATTCAGTCTAATTCTATAATAGATCTTTAATATATTTTATTTTTATAGATAGAATTAACGACAAAAACAAAGAGTAAGAATGGGATGCTTATATCAACCTGGGATAATCATCAATCCAATTTTCAGGAGGAGTTTCAATAGCTGATATGAAATCCACAACAAAAGCTGGTGCTCTCTCGGCGAGAACTTTTTCTGAAAAAAAAAAAAAAATCTTGTGTCAGCTATTTTATAAAATGAAATACGGATTTTTTAAAAATAGTGTCAAACATGTAGAGTTTTGTGGCTACATACAACTACGATTTGTAGACAGAATTGGTTTTCTGTTACTATTTAAATAAAACATGCATAATTGAATTGAATTTGTTGTAATCCATTATGAGCCCCTAAAATCTGGTGGAACCATTAATAATGAACACTGTCGACAACAAATGATCGATTGGAATCGAGTATTGCATGAAAAACTACCATAATATCAAAAAAGACAACACAAAGTGATTTAGCTTCATGATAATGGATCATCATATTCAGCAAAACCAGTTAAGGAAATTATTGAGGCGTTTAGTTGGGAAATATTTACACATACGGAGTTGGCTTTATCCAAAGCGCTTCACTTTTTATGAACATTTATGAAAATGGCTTGATGAATGGTTCGCCACTAAACTGCAACAGTTTTTCTAGTATTGCATTCATAAATTGCCAGAGAGTTGGGGGAAAATGTATAGCTAGTGATCAACAATATTTCAAATAAAATATTTTTCAACATTTTTATGCAATGATTTTCTATTTATTCATTGTTTCATATTTACACATCTGATATTCTTCCATATTACATTTTGATATTTTTTTCAAAACTGTTTGTATTAATGAATTATATTGAAATTAAATATGAAGACAGTATGGCCACACTCTATTGGCCATTTAGAGAAGTATAAATAATTACTACTAAAAGGAAAAGTCCTAGAATAATAAATGAATAATCATTAGAGTTTATAATTTATTAGAAGAAACTTAGAAATAAATAAGGATGAAAAAAATAAAACGTAAATAAAAAATAAAAAGTAAAAATTAGCTTACCTGTATTAAATGAAATGTGCTGTTCCCAAGATTTCTGAGAAATGTGCTTATCCGGATCTTCATAAAGAGGTTTTTTCATACTTTCTACAACTTTCTGGCCACATTTGACAAATGCCACTTCCTTTATAAAAAAAAAAGTAAAGAAAAATTATCTTCAGTTATGCAATAAGTCATAGGCAAGAATCAAACAAGGCACACTTAGAGGCAAGTAACAACATGCTCTCGATTCTTATTGCTTAACATATTTTTTGATATTGAGGAGAATAAACAAATATTTTTAAAATAAATTATTGATAATTTAATAATGAATTTTAATTTCCATTACAATGAATTAATTAATAATGACTTTTCTCATGTAATATTTATCGAGAAAAATAATTCACTATCAATATGAGAGACACTAATTTCTAAAATGAGTACCGTGGATTGAGTAGTTTTTGTTTCAAAATACAATATCAGCTAAAATTTATCAAAACAATCATAAAAATATTCTTTCTTCTTTTCCATAATTTTCAAATATAACCTCAGTTTTCAAATATATCGTCAAAATAAGTCACCCAATTAATTAGTATCTGGAATATTTGTGAATAGGGATTTTGTGATACATGCATTTTACATTTTTGAATGTCATATATATCCAGTAATGATAAATGTCAGGAAAAGAGTAATATCTAAATAAGTGTATAGTACAAAAAAAAAAAAAAAAAATACCTCATCTGTTTTCAATAAAGAGAAAATAGTAAGATATGATATGCCACATTGTACATTCGTCCAGTTGGGAGTATTAGTTAGCATTTCTAAAAAACAACCATAAAATTCAGCTTTCATAAAACTCTGCCATGATTTTTTTTCTTCGATTAACTGAAACAAAAAAACTTTAATTATTTTTATGATAAAATATAAATTATAACATTTATTGTAAGACTGATAATGATTCTATAAAGGATGCCATTGCTTAAAAAAGTTAAGATGATCACTTCATTATTATTATGAGACTATTTTTAATGAAAATTGGCATAAACATATTGTTAGGGGAACACAGCCATGTTCCCACTTTATTTAAATTTGAATCTAGAGAAGTAAGCAGCACTGCTGTAATCTCTTGGCAGGCTTTAGAAGCAAATGAAGACAGTAGAGACATGCAGAGTTCCTGAAGAATCATGTCTACTTGAGAGATAGATAGAGCTGGCCAGCCATCATTTCATCTGAATAACATTTTTACAAGAGAGATGGAGTAGATCCTCAAGAGGCTGAGCAAGGAGAGGAGAGGAAGATTTGAGAAAACGGAAAGAAGAATGCAGCAAATACATAAATAATTCATTTTTAGCCACCACTCACCTAATCCACAGTTAAAATAGTTGCAACAGTCATATCAAATTCATTAATCCACTAATGATTCGTTGTAAACGGTCCGACTTTAATATATCAGAGAAATAAATATAGCAATATGTTCAACCCAATAGTTTAATTACATAATAATCAAATACCTTATATACAGTCCAAAACATTCAAATAAATGTACCAGCTACAAAACCATAATTATTATGGCAATATCCCTGACAGCCGTGGAAGGGTTTGGCATGATAAATTAAACACATATCTTTTAACTTATGAATGATTCCTTATAGAACATAAGATCATCAGCTATTCAGAACGATATGGCAAAAAAAAAAACACTCCGCACCAATATATTTTACAAGCCATATTCCTCAGAGATGTTTGAGCCAATATCCACAGATATTAGGACAATCAGTCTTTTTGAATGATATGGCTATTTTGATTAAACAAGATAAAAGGCCTTTTTAAATACTTTTAGACTGATTAAAAAGAAAAACAAATAATAAAACGTGGTGGCCACGGAAGTGGTATTACACCGAATCCAGCCTAGGCAGGTTGAAATTTATTTTGTGGCTGATCCACAGAATGAATTTCAATCTTGGTCTGGTTGAAATAAGTTGGTTAATGGTAGGATCCTTCCCTAATACATATGGACGTTAAATCCAGATCAAACAAGTATAAATTTAAATCTATTTATATTTCTATTTAAAATGTTTTATATTTTAAAAACATAATTATATTTAATATTGAGGCATTAGCAGCACTCGCTAGGACGTGAATTATGATTTAAGTAATGACTTTTTATAGCACTTAAAAATAATTTTGTTTTCTAAAAGATCTGAATCTTTTTAAAGTTGTTTTAATAGATTAAAAATGTTTTCTTAAAATGTATACATATAACTATTTAAAGCCTCTGTTTCAATTGGACAAAACGGTTTAGTTCAAGGTATTTTATTTAATTAGATGAATTTAACTATTTAATAATACCCTTGTAAACATTATATATATATATATGGTAAGAAAATATATAAACAGCTAATAATATCACTAATTGACATCACTTCACTTTTAAAAAGAATTTTTTTTTTTTTACCTTTAAGTTAAGCCTAAATGAATCAATATAAACCGCAAAATCCAAGGATTGAAGTTTTTCAGTGAGATCAGGTTTGTCATAATAAGAGGGCGGAAAAATCGACGGAACCAAGTTCCACACCCAAGCACCCCAAGATTGTCCTTCTTCTCCGTTATCTCCTGTTACAAAACAAAATATGAAAAAAAAATCAGCATTATGTAAATAAAATGGTATAATCTGTAGTACAAAATATATTCCTAGTGCCATCTTGATTAGTTTTGTTTAGTTCACCCAGATGATTAACTTAAAGAAAACATAAAAAATTATTTTCATTAAGGGGTCAAAAAATGCTATTAAAAAATCATGAAATTATTTTTGAAACCACTTTTTGAAACTTTCTAACCACTGAGAGTGATTCAAATATTTTATGCCAGTCTTAGTAGATTACTGTGTTGATGATTAACATGCTAAATAATATAAGTCAAAGTACATTTGTTATTTCTTAAATATTATAAGAATTATGTAATTAAAAATAGATGTTCTAATAATATGAACCAATGAAAAAAAAAATTGTTTCCTCTGTTTTGGAAGGGACTTCAGCCTTAAAGCTCCCTCCGTAGATCAACAAATGTGCTGGACAATCTACCACTGCGTTTAAGTAGAAATATAAGAACTCTCCATTCGATAGTGTGGGTAGTGTTATTTTCAGTCAGGTTTTTTTCTTAAATTAAATTTTTTTTATTTTAACAAATTTAGTTTTTCGAGTATTAACAGTTCATGCTCATCTGATATGATCAAGAAATCACATATAATATTGGATATGGAACAAAAGAAAAATTGAGAATACTTAAAATATTTTTTAAGTATTCTGAGTTCAAATTGACCCAGAACATTCACAGGATCTCGCTATGTATTTTGAGACATGAAACTAAAAAATCAGTCAAATGGAGGGACTAAACCCACATTATAAAATTATTTAGCATCATTTTGAGCTAAGATTATTTCAAAACTCACGGCATTTCATTGAATAATTTGAGTCATCAAACTTGAAAACTGGTTGAACCATTTACTGAAAATAGTTACATACATACGATGGGTCAGGCTAAAAACATTACCCACTTTGTCGCTTCATTGTGGTCGTGTATAAAAGCCAAAAACGTTATAAGGAACATGAAAAAAAACTTCATGAACATCGTAAAACAAAGAAAATAATCTTGAACCATCTGAAAATATGTTTGTTTTTTTATGAAAAAAAAAATTAAGAGTAATGTCTATATAAAATTAAAAAAAAAAAACCCTCCGAGGCGTCTGAAAAGTAGATGGCCCCGTGATCTCCTTATACAGATATATTATTAGAGTGCTACCTGTGGGTAGTTTCTCAACAAGCGTTTTCAAGTGATTATATTCTTGTGTACACATTAACTTGATGTTTTGGTTAATTATTTTCAATAATCAACCATTGTGATCGCCCAAAAAATTCAAAAACTTAATCCCCTCTCAAAATTTGAGGTTTTACGTTTAAACGACAAAAATTTTTTTGTCCGTCCGCCGTCTGCACATTTTCACTGAAACTACTGGACCGATTTTTTTCTAATTTGGATATAAAATCAGAGGTCACCCGAGAATGATCCTCCTTCATCGACATTACTATCCGCCTTTTACTTTCAAAATGGTGGCCGAAAAACCTGCGTTGCTATAGCTTCTAAACGTATGTACCAATTTCAATGAAACTTCGCTAAAGTCATTTTCTCGACGCCCTTTAAATTTATCTATATAACATACTTCAACAAAAATAAGCTGGAAAAAAGTTACGAGGGATGGTAAAATTAAATTCTGAATAACTCTAACAGTTTACACTTTTTTTTAGGTACTATATATGGTTTTTTAAAAGTTTACAAAATTTCCTAAAAAATCGTTAAAATCAGACTATTAGGAGCAAAGATATGGTCTCCAGTTGTTTTTTTTAATATGTTCTACTCCAAATGTTATATCCTTCGTTTGGTTTTTAAATTTTGAATGTATTACTGAAGTAATGCTATTTTTTTTTGTTAGCATATTACTAACGATAAAAAAAAAAGTTTAGTCCAATAATTGGAATCACCTTTTATTTATTTTTCTTTTATTTATTAACTAGGAAGGTAATGTTACTTTAGATGTATAATTGTTTGGAAATAATAAACTATTGTGAAATAATTTGCAGCGTTTTTATATTGTAATACAGTTGCAAATATCTTGAATAAATAGTTAAATAAAAAAAAGACGCACCAGAAACTTTAAGTCAGTAATATAAAAACATTAAGTCAGCAAGTTCGATTTGATTTACAAAAACAATCACAATGCCGTTTCAGTATTGATAGGGAAAATAATTACAAGATTTATACAGCCTTTATTTATTTTAAAAATTCTTAACATACATTTCAAAATAAAATTATTGATTTTCAGATATAATAAAAAGTACCTGGATTTTCCAAGAGATTTTCTGGACTCTGTATGATGGAGGATGAACCATTTTTAGGAGGATTAAAGGCCACTTTTGCAAGAAGTATAATACGCAAGAGCATTGTGACCTACAAAGTATCAATATCACATAATTCTTTAGTTAAAAGTTAAAAAACGGAATTAATGTTATTTTCATTTTATTGATTTTTAATGAAAATAAAAAATAAGTCTTAATTATAATTTCACAACTAATACCAGAATGGTCTTGTTTCACTTCATATTAGTGATTAATTTAAAATAGACACAGATCCTCAAATACTTAAATAATAAGTCAATGGAATACATCTGTGATTTTAATAATTCATCAAGTTATGACAGAGGATAACTTTCATATTCTGACTAAATTAATTTATATCACATCCTAAACAATTAAAATAGTAATAAATAAATACCTGAGGTTCACTAATGCTGAGGGTTACATCATCTGTGTGAACAGCAATCGTGGTCTTTATTGCGTTAAAATTGTTGAGGAAAGGAAAAGTCTTACTAATTCTGATTTTCAACGAACACTTATAGAGTAATGGTTCCTGAAAAAAAAATATAAGTATAAATATAAAAAAAAATAAATCATAATACACTTTCGAGGAAAGTAAATGTTTAATATAGACTAGAGCACACAGATGGGGAAGCCTCGGAGGTCGCATGCATTCCTCATTTGTTTTTACATGATCTAAGATGCCAGAATTAAATATTTAATCGTTTAGGTTACAAAAAAATGTAAAATAAATAGATTATGTTGAATATATTTATATTGGTGCGTGTTTGTATTTAATTACTAATAAATAAATATAGTAACAGTAGATTAAAAAAATATTGCATACATTATCAATGTCTAACCTTACTGCAACCTATAATGATAAAAATATTCCCCAACTATAGACTATAGTGAACTTTTTTTCTGTTCATTTACAGATCTATTAGGTCTTGGTCGCCTGAACTATTATTCTCTACTTCTGCAAATTAAGTGCTAATTTCTTTCCAATTTCCTGCATGCAGCTGTGCAGCATCTTTATTGAATCTACCTATCCATCTGGTTTTTGGTCTCTTAAGCGGTGTTCCACTCATTGTTGTATGTGTCGCACCTAATTTAACCTCCTTGCCTTTATATTGTGAGGTACAGTTTCTCTAACAAGGGGAGGTTACGGACATGGGATCACTGATTTCAATGACACATTTTTTTACTGATACTAGGTCAAAAAATATTAGACCTGTGTCCGAGGGTTCTTGACAGTGCGCCCTAGGAACCGAGAAAAAAAAAATTTTATATTATTTCAAACATAATTTATGTTATTAATTTTTGCTTTTGCTTTGTCTGGATTTTGAGGCTATTATATACCAACCAATTAATTTTTTGTATATAATAAGAAAGAAATATTGATTATAGTATTAAATGAGTTATTAAGTATCTTAAATAACAACTAAAAAAGGCTTCTAGTAAAGTAGGCAATGTAAATTTTTAATATGAAAAAGAAAGTTAAATTTGTTTTTAGTGTTCTTTAAAAATCAAAAATACGAATTTTTAGAGATATCAAAAATTGGAAATTTTAGTAATTGATTTTCTAGAGGGGTTGTTTTTCCAACCGTCAACTGAAGCATGCATAACTCCTCAAGATTTTATCCAAATTCAATGTTCCTACATCTGTTGGAAAGCTGTGAATTGTCGTTCTTCTAAGCCAAATCAATAGGTTTTGGGAATTCATTCCTTAGTAAGCTAGAAATTTAGGAAAACTTGTCAAGAATTTTCATCTTATACCTTTGGTTCTAATTTGTTTAAAGAGGTCACATTTTTACCATTTTATGGAGCATACAGAGCCCATAAGTCCCTAATAACTTATGTGTGATTTGGTGGAATCATTCTGAGGTTATCACAATTTTTTTGGTTGGCGACAAAATTTTGAAGCATCCAGCTCCAGGCATTTCATGCAAAAAATTTTATTTTTTCGATTGCTATGAAAATTCTTATCTTAGAGTTTTTCAGAGTACGAAAAGCAGAACATCAATTTCGTTTCTTTCTAAAAAATTCTTTTTTCTAAATACCTGGCCGGTTTAGTAAAAATATTCTAATTGGCAGATAGCTATCATATGAAAATAAGTTTGACCTACTGGAGGTAAATATTTTGTTAGAGAGAAACAAAGTTGATATTCATTTTTCATACCCTGAAAAACTCTAAAATATGTATTTTCATAGCAATCATGCAGTTCACCATTTGAGGAGTTAAACTGCTAAAGCACTGTAAAACTGCTAAGTGTAATTAAAAAGTTCATATTAATCAGAGTCAGTATCGTAAAACCAATTAATAGTATCCAATGTATTAATTTGTCTAAGTGTAGCAGCATTTTATTGATTACTCGTTAATATTAAATTGAGAGATTCCTAAACTCTGGGATATTTCAATTACAATTATTTAATCAAATGTTAGTAACCAAACTCTCCTCCATTCCTTCCGAATACTCAAGTATAAAAGAAGAAATGAATGAAAGACTAATTACAAATAATTTGAGGTTGTTTTTTTTTTTCAATGAAAATTCAAATATATTGAATTAATATTGGTTTGGTTACTTACCAAATATGATTCTATTCTTCCTGAAGCATTTCGTTTGTCAAGACAAATTGTAACATCACTCAATGAAACTAACTTTCTCAAAATCAAATTATCAGGAGTCAGTACTAGAAACAAATATGTTTTCAACATAAGAAATGACTAGAACGATAAACATATATTTTAAATGTAATTTTTATGCATAATATATAATATACTATATTAAAAAATAAATAAATAAACTGTGTTTTGGTGAAAACTCTTTTTAAGTATTGAAATTAAATAAAAGTTCTCATAGATCAGAATATTTGTTTACCAATGACAGTCTCTATATTAATTAAAAAAATTACTTTATTCCTAGAGAAGCTAGAGAAGTTCAGCGACCTGCACTATATTCATCTCTTATTATATTATTTTTCTATTTAAAATCATAGTAGATTGGAACAGTGTTTGTTCTTCGTCTCATATTTTGTCGAGTTATTCAGAGAAGAGGATTCCTTTTTGTCCGACATCATTTTACAGAACAAAATACGATACGAAGAACAAATTCTGTTCCAATCTACTATGGTTTTAAATAAAAAAATAAGAGAATAAGAGATGAATATGGTGCAGGTCGCTGAAAGCTTCTCTAGGAATAAAGTAATTTTTTAAATAAATATAGAGAATGTCATTGATAAACAAATACCCTGATCTACTAAAACAGTCTAAAATTTCCTAAAAAAGTTGTTGTTTTAAACTTAAATAAAATTAAATACACTGACAGGCGAAAAATTCCACCCACTTGATTTTTTCATCTAAAAATATTTTTGCTTTGGATTGGTCTATTGTTTTTAATGAATAAATAGGTACTCTTTTTGTTTGTTTTCAATTAGGAATGTTAATATAGAGGACAATAACCCTTAATCCTTAATTCAATGAAATGATTCTAGATTCCAATGTTTACTTTCTATGGAATCAAAATGTTTATTCAGTATCATTAGTTCAGTGCTGTTTCTTGCAGCACATTTCTTAGTCTCTAGTTCTTTAATTTTTTCAATATTAAGTTTAAAAATGCCTCTTAGTGCTGAGGATGTTGCGCGTGGTGTGGCACTTATTGATGATGGACGTTCCATTAGATATGCAGCTAATGCCATAGGAGTTCCATATGAAACTTTACGAGACGCCGTCAGGCTTTTTCGGGAAACTGGTTCTTATAATAGAAGGCCCGGTTCTGGACGGCCTAGGGTAACAGAACCACTGGATGACCGGTTTTTGACTTTGAGAATTTTAGGAAACCAACACCTTACCGTTGTTCAAGCGATTCATCAGCTCGAAGAAGTTCGAGGTGTTCAAATTTCTGAATGTACCGCTCGGAGAAGATTAAATGAGTATGGATTAATGGCTTTTCGTCCAGTAAGAGGACCAGAGTTGACCAGAACTCACAGAGTAACACGGCTGGCTTTTGCTCGAGAACACAGCCATTGGACTATGGATGAATGGAGTGCTGTACTTTTCACAGATGAGTCAAGTTCGCTCTTCGATCACCAGACGGGCGTGAAGAAGAAGAAACGAAAGATATGCAGCCTGTAATTTTTCCCAGAGCCAACCTTTCCAACGTGGTTCCTTAATGGGTAACAAGTGGGTGGAATTTTTTGCCTGTCAGTGTATGTTCAATGATACACTGCATAAATCAATAAAAGAATCCAAGAGATTTGTCAATTAAATAAATAAAATTAGGCAAGTATAAGTAAATATTGTCGATGAAATGACTAAAGCTTACCACAATACATCGGAATCCACTGTTTGTTGACAGTAACTATGCTCAAGGTTTTTATATTCATGGACAAAACTATATCTTCATCTACATATTTCAGTATCAAATTGTTGCATGTAATATTCAAATTATATACAACTTTATTAGCAAGAGCAGTTGTATAAGTGGGCGGAGTCTCTTCTGAAGCTGCTGATGTTCTGTATTCACATTTAACAGAACAATGTATGAATAATAATATTTAGGCAGAAACAGATTTACAAAAGTATAATATTTATTACTGTTTAAAGGAGATAATTTAAAAGTTTTAAAGAGGAAAAATAATGAGCCTTCAGGAAAAGAGTGAACAAAAATCAATTTAAAAGTAATATTATACCAGCATTACAGGAAACTTCTTAATCAAGTAAGCCTTTCATAAGTTAGGAATAAAAATATACTAAGCCATGGGTCTCCAAACTACGATCTGCGGGCCAGACCCTTCTAATCCAGCCCGCGAAAGCTTTTAATTAGCTGAATATTTCAATGCTATTTAAAATGAGAAGAAAAAGAATAATATTCAACACTTTAGATTTGTACTGCCTTGATGAAAAATGTTTGATTTTTTAAAACACGAACAAGAACTGAATAAGCATTAGAACATCTGTTGAAAAGGAATATTATTTTTCTTCTTCAAACAATATTTTTATTATTTATATTTTAATTAAGATATTTGTAGAATATTGTCCTTTTTGGACACATACAGATTCAAATATTAAACAATTTTTTTTTTTTTCAAGTTTTTCCAATATTAAAAAAAGTTTATTCTTTTGACATAGTTAAAAGTTAAGTACACATTAATAAAATTACTTAATAAATTATATTTTCCCAAAACCATAAAATATCTCATAGAGAAACAAAGGTTCAAATATTGTCACCATACTTACTTTTTCTTCTTTTTCTTTGGTTTTTGTTCCTGTCCAGGTCGTTTTAATTTCATAACACATTCTTAAAAAAATATAATAATCAATAAATAAAAAACAGATTATAAAAGTTATATATGTATATATATATATATATATATATATATATATATATATATATATATATATATATATATATATATATATATATATATATATATCTTTAAGTATATATAAAAAAGTCAATTTCACAAAAACTAAAAATTATAATTAAGGCCCAGATATTTATACAATTGCATATTTCTTTTGCGTGATTTATTTTAACCACTTATCAAAAATCTTTACAAATTAGTACACTGTGATGCAATTAGCCAAATTTTATTTTGCATATTTGAGGATAAATGCATTTAATTGTATATTTTGATTAACTTAACAAAATAAAAATATATAAATGAATATTTATTTATTTATATATACAAATTTAAATTCAATATTGAAGATGCAATTCAAGATTATAATCGTAGGTATATTTTCAATGAACAAAACAACAAATTCTATCACATGTGTAGACTTTATGCATATCTTTCGCTATACCCATCAATAATTCTGATGTTCACCGATTCCCAGAAATCCTTCTTCTCTTATGTCAATATCATACTAAGTTTCTATTTCAGTCTGTTGTTTACGGTCTTTGGAAGAGTCACATGTCTGTTTGCTAAAATGCCAAGAGTAAGTCCTTCATTTGCATCTAAGTTGAAATCTTGGATTGAACCATACAACAATACACATGAAACTGCTTTTACAAGTGAAGGAAAAGTTGTTTTTTTGCTACTATTGTTCAAAACAAGTTGCAAGTGAAAAAAAATCACAGATCGATCAATTCGTCAATACAGGTGAGCTTGATTGGAATTTGCTTTGCTTTTAAGCCCATAATTAGATCAGAGAACCCTTTCTTAAAACAACCCGTTCTATAGAGATAAAAAAAGTACTTTGATAAATTTTCTCTGAGAAATCAAAACCTAGTGCACTTAGTGTGACTGATTTTGACATGTAATAGCTTAATCATATTTTGATACATTCAATGAGTATTTGCTGATCTTAATTAGCAAATATGTTTTAAAAAGTTAGGCTTTATCAAAAGTGTATTTAGTGACTATTTGGATTAAATTGACAAAATGTAAGTTGGTACTATGAACTCCCTCAAGCTTCGCACAAAATTATTACCTAAATAATGTATAATTTTCGATTGATGGTTGACTATAGTGAATTATTGAAAAGAAGGTCAATTGGGATGTTCAGTAAAAATAAATAAATTATATTTATTTTTGCTGAAGTTTCGGCCCAAAGTTCAGGCCTTTATCAGGGCTGGTCTAACGAAAGATTCCTGCAAGACACTTAATAATTTATAGATTTTAAAACAATAATTAAATTTGAACAACAGAAATTTATTGCTAAAATTCCCAATTATAATTATTAAATTATAATGTGCTAATAATGGAACTTTTTTTTTTAATTAGAATTTTTTTAGATATTTTCACAAAGTGTCTGACCAATGATGCAATCGTTCCTTCAAGATATAAACACAATATAATTTTATTTTACTTATAATGAGAAACACATTAACTTGAAAGAGCACATGAATTAGAAATTTATTTTGGAGGGAATAGTTTTGTAATTTTGGATTAACATATTTATTTATTTCATTCTTCAGGATGCAAAATGATGAAATCCCCGAAAAAACTATGGAGAGCAATGAACAAGGCTTTAGGAAAGTAGGAAGACCACGGCTGCGATGGCAGGATTGTGTGGCAAGGGATGCACGTGCACTACTTGGTGTATGTAACTGGAAAGCGGCTGTGCAGGATAGAGACGCCTGGCGGACACGTCTTGAGGAGGCCAAGACTCTTCATGAGTTGTAGTGCCGTGGAAGAAGAAGAAGAAGATTTATTTCATTCTTCAGTTTCGATATTTAAAAAAAAAAACTGAAATTATTGTAATTTTTAATCCCTCCATAATTTCTTTTAAAACTTCTGGTAGGCATCAGTATATTTAGAGATTAGTTACTGTATTTTTCATATGTTTTTTACTGCATATTTTGCTGCATACTTCAAGGTTCTTACTACATTTTGTATGGAATATTCTGTGAGTTTTTAATAATAATAATAATAATAATAATAATAATAAAGCTTAGCGAACCCGAAGGTTCGATGCCGACACCACCAATCGCTTGTTACACACCTCCCTCCACCGTTCGCCTTCCAAACCCAGTCCCTTCAGATCGGCTTTAATGCAATCTTCCCACCTTCGCTTCGGTCTACCCCTCGGACGCTTACCATTCCGCACAGCAAATATTAATCTTTTAGGAATTCTCTCGTTACTAAGCCCAACAACTTTACAAGCCCATTTGATTCGCCGCGATGAAATTACCTCAATTATATTACCCGGATACAGCTCACGCAATTCGGCGTTGTGTAACCGTCTGAACTCTCCGGTTAACTCATCCTTCTTCGGTCCGAATATTCTACGCAATACTTTATTTTCAAAAACCTTAAGACGCTGCTCATCCCTTAATGTAAGCGGCCAAGTTTCGCATCCATAAAGAACTGTAGGCAAGATAATTGTTTTATAGATTCTAATTTTTAAGTTTCGGGACAAGAGGCGCGAACTAAGTAGTTTTGTCACAGAAAAATAACAAGCATTCCCCGCCTTCAGTCTAACCTTAATCTCTTCTTCAATTTCGTTTTTTCTAGTTATCATAGAACCTAGATACCTAAATTTATCTACCTGTTCAAACATATTACCATCTATATCGATATCACCAGTAGTATCGCCATTTTTGCAGCTAACCATATATTTTGTTTTATCCACGTTTATTTCGAGTCCTAGTTCTTTACCGGCTTCCATTAACATTGTCGTATTTAGTTTTATAGTTTCAACGTCTTCGCTTAACAGTACCAGATCATCAGCATAGCCCAGCACGGATGTTGTCCCGCCCAGATCCAACCCTTTCTCGGTTCGCATTACCTCCCTAATGGCATGTTCTAATGCCAAATTGAACAGGACAGGCGAAAGAGAATCCCCCTGTTTTAAGCCCGAACGAACCTCAAATTTTTCGGACAAATTATTACCAATTCTAACTTTATTGAGTGTCTCCGTCAAGCACATCCTGACTAGATTTACTAGTTTTTTTGGAATACCCTGCTCGATTAGAATATTATACAGTTTCTGGCGGTCAATAGAATCGTAAGCCTTTTTAAAATCTATATACAGCTGGTGAACAATACCGTTATACTCCAATTTTTTCTCTAATATTTGCCGTAAAGAAAATATTTGATCAATAGTCGAACGATTCCTTTCTGTGAGTTTTTACTGCATAAAAATCTGGGCCTAGGTTATGATTAACTGTTATTTTTTATTAAGCTGTGTCCTGAATTTTTTTAACTTAGCCTATTATTATGATATGTTACTAACCAATTAATCAAGATCAACAAAAATGTATCTATAAAGAATAGTGAATAAGCCGGATAAAAAAAAACTACGAGAGGTGTAAGAGAAAAAGGACTGAAATAAAGAAGAAAGAGACAGAAATTAAAAGAAAAACATAAATGAAATTGGGACAGAAGTTGAAATCAGATTTTCATCAAAATTACTGAGTACAGAAGAAATGAAGAAAACAAAAAGCTCCAATCCCGAAGTTTATCAAAGATAATGAAAAGAATATGCAACAGAAAAATGATGAAATCGTGGAAAGAATATTTCTGGAATTACTGGAAGATGATATTCAAGTATCTCAAGAGATACTTGAGAAATTTGTGGAAAGATGACTATATTGATAAATATGGACTAGAAGAGCTGCCGAGCCCAAAATAAAAGAAACTGGCAGGTATTCATAAAATGCAAGGGACCTAAAGGAAGAGAAATACTGCAGCATTTGGTTTGGAAGAAGCAGAAAAATATTCTGAAGGAAGCTTTAATTGTCCCAATTTTTAAGAAAGATGACAGATACTATATAACAACCACAGAGTTATAACCTCATTAAGTTCCCCACATAAAATTTATTCCAAGATAATAGGAAAAAGAATAAGGGGAAAAAAGAATTATTGAAGAGGAACAGTAGTGGTTTCCAAAGAAATCAGAGCACTGAAGACCTCATATATGCTGTAAGACAGATTTTTAAAAAAGTAATGGAGCAATAGAGAGAACTATCATTGTTTTGTTAATATACCAAAATCCTTTAACCAAGTCAAGAAAAGAGATATTAATATAGAAAAATATAAAAATTAAGGGATTATCTTAGAAATATAAGTCAATAGAAAACAAGAATTTTAGGGAGATTTGGTATTAACGTATCTCAAGAATTTGCACCCAGAGTGGGCCACCAGATTATCTTCAATAGGAGTAAAAGTTAAGATAGATGTAGAGGTTGTTGGAAAACTAGGACATTTGACAAGGAAGCATTTTAAATGCGGAGACATCTTGCAAACTCTCTGGCATAGCAGAGGATAAGACCCACTTGGTAACAGACTTAAGGAAACATGACGTGGCTATGGTTTGCACCGATCCAGGCTTGGTAGAATGAATTTATATCAACGAGCAAGAGATAGCTCCCAGTTCCAAGCCCTCTAAGAAGAATACAAGGCCAAGAGATTGGAACTCTACCAGGCAAGCAAGAGGAGCAAACGGTTATGCTGGATGGAACTCTATGAAGAGAAGGCCTTATAGGACCATCATGAAAAACCTGAACAGCATTGGTACTTGATTTAGTATAATCTGTTATACAGATTTCAAATTATATTTTACTATTTGTGTCTGGGCATGCCTTACTGCTAAAAGATTTATAACAGATTATTTAAATATGTAATCTAACTTTTTTACAATGGGTTATTTAAACATGTCATTTCTTATATTAAATTGTATTTATATTTTCAGGCGAATTTATTTAGTCTAATTCATTTTAGGGGCCGAGCAGACTGAATTGGCTAATGTGTGTTTAAAATACGTGCTACACGCCGCAACCAGTGATTAAGTGAAGATTATGAGTTAGAGTCCTGGTGCTGGGGTGATTTTAACGCTTGCCATTATTTTCTCCACTCTCTTCTCTAGTCCAGGAGAGACCTCATATAGCCTAAAAGGCGAGTAAAAAACAAATTCTGATTTGTTTAGGAAAATGTAATATAACTTGACCTGTCAAAAGCCTGATCTATTCAGCTCGCTTTGGCATTGTAGAAACAGTGTGATCATGAGATCTTGGCATATCTGCCATACTAGACGTCACAATAATATTACCAATGCCATTCATAAAGAGATTACATCGTTCTAAGAAACTTTTAAACGGATTACAGTATGTCAAAATCAAATTACACCATGCAAATGAGCTAAGCCATTCCACATTATATAATCTAGTCCAGTTAATTAAAACATTATCAACATTTCATCATTTGATGTTTTGTTAGTAATTTCACAAGACAAATCCTGTCAGTACATTTATTGTTCAAAAGTAATTTCAGTGATTTTAAAATGAAATAAAAATAAATTTAGAATGAATAGTCTAAGGTGTCTTCTCCATTGCAGTTGGTACTTTGGTATATCTTCTAGGTATTATAAAGAATTTAACAATTCAATTCTATACTTAGAGAGTAACTGATTGAAAATGCCATAATTAGCAGTGCTGGAACAGCTATTATTGCTTAATACTTGATCATATCTGGTTGACGGATGGTTAAAATCACATCAATCACACTGAATATACGATTCTAAAAGTATACAGAGGCGGCTAATCTTATTCAATAATAATAATATAATAATATAATTCAACCTCAATTTAAAATAACACATTGGAGGTATGTTTATTTCTTAACCAAGATTAACAATCATACCAATGAACTCTGTTACTTTTGGAGTATGATGTAATCTTGATCAATCTGTCAATTAAATGTGACACTTGTGAACAAGTTTAAATTTTTTCCCCTTAATACATGACAATAACCATGAAATTTTTGGTTTGTTTAGTTAAATAATGGTTTGGATATTACTCATTACATTAATCAATTAGGGCCTAAAATGCAAGCCTTCATTATGACTGTCTACAGTAGTGTCAATTTATTAATAAAGGGAGGGAGAGATAGAGGTAAAGAACTGTGTATGTCAGAGAAAAAGATAAATATCGACAGCCACATAACAAAAGCCTATAAATGTAAAGCTAAAAATATTAAGATAAAAGAAACTACATGGTTTTAACTCGATGATTTCAATGTTGCTTGCATGATAAAGAGGTGAGATTTTAAAAGTGACTTGTATAGTTTGTATTTCTGAATAGGTGCAAGGCCAATAATAACCAGAAAATTAAAAAAAAAAAAAACATAGCTTCCAATAAAACTGCTCTAACAGGTTTTTGAAGTATAGCACTCATTATGGAAATTTATAACTAAAAATATTTTATTTTAAGGAAAATTTAAACTTCTTAAGTACAGGAGAAATAGACATTTTTGATTAAATCACATGATATTGGATTACTACAAGTATTTACATATTATGATTATGACAAGTATTCGCTAGGTTAAAGCAATGAAATTAATTGGTTATCTTTATTAAAGATAATGGTTGGTAATTTAATTTCTGGCATCAATCAGTTCTACAAAATTTCGCTTTCAGTTTGTCGTTATAATAATATGAACTGCCTCACATTATTCAATCGAGCCAAAACTAATAAAATAGCCTTTTAATATTAGTAAATTCCAGGGTAATGTAATCATCTTACCAATTGTATTGATTGTAACTTTGACAGGCGCAGATGCAATTCGAGTCCATGGTACATGAATATGAAGTTCATGAACATGACCAGAAACAAAACTAAAGGGTAAATTAAATTCCTGATCTAATACTTCCAGATCTAAGTCCAAATTATGAAAGACGGCATCTCCTTCCCAAAGGGAAACCTTAAAAATTTGTAATCATGTTTTAAGTTATTCAATTACAATGATATGATTAACTTTCTTCATGATAGTTACCTGTGCATCTTTCCTTTTAAAATTGCTAATATAGCGATCAACATAGCTTAAAATAATTGTTGTAATGTAACTTTCAATTCTAAACATTGTTTCCCATTATTTTCCCTAAAAATTTTTACAAAATGCTACATATTTATTTAGTTAATGAAAGATTTTGTGTGAAACCTTTAATTTGAATAAACTTACTTCTACAAAAATAAAGAAATATCCCACATAACTCACATAAGTTTAATTAAAAATAATATAAATACAACATATTTATGTCCCAAACAGACTCAATGAGTATTAAAGGGACTAAAAAATTCAAATATATTACAAAATTACTAATTCAAAATTGTAATAATTGTACTCATTATAGCGAAGAATGTTTAAATTTCCACTTCAAATCATAACCACCAGTTTGTCAAAACATTGCCAGGTGTTCTAGGAATCGATCTTTCAATTAACTATCGAAACTGATATGAATACATTTAATTGATTACAAAAATAAACAATACTTCTTTGAATAGTACTCAAGAATACTTTTCAGAAGTTGAAAAAAAAAATTTGAAAGTGTAATACATATTGTGAATATGAAAGTAAAGTATTATATTAATTCATTTTAATTAGGAAAATCTGAAGGCCCTTAAAGCCTAAAAAAACAGGCGGATCAACGGGGAGGAGGGGGAGAGAGGAAGGGGGCTTTCGGGCTGAGGCCCCCTCCAAAATGGTAAAATTTAACTATGTTTTACGGGAAAATATTAAAAAATCATCTCTTAAAGTATTATTGTTCGTGTAATTCCATTTAATAAGGCTTCAAGAATCACTTAAATACCATTTCATATAGGTCGTTAGTATCTTTCTTTTTTTTTCCCATAGTAATTATCGTTATATAAATGAAAAAAAAGCTTTCGGGCTGAAGCTCCCCACCAAATTAAATCCTGGATCCGATAGTGTCCATCATTATCAAATAATGTTTATATAATGGCCACGTGAAAGGGTGATTTCCGAGCACTAGTTCAGCATAAATCGTGCAAACAAAGCAACCTTCAGACCTGAATAGAAAACGTTGGGAAACATGTTGATATGTTGTCGGTTTTTTTTATTTTTCAATTACTCTCTGTCTCACCATTTCTGGCATATCGGGAATGAGTTGTCGGCTTGTATCCCATCAATATACAATACGCCAACAACGTATTGGCAGAATGCAAGGTAAAATCGGACGCCACAGCATCAAAGAAATTTGTTTCTTCTATCTCTGTTTGTCCATTGCGAATGGAAAACATCACCTGATATGTAAGGTGTTTTGTCAAAAAGTGGACAAAGAACTAGTCAAATTCAATCAGGCAGTTAATTATCATTATTTATTCTAGTACATTTTTTATTATATATTATATTTTGTTGCAAATATGATACACACAAAGAAGCTCATAACAGAGCTGATGAAAATATTCCAGGTGCTTCCGCATTTTGGGTCATAAATGCAAGGAGTATTGGGGGAAGTTAAAAAAATTACGAATTATTAAAAATATCCTCTCATTTTAAAACGAGATAATTAAAGATTTTGTTTAATCTGAAGCAATGTCGTAAAGAGTACCATCGTTTAAAAGTAATTCCGATATCATGTAGTCGCCATGGCTTCTTCCACTTTTTAAATAGTATCTCCGTCCCACCTTCTTTTTCGTTTTTTTGCCATGTTCAGCTATAACGACGAAAACAGCAGCATTTGTTTCTTGCATTTTTATTCAAAACTAAGTTAGATCTGGACGATCAACACTGCTGAACAAGCATCCATTAGAGTAAATCCAAGGAATTTTGTGTAGGTAAAGGACTCCTACAAGGGTATGCGCTAGTATGTATGCTGTTTAACCTAGCTCTTGAGAAAGTCGTAAGAGATGCTGGTTAACACAAACGACAAGGAAACTTATTTACCCTTAACAATTCCAAACTCCGTCAAAATGTGGCCTCCCCTGAAAAATTCTGATGCCGCAAATTGCGTCATGAAACACCCTTCTGGGCACCTCTGCTGTTGAAAACATGTTTTTAGATACAATATTTTTAGCTGAGCAATATCCACGGTTTGTCAAGATTTTGTATCCTGGTCTTACACACCTTAATACAGCACGAACTTGGGCGATGGAGAACTTCATTCATTGATGTGTTTTTTAAGAGATGAACTACTGAATCTCTTAGCGGGATGAGACAATCATAAGCTTGATGAAGGTGGTCCAGTGTTATGAGACCTGCAAGTCCTTGGTTGCAAATTTGAAGACAGTCATCCCTACGGTAACACTGAATTGTATAATCCCTTTACAGATATATGGCTGTTCATAGTTTGTAATTAGTGATACTCCGAGAACGTGGCTGCTGCATCTGCCTAATTTCTTTGGATCTAGCGGTTGGAGCTGCTTCATTCTTGTACCAAACGAAGCGGCTTTTTCTTTTGTATGTGATAGGATGTGCAACTCAATAGAGGCACTTACTTAGGTTTCTTCTGTATAAAAAATTGCAGTGATATTTCTATAGTAATAAGCTAATAGGTAACTGCACGACTGTTGCGAGACTCTTGCGCAAGACCAAGACCTAACCCACGACTGGGTGCGCAAGACCAAGACTCGTCTTGGTCTCGCATTTGGGAAACACTATTGAAGAGAGTAAGAAATCATTATATTAAATTTATCTTCGAAGTACGCTGGTACATCTTCAGTTGGTATGCCGATTTAAAGTGGCTTTATCCTTTTTTCCGAAGGCAATACTTCCTTGGTGTCTACCTTGAGGGGGTCAGGCATTCTATAATAGTATTCACTATTTTCATTCACTCATTCAAAAGCATTCGATGATGAACTTCCAAGGTCCTGTGATTGGCAAGACCATAGAACATAGAATGGAGTATTCTATATCTTATGAGTAATTAATATAGACATCGACTTCAACTGAAAAGAACCCTTTTGTGCGTTTGTTTATATCCGTTCTTGTAAAATTAATGCAGTTATAGTTATCTAACCACAGTTAATTCAAATAAATGTTACGTTATGCTGAATATGGTATAGCAAGTATCAAAAATTAATGTCAAGATTTGTAAAATAATCTTATTCATTGAAATTGAACCCATTTGATTATATCTTTTTGAATATTTGGCAATATGGAGGAAAGGTGTATAAGCATTACTAATTTTTCAGCCGTGAAAAGACCGTATTATTGTTAATAAGATTCACAAACATGATTATTTTATCATGGAGGAATCCTTATCAACAGGTGGTTTCCCGCCTTTATCAATTTTATGTTTTGCCGGTATCAACTACAAACAGCTTGAAGATGAGTAGCCAAAAGAAATTAGATTTATTTTTTAAACCTACTGCCAAAAGAATCTTGGAAAGTTCAGATGACTCCGTCAATGTTAAAAGAAATAAATGTATGGATAAGGATCTTGTTATTGGTATGACCATATTAAGATTTTAGTTGTTTTTTTTAATGTTATTCATATGTTAACTATGTATTTATTTGAAGAATCAAAAGAAAATGGCCCATCTTCAAATGAATACAATGGTCTACTTACTGAATTAGCTGTTTACACTGAGAAGTTAGAAATATTAGATAAAAAAATGGGACCTTCCTGGTTCAAAGCACTGAAAAATGAATTTGAGAAACCCTATTTCAAAAAGGTTAGTTGTCATTAATTTTAGTAGTTTAAAAAAATTGTTCAGTTTTTTATTTAATCTATTTTGTAGCTCAATGACTTCGTTGTTTCTGAGAGGAAGAAAAATATTATTTATCCTCCAGAAGAAATGGTGTGGAGTTGGACCCGACAATGTTCCATTGACAGTATTAAAGTTGTAATTCTCGGACAAGATCCATATCACAATCCTGGACAAGCTCATGGTAAAATTACTAAAATATGATGCTGAAAGGAGTTGAACATATGTCAAGATAATTAACATTGAATTAATTGGTGCACATAAATCAGTTTAAGTGATGAATAGTTATTAAAATCCTTTAGTAGTTTTTGAATAATGAATTTGGTACTATGGATTTTAACTGTAATGTCAATATTTTGTAGTAGTGTTGGCTGAATATTATATCAATTCAAGTATTCAAACAGACGGTAGTTAATTTTATTTATTCATGTGGAGGTTATAGGTATTCTTAGTGGAAGGACAGTGTCACATTAATATATTAATTAATTAGGTCAATCGCCAGTTATGGTCATAATTAAAAAAGTTAATGTTTGGAAAACAATGTATCGTCTATACAGTTTGCTTGGCATAATATTATTGGTTACATATTTAGATGCACAACTGATTGTTCTATTAAGTGTAAAGTTGATTAACATCTGTTATTTTCCTTTCTGATATTTTTTACAAAAAGTATCAGTATTGATACCAGTTATGGGCATGATTAAGAATTTATGGTCATGGTACCAAAATATTTTTAATAACAAAATGATTTTTTGTTATTTTATATGCTTCGATTTGTTCATAAAAACTATTTGATGGTATCAATATTACTAGGAAGCGGGATAGTTCAGTGGGTTGTTCACTGACTTCCAGAGCTCAAGGTCCTGGGTTCGAATCTGGCTGATAAATTTGATTCATCGGCTGTGGATCGACCGTATTTAAATATTACTATTAACTAATAAATTACCAAAACGCTGAAAACATTATAATATGGATGTAGTAAAAAATTATATATTGATAAGTGTAAATATTGGTTATATGAAATCGCTAATCCACTCATTTACCAACTTTGAGATTTACATTAATCATTTATGTACTTTAGCAAGAATTATTTTATTTATTATTAATGTATCAATTATTATTATTTTTAACGAAATTGAACCAGTTGCGAATATATTTTTTTGACACACAAGGACTTTCTCCTGAAACTGCTTCAGTAGTTTAACTAGTGACATTTAGATGTGTTAATCCTCTAAATAATCCCTATACCACCCATCACTGGGTAAGTACTGGAATGGAGTTTGATCCATACTGCAGCTTCCCTGGGTCCTTCATTCTTCAAGCCAATTTTGTCCTTGGGATCTTGCACCTTTTATAATAATAAAATAGTGCAAAACATTTGCGCTTGGTATTTTAAAATTTTGAACAATATCCATTTTAAAAACCCATATTGTAGTGGTGGAGGTTTTACTGACACCCCTTTAGAAATTTCTGTTCTAACCTTTGTGTTGTTATCTTCAATGTATGTGTCATTTTTTCAATTATCTACTGAAATGAAGATCTATCAAAATATCTTAAAGAAATAAAAAAACAAGCCTTGATGACCAATGACCTTAACACATTATTCACTGACCAAAGCTAGTAAACAATATTGTATTTTAAATTTATGATAATATTAATAAATTAGGAAAGATTTACTATTTTTTGGCGGTAAGAAGACTTTTTTTTTTCTTATGCCAAAGTCGTTGTTCATTCGGCAATTCGACATCTTGCTGTCCAGCATAATTTAGATTTATATATATATATATATATATATATATATATATATATATATATATATATATATATATAATATGTATATATTTAAAAGTATCTTTTCTCTTATGTCCGTCAAGGCAGGACATGTGTCAAGATGGTCTGCATCCATTCTTTCTTGATGACACAATTTAAAACTAAGAAGACAAAAACTTGAAATGGTTATGGGTCACCATAACTAAAATCTCAGACATTTATCAATCAGTAGCGGTGAATTTAAAATTTATGTTGATTAAAATGATGAAATCAACAATGGGATCTACACGAGAGCAGAAATTCTAATAAAAATAATCATATCTTTAAAGCGGAAAATAGATGAAAAAGTTCCAGAATAATTACTTAACAACTTTCAAAAATAATACCGCACAAACTACAAAAAAATCATTTTGTACTATGAAATAATATAAGTAGAAAAATATTTATACCATTTGGAAAAGGATGAGGTAGAGAGAGGTTCGGATGTAAATAAATCATAAACACTTGAAATATTTATCGACAAAATATCACAAACTAAATGTAGCTGTTATTATTATTGTGAAAATTATAAAAGCCTGCCTATAACTGGTTATTTACCCTCACTAATAGAATATTTTAATAAATAATGGAAATCACATCGTCAGCTTTTTGACCTTATCATGTTTGCTGTCTTCAAGTTATAAGAACTGCTAGATTTCACTTTTACATTTTCAAAAACACCATGGAGAACATTTTCACACTATATTCATTGCATTGATTTAATATATCAAAAAAAATTTGGCTGCCTATTTTTTTCTGATAGATAATTATTTTATTACTAGTATTTTAACATTTCCTTAAAAATTCATAAATTGTTAATTTAAATTTATTTGATATTTATTTAAATGTTGTCTTTTTCTGTGCTGTTTTAGGTTTATGTTTTAGTGTTCCTACCGGTGTTGGGACACCTCCCAGGTAAGAACTATTTTATTGGACATTAATAAAATAATTATTTGAGAAATTATAAGCAGCCCAATATAGCACCATTTTTTTTTACTTTCCTACCTGTACTAGGTAAGGAAAGTATTGCAATCTGGTCAAATTTCCGACATGCGGTTTTCAACGGATCTATACGTTTCATAGCACCTTGAGTCCGAAAAACACATTGTTCGCCATTGGTCTGTCTGTCTGTGCCAAGATTTTCTCGGGAACTACTGAACCGATTTTGTTGCTTCTTTTTTTATTTTGTAGGTTTTTGTCTACTGATGGCTGTGACAGAAATTCAGTGCTCCATGCGCAATAGCTTCCGCGCAATAAATGAAAAACATGTTTTTCTATAGACTGTAGCGCAAGAAAGGCTCAACGATTTTGATGAAACTTTCCTATAATGTTCTAATCATTGTTCTTTCAATTTTCGTATATAGACTAAATTCCCCAAAAAATTCAGGAAAAAAAGTTATAAATAAAAGAAAAATTTTATAGGGCCTAACTCCCTAAGTATATATTATATGGTAAAATTTATAATAAAACTTTTGAAAGGTAATTAAATTACCAAATAAAAACTTTTTGAAATAGGTAGGAAAGTCGTGTGAGTGGACACACCAGATTTTTTTTATGGCGCTACAACTCGGTTATAGGTCTTGGTCTCCTCCAACTGTTTCCTCCAATAGTCACGGTTTTGTACCGATGCCATCCAGTTCCTAACTGCCTACATGCTGCGGACGTCTCCTGCCACACCATCTGACCATCTCAGCTTTGATGGTGATTGATCTCCCTCTTCTTGTGCCATGGATTGACTGTTTTCTTATAGAAGTGGAGCTTGGTCTGTCTGGAAAGTATCTGCCTACTTAGCTATTTTCTTAACCCAAAGTAGCATTTGTTAGCTGCTATTATCTTTCTTCTTACCTTTATATTGTATTTATATATCCCAGATAAGTAAACTGCAAGATTTTAAATTCATGAAGCTCAATAGTGACTGTCTGGCCTGGCATGGGAGTTACATCTGCTACCATATATTTTTTTTGGACTCGTTAACTTCCAGTCCAAGTATGCTGGTAGGACCAGCCATTGCCAGAAAAGCATCAGTCACAGTCTGCAGGGAGCGCCCCACAAATCTAATATGATCAGCGTAGACGAATAGTTAGACAAGCCTGGTAAATATGTTTCCGTGTCGTTTGTGTTAACCAGCATCTCTTACGCATTCTCATGTGCTAGGTTAAACAGCATACATGCTAGTGCATCCCCTTGTAGGAGTCCTTTACCTACACAAAGTTCCTCGGATCTATCATCATTTATGCTAACCAGAAATCTTACATCCTTCATGGTAAGCTTTATCAACTGTATAAGTTTCTCAGGCATGTTAAATTCTCTGAGGGCAGTGTACAGCTCTTCCTGTATTATGCTGTCATACGCTGCTTTGAGGTCAATGAAATGATGGTGTGTTTTGATTAGTACTTGATTGATTGAGTAATCATGGCCTCTTTCAAGAATGGTTTGCACACAGAATGTCTGGTCTGAGGTGGATTTTGTTTTCCTAAATCCACTCTGGCTCAGACTGAGTTCACGCTCAGCATATGGTAGGAAACCAAACAGGATATCAGATAGGATCTTAGTCAGTTTGAATCTCATATTTAATTGTTTTAAATACTTTTTGTTCGTGTGAGGAAATAAAATATTTGTAGAAATTAAATATGTGCTACATTGGCCAATTTTGTTCAATCAAGTTGGATTGTCTATGGGGCTCCTTAGTAAGGATTGGGAACAGGGATAGATCCATGTTATATCGAAATCCACAGTCAAACAAAATACATTATATTCGGGGTACAGTGAAATAGATTTATTGAAGTAATACTATTCTAATATGTTCTTGTTACTATTCTAACATGATTATTTGTTTCTTACAGCTTGATTAATATGTACAAAGAATTGGAGACTGACATAAATGATTTCAAGATTCCAAAGCATGGATATTTAGTTGGCTGGGCTAGACAAGGTATTTTAATTTTTAATTAAAAATTATCATTTAATTTTTCTGATGAACAATAGAATTTACTCTCCAGTTGTATTATCTATCACTAATATTAGTCTTGCTAATTTATTTGTAAAAAGTGATTTTATTAATAATTGTGTGAATTTTTATCCATTGCAAGAACAATGAAAATTTAAACTAAATGTATTGCTTATGGTTTAGTGGTTAAACTATGTGGGCATGTTGATATTTCATAGACTTTATCTTTTATAGGATTTGTTTTATCGTTAGTTTAATTAATTATTTTGAGTATAACAAATCAAAACTTTAAATTAAATGTAGTTTAAGATGTTTAAATTTAGAGATTAGTAAAAAAAGGTAAACTGCTAAAATTATAGTTTTTGAAAAATGTGATACTTTAAACTTAGGTCTAAAAAAATCAATGAATATTAATGACAGATACTGTCTCATATATTTAGTTTTTGATTATCGTCTCAGAATAAAATTTAACTATGAATATTTTCATTGTCAGTTAGTAATATTTTTTAATTATGCATAGCGATATTTCCTACATAAACTGTACAAGTCAATTAAATATCACCTCTGATGAAATAATTAAAGGCATTAATCTATTAATATTCATATTTTAACATAAATGTTTTATTTTTCTTAAGAAAGAAATGTTATATAATCTTTTTATTTGAATTTATTTAATTTTACATATCTTCCAGGTGTTTTACTCCTCAACGCTGTTTTAACAGTAAGAAAGAATGCTCCTAATTCACACAAAGACCAAGGTTGGGAAGATTTGACGACAGCTGTTATAAAATATCTTAATGATAACCAAAAAGGAATTGTGTTTTTATTATGGGGCGCTTATGCACAAAAAAAGGCAGATTTCGTTGATAAGGTTATTTTATTTTTATTTTTTTAAGATCTTAAATCACATGATTTTGGGGCAGTCCAGGAGTCTCCAAAGGTCTAATTGGCTCCTCTACTAAATCCTAAGGGTCCAGACCTAGGCTGGACCTCATACCGACAGTTTCATGTCCTTCATTATAGTTGAAATATTCGTTTTCAATTTGTGTGTCTGTTATTGTATTTCTTAACTGTTTATTAATTAAAAATATGATTATTCATTTTTTTTTTACCTATATTGTAAATTATTCAGTTAAATAAAAGTGAACAGTTGTTTCACAAATCTGTTTGGAGACTCCTGGTTTATTCAATTATTATTTGATTCTATGAACTGTTCTTGGCATGTCTGATATATATTCCAATGGTCCGACCTAACTCTCTCTTATATTTTTATACAGTATTATCCTTCGATTGATGAGTATGCTGTATTATTTAGCAACTCATCGCAGTTGAGCAGTCGTGCAGTGTTGTATTTCTCTCTGTCTAGATCAAAAGTTGTAAATGTATTAATGTATTTTTGAATGTTTCTGTTTAATTGGTTGTTTATATGTTAATATTTCGAGGAATGCTTCACTATATTTTGTGTTTCAATCTTCTCTGTTTTATTTTGGGTTACTATTTTATTGATTTTATGAAGAGATTGGTAATCTAGCAGAGCACTGGTCAAAATAGATATTTAAAATAAAAACAGATAACAGGTAAGAATTAAAAGAAAAACAAGAACTAGATGCTCTAGTTTTTAAGGATCGAACTAGATATCTTTTTGCTTTAAGCATCAAATGATGATCAATTTTTGAAAGTAATCTATTTTAGAAAAGATAATTCTGAAGAACCATTTTAATCTAAAAAGTGAACACCACAAGACTCAGCTACTTTCATTTAAACTTTTTAAAGATAATTTCACAAGTTATACAACGTTGTGAATTGTGGAATGTAGAATTATAAAGGTGTTTTAAATCTGGAACTGGTGCCGAGGCACTAGTTTCTTATTGAGGCAAATGAATCAATATTATCAAAGAAAAATTTGTTAAGGATGCTGTAAACTGAAAAACTCAGAGTAAGTGTAAAACTTTTTTTAACGTCTGCCAATATTTCAGCCCACGTTTCAGGCCTTCATCAAGGCTAGAAAAAAAAAATTATACCATAAAAATATTGAAGGAAAATAAAATAAATTTTGGTAAAATATTAAATACATTGAAGAATTTATGAAAATTGAATTGTAGAAATAGAAACATAAAAATTGTAGCAGCAGCGAGGTATGAAAATTATTATGATTTATGAAAATTGGTATATACATTTATTCACCTTTTTGGAGCTAAAAAGTTTAGGAATCAAGCATCAGCAACAATTGGGTACTATTGCTCCTGATATAGAGACATTAATGTTGACTGACTTAAATCCACTACTGAAGATTTAAAGAAGAAAAAAAAAAAATATGGATAGTTAAACTTTTCAGGAGAGTATAGTCCGTGGTACTGACCCCTTTCTATTGAATTATTAACATCCGGCTGAAACTTCGTAAATAACTTCATCATATGGTAACCTACCAATATTTTATTTACGAAAACTCTCGGGAATGGGGCGTTTTCAATCTGGAGGTAGATAGACTTGGTCTATTTAATTAGGTACTAAAAACTCGTAAATACCCAATTTTTTTCCGCATTATTCGTAAGATATCTTGAGCACAAGTCTAGAAAAATGGCGGTCTTCAAAACTATTGAGCGATTTGACCTATATAACCTCGTTATTTTGAAAATTTGGGGGTGTAGGTCATGCCAAACGGCTCAATATTTTTGAAGGCCACCTTTTTTTTCGACTTTGTACTCAAGTTATCTTAACATTAAGTGGAAAGCAAATAGGTGTTTACTAGTTTTTAGTACCTAATTAAATAGACAAAGTTTACCGACCTCTTGATTGAAAATGCCCCAATTCAGAGAATTTTCATAAATAAAATATTTGAAGGTTACGATGAGATGAAAATGATTTACGAAGTTTCAGCCGGATATTAATAAATAGATAAAAAGAGGTCTGTACCACGGACTAGTAGTTTAAAGTTTTGAAATCCTTAATCCTAACCTTTTCTCCTGTTTGAAATAATGAAGAAAATAAATTGAAAATCAGTGTATTATTTTTAAAAAGTATGATATTTGTAAACATTTCAAAATTGAGTTCTTACTGCCTTTAAATATCTTTATTATCTGATTCCTCTTTACCCTCCCAATCCAAACATCAGACATTAATTTTTTTTTTTTGTACTTCCCAAATTTAGGTAAATGTATATGTGTATTAATTGCTTTATGTATTTTTTATAGAAGAAGCATTGTGTTTTAAAAACAGTTCATCCATCTCCGCTGTCAGCTTCGAGGGGTTGGTTTGGCTGCAAACACTTTTCAAAATGTAATGAATATTTGGAAAAAGTTGGTAAAAAGCCAGTTGATTGGACTCGTCTTCCGGAAAAGTAAAGACCAGCAATGTTTGTTTATATCTTTCATAATTTTTAAACCAAAGTTCCTAATTGTCATTAAATTTGACTTTTTTAAAAAGTTTTCAGTAACTAGATTATTACTTGGTGATAAAGATTTTTATACCAATGACTGGCATGCTGTTTTAAATTTATGAATAATAAAACATTAGATTTTATTATTTATTAGTTGGAGTCGTGAAATTGACAAATGACTTGTGAATTAATTTTTTACAATTGTAAGAATAAAATACCTCATGATAGTGTAGTATATAAAGATTTTATTTTATGTTCAAAACATTTTTTTAATTTATAAAAGTATGTCCTGTGATGTGTACTTAAAAAAATAAAGTTTTGTTCAGTGTTAAATTTTCTATATAATCCCCAAGAGTTATTTTTTATTTATAGTTTACAGGAAATTATGAGGGAGGAGGATGGGGTCAAAAAAGCAAAACATAAATAAGTGAAATTTATTTTTAATAATATGCTAACATTTGCCTTCATCAGGGTTGTCTGAAGATTTCAAAGGACAGCTTATGAAGTGGGAGTCAGGAATACATCTATCTATATATGTGTGTGTGTGTATATATATATATATATATATATATATATATATATATATATATATATATATGCACAGACTGTTCTATGATGGGGAGGGAAGGATAGGAGGGCTTGGGTTGAAATCCCCCAAAATGGTAAAATATAACCCGTTTTATGAAAAAAAAAAAAAAATCTCTTATAGTATTATTGTTCCTGTAATTTCATTTAATAGGACTTCAAGAATCACTTAAACACCATTTCATATTGGTAGTTAGTTTCTTTCTTCTTTTTTTTCAAAGTAATTATCATTATATATGTGAAAAAAAAAAGCTTTCGGGCTGAAATCCTCCAAAATTAAGTCCTGGATCCGCTAGTGTATATATGTATATTGAAAGAGAGAAATAATTCCACCATTGATAACCGGAGTGATCTGGGATCAAATTGCTAACACATGGAGGAGAAGGACCAATAAAGAGCTGTTTACAGAAACTAGTCTTTTCAATATCTCATGATATGAAGGACAGAAAAGTTAAAATGTTTGGGAAATTTAGCTCAGCTCAGAGTAATCCATTGAGAAACCTGTACACAATAATCTATGCCTCAATAGACGCTGGAATCTATTCCTATTGAATGCCTGAAAAAAAAATTAAGGGAAGGTCGCTTTTATGCAAATCCTTTAGTATATGACAATTCGTTCTGTTGTTTAACTAAAAAAAGTTTGTTGCATGGCAGGGTTCTCTTTGAGCAGCTCTTAAAACATAATAGTATTGACAATGGAAAACAACAAAGTGAAATTCATTGTTGAGGCCCACTATAATAAAAAAAATTTAAAACCCATATTTTGTTTGATTTAAATATGTTTGCAATAAAATTATCATTCAATGAAATTAAAGTATTTTGTGGGGAGACTCCATTTCTTCTCAATAGAATGAGAATTATTTAATGGTTAGAATTGTTTAAATTATTTCATGATTCTCTTTTGTGAATCTGCCAAGGCATAGCAATTTAGTGCACCAGATCATATGAATAGACCTGGCATTGAAGGCCAAGTTGCTAAGGAAGATGGCTCTACATTGCAATGGAGAGCGATCTTCCCCAATTAATGACTAAGGAGAACCACCCATACTACTAGGTTATCCTGTAGTGGTAGAAGTTGTACCTGGGAATAAAGAAATATTTGCTTGATTGCAGTAGTGAGTTGTAATGTAAGCATATGTTGCTATCAGCTGCTTAAATAGAAACTCCATATTGCCTTACAGGCTGGCTAGGATTTCAAATAAGTAGTAAAATAAGATAGATAGACCTGGAGGAAGGCAGGGTGGCTGAGAAAACTGATAGAAGGAAGATTAGCAGTTCCAGTCCCAATGCCTGGAGCCAGGAGTGCCCAGAAGGGGGTTTGATGTTGCAAGTTGCGCCATTAAAATTTTTGAGGGGGGGAGGGGCACATTTTTACTGGATTTTGAATTTTTGAGGAAGAGGGCACATTTCGACAGGAATGTGATTTTAAGGAGTGAAAATGTTTCTATCCAAGGAACAAGGGGATCAGACCACTACAAGTGTATTTATATATGATCTAGGAGTGCCTCTCGAACCCCTGCGAGAAGATATGTTCAGGTGCATATCTAAGAAAGAAGGTTCAGCAGGTCTACCAGGAAACCTCAAAGAGAGAATCGACGAAAAGTCCAGAAAATGGAAATATATTATCGGAGAGGATACAATTGAAGTGTGGAATCAACGGTGGGTGACAAGGTGACAATGGTCCACTCTAAGGAAGTACTTTCCCACCGTCCAATCACGTTTGAAATCCAAGTGGGTTCTCCCGGATTACTGGCTCCTTCCTGGGCAGGGGGGCTTTCGAGACAAGCTTCATGGATTTGGAAAAGATGTCGATTCTCTATGCCCTAGCTGTGGGATTTCGGAGACTGCTGAGCTCTTCATCATAAACTGCACCGCCTTTGAGTAGCTAAGGGCCAAATTGGTGAGGGAGACCGGTCTTTATGTTCTCACAGATACAAAGAATTTGTATACGGGTGGAAAGAAGCAATCGGACCCCCACCAGGGAGGCCGCCGGAACAAGGAGGAGCGGAATAAGAACATAAACAGCAAATTTAAATATGAACATTGGTCTCGTTGCAGAAGCAGGCAGTTATGCAGTGACGTGTAACAACCCTGTTTTTGGGTCCTCGCCGTTAAGGCTATACGGGGTTTCCCGGGCCAGGGAGTGTGGGCGGGGATTTAAAAGACTCCCTTGGCACCGGGACGCGAACTCGTGATTATTTCTATATCATTTGATTGATATATCATGGTGCAGTGCAACGCGCAACCTGATATATCGCCGCGGCGGTGCTGTGCACACATGTTAGCCCATTTGGCCACCCCGCCCACAGATTCTTTAGGTGTGTTTTACGAAAGCTACTGGAATTATAATTGTTTGGAAAGTATCTGTGCTGTACAACTCTAAACTGCGTCTCAATTCACGCTATTCCCTTTTACTAAACCTGCCTAAAACTATGCTACGTTGCGTCTCCGCATCAGCTTGGCCTTACTCCTTGTCAAGCCATCTTTCTTACATACTTACACATATACGTCTATATTCTTCCCAGTGGTAGCATCCCTGAGATAAATGTTTGTTCATTGGTTACTCTTTTGGCAAGTTCTTAAACTTAGCGCTAAGATCACATCGGATAAGATGGAGATCGGAAATCCATCAGATCTTTGGCTAAGCACATCGATGTAACAGTGGGCAAGCTCCTAAACTCATTGATGAGATTATTGATGAGCATCGGAAATTCATGGATTAGCGCGGAGTTTCAACCGAAACTCCATGCTGTACATCTCCCTGAAGAAGACCTGCAAAGTCATGTCGAAACGTTGTTTTTAAATAAAATAGTTTCTTTACTATATTAGCCTTTTTACGACCACCACACGGGACCATCTCCTTACTAAATAATATACCACGGTCAACCATTTAGTATTCAATGGGTCATTAGATATTGACTCAATAAGGTTGATCGCCTAAGGATCCCTTAATACCATAAAAGAACAGTTATAAATAAGCTTGTTTTCGAAAACAATAATTTATCAGATTTATTAACATATTCAAGAAAACGACTTAATATTACACCCGTTTGATAAAATTTTAATTACATCAATTACTTTTTTTATGAAAGAAAGGTTGCAAAAGAACGAGTAGTTCACCTAAAGGTTTCTGTACATCTACATATTTACCGATGAACATTCAAAATTATATTAGTAATTTACGTATTGCGATTTCACAATCTTAAGTAACAATTAATATTTGATAAAAAGTAAATCGAGTCTAATTGTTATAACATTGCTTCTTATATAAAACAATATATTTTCCTAAAAATGTTATCAACATAAAACAGAACAACGAAAAGGATAACTTTTTTTAAGTTCATTGTACATTAATTTAAATGATGTTATTGTGATGGTGCTTAAATATTAATATATATTAAGACCATTTTTTTTTGTTTTTTAGATTATTTTTTAAAATTTGATTTCGTAAACTGTGAATTATTGACGGACGATTGGTATTTCATTGAACGATCTGGTCATCTACGGTTGAAACTTGTCCACCACTCTCTAGCTACTCCGCCATTAAACTACCGGCTCTCCGTTGCTTTACTTCTCGTAGTTATCCACATTTACCGATTCCATCATGACAGAAGATTACTTTTGGGGTATGTATTTGTATTTAATTGACCATTTAATTTAATTATTTTACATTCTCCATTCAAATATAAATGTACTATATGAGTAACGCTCAATTCATATAATAACTACAAGCTAAATGTAAGCGTTACCCTTTCAGTTACAAATACTACATAAGTATTAGTATGTTTTATGCTTTAGTATTAGCTGGGTAATATAGTTAAAACAATTTTCTCAAAATTTCACAATTGTTTGTTGTTACTTCTTATTTACATGTTAAATAAAGTTGTGTTAGTATTACATTAAAGTGTTAGCCATATTACTTAGCGTTGTTAGTTTTATTTCTATAGAATTTTATTAATATTTGCAATGTTACCTGTTTGTTTTGCTATCTTAAGACTGCTTTATTGTAATTTTTTATGTATATAAGGAAGCAGGTTTTCACATTGCTTGTTAACAGTTTTATGTTCTTAAGAAGAACATAGTGTAGAAATAGGATTAGTCATCTTTAATGAATGTATTGTGTTGATAAAATTGTTTATTAGTATTTTTAACATAAATTAGTTCTCCATTAAGTGTACCCATCACTGTTCAGTAGTTGCTAGGGTGTGCATGCTTTTCGCATTTCTACAGTTCTCACACTTATGTCCACAAAATATGAACATGCATTGTTATGCATTGCATGAATCATTGTCATTGCATTATTTTGATCAATTTTTCTTGAACTATCACTTAGTATTTTTCCTAATAAGTGTTGTTATTCGTTCTAATTTTTTTTCCTCGTATTGTGTGTTTTGTTGATTAAAGTGCTTGGGTATCGACATAATGCTTATTTAATTGATTGTCCACAACTTAATTGTGATTAATTTTCTGTCGTTAGTCGATAGGTTCAATAGTAAGATATATTTAGTTTATACTTGTGTTGATGTTACTGTTAGGAAACCTGGACAGTCCAGCACCACTCTCTTCAAACTTTGACCTACGGGCCATATTAAGACTCCCACTTAGTTCCGCAGGGTGTGATGACAAAAATATTAATTTAGCTATGTTCTTAAACTATAAAAGTCCAACATTAATGTTTTTTTATTTGTTTTCTATAACAATAATTTAGGAACTTCTTTGTAATTGGTTTTTAAATACTAAATTGTATAAATATTTTCTGGTTATCATATCATTTAAATATATTAATTAATATTAAATTAAATATTAATTATCATTTTTTATTCAACTAATTTTTTATTTTATCTCTATCTTCATTTTAAATTCTCTGTAAACAGATTATAACCTGGATATAATTTTAGCAGGTTTCAATGAAGGAAAATGAACCTTGTCTACTTTTTATATGCCATTGATTTCTAAAATATTAAGTGAGGCAGTTGGTCGAAGTAGGAGTCATGTTATAAGATGTGGTAGAAAATAATTACTTTTTAAAAATATATTGAAAAAAAAAAATAAATTGTATACCACATTAGTACTACAATAGTGATAATGTTTAAAACTTCGGTTAACTTTCATGCTGTTTAAGTAGGCCTCGATCCATATTGGGACGGTGGAGATGTATTCCTCCCTCCAATATTTTATTTGAATATTCCGCCTTACACCACCAGTATTTTGAATGGTCTATATGTTTAAAGTCCTGAACGATTGTACAATAACTCTAAATGTTACATATTGTAAATCTATGAAAATGAATAAATTTATTATTATTATAGGTGCGTAGTATTCCTTTGTGTACAGTCAGTTCTATTTAGCCGCATTTACACATTATCCAAACCATTGGGAGTACTAGTATTTAAAAGTGTTGTGCTCGGCTCACAGATGTCTCCCTGTGCGACTCCTTTAAGAGGAATGTATCTTATGTCTATTGTATATTCAGACGTTTTAAATATTTATTCTTTTTTTTTTAAATATCTTATACTACCTAAAAATGTTCCTTAATTATTATTTGAACAGATTGTTAGTGAATACTTTGTTTTTAGGAGTACTTAACTTAAATGGATGCAGATTGACATTTTGTCAATCAATACTTCAGGTGAACTTAACAAAAGTTAAACCTATAATCCCTACCACTAAACTAAATTCCCTTTATAAGTGGAATTGATTTTAGAATATGAGCTTCACTGTTAACCTGCTCTCTGTTAAAGGAAAAAGTTATCAATCAAAATACTTAAATCAAGCCCATCAGCGTTATATACAGCATCTGGTGTAATGCCATTAAATTATTTAAAAGTTGATGAGACATATAAATTATGTCCTCCCTCGTAAATGAGACAGACCGACACATATGGATATTTGTCATCTTCGTCGATATATATGTGCATGCCTATAAATGACATTTCCATTGCGAAATACTTGTGTTTAAATAGTTTACTAAGTTTCATATTTTGTTAGTAATTATGAAATTATAAGAAATTGACTAAATTTATGCAATTAATTTTGAAATACTGTTATTCCAATTCTATTGGGTCTTATGGTCATTTGTATTCTCCTGAACTGTTAAAAATAATTTTTAGTATTGTTCGGTAAAACAACAAAACAAGTAAAATATATTTTCGCCATAGTCAATAACTACTTCAAATCTATTTAATTATGGTTAGTCAAAGTACTAAATAATCACCATGGAGTAATTGATATGTTTTGATATTTAATTTATTTTTTGAGAAAGGTAATAAAGTTTACCAATAATATGTTTCTTTACTAATTTAGACCGTTACGGGTAGTTCAGTTGAAATGATATAATTAAAAGAAGGTCTGTATTATTCAGAAATAATAAGCATTTAGCAAACATACTGTTAATTATATGTTGCAGAACTAAGTAACTTATTTATTATGTAGTTACGTATTTCAATCAGTGTAGAGATAAACTACTTCTATAAAAATTTCCTATATGTTCTGATGATTTTGAGTCATGGATTTTTGTTTTTAAATTTGTTGAATATATGTTGTTTTTATCTGTTTTATTTAATTTTCTAGAATATTTTTGCCATTTATTTCTTACATTATTTCTTAATACTTACAAAAATGGTATAAATTAAGGAAATATTTTTACATAATATATTTTTTCTCCTTCCTATTGAGCTGTAACAAAGTTTTATTTGATTTTCTGTGGAGTATGGGGAATACAAGGACAGCTAGAGATATTTGTATATAAATTTAATGAATCATGTATGACCCATGTTGTTGCAATCACTGTGTTCTGAGGCAAGTGTTTATTAAATGTGTCTTTTAATCAGTCATCTAATGCATCTTAAATATTCTAATCAAGCTAATTTCGTAGATGCAGATCAAAGCGACTTTTGGGGGAGGGGTGGGGGGTAGGAGTCAAACAATGACAAGTTAAGCTAATTTATCAGGCCATGATGATCCAAAACTATATTGTTCAGTTATAACTTTCTGGTTCAATACATTAGATGCTTGATTATATGACATAATTGGATGTAGAGCTTCATATCAAATGATCCTTAAGATTATATCTGTGTTAACAGGAAATAATTTGGTAACTTTACCACAGAGTCAAAAAATGGTCCTCAGTTGTTTATATGTATTCTGATTTTCAATAGAATTTTGTACAATGAAAAATTTTTACTCCCCATTTCTCGTCTAGCCCTTGAAAAGATATAAAGAACCAAACTCTTAACAGTTTGCTCCATTAGGTGTTCTTTTATTAAAAACTTATATTCTCAATTCTTAACATAGCCGACCAATTATGGTGAGTTATGCTTCTCCCCCCCCCCTCTTACATATACAGCATTTCAGGCACACCCTCATTATGTTATTAATATTTAAGGATTTCAATCCTCTCTTCCTCTTCACCTCTCCAATTTCTGTTATATAAAAATTTTAGATACTTGAAAATATGATATCGTAGGTGATGTATAATTGGGACGCAGTCATTTTTAAGATTTTTATTGGTATCGACTTTTCAATCCAAGTATATGTGGGTTATCATCAGATGTGTTTCGGGCACTGAAAATGTTCAAGTACTGGCAGACACCGGTAAAGTTGAAACTGCACCAATATAAATCTTGAAAAATGACTGCGTCCTGACTATTCATCACCTATGATATGTGGAACAGTCTCCTAACTTCCTTCAATGAAAATAGAGTTATTATTACAATATTTTAAAATTTATTATTTTTATTTTTTTCAGGACTTACCCTTGACAGCAACAAAAAGAAGGAAGTATGGGATCCAGACAGGAATCCTTCTTCAGGAGGTGGTGATATGCAAGGGTTTCGTGGAGAACATACTCTCTTAGTGAAACAGGTATGTTTGTAGTCGTATTTATTTCTATTAAATTGACATTATCATATTATTAATTTTTTTTTTTAATTTATTTGGTTAGATCAATTTAACAATAAAGTATAATCATTTTTATTGTTTTAGTAAACAAATTTCTGATTAATATAGAATGGTTTATTATGTATCTGGACGTCTTTCCTGACTGTTTAGGGGAAATTCAATTTTTTTTTTTTATTTGGGTTTTGTAAGCGATTTCATTCCTTCAAGTGATTTAACCTGTACAAAATATTTTGAAAATACTTCATAAAAACTTGACAGGGTGTCAAGAAATCTTGAATAAAGATCAGGAAGTCTAGTGAAACTCAATTTTTTGGGGGAGGGAAAGGAGGGAGAGAAATTGGGAATTATACAAGTACAAAATTTAATGGTAGGGGAAAAAAAGGAGAAACCTTTACCATAGGGTGCAGGATTTAATGCATTTTAAGGAAGTTCTGTTCCTTGGCAACAGTTGTGGAGTGGGATGTTCAAATGGGCTAATGTGTATGCACAGCACCACGAGTTGTCAGACAACACCACATAACTGAAGTTTTGAGATTAAAAAAAGTACGAGTTCGCGTCCCGCTGCTGAAGGGGCGTTTTATATTTCCCGCCCTCGCTCTACGGAAAAATCCTGTATAGCCTAATAGGCGAGGTAGGAACAACAGTTGTGCTTCAAATTCAGAAATTCAAAATTATTCTCAGTAACAAGCGGTGTGACTGAGCAGATTTATTTTGTGTGTGGTTCGCATCCTGCTGCCGGGGAGAGAGAGAATTTGTAACTCTGGCCTCAATTCCCCCTCCTCCACTAACCTAGAAAATAAATCCGGATAGCCAAAAGGCAAAGACAAAAAAAAACAACAGGATTTCCCTCTTCATTGATTGTTTAATAAAGATTACTCACTTATAAAGACACTATATGTGCCTCAGGAGGATCTGTCAACTTATCCATGGCTGATGTAACAGATTCAATAATTACCATAATCTGACTCCAACGCGAGACCTTGAGTATAGCAAGGAATGCCTTACTTCCTGACCTACTCCACTCTTTTTTTTTTTTGCTAGACAGATAACATCAACAGATTAGTTACCGCATATTTGTTAATCAGTTCACTTTTATCTGAGGTCCTTCAGGAGTAATAAATGCACAGTTAATTGTTGTTTTATTTCTTACATTTTATTAAATTATATGTTGATTCTTCAAAAGTAGTTGTTGCTAGTTAAGTTAGCTATGATGATAAATTTTTGGGTAATTTGCGTCTGATTAGCAATGCTGATACTTAAATTTTCTGAGCTACTTAACTGTATAACTAAATTTATTAAATCATGCATAATTGCAACAATTATTTGTATAATAATAAATATCAGAGATTAATCAACATTTAGTAACTTTGAATTTGTAAATCATAGTCTAACATCATTTCAGTGTTGGCTGATTATACACAATTTATATTAAGTGCCATTAAAATATGCTACTTAATACTCTTAAATTTTACTTGACATAATTTATTTATTTTGTAATATGGTTTGATCTAGCTATCTCTCCCTAATCTGTATTAGATATTAAAGCTAAGCTGCCCATGCATGGATTGTAACAATGCCCAATAATTTCTTAAGGCCTGTGTTAAAGCATAACATTTCCTGTAATAGTGTAGCTCTTGATTATTCATTAGTTGACTGTACTAAGTGGTAGTAGTACCCGTATCCTAGCAACTAGAAATTATTGATGAACAGTTACCCCTCTCTCTCTCTCCTCCCCATAACCTTTGCCTTCAGTTTATTCCCTGTTATATTACTCAGTTAAAATATTGTTTGAATTTAGAGTATTTGGAAAACATCAATTTCCTGTGCAGCAAATAAAACCATATTTTTGAATTGTGTATGTAGCAATGATGTTATTTATTTGGGTAATTTGCGTCAGACTAGTACTGTTGATACAATTTTTTTCTGAGCTACATGCCCATCATGAGTGTGATGTTAAATTACTAATGATACAAATACATTTTAAAGATTTTAAAAGGGTTCAGCTTTGATTATTTTATTTTGAATATATATATTTTTTTTAATCTTTGAAATTATTGTTATTGCTGCTTTAATTGGGTTATCTGCTTGTCTTCACTAGCTAAGGACTTTATTATATTTCTTACACAGACAATTAGCTGTTAATGGACGATGTCATATGTGCTGTTGAATTGAAACTTACATTTTTTTTTCTTAACTTCCGAATTGGTTTACAATATATACATCTATTACAAGATCCTCTTATCTTGTAAAGTAAAATTTTTTGTTGAAAAAATTGGAAGATCCTCCTTATAAGAAAACATAAGTTAGTTTGAACTTTATGCAAAAAATATAGTGTTAGTTTCATCTTGAGAAAAGTACAGCTATGCTCAAATTAAACATAGTTTATCATTATTTTTTGCGATCATAGTTGTATTATACTTGTTATGATTTGATTATCAATAAAATAATTAAAATATCTTTTCTTTTTTTCTCTTCTTCATAGCCCCTTTTTATATATCTTAGTCTTCAATCCTTAGATTTTTTGTCCTCTTAATAATTCTTTTGCTGCTAAAAAGCATTATGTTTTGTTGTTTTCTTTTTTATTCTTTTTATCGTTTCCGTGAATTTTTTCAAAATCTGAAATATAATTGTCAATAGGGCTCCACCTCAGGCTTGAGTTTACCTTACACTCTAGAGCTTACTACTAAATTAAAAAACTTATGTAAGTTGTAGCCAACGTTTTGGAATGTTGGCTGGAAGTAAGCTGTTGAAATATCTTAATTTTCTGTTGAACTTATATTAGACAGCAACAATACATCTTTTTTTGGGAGGGCCTCCTTAATAGTGAGGGCGACCTCTTTCCTTTTTATTGCTTCAAATATAAATGTTCTAAAAGTAATTGTTTCTAGTTAATGTAGCTATGATGATTAATTTTTGGGTAATTTGCGTCTGATTTAAAAATGCTGATACTTAAAATTATCTGAGCTACTTAACTAAATTATAGTAAATTTGCATAATTTTTTAACTAATATCTGTTACAATAAATACAGTCATACATTCCTTCATGTTTCTGTTGTTCATTCACATTTTCACTACTCGCTGCTTAAAAATTATGACCATTCTTATATTCATGACTCAAAATCTCTATTTTGAAAGTCTAAAAAAAATTATCTATTGCATTTTTAGAATACTATTTGTTTATTTATCTTTAAAAAATAATAATAATAATAATAAATATTTATGAACAAAATAATATTATTTCTGGCTGAAAGTTCTTTGACAAGCCTCTATCAGATTATATGAGCTGCAGTGGCTTTTGATTAAAGGTGTTTTTCCGAGATCTGTGTAGAAGCTTATATTTTGTTGCTTCAAATTGTCATTTGTTACTATTGCAAGTTAATCACTGTTATCTCTAGTGCTTTTTTTTGCAATTTATTTTTCGAGGAAAAGTTAAGGCAAATTAGTTAAGTGTTGCCACACAAGAGTACTAATATCAGAGTACGGATATTTTAAAGAATCCTCTATCAATATAGTCAAAAGGATTTTTAAAGTCTTAAAAATAGCAGATAGTGGATACAAATAGTATTTTAAAAGTGTTGAAGCAAGAAGAAATTACGTAAACCATTCCCTCCTATGGGTGATAATAATTTATATTGTTGATTAATATCTCATTGAATTGCTTTTATCATATATTTTTTCATTTTGTTGTGTAAACATAGAACATATCCCTTATAATCTAGTATAAATTACTATACTGTATTTGCAAAATGAGCTCACTTCCCAATAAGGAGTATTAATTGCATAGGGGGGGGGGGTGAAGATTTGTTCTGTGGATGAAATGTAAGTCAACCTAATAGAAGAAGGTTTAAGTTTCTGTCCAGACAGAATTAGGATTTTGAGAAAACTTCCCCATTAATGGTTATGGACGACTCCATTTGCATTGAAGAAGTTAAATACTTAAAGATTTCCTATTTATGAAATACTTCTAAGACAGTTTCATTGTATTAATAAACTTGTATTAAACTTCTAAGACAGTTTTCATTGTATTAATAAACTTGTATTAACAGATCGTTCTGGGAGCAGAAGCAAAGGATGGCGATGTTAACGTGGTAGAAGTAGAAGCGATGGGCTACAAAGCGGACGTAAAGTTTCCTATAGCGGTGATGAGGGGAGGCAGCTCACAGTCACAGGCTGTTTTGGATCTTCTCTTTCCAGACCCACCAGTCACCTTCCATCTAGTCAAAGGATCGGGACCTGTACACCTACTCGGGAATCACACGATTGGCAGTAAGTGTTTTTTTTTTTTTTTTAATTTGCTTTGATATAATTAAGTAATAGTAATCTCATGTGCTATTTCAAACTGGAAAAGATCTCTTCAATTAAGTAATATTATTTGCGTTTATTTCAATTGAGTTATTAGTTGCGTTATCAGTGCCTGGACAAGCTTGAATAATTTAATGCTAAACACGATAAAAATTCAGGCCATTGTTATAGTTCTCTCCTTAAATCCAACTCCTCTCTTTCTCCTTTAGTCATCTTATAACATTAAGTTCCTCTGTTAAAAACCTATGAATCACCACTGACGAAACTTTTTCCTAGAAACCCATATCGCCCTCATCTTCCGAAGGTCAATAGATAACCTTGAGTTAAATCGTCCCTCTCATCATAACAGGATTAATGAAGCGACTCATGAATTCCTTCTTGAAGATTCTTCTTAACATGGAGGTCTCATGTTTCCCAAGTTAAAAGTGGATCTTCCCTTCTTTCCGCAGACAATATTTCCTTGGACCTTAGCTATTCCAAACTTATCAACTCCCGGAACCCTTCATACATCTACAGTCTCCTTCGGTTCAAACCTGTAGTCCTCCCCTAGAAAACATGATCCCGTGTTTTCTATTTTTCTATTCCTTTTAGTTTTATTTCTTTTCAAGAGTGGAACAAAGATTTCAAACTTGGATAAGAACTTAATCCCGATACTAACAGTCTCCAAGTTGAAATGTGTTTGCAAAAAGTGTTTATATTTGTTAATATCAAAAACTTTCTTTTTATATTAGCTAAGATGCCCAAGGGATTTCAAGAGTCTTTTCTTTATATGTTCAATTGATTTTTAGAATATTAAACATAGATATTTAGATTTTTAAGAACTTACACAGCTTGTTAATAGTCCATTGAAACTGTAGCATCGAAGAGGCTATCAGTATCTGCTCAAATTACGATTTATCTTAAAAATTGTAATTTTTGGTGATTTGTAATAAAGGGATCTATTAAACTCTGCAAGAACTTTGCTCCGGTCTCTATATCAGTTTCGAACTATTTGTCTAGTCTCGATCTGTAGATTTCAGCACTGTTGGAATTTTGAAACCTATTTCTTTCAATGAAATTTATTGCAGTAATACGACTTTAAGGTTTGAAATTTATAACTTCTCCATGAAATTCCCTTTCTTTTATCACCTCGTTTGTCTAAGTACCTTGTTCCTGAGAACTGTAAGAGTGTTTAATACTACCGTACATATATATTATACGGTAAATATTTCTTGACCTTTTATAGGGGGAACCTATTTAACATTGAGAATAAAAATATATTTTAACTTTATATTTTTTCTTTTAGATGTTTATTTTTGAGTATAGGTGTTTTTTGTTTTAAAATATTTGGTGAAATAGGATGGCACCACATGTACCCGTATTTGATTAGAGAAGTGTTATCTATAAAAGCTTCAAATAGATATTGGTATATGTGGTGTACCACAACTGTAGATTAGTTTTAAATTTCTGATTTCATGTTTTTGATTGCAAATACATTTTTCGAATTAATAAATTAAAATGGTGTTATGAACTTAATTATAAGTGAAATTTTGTATTATAATCTTTAGTTACATACTTTGATTAGGGAATTCAAATCTCTGTTAAGTTAGACCAATATCAGCTGCTGCTTATCCTTATTCTTCTATCTGTATCTTTACTTTTTTTACTGCTTCAATAAATAATGATGGATTAAAAATTTTAATATTTCAGCTGGTGAATTGGTAGGCGATGATGATGAAGATGAAGATTTAGAAGATGAATTAGATGAAGAAGATCTGGAGGATTTGGAGGAGAGTCCTGAAAGGAATAATGTAAATATGATTAATTTTATTATTATCAATTATTTATTTAGTATCAATTTGGATGGTTAGTTTTGATGTTGTAAGTTCAAAACATCTTTGTAATTTGCACCAAATCAGTAAAATAATAATATTAAAATCAATTATTATTTCTAATCCCATTTTTAAATTTATTTTAATTATACTCTTAATTTGTGTGTAGATTGAAGACAAAAAACGCAAACTTTCACAATCCAACTCAACCAAGAAAGGGAAGAAAACAAAAGTAGATGAGGTAATAATTAATATTTAATTCATAAAACTTTTATGTTTAACTTAATCTCAAGGAATTATTTTTTTATTAAATTTTAGGGTGTTATTAAGTTTCATTAATGTGACATGAACAGATAAGGCTTTGCATAGATTAGTATTAATGTGGATTAGAAAGGGATGTCAATTTGCTGATTAATTGTTATCTGTTTGTCCATTTGGTTCAACTCTTTATTTACTGACCATTATCGTCATAGTATATGCTGAATAAATAACATTCTTTTTCAATTAAAATCTAATTCTTTCGTAGTTTATATTAAGTCATCATCAAATTATATTAGTAATATGAACAAGGAAAAATTTTAGTTTATCATAAACCAAATCAAAAGTACATCAAAGGTAGCCATTTTGGAAATTTGACTTTTAGCCTGTAAGGCTATTTCAAGGAGAATAAGAAATATCTTATATGTAAGACCATATAATTTTACCGTACACAATCAATTATAATTGTGGATGACTGTAGTAAAAGAAAAGTAAAAATATATTACTTATTTTTTTTTTACTGATCACCCCAACCATTCGTCTCTTCAATAATCAATTATAAATCGTTTGAGCATTTTGAGAAAATGAAAAAAAAAAAAAGAAGTATAAAGTAGATGATTTAAAGTGGCACTTCCTGTTAAGTCTATTTTAAATAAAAATTCTAAGATTCTATATTATATTAGGCATATATCTACCTTGAATATGCAGTTTTTAGTTTTGTCTTACTTTTCATTCCTGATGTTTCATTCAACTCTTAACTTAATCCCGCCATACCATTTTGTGAAACTTGGTTATTCGGACTCGAGGAACCTTTTGATCAAAACATGAATTTTTGTTTTAAACTGATTGAAAATTTACGACGATCGTCATATTTTCCTTCCTTAACGTTAATTTTGTATTTAGATTAATGGAATTTTAAAAAAATCTTGATATTGTAATTTATACATATTGGTTATTCTTAATGACTATAAGCATTAGGAATAATTACAGGATCGAAATTATGTAAGTTGGTATAGTGGATCTAAGATGAGTTTGTGTGTAGGGGAAGGGGGGTCGCGCAGCCTTTCTCCCCACTCAAGTTCCCACCCCCCGAAACCCTATCATGAATTAATGTACGTTCATAATTGATATTTTTGTCTGAGTGTGGATAGTTTTCCCTCTGCCCAGTTTATTGGCAAGTAAACAAAAATTGATAAAGGAAATTTCTAATTGTAGAAGTACTTATAAATGAGTTAAGAAGAGTGGGGAATCAGCAGGAAAACGTTTTGTCACCACACATCTATCTCTCTCCCCCGCTAACTCATCTTAGATCCACTAAACACTTCAGTAATTACTAGCTCTTATTAACCAAGCAAACTAGGGTTAGGGTTCAATTCATTTATTTCATAAAATATATCTATATAATTTTTATATACGTTTGTACTTAATTAGATATATGATTATTGAGAATATTGTTTTTAAAGCCTCTTTTATTTTTATTTTTTTCAGAAGTAAAGTGGAGTATTACTGTGACATCAACCATCTGCTACTTTACATTTTTTTAGAAGTAATGAATGAACTTATTATTGTACCAAATAAACAGAAAGTACATAGGGAGTTGCCTTGGTCAGCAGTTATTTTATGTCAAGGAATTACTGACTTAAAAACCCGTTGAATTCCTCATGATCTTTTTAAGTTATTAGTATTAAACTATTACGAGAGTTTGCCTTTGAACTAAGTTCTATTATTGTAAACGTTTCCTACTCTCCAAACCTCCTTATTATCTACAGTATGTTTAATGGTAGAAATATAAATCCATGTATAATTTATCATTTCATGTTTTCTTAATTTTTTTTTTTGTTTTTTGTAAATTATCTGTATATTTGTGTACCAAATGGATTGCATATGTTTTTTTTATATGTATTATTTTGGGACGAATTTGAATGTGTTGGTTCGAATGGTTCTGTTTGACTACAAATCTAAGATGTGTACTTCTTTCTTAATACATTTTTCCCTTTCTATAAAGTTGTTTCAATTACCTTATTCCTTTTGTGATATATTTTTTAGATGTTTTATGATAATGGATTCCTGTTCGAAAAGGTATTTTAAATAATAACTAAAATTGTGTTTTTAAGGTTATTTAAGTTACAAATTATGACTAATTTGTAAGTAAAAATAAAGAAAAGGTTAAAAAAATCATAATTTTTACCATAAGAGTTTGGGATACTGTAGTGTATCTTATGGATAGACTTATACAATTGAGGAGCTGTATTAATTTAATAATGCAGGCTCTTAAATATTCAGAATTCAAATTTAATATAAGATAACTTCATATTAGAATTAATATGAAGTTATCCAAAGTATAAATATGTTTTCAATTTGATATTCCAAATGGATATTCTGTTAAAATATATTATGCTTGGAGTTCAGTTTTTACTTTCATTTATGTATATATGAAAGGTGTAGATGAAAGTATGGCGATCATTAAAATTTTCGAATCTGAGTTTTCAACGGTAATACATGTTTTGAGATCGCCTGTGTCGAAATAACCAAGCCCCGCAAAAGTTTGTGTTAACAGTCTATCTCAAAAACGAAAAGTATTATGAAAGTGAAATTGTATATTTGAGGTTTTTATAGTCTTGAGATATTACAGCAACGTTTTTTTCGTCAGAATCGGCTAACCGGAAGTGACACTTTACATCATGGACTAAAAACATTTTTATGATTTTCTCGAAAACGGCTCGTAACTATTTTGATTAAATTCATTATATCAGTGTGAAGTTAAGCAGTTTTAATTAAAATGTAGGTTTTATTCTGATTGATTTTCTCTAACTGCTTAAATGGCAAATTTTCAATATTAGCTCTCCATAAACTATCTTTAATTTTTTTTATTTGTAACAATTGAACATTTCACATTAATATCTAATATAAAAGATAGTTAAATATACAATTTGAAAGAATTTGATAATTAATGGAGAATAGTTGTAATTGAGGAACCAAAGGAATAGGAGCTTGCCCAAAAGGTTAGATCACGCTTCCATACCTAAGATGAGCTTAATATCATAAGGACTCTGATAATATTATGTAAATATACATATGCGGCTTTCATAAATGCTATTGTTAATATTATTTAATACTTAATTGTATAGATTACAGCGATATAAATACTGAAATTTGTTTACTGAATAAAAATACCGACGAATTATAAATCGATATAGCTTTTATAATTTTTACTTTCACCTCCCCTTTGTCTGATAATACTTATTTCTTCTAAGAGGGCAGTAAGTGTAAGTTGTGTGATGCGCGCACCACACCAAATTTTTTTTTAAATTTTGGGGATTGAAAATATATTTTAGTCTAATCATAGCTTTATTTAATTTATATATTATTTTAATTATGAAGTTAAGTTATTTATTCCTGTATTGAATATTCAGCTAGTTGAATTGAAAACTATTAATATTCATTTCTTAAAAGGAAATGACCGATATTTGCCAATTTCAATTCATCTTTATTTAATAAAAAATCAACTGAATTTTATTTATTTTATTTTATAATTTAATTATTGCAACCTTTAACAAGGACTTAATCATTTACTTTTGTGTGACTGAGATATTTGTGTGATGTGCTGTTTTTATTTGGAATATCTTATCTGTTGTGAGATTTTTACTCCGTTGGTGAGACTGACTGGTTAACAAGTAATTTCAGAGACTCAGGACTGTAATTTAGTAATTTTTGCTATTTTATATTAATTTATCATATAATTAAAATTTTGTTAGGGGCAATCCAATTTTTCAGTAATTTAATTTTTTTTAAGTCTGTCATCTCTAAGAAGTGTTGTTTTCGATATAAAATTTATAACATGTTTTACTAATATCTATCCATGTTCCGTCAGTCTCATTTTGTAGTTATTTGTGGAAAGAAGCTTTGTCAATAGCAGTTGGTTCCATTATGTTACAGTTTATTCATTTGTCAGCGTTGGTTCTGAATAGTGGTTTTGGAAGTTAAGGTCATCTAAATGTAGATTTTATATACTGAAGTTTTATTCACCTCATTCAATAGTTTATTCTATTTTGTGTGAAGACAGGTTATCAGGAATAAATAACCCGCAGTTACTCCTCTGCCTATAAGGAGTACTAATAGTAATCATATGGTTGCCTCAAATTGGCTTACCAATCAATATCCTACTTAAAGCTCATTGGTCCGCATGATGGTACGACCGGTATATCTCTCCTTCAAGCCAGTATTTTATCTTTCTATCTTATTTGGGACAATGCCATTAAAGTTGGTTCGAGTGCCATCATTCCATTTTATTAAGGCCTGGTCTTTCTTGGCCTTATCATTAATCTATTTTGTGTGTAGTTTTGTTCATGGAATCGTAACCCCAAGGATTGTCGGAGGGGAGTCTAAAACATCATCTACTTTGGTCCGTCTTGATCTTTCTGACAACAATGTTAGTGATTATGTAAGCTTCATGAGGAACCAGACTAGCGTTCAGATTGTAGCAATGCGAATGATGACTCCTCTTATGGTATCGTTTATGTCCCTCGGAGCCCTGGTAGTCAGTGCTTTTTTTGTTAGAAATGATTTGCCTCCGTTATTTAATAAGCTGTCTCAAATAGATCATTCTCTCAGAACTCTTGTTAAACAAACTGGAAGATTAGATTACAAAATAACAGTTTATGCTGCGTTGTATTTTGTTGTTCTTACTGTTGTTGTTAGTGTGTTTTACTTGTCGTATGCTTTTTATCTTGTTCAAGGTTGGGAAATTATGTGGAATGTTATTTTAACACTTGATAATTCAATATCATTTAGTTCAGAAATACAGTTCATCGTTTTGGCTATGTATTTAAAAGCAAGGTTTAAATTGATAAATGAACATTTATTTGAACATGTAGATCAGTATGCTGTGGTAAATTATTTTTCTGTTTTCAAGTAAGTTTGCCAATGGTAACATATAATAAAATAAACAATTATAAAAAGTATATGTATATATGTTTTTTACCAAATCTAAACAAAGTAATATAAAATTTTTTATAAACCTTAATTGTATCTTTTTGATTTTAGTAGGTATGTTCTAGTAAAATATGTTTTTTATTAGATAATTTTAGACTGTTTTTATGTTCTTATGAGTTCAGGATTTTTTTATCATTGACAGTCTCTTTTTTTTTATTTAAAACTTTATTTGTAGAGAAGCTTTCGTTGTCCATGTACCTTATTCATCTCTATAATTATAATACTCCAATTAGTATAAATTTACAGTTAATTAATAACATTAACAATATATGTATTACATAATTATTGAAATGTGAGCACTCAGTAAGATGGTGTTTGACAAAGAGGAGTCCTATTCTCGGAGAAAGCTGACATGAGACGAAGAATAAGAACACTGTTCTTATCATTTATATTTTAGAATAGACAAAATTAATAAAAGCTATGGCATGATCTGATAATAATTACATGACATTTCAAATAATTATGTAATACATATATTGTTAACATTATTAATTAAATGTTAATTTATACTATTTGGAGTATTATAATTATAGAGATGAATATGGTGCATGGACACCGAAAGCTTCTTTACAAATAAAGTTTTAAACCAAAAGAGAGACTGTCAATGGTAAAAAAAATCCTGAACTCAATATGCTTTTTTTTAATAACATCTTTCTCTTACTGCTCATTCAGATCAATGGTGATATGATATCAATAACAATAAAATGTTTCTTCCATCCTTAAACATTCAACTATAATACTTTTAAACATGAGTTATTCATATTATAGTTCTGTTTATCATATAATGTTTCTATTTATCGAGAAGTTATTTACATTTTTTTAAATTAATCTTAAATTTGATCTCAATTTATCTTTTTTTAAAAACTTAATCTGGCATGTGGGGTAGTTATTCTGAAGAGATAACAAACCTAATTCTAACCATAGTGAGAAGTTTATTAAGATTCATTCCATATGTCCTCAACAGAATAAATATAAACCCGCCTAGAACGGATTCTAACCAATGAAAGAATTATTGGTACATATCTTATACTATATTTCAATGTCATCCAATTTTTAATAAGATACAACTTATTTAATATTTGATCTTGACAGTAACAATATGGAATCTTACTTTATTTTAATTTATAAAAAGTAATAAAAAACATTACCAACCCTCTAAAAATCATTTTATTGACCCTCATCAAATCTATTTTTGAGATTTTTGTATCTATTGATCATAAAAATTTTGAAAAATTTAGTTATTATTTTAACAAAGGCTATCTATCCACTAATACTACAGCACTACACATCTCAAACCTTAAGACCTGACTCATAATGCCCATAGCAAAAAGTTGTTATAGCTGCTGCTATAACCCTGTTCTGGGATTAGCTACTTTCTCATTTTGGGGGTGAGGGAAAAAAAAAAAAAATTAATGGTTGTACCTAGTTTCAAGTACCCAGAAAATCCTTTATCATGCAGAAATTATAACAACTTCCAATATTTTTTTTTCAGTTTAAAATGTTTATTTATTTTGATAGAGAATATTTATTTTTTTTTTAGAAAAGTTTTGCCATTAAAGAATAATCTCACTGTCCAGAAAATAGAAATTCTTCATTATTCGAACAAAAAACTATGCGAAGTGATGAAAGACTTGAATAACATTTATAAATTACAGCTTCTTTGTACTGCATCTGGTTGTTTCATGAAAATGTTGTTCAATATTTATTTCGCAATGTTTGGACAACGATTTGACTCAGTGAAGAATATATTGCAATCTATCGAAATAATTTTATGGACTTTTTATTACCTGTTGAGATTTTTAACCACAACTATCACTGCATCACTTACAAGCAAAGAGGTAAAAGTGACTATTATAAATTAATTGTTATGTTAAGGTGGGAATTATCAAAGAAATTTTGTATCATTATATTTACTTCAAAATAGTAATGTATCATCATTCTTAAATTTACTATTAAAATTGAATAAATTGTTTTATTTCATTGATTTAACTTAGCAATAGGGAGGTTTAAAATAATGCAAAACAAATTAGCCACTATTTTCTAATACACAGGAAACTTTTGAAACACATTTTTACAATGGTAGTTTAGATCTAAAACTAATTGTCATGCATGATATAAGTCGAAACGCTTAACATTAACAGAATGACTTAAGGAATCAGTAGTTGTATAAGTAAGTATTAAAAATCTTATTTTTAAGCTAATGTCTCAATTTAATGTAATCCATAATATATTAAATGTCTATTCAAAGACTTTGTTTTTTATTTCTAATAAAAGTGCAAAAGTTTCTAGGTCATTTTCATAATAAATAATTAATTAATTACTTAATATAAACAACCACACTGCAAAAGCCTGTAAATAAAAAGTAATACAAGTAAGTAATAAGTAAAACACGGTTTATTTAGCCTTATGAATAATTTTAGTTTTTGCACTTTCAAGCTTTTGCAGTGTGGTTGTTAATATATTAACTTTATGCTTTTAAATAGTTGAATATGCTTGAGATCACTGAGAGAAAATAATCTATTGTTCCTTACCAAGAAATATCTATTATTATATCCATATCCATGTTTATAGAACTTTCCCAAAACTGTTGAATATTTCAAAGTTTCAGTTTTTGAACTATACCATTTTTCTTCTGACCTTTTACACCCCTTTCCACAGATATGCCTCATTTAAACATTCCTTTGTTGTCTGTTCCTCTGCATTCTGGAATTCCATCCCACTAAAAATCCGCAATGCATCATCCTTATCCACATTTGAAACCCACTTATTCCAATTCCTCTACACAATCCAATCAGAAGCTGGCTAAATATATATTATGTAGTAAGGCTTTAGTTTTCTTTATACAATTTTTTTTTTCTTATTTTTTATTCTGTGTTGAACGTGAATTTCCATCACCACTCACAAAGCATTGTGAGTAGGTAAAATTTGTTTTTCTTAACTTATAATTTTCCTATTCATGAGATTGTATTTCTTTGAAATGTATTTTATTTTCTACTTATCTATGACGCACTCCTGTCTATGTGTGTATATTTATATACTGTATTTTATTTTTTTCTTCTCCTAATCTTTACGTGTATTCACTTAAACTTCTAAGGGAACATATGTAAATCATTTCCTAAGAGCTATTATACTTAATTTATTACTATTTTTTTAGTTATTCTTTATTGTAATAGGTCCTTTTGGCCAGATTTATTGTTAATTTATACGAACATTACTGTTATTCCTAAGGGACCTAATCCCAGAATAAAGATGATTTTCTATTCTATTCTATTCTAACATAGTAATAATCTTATCAGATTTGGAGAAATATGTTTGATTTTCCAGGCTATGAAAACAAGAACTATTGTAGCTCATATTAATTCCAGACACTTATCTAAAGAAATACAGGAAGAGGTAAATTATAATATGTATATACAATAATTTCATCCATTAAAAATTCAATTTTTATATTTATATTTTCAATTTGTAATTAGCTAAATTTATTTTCGAATCATATTTCATCAATGGAAATGAAATTCACAGCTTGCGGTTTACTAACAGTTAATTCGAGATTGATAACTGCTGTAAGTCAAGTTTTAATAATGTAGTAGCATTTATTAAAATAAAGTTTAGAAATAATAACAAGACAATTTGTTTTTCAGGCTATAGCGACTGGTACAACATACCTTGTTGTTTTGGTGCAATTTAGACCTCAAATATAAAATATAATAAGTGCTAGTAACATATATTTCTGGATAATTCATAAATTTTGCAAGCATTGACAATTTAAATATTATGTTTAAATGAGTAACCAGTAATTTTTATAGTATCTGAGTATTTATTTGTTTTTGCTGAAGATTGTTAGTGCAGTTTAAATTGTGATTGAATAATGTTCAAAATGTACTTTGTGTTTCATTGAAACACTGCGCAAAATATAACACATAACCAATTCAGTGTCAAAAATTCAGCAATGGCTATCCAAGAAACAGGACCCCAATGGAACTATTATATCAATGGTACAGAATGGAGTCAACATTTATAACAATTAATTTATATAAAAAAATTAAGAATAGTTGATTATTACGTTAATTTTCAAACATTATATCTGTTTACTTTATTTTATTTGGAATAATGTGATGTGTTACATATATATATATATATATATATATATATATATATTTTTAAATTTTAATAAGTTTAAATGTTTATCTTCTTACATTATTTCAAAATAGCGAATTGTAAAGATGAATAAATCTTGTGTTAAGTTAATTCAGATTTGAAACTTTAGTAAAGATCATTTTAAAATTACATAAAAAAAAATGAATGGTAAATAATTGTAAAATAGATAAATTGGAATGATATTGTTAAATAAAAATTAATATAGAAAATGTGCATAATTTCAGTAAAAATAAAAGTATTGCTCTGATGATAGGAGAATCGTCCTGAAACGTAAGAGACAACAAGCACAAATAAAAAAATATGAAGAAAATTGGAAGTTTTATTGCCTAAAATATGAAAAAATTATAAACGTAAGCTTCCTAATAAAAAAAGAAAAATAAGAAGATTTAAAATTAGAATGTTTAATTTAAAAAATATGTATTATGCAATTAGTAGTTTATAACTTATAACAAATAATGGTTCTATATTGTATATCAATCTTCAAAAAGATTTTGTTCACTCTAATTCTTATATACCATTTCTTCTTTGATGATTGAATGAGAATTATCCATCAAGTTTAATAAATCTTATTCATATTACAATGTGTATTAGGGAATGAAACCTGTAACATTTAAACTAAACAATATTTTATTTATAAAATACATATATATATATTATTTAGATTTTAGAAGATGACAATTACTCCACATTTGCATTAAATTGTAATGTAACATTTCTGATTTCATTAAAGTATGATTAGAAATAAAATTTATTTATTTTTCCAAATATTTAAAGTAGCAATAATAAATAATACAATGCACATATAAATAACATTAAATAATAATAATAAATACATAAATAAATTACTAAAATAACTTATAATAAATAAATAATTTAATAATAACTAAAAATAGTTAATCACCACACTAACATTTGAAAAGTTTAGTGTTTAAAACAATTTTTCTACTGCTATTCGTTTTCATTTTCTTGAGGAACTGGAACACCATTCAGCAAGGCTTTTTAACATTTCAAGCACTGATTTGAATTTGTTATGCATTAAAGACCAGAAATAAAATTTTGGAGAATCTTTTTCCTGTGAATGTTCTTCTGGTATAATTGGATGTACAACTGAAGGTGGGTGTACAAGTGAAGGTGGATGAAGAGGTTCTAGAAAATGTCTTGGTTCCATATCGTTTGTAACCTTTACATCACTCCAGTTTGGAGGATCCTGGAATAAATTTTGCCTTGATTGTATATAGTCTGTTGGTAGATTGTTCAATGGCAAGAATTCTGGGAATCCTTTTGGAAATTTATCTACACTAATGTCATTACTTTTGTGGATAGTCATGTCATTAGGATGAATATAATCAATGTTGTTTAAATGATTATCTGTTTCAATTGGAATTTCATTGAGGTAATCATATGATCTATCTAGATATGTATTCCTTTCAAAGGGAGGTATTTGTTCTATGCTCCTTTTTTTCAAATCTGCTTCTTGTTTTATATCTCTTTTTGATAATCTTCTACTCCGTAAATTATCAACATCAATGGACCTTCTTTTTCTGTGGTTTTTAATCGGAGTAGATAGAACAACAATCGGGATATAATTTGGCTGATTATTGGATTTTATATAAGTGTCTTTTGGTAATGAGTAAGTCTCGAAAGAAGCTTCTGAAATTTTTGGATTATAACTTTCTTTTAAAATTGAATGCGGATCATATTGTTTTATCAGACATTTTTGACAAGCGTTTTCAACAGGTAAATCTAGAATTTGCCTATTTGCAATGTTATTAGATTTAGTTCCAGAAGATTCTTCATTCATTGATAAAACTCCGAAAAATTTTGCAGGTATTATTTTATCATCATACACAAGAGCCTGTGGGGTTTTAGGATCAAGAGGAAACAATATATGATTGTTGTCAGCATTTCTGAGTGGTGCTGAGATAACTTGCTGGGTTAGATAAGACTTTTCATAATCATCAATTATTGGTACTCCGTACGAATCAGTCCTCCTTTTATATGTTTTTTGATCTAAATAATCACAGTCTTCTTCACCTGAGATATCACTTTCAGGAAAATATGAAAGGCGCCGAGGTCTCGATAATATATTGTGATCATGATTTACTAATGGATATGCAAACAGTTTCTTCTTTAATTCTTTTTCTTGATTTAGGTAATTTCTCATTTCCTCTTCCCTACGCTGAAGCGCTGCTTTTAAACCTTCTTCCCTTACCTGAGCTCTAAAGTTTTCTCTGATTTCTGCAATCTGTTTTTTTAATAATAGTAACTTCTCTCTTCTTTCCTTCTCTAGATCAGCTTTAGATTTTTCTGTTTTATCAACCATATCAGGTTTATTATTGCTGACTTCTTGTACGGGAACTGATTTTTCTAAGAGCTTATATTGATCAATCTTTCCCTCGTCTCTCTCTCCTGTATCTGGAGAATTTTCATTAATATTTTCATCGGGTAGAGAATAATCAGGTTTTTCATCAGTTACCTCAGACATTTTTAAGGGCAAAGTGTCAAATTGTGGTAACATAGTGCTTCCCATATCAGATGTGTATATACTTTTTTCTAATGGCTGTAATTCACCTTGAGGAGTCATTATTAATACTGGCATAGAAATTTCTTCTGTTGAATATGTTTCATCAGTTTTAGGAACAGCTCTTTTTTCATGAGAATCATTGGAAATGGCCTCTAATTCTTGAATATCTTTCTTTATATTTTCTAAAGTGATTTGGTTTTGTAAGCTTGACAGTAAATTATGGTTATTATTTATTATAGGAAGTGTTTTACCATAACTTCGTTCTACAGTGTTTTCTAATGGCACATCTGCAAAAGATTCAACCTTCGTATCAGTTAGTTTCATTGTATTTTCTGATGCCTGTGATGAGCTTGGTGAAAAGGTACCTTCATTTGATGCATCTTTTCCAACTCTGTCACTAATGCTGTCAGGATTAGTAATATCTGGAATATCTCCTCCATTCATAATTATTTTAGAGCTCTTAGCAGGATTTTTAACCTTGGTTTCTTCCTCATTATTCTCTTGTAATTGTTCTTCAGGCTCCATAATTGGTACCATGAATATGGGCATATTTTCATTTAATGGGATTGCTCTCTGTACTACTTTGACTGTATCAGCATTATATGAAGGAAGTGGAGGACCATCCCCAAGACCTTGTTGTTCAATTGTCATTGGCAGTAGAAGAGATGAAGATTTAGATTCTTCAGAAGAACTCTGCTGTGGAATATATACTAATGGTTTAGTGTTGGTTAAAGAATCTTTTGATTTAACTAATAATAATTCATCACCATCTATATAATCTTCATTTTTAATTTTTTTCTCACCTCCATTGCTTTTATAAAATGCGTCTGATATTATCCCATTTATAGATGGCAAGTTTTCTTTTTCTGCATCGTCTACTCTAGAAATCACCTTTTCTTGTTCATCTTCTCCATTCAACAATTCGTTATCTTGTTTTTTATTGAATTTTGTTAGACTAACTCCATCATTCATCTCACTTGTATCATGATTACTTTCTGATTTTTTTTCATCATAATCTGTCCCAGCTCTAAGTTGTTCGTCTGTTCCATCCTGTTCATCCACCAAATTTGGACTAACTGCTTGGTCCACTGAATTGATAGGCAGTAATATAATGTTTTTTTCTGGTTCTTCAACATTGTTCAAATTCATGGCTGTTACTACAGGCATGTTGTTTAAAATATAATTAGTTCCAGTTTCTTTTGTTTCACTTATTGATTCTTGGTTCTGAGAGAATGGAGATTCATCTATCTTTAATTTTTCACCACCCAGCTCAACTGCTTCTCCTGATTTTTCCTGGTTTGAAGTTAAAATTTCGGAAGGAATATTTTCTTGGTCAGTATACTTTTCATCCAATTCTGCTTGAATTCCTTCTTGAGATTTATCAGTGATTTCAATGGGATTTCCATACGAGTCTTGCTGCTTAGCAATGCGCCCTTGATAAGCTTCCTTACCTTGGAAAGGCTCGTTGGTGATAACTGGATCTATTTTTTTGTCATTAGCATCATTTGACTCCTGATAATTGTTTTCATCCAAATTTTGTATATCTTTTTGATTTACATCAATAGGAGCTCTTTCGTTATTTCTTAATGTTTCTACTTTATAATGGTAAAGTTCTTTATTCTTTGAAATTGTAGGATCTGCAATACCCTTTTCACTGTCTGATATTACAGGGACAAAAGATCCATCATTACTGATAAGATAATCATTTAAAGGTGTTGCATCTTTCGAATCTTCTTCAGTTTTTTCAATTAACGGTGAACCATTTGTATTTGTGTTATCTGTGGCATGTTTCGGGGAATTTTTATCTAAGTTTTTAAAAGTTACTTTTACTTTTTTTAAAGTCTCGAATATTAATGGAGGTATGTTCGATATTTGTATTTCTTTATTAGGTTCATCTTTAGATTTTTTGTAAACAGTAGAAGCATACTCGTTAAGATGTTTGACAAGATCCTCTTGACTAGCTACATTATTTTTACCGCTCCCTGTTGATTGATCTGGGTCAATTGAAAGCTGTTCATGTACCGATCTTTTTTTTCTTTTCTCATTAGATGATTCAAGATCAGGTAATACAATAGAAGATTCAGGATCAGGTAACACAATAGATGATTCAGAATCAGGTAATGCAATAGCAGTAAGATTATCGGAACCTGTAATTGCAGCAGTAAGAGTTGGATATTTATCTTCACTATTTGCATTGCTTGCATTTTGATCAGATTGTTCATAGACTTTAGAATTACCCATAGTTTCTGTTAGTTTACTCAGCCAGCTATTATCATTAAAAGTTATATATTTTACCTGCACATCTGGTTCTGAGTCCTCTTGAACTTGGCTAGGTTTATTATCTGTGATGGCTAAATTTTGCATCCCAGTAGTTTTTGCGAATTTTACATAAACATTTTGTGGATCTTCTTCCTCACTTTTTACATCATTTGAAGGTTTTTCCAAAGCATCAGCTACAACGTGAATCAGTTTTTTGGATAGAGACTGTACATCTGGACTTAGATAAGGGCTTGATGAAGTACAAGTTCTTGATTTTAGGTCTGGTAAAACTATGAAAAATATTGACCTGGGAGGCACAGTTATTCCATATTTAATTGTCCTTTTAATTTTAGGAGAAATAATAGGAAGATCGCCTGATGGAGAAGAAGTCAATAACTGCCCATTCAAAAATGTTTTCCTTTAAAAAAAAAAAAAAAAATTGTATCAGTGAAAATGCTGTTACTGTTACGAATATAAAAATTTTCGGTTTAGGTATATATCTAATATAATAAATTATTACTATTATTATTTGAATGGAAATGTTTTGGTGTTATTTAATTTGATGTTAATTTTTAAAAGGTAAGTATCTTAAAAGAGATGCATGATATGCAATCATGGTATTCTTGATAAAAAAAATGTGGTTAGTATTGAGACCCAATGATCTGATTTATCTCCTGATTAATGGGAGTATAAAAGAAAGATTTGTATTCAGACTTCTGGCTAAGCTACCAACTGTACTGAACTGTAAATGATTCCTCATGAAATCTCTTTCAAGGCCACTTGTCCTCGAAGATGGAACATCAAATTAGCATCTTCTCTGACATTAAATATACAATTGTATAATTAATTAACTTTCTGTATAATTCATTAACTACAGCAAAACTGAAGTTTATAAAGGAGCAATGCTTTAAATAAAACTAGGATACTCTCGAGACTCGAGTAACCTATAGTTAACTATAAATAGGTACCAAAGAATTTTAGTAAATTTTCCTTGATACTTAACATGTAGATTTATCTTGGCACTCTAATTTGATTCTTAATAAACAATTTAATGAGGTACTACGTTATTAGATTATAATACTCACTCAGTTTTTCCATTTGGATCGTCCTCGAAAGTAAGAAAGTAGATATGTGCTTTTTCATCCTTCATACTTGCTTTTAACGTTAGTTTGACCGTATCAGGAGATTCGTTAACACCAAATACTGTGACTGATCCTTTATCGTAATTGAAACCTAGAATGATGATAAAAATTCAATAAGCATCACTTGTTAAGAGCTGTAAGTTTAAAGGGTTTATCAACTTAAAGTTATTTGAAGATGCACCATTTATTATGAGATGCTGCCTTTTAATAATATTAATTGAATTATGACTTTTATTAAAGGAAAAAAATGACAAATAATTTATTTTAATTAGTTAAGCTATCAATATGTTACAGCTATAAGTTGAAAAAAAAAAAAACTTTGATTCTGGCAATATTATAAAAAATAAAATAAATTAATATAATTTATGTTTCATAAGTCTCGTTCTTTTAAAATTATGAATATTAAAACATATTTAATTTAATTTAATTATAAAGGAAGGGGATGGTCCAGGGTGGCAGTCATACATAGTGGCAAAACTATTTTATTGAAAGCTCTAGTTTTATTAAAATTTCTAGTTTAAAAGTTTTATTTTATTAAAAGTTCTAGCCCTGAAGAAGACCTGCAAAGTAGGGTCGAAACGTTGGCTTTTAATAAAATAGTTTTGCCACTATTTAGCCTATTTATGACCGCCCCGGACCATCTCCTTTTTTTATAATGCAATGGTCAGGTATTAAATATTCAATTAATTTAATTTTTTCATATTAAGATATATTTGATTTAATTTAATTTATTTCTCATTTATATGTCGTTAAAAATCTAATTGAAAATGTAATTAAATTTAGATTGATTTGGTGCTAATTGTAAATAGTGTCAACTAAATTATAATACAATATTTTTACAAGAGGTTATTCAATATTTTAACTATTTCTGTAGAAATTTCATTTGACAGAGAACGATTGAAAGCTAACAAATATTTTAAGTTAAAAAAAAAATCACGATGCACATAAAACGAATCACAATATTTTTATTAAATACCTGTGTCTAATATCGATCTTTCTTGAGAGATAGGCGGTGAACAATGTGAAAACAAAACTATTTCTGATTTGTTTCCTGAAGTAACCTTTGCATCAAATACTCCTCTGCCAACAAGATTTTTATAAAGCAGTGCAAACCAATAATCCTAAAAGTAAATAAATAAAATATTAGATCCATTTACTAAGTATTGATGTTTGCCGATCAATTGCTGGTTAATTAGTTAATTAGTTAATTTTGATTAAAGCTAAAGGTGTGTACTTACAGGAGTTGGATTTTTGAGCGATTCTGGTCCAACCTGCCTGAAAACCATTTGACAACCAATTTGTGCTGCTGTCCCAAGATATTTAGCTAAAGTGATTGCATCTTCTATTGAACCATGACTGGGGTATTTTTCAGCTGAAAAAATACATTCATAATTGTTTACATTACATTCATTTTAACATTTTTAATCATTAATTACTGAATCGTAAATTAAAAAAATATATATATGTATTCTTGTTTTAATTTTTAAGTCAATTAGTTAATATCTGGCAAACATATTTTATAAATGTTTAAAATTGTTAAAAAATAGAACAAATAATAAATTGTAACACAAAATATTATCTGTAAATAGCAAACAAATATTGTTTGTTATTTACTTTACTTACCTATCCATATTGGCTTCTTTGGTATCATTCTCCCATAACGTATTTCTCTACTCCAAATATGGCTTTCCATGTTGAAAAGGATGTTTGAGATCTTTTGTTCGGGATTTTCATTATTAAATGGCCTTTAACATATGGATACTTTATATTATGTGTATTATATTTAGAGATGATTCACAAATAATCTTTTATATTATTTTGAAATGATTTGTCATTACTAGTAACTCTGATACAAACAAAATAAAAATTACATAATTGAGTTTCTGGTTGTGGCACAAAAAAGATCAGGTTGTAGGGTTAACATTAAAAAATATGAAATTATGTGTGTGTACAATGACAATTTAATAGTTAATAATTGAAGCAGAACTTTAATTTTGAATTGTAAACATGGTCTAATTTTCAATACGATTTATAATTATTCATTTCAAGGTAGGTCACCAGGGCATCAAAAACCTTGTCCATTTTAAGGATTGCTTAAAATCCAAAGAGCACATTTTCAAAATTAGATTATTTTAATAATCGATTCATACTTCATTAATGTTAATTTTAAAAATATATATAAATATCATGGATATAACTAAAATAAAGTTAAAAAAATTATCTGATTTTAAAGAAATTTCAGTTAAAGCACTCTGACTTATAAGGCCTATGTGCTTCTTTTTTTCTGATTAACTTTACACTTATTGTAAATTTAGGAAAGGTAGAATCATTATTTACATTTGTACCACAATTGCCCCTAGTACTGGACCAGCTTGTACCAATATATCTTTTATGAAAGCCGATTCCTTTAGAGTATAAATATCAGGAAGATCTGGTCCAAAGAGTGGAGTTGTAGCATAGCGTTGAAAACCGTCAAGAATTTTTCTCAGTCTGATAATGTCCCGTCCAACCTCACCACCAGTTGCTTGATGTCCCTGTGTATCTGTCACAAATAAAGTGTCTCTAAATGCTAAAAATCATTTTAGTGTATATTTTAATTATTGAAATGCACTTTGTTAGTATCTAACCCAATTTATCCTTACCTCTTTTACTTCATCAATCACCCAATCAGTAGTAAACTGATTGAGAAACGTTCAAAGCCCCATATCGATGGAAAAGATATCAAGTTATAGAAGGTACAAAAATGGATATGAAGATGGGAACGTAGAATTTTAAAACTCCATAATTTTTACAACAATAAGAGGAAAGACTTTTGATTAGTAGAAAGGTATATTTCATGGAATGGAATGAAAATAGAGACTGAGATAGATTAGATCAATCTTGATAAGCTGACATAAGTATAAAGCTTGAATATTTGACCTTGATTTGAAACAGAGGCAGAAAGAAAAATTAGAAATGCCAATCAGTAGTGAATAATAAAAAATTATGTAAAGATGTTCAATTTCTTTTGTTAAAGCTGGTTTACACCTCATCTTTTCGATATAGATTAGAAAATTGTATCATTCTAGAAAGGATTGACTACAGCTCAAATGAAAAACCTTTGAAAATTGGCAGAAAAATAATTGGTTTAGGGATTAGAGACATTTTTTTTAGTTTTGTCTCCGAAGTGAAACAATAAGAGAATTGCTGATCACTGTTCTAAAAAAATGTCCTGGAAAGAGGGCAACTGAAATATTTTGGTCATAACTGCCAAACAGAAATGACACCAAGAAATTAATACAGTTCCTCTAATTCTTGCCTTCATGCTCTGCCCTTAGAAGAGACTTTAGAATTATTACTACAGATCATGTAACTAATAAAGAATGATATTAATAAAACTGACATTAGCTCACGATTGCTGCCCAAAATTATATATTTGGAAGATTAGCAAACGGGAGAAAAAAAGTTCAGCAATGGCTACTTATTATGGGATGAAATCAGAAACCTTTATGTTAATAGGTGTTGACAAAGATGACAGAATAATGTTGTAAGTAGGGTTAAGAAATTAAAACTATTATGAAGATGTTTTTGATATTCAAATATGCTTTTGTATGAAAAATTTAAATTATTATTTTTTATTTACCTTTAGGAGTTAATTTATTAAAATGTTTTTATGTAATTTAAGTATAAACTCTTTGATATTACCGTATCCCAGTTGCCAGGCTACATTGTACCCATGCTTATCTGAGTAAGAAATAAGCTGAAGAGCATCTCGTGAATCCCAGACGCCTTGAACTCTATGGGTTGGATTAAGGCTGACTATCAGGTCGAGACCGGCATCCTCGACAAAGTGATTAACTCCATCCCACTGATCCTCTGCTCAATTTTAACTGTTATAAATATTAAAACTCATTAATATACATACATGTACTTAATGTAACCAGTTACAAACCAGTAATTGTATTATTATCCACAAAGAGTTCTTTTCCAAACTTCAAATAGTTTGTTGCTTTTCCTCCAAGCCTCACAAAACTAGGATAAAGTCCACGGGCCATTTTTAGAGCTTTTTGCCTAGTGAGAAAATAATGTTTTTATAATTTAATTAAAAAAAAAACAAATTCAAGATTTTAATTAAATATGTATTCCTGACTCACTCTAAAGTTCCTGCGAGAAACAGTGATGTTGGATCAATTGTCATACTTAAGAATCTGTCAGGAACATAATGAATTAATCTCTTTGTATTTATCTGTGCGACGACTTCCTTATTTTCAACTGCATTTATAAGTGTGTGGCATGTTAGAAATAGCAATAACCATTGCCAATTCATTCTGGAAAGAAGTAATGATATGTTAGTGAATTAATCAAATTTAAGCTTACGATATACATAGATTTAATTTTTCTTAATAAATGTGATGGATGTATTTATTTTATGAACTTGCAATAGTCAAGTGGACTAGATTTTAATTTCTTTTTAGGAAGTAGTATTTAAGTAATGCTTTGCTGAAAAATGATATGATAAGCCATCATTTTGAAGATTACATTTTCTAATAATGGCAAAAAAATAAGTAAATCTTCTAGCAAAAGCAGGAAAAAATAAAACTTTATTTGCAGATAGCTATGTAATAATTTTGTATGAAATAATTTTATTGTACTGATAAAATTTATACCTAGTATAAATTTAATTTACACTAATATTTAATAAACTTAATGTGATAATATTTTCTTTCCAAGGAGTATAATTCTTAAATTTGCTTACAAAGTTGCACTTTGCTTACAAAGCTTTAATGAAAATAAACATAATTGGTTAAAACTTCTCTTTTCTATTTGTGGACAAGTTATGTATTCACTTATTTACCTAAACTTTTAAACTTCGAACTGCAAAAAGTCAGATCAAAATCAAAACATCTTAATCAGGTGGAATTTTACATTCCTCTGATTTTATATCATCATTTTTATAAAATCATAAATATTCATTTGTTTTGACAATTTACCAAAAATTTTATAAATACCAAATTTTCTAAAATTTTTGTTGTTTAACAAATTGATACCGCTAACCTGGAGAACTACAAGGCCGATTTTCTCAGGTTTTTTTTTTTTAGGTATTGTTTGGTATTGTCCTGGGAAAGAAGAGAACACTTGCCCTCTGGGGATACCCCTAGAAATACCCCTCTTGGTCAAAATCAAATAGTCCGTGGTACAGACTCCATTTTATCGAATTATTAACATCCGCCCGAAACTTCATAAATAGTTTCATCTCATCGTAACCTACAACTATTTTATTTACGAAAACTCTTGGAATTGGGGCGTTTTCAATCTGGAGGGGGGCAAACTTTGTCTATTTAATTAGGTACTAAAAACTCGTAAATACACATTTGCTTTCTACTTGTATCATAAGATAATTTGATCACAAAATCGAGAAAGAAGGTGGCCTTCAAAAATATTGAGCCGTTTGGCGTGACCTACACCCCCAAATTTTTAACATAACGAGGTTATATAGGACAAACGGCCCAATATTTTTGTATCACTTTCTTTTATCTATTTTGTGATCAAATTAACTTACGATCCAAGTAGAAAGCAAATGTGTATTTACGAGTTTTTAATATCTAATTAAATAAACAAAGTTTGCACCCTCCAGATTGAAAACGCCTATATTCCAAGAGTTTTCGTAAATAAAATAGTTGTAGGTTAGGATGAGATGAAACTATTTATGAAGGTTTTGGCGGATGTTAATAATTCGATAAAAAGGGGTCTGTACCACGGACCAAAAGTTCACTAACCAAAAAACAAGGTTTACAAACATGGGATCTATTGTACCTATTTTAATTGTCTAAGTAAGTTGGCTCAGATCATTCATAAAAATCTAGAAAAAAAAATCTGGTGCGGGAGGGGAAGAGAAGACTTCATCCTGAAAGCTCTCCCCCAGTGCTGCCACTGGATTCCAGCCAGAGAGAAGTAATGGGTACCAACCACAGGCGGATTTACGGGGGAGGGGGGCTTTCGGGCTGAAGCCCCTTCTAAAATGGTAAAATATAACCATGTTTCTCAGAAAAAAATATTAAAAACTATCTCTTAAAATATTATTGTTCGCGTGATTACATTTAATAGGACTTCAAGAATCACTTAAACACCATTTCATATAGGTAGTTCATTTCTTTCTTTTTTTTTTCAAAGTAATTATCGTTATGTATATGAAAAAAAAAAGTTTCCGAGATGAAGCCTCCCCCAAAATTTAATCCTGGATCCGCTAGTGCTTCACAGGAATACCCACCATTCCAAGGTCGATGGCACTTGCCCCTCCCCCCACTAGCGGATCCAGGATTTATTTTGGGGGGGGGCTTCAGCCCGAAACCTTTTTTTTTTTTTCATAAAAATAACGATAATTACTTTGGGAAAAACAGAAAGAAACTAACTACCTATATGAAATGGTGTTTAAGTTATTCCTTAAGTACTTTTAAATGTAATTACACGAACAATAATACTTTAAGAGCTATTTTTTAAATTTTTTTCCTATAAAACATGGTTATATTTTTCCATTTTGGGGAGGCTTCAGCCCGAAAGCTCCCCCTCCCCCCGTAGATCCGCCCGTGCCACCCCCCATCCCAACAAATTTTATTGCTTTCGTCTTAAAAAAAAGTATAGCGAAAGTAGTATTGGAAAATTTTTTAAACCATCTACAATTATACTTAATAAGTCTGTTCTATGTTTTCTCTTTGTCCTCTGCTTTGAAAATTCCTCCGAATTGAACCCCACAAAAATATGTTTCCTCCTAAAAATGCATAACTCAATTAAAAGTACCCCCCTCAAAAATTCAAAAGCCTATAAAAATTAAGGGGACACCCCTTAAAAAATTTTGATTGCGCCATGAAATCCCCTTCTGAGTACCGCTGCTTTTTCATTCTTAAGAAGTCGATGAAATACTAAACTTTCATTTGTATGCGTTTGACTTGTGTTGTATCTATCTTATTCATTTGAAATACATATGTTCTATGCTTGAAATTTTATTTTTAATATTACAATTTAATAGAACAATTTTAATTAAATTTTGAACTACATTTATTTATTTTTTTAAATAATACAAATGATGAGAAGGTTGTCTCCTCAACTCCTCTCTCAGTTTTTACCAATTTTATAGCGGAATCTCTCTGATTATTCACGTGATACAGTTAAAGTGTATATCAGAGCAGTTGATATTTACTGTTGGCATCTTTTTTTTTGTTATTTTAAGGAAAAAAAAAAAAAAAAAAAAAATTTTTTTTTTTCTTTTTTTTTATTTATTTATTTATTTTTCTCTTATGATATGCGGTATGATCAGCAAGTGATGGCCAGTAAGGTGCCCAAGAGGTCTCGGTCAGACGGAGTTAGCTCACCAGCCAAACAAAGGACTCGTCGCTGCCTACGAGAAATACCTCCAGTGACCAAAATGAACACTTCAGAACCAGAACCTCAGCCCCAACCAGGTACGTCTGCACAAGAAACGATTGAAGAATCACCTTTCTTTACTCCAAACCCCTACCAAGTGCTTCAAAATGACAAAGAAGTAATGGAGTCTGCAGCAATACCCAGAGAACCAAAGCCTCCTCCGATATTTGTGAAAAATATAAAAAATTTCCAGATGTTCTGCACCCAACTAAATAAAATCTGCTCTGGCAGTTATTCATGCCTTAACAGGACCAATGACACCAAGATAACACCTGATTCTGCAGAAGCCTACCGAAAAATAGTGAAGTACTTATCAGAAACAAATGCGAATTTTCACACTTACCAGCTGAGGCAGGAAAGAGCTTTACGAGTGGTGATAAGAAATTTACATTCCTCAACCCCCACTGAAGTTATTAAAGAAGAACTAACGACGCTTGGTTTCAATGTACGCCAGGTAACAAACGTTTTGAAGGAGGACAGGGAACAGCCAGGATTACGAAATAGGATCCCACTACCATTGTTTTTCGTGGACTTGGAGCCATCACCAGGTATCGAAAAAATATATGATATCACAAGAATATACTATACAATGGTGAAAGTTGAGAAGCCATATCCCAAGAGAGACATCGTGCAGTGCCATAATTGTCAGACCTATGGCCACACGAAGACATATTGCCACCATCTGCCGCGTTGCGTGAAGTGCGGTGAACAGCACAAATCTGTAGAGTGCACCAAACCTATACAAGATCCAGCAGTATGTGCCCTATGCTTGGAGGGACACCCGGCCAACTACAAAGGCTGCCAAATTTACAAGAATCTCAAAACCAGACACCAGAAAAACCGGATTCAAGATGAAGCACTAAGAACAAGAAGAGAGAGAGAGCCTTCCAGAATTGTAAACAATGATGTATCATTCTCCCAACTACTTAGAGGTAAGACTTTAACCGATAAATGTCAAGCCCTGCCACAACAACAACCTCAAACCCAACCTCAAAATCCTCTTCATCCTAATATACCTAACCACCAACAACAAATTCCTCATATTCCTCCTCCTTCAAATGCAACAGATCTCACAAGTTTGTTAGCATCTTTCCTCACCGATTTCAAATCCCTTGTTACTCCACTCATATCACTCCTCACGAATCTCGTATCTCACCTCATCCCTCCTTTGAAAAATCCTTAAATGACTCACATCCCTAAACCCATATCCATTCTCCTTTGGAATGCGAATGGTGTTAGAAATCATACAGACGAACTATCTACTTTACTACTTGACAAGAACATTGATGTGGCACTAATTACTGAAACTCGACTAACCACTAAACAGCACTTCAATATACCACAATACCTGACATATCGTACTGACCACCCTGACGGAAAAGCACATGCCGGTACTGCTGTAATTGTACACCAATCCCTCTCCCATCACCTACTCCCATTACCAATACATGATTTCCTACAGTCCACCGCTATCGTGATAAAAACCTTCTCCTTTCCGGTCACTCTTGCATCAGCGTATTGCCCTCCTAACCGATCCATATCCAATGCCCAATTCAGTTCTCTCCTCGACTCCTTAGGACATCACTTCATCTTGGGTGCAGACCTAAATGCCAAGCACCAACAATGGGGTTCCAGAACCACGAATTCTCGTGGCCGAACCCTGCTGTCTGCACTCAATTCCCAACGTTTTCACCTCCTTTCCCCCAACTCTCCTACCTACTGGCCCACAGATCCCAACCGTAATCCTGATCTTCTAGATTTCTTTATCCACAGCGGCTTAAGTCCCCTCAATTGTTCCATTACACGTCTAAATGAACTTTCCTCTGACCATAGTCCTCTAATCCTTAATGTTTCACTTGAACCTGTTCCCAAACCTTCTCCACCGTCATTCATTAGGGGCCCAGTAAACTGGGACCTTTTCCGCCAAATAATCTCCGATAATATTGATCTCAACATATCCCTCAAAACTCCCGATGACCTTGATAGTGCCGTAAATTCCTTTACTACCACAATCCAACAAGCCGCCTGGACTGCCTCCTTTCCAAAAGACTCCTCCAGAATTCCTATAAAGACCATTCTACCCCAACACCTCCTTAACCTAATCCGCACCAAACGCCGTGCCAGATTATTATGGCAACGATCCCGACATCCTACCGACCGCTGCTCCTATAATTACTACTGCAAACAATTAAAACTGGAATTAGCCACCTTCAGATCACAATCCTTCAACTCCTACCTATCCTCCCTCTCTTCTCGCGACAATTCCCTTTGGAAAACCACAACAAAAATCCTAAATCCTCACCGCATTTCCCATCCTCTCCGACGAGGTGATGGCTCCTGGGCAGCATCTGACGAAGATAAAGCTGAGGAGTTCGCCATTCACCTATCCAATACATTTATTTCACATCCGGAATCCCATCCTGCCCACACCGTAACAGTAGAAGAACTCCTTACATCACCAATCCCACTTTCCTTGCCCCCAAAAGCTATTCATCCTTCCGAAGTAAAATTTCAATTAAAAAAACTAATCCTCCGTAAAGCTCCTGGACATGATCTCCTTACACCTCAAATCCTTCGACAACTTCCATCCAAAGCAGTCATATTCCTTACATATATCTACAATTGTATCCTACGCACCACCCACTTCCCTCTGTTATGGAAACACTCCACTATTATCCTTTTCCCAAAACCAGGAAAACCTCTCAATAGCTCAACATCCTATAGACCAATCAGCCTACTCCCAATCCTTTCAAAAATTTTTGAAAAGATCCTTTTGAAACGAATCCTACCCATTATAGAATCCCAAAATATCCCTTCCCATCAGTTTGGTTTTCGCTCTCAACATTCTACTGTTCAACAAGGACTCCGAGTCGTTGATCATATTTCCTCAGCCCTAGAAAACAAGGAATACTGTTCGGGTGCCTTTCTGGACATTGCACAGGCATTTGACCGGGTATGGCACTCCGGACTGCTCTCCAAGCTTAAAATCCATTTACCTCAGTCCTTGTACCTAGTCCTCCGATCCTACCTCTCTGACCGCTCCTTTCGAGTTCGCTGTGGAACAGAATTTTCCAATATCTACTCCGTTAAAGCCGGTGTTCCCCAAGGCAGCGTCTTGGGTCCCGTGCTTTACATCCTCTTTACTGCTGACATCCCTGTTCATCCCGATACTTTTCTTGCAACATTCGCTGACGACACCGCAATCTTATCATCCAACTCTGATCCCGAAATAGCATCCTTAAATCTCCAAAGTCATCTCACCTTGATTGAGCACTGGTGTAATAACTGGCGCATTAAAGTTAATGAATCTAAATGCCAACACATTACTTTTACACTCCGACGCAATTCCTGTCCACCAGTACTCTTTAATTCCATCCAGCTTCCTTATTCAGACACAGTCCGGTATCTTGGCTTTCATTTAGACCGAAGACTAACTTGGAACCCGCATACTAGACTCAAAAGACAAGAACTCAACCGACGATACGGCCAACTATACCGACTACTAAGCAGAAAATCTAAACTTTCCATTGAAAACAAGCTACTGATCTACAAGACAATACTGAAACCTATTTGGACTTACGGACTAGAACTGTGGGGATCAGCAAAATTTTCTAACATCAAGCGCATCCAATCCTTCCAGTCTAAAGTCCTTCGAACAATAGTCGATGCTCCTTTCTATGTATCCAACAAAACCCTACATCATGACCTTAACATCCCATTTGTCCTAGACCTTATCCCAGAAAAGTTCTCCAAATTTCACCAGAACCTTACTTACCACCCAAATCCTCTTGCACAATCCCTATCAAGCATCTCCCATCCCTATAATCCTCCAAGAAGGTTGAAACGGCAGTGGCCTCGCGACCTTTTGTAAATTATATAAATTGGAGTTCTGGCAATGGCCAGATTCTTCACTCAAGACATGTGTGTATGTGGCTAAAGTGCTCTCGACCAATCTCCGCTGGCTTTAGTACCAGTGACGCGGTTGGAAGAGTAGCGCAGGGTTCTCCTGGAGTTCCCTCGCCTGATTGTATATAGGTATGCATGTTATTTTTTTTTTTTTTCCTTAGTTTTAATTTTCTTATTTTTTAGGTTATTTTATTTTATTGTCTATTGTATATACTTTTGATTATTATTTTGTTCTATTTATTTTATTTTTTTGTACATATGGTGTGAATGTCATCCTACCTCACTATAACCAATGTCGAACAGACAGATTGTTATAATACTCAATAAAGAAATTAAAAAAAAAAAAAAAAAAAAAATAATACAATATCCATATAAATTTATTTTATGAAAAAAAATTAATATTGTAGAGGATTTGATACATTCTTAGAACAAAAGTTTGTTAAATCCCCACATATATTATTACAGTAAGGCTCGAAATCGGTTTTGTACCAAATATCCTGTCATGCTCAAATACCATGAATGGGATACCGTCGGATTCAGTATTTCACAGGGGGTTAGCGAATCGTATTTTTCACTTTTGTTTTTTTTTCTAAAATAAATAAAGATACAAAAATTTTCCTAGGCTTCAATACTGGAACGGTGGTAGGTCTGTAGATCGATACGGAACAAATTGGATCTTGAAGATTTTGATGCGTACAGCAAGACCCGCATAGTTCCTCCGGAACTATCGGATCCTGCGTTTTTAAGCCCCAAAACATACTATTTTCGATATAACGCAAGGCATAGGGTTCGCATCCACACAACCTTACGTTAATTGTAGTACTGTCATTGAATACATATCTCATTTCGTCGACTTGAGATCTCTATGATCGAGAGAGAAGGAGTTTATATTATTTATCGATGGTGTTTTTGATCGGCAAGCCACATCATTAATTCATCACCTAATCCAAGTGCAAAATAGTCCAATCACCCCGAAAATTCAGGCAAACAAGTTATGAAAGAAAAGAAACTTTATTTGCGAATAATTAAAAAATTACACACTTTTCCCTTGCTTATGCCCATGATCATATAAAATATTACTAAATTCCCTACAAAAGAAAAAAAAAATCATTGAAATTGGGCAATTTTAACAAAGATACAGCTTATTGAAATTTTTAAACATGTTGGTTCCAAACATTAATGAATTTCTAAATTAATTTGTGTTTCCTTTGTCGATTATATTTGTCGATAAAGTAACAATTGACTTCTTTATCTTATGATACGTCGCATTATTTTATTTTCTTATTAATTTGGCATTTGATCACTTAACAATATGCTGTGCGAATTTCTCGCACGGACCTATTAGTAATTTATATTTGTTTTAAAATGCATTTGAATTCTGTCCTAGATTTTACAATCAAGAATAATATTACAGAAAGAATGAGTTTCAAAAAACAGAAAAAAAAGGTGTAGTATTGAATGAATATGAAAGCTAAAGTAAAAAAATAATTGTAGATAAATACTTAAAATTCTGAAAAATATGAAGTTCTTGAAATGAAAGTATTTTATTCAGTGGGCATTATTTTATAGATGGTTTCACTATGTTGAATTTTAAGAAAATTTTGTTATTACGAAATCCCATTATTTTACTATTTAGTCCTAGTATTTTCTTTTTTATTTCTAATACTTTCTAATATTAATTAATTTAAATGGACTTACCTCTGTTTGTTTTCTTTTTTTTTTCTATACCAGCGTAGGTCTTTCCGTATATCTGTTCATTACAAAATATCACAAGTAACTAACGCAAGGCTGAAAAAATTTATTGTTGACAGATGAATGAATTGACGAGCTGGCGGTTTTTGCAAAATATTACCACTCAGCATAACAACGGACTGCAAGGACTGTTACTCGCCAATGGTTTCCTATTGATGTAACCTTATTTAGGTCATTTCCATTTTACTATTAAATACCTATATGACCTTTCCTTTTACAACTACATGTATATGTATATTATATACACAAACATTTTGAATGAGGGAGACCCCCAAAAAAGTCTCGAGAATTTATATTATGTGTAAAAATTATGAGTGATAATTAACATAATAAACGTAATTATTTTAAAACGAACAATATAATTTCACTAACCTATATATGTAATATCTAATAAGATTATGTATTACGATCGTGAAAATTTTTGAATCTGTGTTTTCAACGAAAATATACGTTTTGAGGTCCCCTGAGTCCAAATAACCAATTCCCGTAAAATGTTCTATGTTTCTAGCGAATCCAAGATATAATTTTTTTGGGGGGGAGGGCTTCAGCCCGAAAGATTTTTTTTTTATACACAAATAACGATAATTAATTTGAAAAAAAAAGAAAGAAATTAACTACCTATATGAAATGGTGTATTGAAGTGGTTCATGAAGTCCTATTAAATGTAATTACAGAAACAAGAATAAATTAAGAGATAGTTTATAATATTTTTTTCTGTAAAACATGGTTATATTATCCATTTTAGGGAGAGGGGCTTCATCCCGAAAGCTCCCCCGTAGATCCTCCTGTGGTCTATGTGTATGTGAACACTAGCTCAAAAACGGAAAGTCGTACGAAACTGATGTTACGTATTTAAGATATGTATATGCCTTAGATTTCACAGCAACTTTTCCTTTAAAATCGGCTAACCAGAAGTGCCTCTTTATATTAACGATGAAACATATTTTTACATTTTTTTTCAAAAACGGCTATGACGACTTTTATTAAACTCGGTATTTCATTGTATAATTAAATTGTACTTAATATCATTAGGTTCTATCCCCATTTATATCACTTTACAGCATAGGCGGATCTACAGGGGGGGGGGAGGGGAGGGCTTTCGGGCTGAAGTCCTCCCCCCCCCAAAATGATAAAATATAACTATGTTTTACAGAAAAAAATATTAATAACTATATTTTAAAGTATTGTTGTTCGTATAATTACATTTAATAATACTTCAAGAATCATTAAGACATCACGTCGTATGGATAGTTAGTTTGTTTCTTTTTTTTTTTCAAATTAAATATCGTGATATGTGTGAAAAAAAAATCCTTCGGGCTGAAGCCCCTCCCCTCCCAAAAAAAATTAAATCCTGGATTCGCTAGTGCTTTACAGGGCTTAAATACCCAATGTTCATATACGTCTTCCTGTAAAGTACCTTTAATATGGTTTATTTTAAAAAAAAAGATTAACTCTCTTTTATTAACAGTAACTATAAAAAATGGCTCAATATGAAGTTTGAAAGAATATAATAATTGGAAACTGAATAATGATTGGAAAAAAAGAAAAATGCTTATCCAGGTTGAAAATTAATCTCCGGAAATAACAGTCAGAAGGTATCCGTATAATATATCATTGGAAAGTGGAGAATTTCAGAAAAAATAATATCAAATAAATAAAGTTGTAGAAGATAACGACGAGGGACGAAAAATTATAAATAATAATTTCAGGAAACTAATACTATTTAACGTAAAAACATGTTTTCAAAGAAATTAAATGAAATTTTCTTACTATATGTGTATGTTTAAATTTTTTTTAACTTTGAAAAAAAGTATTAAAATCCACCTAATCAAGACAAAGGCATTGTTAAAAAATTATTTCATAGTAATTATGTGAAAGAAGAAGTGGAATATAAAAATATTTCATGGATGTATAAAGCGTATTTTTATAACCTTAAATACATTTACTGTAGTTTTATAATTCTAGATCTGACATTATATTTAAATAATTAGATATTATTGACCGTTTATTCCGAAAAATCATGTAACAAGTATTAATTTTTTTGTATATAGTTTCGTTTGTTTTGTATATAGAATTTTTACCTTATATTTTTTTACATTATTTCTTTTTTTCGATTGATTTTATTTTGGCCAGATGTAATCTTTTAATTTTGTTATTCTCAAGGGGCTGTGTCCCAGAATAAAGTTATTTTTCTATTCTATTCTATTCTATGTAACCTTTTAGAAAATTAAATTAGTGAATAATTTGATGAATTTTCCCTTTGTGAAAGCCAAACATTATCAGCTTAAAATTAGTGCAAAAACTTTTGACCTATTTATGACAGGCAATGAAAATCTCGTAATTTCTTTGCAGTAAACTTTACAATGGAAAATAACAGTTTAATAACTAATGGGCGTAGAACCCACAATCATTTATAGGTTATCAATATGAATATAGAGATATACTTTCAAACCTCTCTAGGCATATAAATCTCAGAAACTGGAGTATGTGGTTTACATAAACAGATGGAGTACCGAGGTTTTTATTATCCGCCGTTGATATAATTAATAGGGGTTTTAAAGTTTTAAAGTTAAAATTGTGTGTTAAAACTTAAGAGGTAAGTTAAAACCAGACTTTAATTCTTGCGTTGACATGAAAGTGAAAAATTAAAATTAAAAAGCTCATTTACCTATCATCATTTTCCCCTTTTACCAATTATTTTGCTAACTGCTCAATAATCTCTAGCCCACTCAATGATAAAAAATTGCCTTTCTTCTTTCTCCTTGATCCTCCCAAAATTGTTGACTTGCAGGCAATAAATTTAGTATGTATTTGTTATTATTATTCAATTATTTTCTGATGTGTTCTTGAGTCCCGTTGGTCGTTTCCAAAAAAAAAATTAATTTAAGGTCGTTTAAGACCTCGTGGCAGTGGAATTTCCAGGAGGGCGGAGAATTGCACGGCGTGTCTCTTATCATCGGGGCTCCCATAGATTATCAAATTAGGCGTTTTAAGAATTAAATCGCTAAAATAAAAAAAGAAAACACTCCAATCAGACGAAAGCTATTTTTTTTTCTTAATTAAATGTTCCCATTGTGCATTTACTTAATTAATCGAATTAATACACTTTAACCACTAACGGATCCAGTATTTAATTTTGGGGGGTCTTTAGTCCGAAAGATTTTTTTTTGTATTTATATATATTTAAAAAAAATCTATTTATTGAATAATAATACAATAGCCACTGATGGAGGGCTATAAGTATTAGGGCTAAGAGTTCTCATTCATACAATATATACACATAATAGAGAAAGTATTTATATATTAGGATAATTACTTGGGAAGAAAAAAAGAAACCAACTATCTATATGAAATGGTGTTTAAATGATTCTTTAAGTTCTATTAAATGTAATTAGACGAGCAATAAAAATTTTAAGAAATAATTGTTTTCATTAAACATGGTTATATTTTATTATTTTGAGTGGAGGGGGGGGGATTTCAGCCCGAAAGCCTCTCTCCCCCCGTGACTTTAACTGAAGATCAATTATTTATTAAGGAACCTAAGCATAGAACACATTAGGATATATATATGTATTTTATTTACTTTCTTTGTTTTCGGAAGCTCCTGATATATTTATCATAAATATCCAAATAATCATTAGAAACAATAAACATTATTATAAAAAACTGATAAAACAATCCTTTTTTAAAAATTTAAAATAAAAGTTTATCTATTTTTTTTTTTAGTAAAGTCCTAAAAAATAACCCTAAAAACTATGAGACAGACATATAATGGTTATTTCACTATTTTAGTATTTTAGTTTGTTGTTTTCGATCTTCGATATTTTACATCTGCTGTCGGTATCACAGGCATTTAATTTAATTTTTTTTTAATTTGAAAAAAACTATTTAAAATCCACCTGATCAAGGCAAGGGTATTGTTAAAAAAACTTTTTCATAGTGCTTATGTGAAAGAAGAAGTGAAATATAAAAATATTTTATGGATGTATAAAGTATATGTTTATTTCCTTAAATACAATTACTGTAGTTTTATAAGTCTATTATATTTTATATATTATATTTAAATAATTAGATATTAACGACCGTTTATTCCGAAAAATCGTCATGTAATCTTTTAGAAAAATTAGTGAATAATTTGATGAATTTTCCCTTTGTAGAGGGTGGGAAGGCTTTCGGGCTGAAGTTCCCTCCCTCCCCCTCAAAATGGTAAAATATAACCATATTTTATGAAACAAATTATCTCTAAAAGTATTATTGTCCGTCTAATTACTCTTAATAGGACTTGAATAATCACTTAAACACCATTTCATATAGGTATTTCCAAAGTAATTATCGTAATATATACATTAAAAAAAAATCTTTCGGGCTGAAGCCCCCCAAAATTAAATCCTGGATCCGTTAGTGGTCGATATCTAGAGAAATAAAATAAATAGTTTGGTCTAGCAATAATGCCGCTTAATTAAAATTAGATAACGGTGTTTCCCATAGTTTATAAAATGTCTAAAGGCACCTTAACAGAAAAGGATACAATGATTTAATAATAAAAAAGGAAAATGGGGATTGAAAAATTAAATAATTTTCTAAATATACAAACTTATTTTCCTGGATATTAGAAAACATTGATTTTTTAAAAAATATTTCTTAATTTAATTAAGAGTGTATTAAGTAAATACATCTAGTAAATTTGGTCATATGGATATAATGATATGAAAACACTTGCTGAGTAACTACCCAATGATAGCACTCTAATGATACATCTACATTAGGAGATCACGGGGCCATCTTCTTTTCAGTCGCCTCCGAGGGTTATCAGGAATTGAAGAGGAAGCAAAGTTAGTAACCAGAGGGTTGGGATGGTTGTGAAGTTTATTATGGAAGGATAGGTATCTGGATTGGACCAGATCTGAAACAAAAGAAACATTAAGGTCATTATGGATGGTTTTATTTGTAACAAAGTAGGGAGCATTGAGGATTTTACGAAGGATTTTGGATTGTAAGGATTGGATACGAGAGGAATTCGATGGTTTAGTGGAACTCCATAGCTCAACTCCATAAGTCAAATAGAACTTATTATTGTCATGTATATGAGTCTTTTTACTTTCCTACCTATAGTAGGTAAGGAAAGTATTGCAATCTCGTCAAATTTCCGAAATGCGGTTTTCGACGGATCTATACGTTTCACAGCCCCCTGAGTCCGAAAAACACATTTTTAGCCATTGGTCTGTCTGTCTGTCTGCGCTAAGATTTTCTCGGGAACTACTGAACCGATTTTGTTGCTTCTTTTTTTATTTTGTAGGATTTTGACTACTGATGCCTGTGACAGAAATTCGTTGCTCCATGCGCAATAGCTTGCGCGCAATAAATGAAAAACATGTTTTTCTATAGACTGTAGCGCGAAAATGGCTCTAACGATTTTGATGAAACTTTTCTATGATGTTCTAATCATTGTCCTTTCAATTTTCGTATATAGACTAAATTCCCGAAAAAATTCAGGAAAAAAAGTTATAAAGAAAAGAAAAATGTTATGGGGCCTAACTCGCTAAGTATATATTCTATGGTAAAATTTATAATAAAACTTTTGAAAGGTAATTAAATTACCAAAAAAATGAAGTAATCGGAAACGTCGAGCGGTTTCTTGTCGTTTCAGTCTAGTATGAACATTGCTTTTAAAAAATTAAAATGGATCAGTAATGAAACTCAGTTAATATACAAGTGTGTTAATATACAGTCGAAATACACGTGTGTTTTAATTAGCTTAATTTTTTCCTCTGATATCTATGTTACGAAAATCAGCGTAATCGTTATAACTCTTTATTATATTTGTTTTAATTTTTATGGCCACAGTGTTCTTCAACCTTGAGGGACAGTTTTTCGAAACTCCCGCCCTTAGACAGCTGACTGGTTGACAGTAATGGATATCACTTGACGTTTTGAATGGCTCTGGAACCGTGGCTACGAGGCAATTTCATTCATATTTATGATCTGTATATTTATCCGACGTGTTCTGTCCCTGAAATGTTCCTTCGGGAAATAGTAAGTTCCCTTATGTTTTCTTACAGGCAGGATTGTTGGATGTTGAAGAAATCATCTTAGGTGGTTATCTAATTTAAAATTATGTCCTGTTTATTTTGTTTACTTCAAGAATATAAACACATTCGTTGTTGTATATTAATTATTGTAAAATATTCTTATTGTTACTTGGCTGAATGTATACATTAATTTTTGAGTCATTAATTAGTGAGAAAACTAAACAGAGATTCACTTATTTAATATCTTACATCTATTTATTATTAATTTATTTATATTAAATATTACATTCTATTTTGTGGATGTTTGAGAATACTTAATTTTTTAGATGTTAATTTTAAGCCAATTTAGAAAAGTAAAAGGTCAAGATTATATTTGATAACCTTATCAATATTCTTATCAGTTTAAAAGGAGGCTTTAATTGAAATGTTTTGATGAAACAAGTTAAGCATTTATGTTTGCATTTAGTGACTAAATAATTTAATTTTCAATTTTTAGAATTGAATTTCTACAATGAAAATGAATGCAGAAGAAATTGAGAGCAAACGAGATAGCAAAATTTGCTCTGTGTGCGGGGACCAGGCTCTGGGTTATAATTTCAATGCTATTACTTGTGAGTCATGTAAAGCATTTTTTAGAAGAAATGCTTTGAAAGAGAAGGTAATATTTATTTGAATGAATTTTTATTTATTTTTACTACTGTGGCGTCTATAGATTTGTCTCTCTATGATTAACAATTTTAAAAAATACAGCCTTATATTTCTGAAGTTAAATATTATTATAATGTAGGTGCTATACTATTTAACTTAATATTTTCTTGTAACGAAGAAGAAATTCAAAATATGCTCCAACTCCTTAATTTTCATGTTATAGTTTAGATCTTATTTAATTACGGTATTGATTTATGCCATAAAGATCTGATTTAAATCAACGAACATTAATTTTAGCTATAAAATTACTATTGTGTTGGTGAGTTTTGGTTCCCTATTTACAGCCAATTAACTATTTATAATTATCTTAAAAAGAAGGAAGGAGTTAAATACAAAATTAGGATGTACATTCAATAATTAAGGTAACATTTCTCAAAAGATTTTATAAAATTTCTGTTTATTTGTGTTGAATGGTATTGTAGTAATTTAACTACTAACAGTAATTACTTGTAATAACTCAAGTAGAAGTTATCAATAAAATAACATGCCGTATTAAATAAATAATATAACTTATGAATATCCTAATCTTTTTTAAAATTTCATTTGAGTTTTTATATTTGTTATATAAATCACTGGTTTATTTCCTTAATTTTATTTATTCATTTATCCAACACTCACTCCTGATATTTCTGTGAACATTAAAAAAAAAAAAGAAATTCAATGATTCATATTTCGATACTATACACAAAATTTGTTGAGATTTTGTTGTATACTCCAATAAGCTTAATATTCACTGCTTATTTTAATAATAATTATTTTATTTAATAATAACTGTTCAAGTCTATATTCAATAAGCCCATGAAAAGTTTTAATTCTCTTCATAATTTTCATAAACTTCATATTTTTCTGTATAAGACAATGCTTTGAATGAATTCGTTCGTTGTTGGTCGTACCTGTCATATTTCTTAATATATTATATGATTGTTTTTATATATTAAAATAATTTAAAACGTACTTTCTTGCTTATTTATTTCTGCATAAAATTTACAGTCTTTATGTTTGGCATTCTAAACAAAATATTTATTAAGTTCATTTGTTTCATGCAACATGATGCTTATGTTTATTCATAATCATTGAGACTAATATTAAAATTAGTAAATAATATTAAAATTCTTTTTTATGTTGAGATAACTTATGAATAGAGGATAAAGATAAATATTGGACTCAAGAGCTGAAAAGTGTAAATAATTTAAACCTCTTCATTATTTCAAGAAAAGAAAACAACAAATTATGTACAACATGTATAATTTAAAGCTATTAAAAATTTTCGGAAAAATGGATTGATAAGTAATTGAAGTGGCAATCATCAAATTTGGTTGGATGTATAAATGAAAGATTATCGAAGTTTATAGATATACATCCATGGCAGCTGTGAAAAGGTTCCTGTTAGGTTACATATTACATCTTACGGAAATCTTTCATGAAATCAGCCCTGATGAAGGCCTGAACTTTGGACCGAAACGTGTGGCAAAAATAAATATAATTTATTTATTTTTACTTTTGACTGAACTCCCCAACCAATTTCTCTTCAATTTTCACTGCAGTCAACCATCCATGTATTTTTAAAGAAAATAATAAAATGTTTGAAACACTCGAAACTCATTAAAGTGCACTTAACCCACTATTCATAGATGCCATAGATATATATGTATATGTGGATGTCTAATATATGTATATATTTATGTTCATATGATAGTTATGTATTTTATTTTTATTTCTAGGAACTTCGTTGTCCATTCAAGGAGTCGTGTCAAATTACATCGGTTACTAGAAGATTTTGTCAAAGGTGTCGTCTTGATAAATGTTTTTTTGTCGGTATGAAAAGGGAACTCATAATGAGCGAGGAGGATAAAGAAAAGAAGAGAAGAAAAAAATTGAGTAGATTTCCTCAGCAAGAACAGGCATGAAATTTTATCTATTTAGTCTGCAAAAATCCAAACTCATAACTTTATTAGCTAATTTAGTATTGTTTCCTGTTTATGCAATTATTTTAAGTTCATTTTTGAAAGTAACTAATGAACATTTCTTGAAAACATGTTTAATAGCCATCTTAGATTGTTTTTAATTATTTAATTATAATTTAATTTAAGGGTTTTTACTACTTTGATTATAATTGATAGTAATTGAATTAGATTATATTTTAAGAAGTTAGTCAGGGGTGCGGTCAGAAGTCACTTACATAATATATTGGTTTAATATTTATTGGTCTGTTCCCTTGGCTCTTATTAAAAAGGTAGTGTAGTGAACTTGCTTCCACTAGTTTGAAATGCCAATAATGACTTGAGAGTTCAAAGTGGACAATACCTTAAACTCGCAGTATCAACTGAAATATTAAGTAACATATCGATTAATATGTATGTGTGATATTCCATGTCCTTCCTTGTATGTTTAGGAAAATTTGTTTGTCTATCCTGAGTTTTTATTAGTGTGTGACTCATTTTGGAAAATATTGTTAAGCAGACATTCATTTCAGCTGATATTGAATCTTACTTAAATACCACAGAGTTTAATCACAGGAGAATGGCCAAATTGTTATTTCAATTCCTGATATATTTATTTATTAAGATACAATAAAAAAAAGAACAATATCACATAGGCTGCATGCTCTTTGTGTTAAATTAACTACCATTTTTTAAAAAGTTTAAAGTTAAGTTCATTACCTGATACTTATGTTTGCATAATTCAAAATTTAACTAAATTATTTCTATGCAATATGTTCCATAGAAATTTTTAATTGCTTAATATTTTTGAAAGTTTAAAAAAAATGCTTTTACTTACTGTATGAGCATTTGTTAATATATATACTTACATTGATTTTGATATTTTTTTCCCGCTTAATGATAGTTAGTTTATTTTAGGTTGGAATAATTATTGTCATAATGACATCTGTCCTTTCTTGAAATTCATATTGTTTAAACTATTATTATAAGCTGTAAATGTATTATTAGTTAGAAAATAATGCTTATTTATTTTGAAGAAATAATGTTTAAAAATTTATATTTTTAGCAAGTATCATCTACGGTGACTAAAGGAACTGTAGATATTTGTGTGCAAACTGATTTTCCTCCATGTTCTTGTTCCTGTGTTCTATCATCTCCGTCTCCCTCTAATGTACAGTAAGTGAAGTTATGCAAATTAATGTTATCAATTTAGTCATGTTTAATTATTATTTCAAGCTCTGGGTCAAGAATTTATTCTTAGTGGGCTAATAAAAAATGTTTCTTCATTTCTTTTAGCATATTAAGTATTTTTATGTTAATATTTTCAATCAGGTAATGTGAATATTAAATAAGTTAGAATAATTATTTGGCTGAAAAACAGTGTTACAACCAAGCAAAATAGCATACAACCCAACCATGGCTTTTGAAATTCCAGCTATTGGTGTAATTCTTGAGATCTTTCACTACTTATTAAGTCTGTAGTCTTCATCTGATGTGGATATTGTTTCTATGTTCTATGGAAAAATGTATTTGGTTATAACAAAGCATTAGTGTTCGTTCTTTTTCAATCTCAGGATATCTATCAGAGAAACTTATTAGGAAAGGTATAAAAAAATGTATTTGTTGCAAACTTATATTTTTAACTGACCCAAATGATTCAGAAGGAGATAAGAATAGGAATTAACCATGCATTAATGGTAACAAAAAATTAATTTCTTACTATGTTGGACTACTACGACTATGTACGACTACCTCTTTAAGTAAGAATATAATAGCCTGAACTATGAATAATAGAACAGTGCTCCAGGCCAATTTGCTATCCAGAAGTTGTTGATGAGGTATCTGCGCTGTGATATCCATCTTATTTATTATCAGAACTGGGTTTAAGATTATGGAAGCTGTAAAAGAACATCTTCAGAGAACATGAGCATGTAGAAAAAAGATCTTAAAATATATAGTCAGATAAAATCGGAACAATTATTTATTCTTGTTATTTATACCATGCCTTTAAGCTGACTACTGATATATTTTTGTTCTTAGATCTTAACAATTATATTGATGTTTCTTTTGCAGAAATGATGAGGTGAGATGTACCCCTTTATCATCTGATGATAAAATTCTCCTAAATGACTTAGTAGCCGCAACGAAAGCCCTTGAAGCTCCTGTTGATCAAGAAATAAATAATTTGTATGGTGACGAATTTAAGGTACTGATTTCAGACTGTATAACTTTGTTATGATTCTCTCCTAATGCATAAATAAAAAGATTACTCTAATAGAGAAAAGTCTATAACCTAGAAATCATAAAAAAAAAAAATAATCTGTTTAAATATTTTGTTTAGACTACAAATAAAAATAACCATATAAACCTAAATTTTGTATGTTTCTTGTTTAAATTATCATGTTTTGTTTTGTTTAAAGTAACATAAAGTATTTTAAAAAATAGTATTTTCTAATTTATTTTTTTCACGGCACAACATCAAAGCATTTATCTTTTTAATTTAAATTAGATTTCTTTAACTCCATAACTCGATCAACTTTTTCTTTTAATATAAAAAAATGTTTGCTTCTTGTTTTATTGAACATGGAAGCATAGCAACTAAGGCAAAAATTGGATGCCTAGGAATTACTTTCATGAAATAGATTGTTCTATCCTACCACTTCACTGTTTCATTGCAGAACTGAATTCAAAACATCAAGTCATTCCAATGCTTCCAAAATAAAATGCGTTACAGGTCTAATAAATATCTAAGGTAAAAAATCATTCAGGCATTACAACTGGGAAATAGAATCTTTATAATGAATTGGGTTTCATAAGTAAATTACCAATTGGGACTAGGATCAAGGAAAAAGAGCTTCATAGCCAAGAAATAATTACAAATATGAGCGATATTGTATTCATCACAGTCAGTAATTATCCTTCATATTTAGGATAAAAAAATTTAAAGCTCCTACAAACAAACTTTTTACTGAAATCCAAGCTTGAATTTTATAGCTTAACAAAAAGCTAATATTAGTGGTTTATTTTCCTAAAGGTCTTTACATTGATGTTGGATCCCAAACGAAACAAATGTAGCTGAAAGATTTCAATAATTTACCTATTTATTTTATGTTTGCAGAGTTGTGGTTCTGAAAGCCTTATAGATGTGATTAATCTTACTTCTATAGCTATAAGACGGCTTATAAAAATGTGTAAACGCTTATGGGGATTCAGAGCACTGCCACAGTGTGATCAGTTGTCTCTACTAAAGCAGGGTTGTACCCAAATGATGTTACTCAGAAGTGTTGTTTCCTTTGATCCCGATAAAAATACTTGGAAGGTAAGTAATTTTCACTATATAATATAATGCTTTGATCAATTTTGTCTATTTTAGTAGAAACTAAAAATTCGTAAGATAATTTGATCACAAAATCGATAAAAAAGATGGCCTACAAAAATATTGGACCGTATGTCCTATATAACCTCATTATTTTGAAAATTTGGGAGTGTAGGTCATGCCAAACGGCTCGATATTCTTTTTCTCGATTTTATTATCAAATTATCTTATGATCCAAGTAGGAAGCAAATGTTCATTTATCAGTTTTTAGTACCTAATTAAATAAGCAAAGTTTGAGCCCCTCCAGGTTGAACATGCCCCAATTCCAAGAGTTTTCGTAAATAAAATAGTTGTAGGTTACGATGAGATGAAACTATTTACGAAGTTTCAGGCGGATCTTAATAATTTGATAAAAAGGGGTCTGTACTACGGACTAAAACCTTTAGTGTAGACAAATTAGAATATAAATAAAATAACTGAATTCTTAAAAATATTTATATTTTTCTCTGAATATCCAGTGCTTATCAAGTTCTTTTTTGAATGTTTGGGTTCTTCTTCTCCTTTTCTTAACTCAACAGGTGCATATATTAGTCCTCGGCTTTTTCAACCTCTGCCTTCCACTTCTGTCTATCCATTGTATGGACTTTTTTCATCTTCTACTGCTGTATATCTTGGAATACACTCTTCAGCTGCTCTTGGGTCTCCCTCTTCTTCTCTTTCCATCTAGTGTACCACCATAAAGTCTTTTTGGCAGCCTATTATTATCCACTTCAATCTTTGGATTCTGATTCTGGCTGAGATATTCAGGTCCTTTTATTTATTTTGCAGATCCCTATTTTTTCTAAGCCTGCCAGATCCCATCTTCACAAGTTTATGATGTTTCTTGTATGCTTCTCTCAAATTGGTCCAATAGATCACTGTTTCTTTTATTCATAATCCAAGTTTTGCTGGTGTGGGTTACCATGGGTCTTATTAGTGTTTTGTACATCCTGAACTTAGTGGTATTACTAGTCAGCCAAAATATGCTCTGTCCATCCAGCATGATCCTTTTCTTCACTTCTTCTTTGTTGAGTTGTTCATTAATTATAGATCCCAGGTACTGGAAGTTGCTTACTACTTCGAAACTGTGATTTCCCATGATGTAATTTCTTTGAAGGTGGGCTTGCTTCACTTTCAAGCCTTCCAACAGCATACTTAATAGAGTTCAGAGATCTTCCGTCAATAGCCACATCATCAGCATAACCAAGAATCTGTGTGGTTTTATTAAATATTGTCCCGCCCCTATCTTAGCTCAGCCGTTTTTGTCAGCATGGAGAACTATGTTGAAGAGGAGGGACGGGAGAGGCCAGTGGATCTCCCTGCCTTAGTCCAATACTCAAAAGAGCCGGATATACTTCCACCACTCTTCACTTTGCACTTCATATTTAACATTGCGCACCTTGCTAGTCTTATTAATTTGAAAGAATAATTAATGAATTATAATTAATGCAGAATAAAATAATGTTTAATTTTATAAACACTTTTTTTTTTTTACTATTGTTTACATATTTATGTTTTCTGTTTTCATTCTAACCTTAGAAAAGGTAGATAGATATGCATTGTATTGATAACTTTTTTTTCTCACACCAATTGTTTATTTTATATTGATGAATTTTTCATTGACATGTTGATTGTTATTTATCAGATTCCTCATTCCGTTGAAGAACTTTCAAGGATTAAGGTTGAAGTCTTGAAAGAAGCCAGAGGTAACCTTTACGAGGCACATGAGGCTTGGCTTAGAGGTTTTGATCCCCGAGCGGCTCGTGACCTTCGGGTGATATGCCTCCTTACAGCGGTGGCTCTTTTTGACCCTACTAGAACTCATCTCACATGCAGAGAGTTGATTAGTGCTACTCAGGTGATTTGATTTATCCAGTTATTTCATACTATTTTCATTTTAACTTTTAACACATTACATGATATTATATTTCAAAGGATAAGAGTTATATAATATTGTGAATATTGAATTAATTTAAGTTTAAACATTTAGAGGCCAAAGTAGTTGAACATATTAAGATGTATCATTCTTTAATCAGAAGCATGGCCTTCTGAATTCAAGATAGAAGAGTTAAAATTTATTTTGTGACTGACCCATGGAATAAACCTTGACGTTACTCAGGCTATAATAGATTTATAACCTCTAGTATGATCCGTCCTTCTTGTCCTAGTTAGAATCTATATGGACCTTCAATCCCAAATAAATAAATTTGTACATGAGTCACTAGAGACTTTTAATTAGATTTTCAAATAATTATAGTTTTCAGTCCTCTATTTGGAGTTTTACTTTTATTTTATCTAATAAGTAAACAAAAATAAAAAACTTCTTTATAATTAATCATAAAAGATACGCAAATCAAAATAAACATATCTATTTATCAGTGGCACAATTCATTGCTGAGTCAGGGCCTCCCAGATCAGCCTATGCCATGCTTCCTGGACCTGTGCAGTGAACAACTAATTTGTAACTCAAAGAATGTCCCAGCATCATGGGCAATTTTATCTTGCCACCATATTGCTAGACAACGTTTACACCTAAATCTCTGATTTTTTCTAGAAAAATCTTTTTTAGGATAGGATTTTTTCATCTATCCTTGTCAGATATCCAACCCTCCTAAACTAACTCATTTAAAATTGATAGCCATTTCTGTCTGTCTCCTGTCTACCTTCCGCCATCCTCTTACTCCCATCAGCTACAGATTTGAAGTTTTTCTATGCCATGGCCCCCATGGCTCCACTGTAGATCGATTGGATAATCTTTCTTCCAACTTCCTCAACTTACAGCTCGCTACTGGGCTGACTAAATTATCAGTATAATTATCAAATGTTTTGATTGTTAGCAAATTAATGACAGCATTTTGTGTACGACTTCAGTCTAATATTACATTTTGTGAATAATAATGGATCCAATGGCTTATCTCCTAGTACTGCATACAGAGCATACATATGCTTGTTAGACAGATCTGAGAATTCATTTTTATATTTAAATCAGATTTCAACTTATTTCTAATTTTATAAACCAAATTAGAATACATCTTTCATTATGTTGATTTAGGAGACTTTTTAATTTAAATAGACATGGAACAGCAGAACTTTCATTTTTTGGTTAGGTAGGTTTAATCGAATCTCGAAGAACTTCGTTGGTTCTGTGAAACAAGATCTTGATGGCCGTGAGAATGTCAATTTATGAGAATGTCATAAAGATGGCCGTGCATCTTTATGACATTCTCAATCTTAAAGGCACAGTTTGTTCGTATCTGGCCTGGGTGGGTTGGAATTTTGTGCCAGAAATGGCAAGATAATGGGTGGTATCTGAGAAAAAAAGGACTTTGTTTAAATACTACGAAATTTATAAAATTTCCATAGGTAATTTGTATAGATAAGTATGTAATCTTCTTTATATTTTGAATTATGATTATATCTAACATTGTTTATATTTTAGGAAAGATACTATGAGGTTCTAAGAAGATACTTGGAAAGCTTGTACAGGCTAAGTGAAGCACACGAAATTTATGCAAATTTAATAGAAAAAGTTCGTGAACTGAGGCGTTTAAATGAAGAACATGTTAGAGTTTTTCTAAATGTTGATCCATCCCATGTTGAACCTTTGTTAATAGAAATATTTGATTTAAAGAAAACTTAGAACATATATATTTTAAATATTAATTTTATTTTATGCTGTTATATTCATGTATCAAGAAACTTTTCAACTAATTTATTACGCCTTGAATCTGTTGATTTCTCGGGTAACCAAGGCTTGACAAGTTTTGGTAGTAATGAACAGAGTTGGTTTTTAACCTCTCCGGATGTATATTAAATTATCATTGTATATTTTCCATCTATGGAAACAATTGTACTATTTTTATTTACAAAGTAAATTTGTTTCTGTAATATACATGAATATTCTCGGCGTGTCTATTTTACTTTGATTAAATCGACAAAGTATTTTATTGTTTGAAATAGTTTTGGGAATATTTTGCAGTTTTCCATAAATTTTTCAAACAAAATTGAATTTTATTTTAATGAAATAAGTTAATGTTGCAAGCATTAACGTTTTTAAAGGATGTTTATTTGTTTCCCTTAATTTTAGCTTCTGTACCAGACACGATTAGATGGTCCTATTTGTGCCATACTCGCTGTATAGTGATTAATTATTACCATTCACTGTATATAAACAATATGAAATGTATTGTGATATAATTTAACTCTTTAGTATTGAGACTGATTTATATTAAAGAAGAAAAACAAATCATTCACATTCAAGCTGTAGTAATCTTTCCTCATATTCCTCTCATTTTTTATTATGTAATTAAAATTGTATCTATATTCCGAATAGTTCCAGTTTGAATATTATTATTATTTTATAGATTGATTTGAATCTTGAAAAAAGAAAAAAAATATATCAAGGTCTAATTATTGTTGGTTTTGTAAATATTGTAAATATTTAAGTTTTTATACAATACCTAAAATTTTTTTTTACTTTTTATACATAAAACACTAATCACTGAAGGACTCACAGAAAAATAAGAAATTCCATGATTTTGAATTAGAAATAACTAAATAACATTGGAAGGTAAAAATGGTGACTTTTCAATGTTAGTAATTTTTATATAACTTATATCCTCTTTGCATTTTATACAAGTATTGATATTTTTTTACCAACTTCTTATGGCTACCTGGATGTTTCCTCTAAGTACTAATCAGAATTGGAGTGTCAACATTTATTTCTCAGGGCCAATAAGAAACATTAACTAACCCCAGAAGAAATCGAACCCAGAATATTCTGAACTGAGCAAACTCTTGCTCCAGATACCTTAACCATTATGTCCTCGGTGCATTGAATAAAGATATTTGATGGATGATTTCTTTCTACTCAACATTCTGATTGAGAGAAATGAACATTTTTTTCTCCCTTTACTATAAATATTAATAAGATTATTAAGGTTTTTTTCAATATGTGGTCACAGGCGAATGGGAAAGCCCCTCCCCAAAATGTTGGAATGTAACCATGTCATGAAAAAAAAATCTCTGAAAGTATTATTGTTACATTAATTACATTTGATAGGACTTCAAGAATCACTTAAACACCATTTGTTATAAGGTTTCTTTCTTTTTCTTCCAAAGTAATTATCGTTACATTTCTCTGTTATATAACTATGACTAGTCTAATGTAGTTTAGATGTTGCTGAATGGCACAGACATTGTGGGTTGTATATTTATTGTTTTACATAGTTTTATTTATATAGTTGAATATTGAGGTTGGGTTTACAGAATTTATGGTATTTCATTCAGAGGGTGATTAAAGTTCTACATTGAAAGGAGATAACATTAGATATCAGTTGGTGGTATTTTATTAACTCATGATGCACTTGTCCTAAGGTTACCTAACATTAGTTAATGTTGGAGTGTGAGTTATAAATGGAGTAATGAGTTTTTAATATTTAAAAAAATAATAAATAATTCAAATTTGATGGATGAATAACGTATTAAAAAATATTTTATTCAATTAAAACAGAGAAGGTAAAGTATTTAATTATTATTTTGGGATACAGTCATTACATATTAAATCAATCCAGTACTTAGTCTTACTGACTAATTAAAAATTCTTTTTAAAGAGTTATAAAAAACCCAAAAAAAATGGATGAATAGTGCACTAACTATACTCAGCTGAAGTTAAGTACCAACCAACTTGCTTACAACCTTGAGTGGCGTTGAATAATGATTGGTAAGTGTAGTAAGTAGCAACCAAGTAGACTGGGGCATGTAAGAAAGAGATCACTTGGTCTGCAATAGGTCATTCGCTCTGGGTGTAGTGTTTTTAAGATTAAAGCCTCAATATTATATTGGTCAATTAATTATTATATCATATAAGAGGGATTATAAAACTTTTTTGACTGAGCAGCCTATGCAGTACCAGCCTTATGAGGGACTCCTCTTCATTTTCAGGGGTACTCTCCACCATAGATATGCACAGCCAGAGAACAACAAAGTGATAAATAGAGTAAATCAAAATCTATATTAAGGAGATTTATCTTGCTTGATCAAGAGATATAGCAACTATTTTAGGGGTCCATATCAATGGTAATGTTATGGTGTTCTGGGGAAGGATGTTGTTATCGGAGAGGTTCAGAGAAGGTGTCACTCTCTTTTTCAATAATTTCAAAATCCAAAAGGTTGGGAGACCTGAGAGCTGCACTGCAAAAATTACGATAAAACATTTCAATCAAAGCCTTATCAATTCTTTAGAAATAAAACCAATATAATATTTTTGAAATAAAAAAAAAAAATGGGCTTTTGTCTATGTAATTTTATATGACTTAATAGCACTGTAGTATTACGAAAATTTTGTTGTATTTTCAAACATACCTTATGTTTGAAAATAAAATAATTGTGTAAAGTATAAGTAACATTTTAAGGACCCCTGGTACTGGGGCTAAAGAGTTGAAAGGGCCCCTATAAAAATATTAGGATTTATAATCCTCTTGGGAACACCGGCCGATTTTCAGGGGCACTCGCCACTGGTTAGAAATTAAATAAGAAATATACACCGTACTAAAATAATTAATTTTAGCCTATCAATAAAGCAACTGCATTAGAGAAATGTTGAATGAAATAAAATGCAAATATTAAATAATATAAAACAGCTTAAGGAATAAATTTAATTGTTTTGGGAGGGGGAAGAAGACATCATTTTTCGGAGACACCCAATGTCCAGGGGGGCACTGAGCCTATGGTCAAACAAGTCATGAATTTGGTTCCAAATTTTGTCCTGTAAAAATTGTTTTTTAAAAAAATATTACCATATATAGTATACATAGTTTTCTTTAACTCTACCTTATTCATAATATATTTTTTCATTACTTAATTTTCTTGAACATTTCTGAAAATAGATAAAATTTAGATATGTTATTGGCCGGGTAATGTTTTTCAAAATTTAATTATCATGATTTTTTCATAAACTTTCAAGTAGAATATCATAACATTAAAATATATATTTAAACATGGAACTAAACTACCCCCCTCAAGTAAAACTTTAGTAATCTTAGATTAACAAATGTTTAGTCAGGTTAAAAAACAATATTTTTAAAAATTAAAAAAATCAATAAATGAAAAGCCTTTAAATTAGTAAAATAAAACCATCAGAATGTTATTTATTTTGTTAACATAATTGCTTGGTTTGCTTTTAGAATCAGAATTAGATACACCCTTAACATAATTAACAATAGTAAGATTGGAATTGGTTTAATATGTGATTAACAATTTTTCATTGATTTGAAAGTGGTAAATAAATAATTTAGATAATTTTATGGAGAAAAAAAAATTTAAAATATGATCCAATAGATAATTCTATGATATTTTTCATGCATAGGTTGGTAACAGTTCTAGAACTTTCCTTATTCCTTTCAAAAACTTAGTAGTTTGTTCTAAAAGTTTTTTGTTTCTACAGAAATAGAGAGACATCATAATTAAGGTAGGTAATTGCTAATATAATAATGAAAATCTATCATTCATTGATTATTATTTATTCATATGGTGTTCAATCGTATGTTACACTTAAATATTTCTATGTTTTATAAATCTTTGGGTTGGTTTCCAGTTAAATAAGATAAATGTTACTATCAGAAGTAAAAATAAAGATTTAAACTGATAATGTATCAATTATGTTGATTTTATAGAAATAATAATTGGCTGAAAACCCCAGTGTTCATGTTTTGTACTTATTAATACCAAGGATTGAAACTTTTTTAAAAAGTTCCATTTTAACAGTTCCTATGGAACTTTTTATGAAATAAGTTCTTAAAATAGAAGTTCCAAGTAACTTTTTTTAATTAAAGTTCTAGATTTATGCTAAAAGTTGAACTTTTATTCTAAAAAAAGTTCTGTTAAATGAGAAATAAACAGTAATTGGTCTTAGATTAGAGTTTAATTTGTCTTAAATTAATTACTTATGTGTAATTTGTATGAGTAGCTAAGAATAAAAATAATTTTTTAGATTGATTATTAGGTAAAATCGACAGGACCTTTTAAATAAAAGTTTTTAAACATAAAAGTTCAGTAAAACCTTTACTGGAAAAGTCGCAATGAAAAAATTTCTAGTTCCCAAAGAATTGAAAAACTAATGAAAATAAAAGTTCCAGTAATACCGAAACTTTTTAAAAATCAAAGCTTTTTTTTCCGTTTCAAGCACTACTTAATACTGACATAGATGAGTATCTATGAATCATCCAATATATTATATGCAAATAGATTTTATAATATGTTTAGATTAAGCTGATGTAAGTATAGTTGAAATTACTAGGGCACACTGGCAGATCTACTGGGGGCTTTCGGGCTGAAGTTCCACTTAAACACTATTTCATATAGTTAGTTAGTTCCTTTCTTTCTTCTGAAGTAATTATCCTGATATATACATACAAAAAAAAAATCTTTTGGTCTGGAGCCCCTCCAAAATTAAATCCTGGATCCGTTAGTGCCAGGGCAGGTAAATTATAATCTAATTATTCTTTGAAAAAAAATATTCATGTAGGTAATCTAGTTAAGTTTATTTACTTATTTTTATTTTTAAATTCCTAGTAATTTTGTTTCTTACATGCATGCTGTTTGGCTTAACTTAAGGGGATAAGTGGTGTGGTCTTGTATAAA